TCCTCCTCCTCCTCCTCCTCCTCCTCCTCCTCCTCCTCCTCATCATCATCCTCCACATCATCCGCCCATGATGCTAGAGGAGGCCCGAACGCGTCGAGTCGACGACGGAACTCTTCCCTCCACATATACGTATTTTGACTCGGGGATGGTTGGTCACTCAGGGCCACTTCAGCAGGTGCAGCCGTTTGTGCGAGGCTGACGGGGCCGGATGACCCACGCTGCGAGTATACATTCCTGGAGACGACTGCTCCTGGAAGCCCATCCTCATTGTCGAAGGAGATGTAGCACTTTGACAACCTTGACTTGGCTGGGCCACGCGCGATACGACTCTTCACCGCGGCTTGACGGGCCTTGTCGATGGCCAATCGTTCCTCGGTCCCGGCGCTGAGGATATCCACGCGGGTTGGAAACCCAGGGCTGCAGCCGTTGATGATGGTCTGGCCTCCCCAGTATTTGTCTGGGTCAAGACTATCGATGCATGGTTCATGCTCGTCTTCATCATAATCGTCCTCCAGCCAGGTGCCGACCTCGGCATAGAACTTGACACACTGCCCCATGCAAGCGTTCTCAAGTGCGGTACCACTGAGGCTGTTGAGCACTTCCGGCTTGCCATAGTACTTGACCGGGTCTAAGAGACGAGATGCCTTGGTGACCACGAAATGGTTTCGTGACTTAAACGGATCATGCTTTACTATCCATTTCGAGGAGGCCTTCAACACCGCAATTGTGGTAGCAGGGTTGGTGGCCGACTTTGTATATACTGCCTCGCCGAAGAAGTTGATGTGGTGGACCCAGTTTTTGGACTTTGTCCAGTATTGCAGACCGTTCTCCCAAAAAAGTTTCGGCTCCTGTGTAAGCGACATGCCTGTAGGTACTGCACTCGTATAATCAAACCCATCGCTGCAGTCGACAATCCAGGCGAGTCTTCGTTCGAACGTTCGCTCTGGTCGCTCCACGTGAGCAGTCTCTTGTGTCTCAGGTGCCACTCGAGGATCTCTAGGTACAAATGGACGTGCTTGTGGGTTGAAGGGTTCCGCCCGTCTCTGGTTGTGTTCCTCGGCCCCTGGCACGAATTCAACAGCACGGGGGTCCATCGTAGGCCGGAGGGCTTGCGATTTTGAGGGGTTGAGGTCGAGATCTCTGACTTCGGGTCTTGAGGAGGTATCCAAAAAAAAAGGCCTTCTTAGGACCTGACGTCTGAAACCACGTTAAGACGGTGAGGGCCTGAAGAGTTAAGAGAATGCTTACCAAGACGTTCTTCTCAGGGAAGGGGTCGGCGCCCGGTTTCGGCATTGGTTGAGATGGGGGACTGCCCTTTGTTCAGTTCGGCAGACCACTGCAGTCCAGAGGAGACCGAATCAAGAAGATAGATTGAGCTGTTCAGCAAGAAGGTAGAATGTTGATTGCTTAAAGTACAGCAACCGTTTGCAAAGCTAGAAGTTGTTTGACGGAATTTTTTGGAAGCCGGGTGATGAGTATGAATATGTTGATGAAGGTCATGGTGTAAACAGCTTGTGAACATCACTGCCAGCGGACGCCCAGGGTTATTCACGTATTCAAGGCTGAAGAGCTTGTTACCATGTTACAACATGTCCCAAACATCAGTGAATACTGTTAAACTTGAATAAGTGATTGAGTGTCCAGTAATCATTACAACTCCTGGGTGCCACATAATGTGTGACCCGTTGGGACGACTTTTCGCCATTATCCAGATATGAGAATGATGTTCTGTCTAGACAAGATGTCCGCTCTTGGAGCATCGACTTAGGATGTGTTCATGAGGTTGCTTGAGATGAATCAAGTAAAGACAGCCGCGCTCTGGAGTTGTTTGTTGTGTGTGTGTGTGTGTGTGTGTGTGTGTGTGTGTGTGTGTGTGTGTGTGTGTGTGTGTGTGTGTGTGTGTGTGTGTGTGTGTGTGTGTGTGTATCTATATACTTCTCTGCTCCGTATTGGTCGGTGGACGAAGGTGTACCTGAAAAGAGTATACAAGTCAAGACCTTCCTGGATGTCTGGTACCTCACTTTATCGTGGAGGAGGAGGAGGATGAACCTGGGTTGAATTGGATGCAATTACCGACTGGAGTTGAGCTGTGCATGACCTCTGTAGTAGCAAGTCTCTCTTGGATATATGAGACATGTATCCAGGTAATCTGTGTATGTCGTATCGTTGACCGGGGCGTTCATGGCTGTTTCTCAACAGGAGCCTTGAGAGCCTTGGACTCTCAATTTTCGTTTCTTCGCTGCAGGGATTGAACGGAGGTAGGTTGTTTGAAGAGTAGTAAGAAGACTTTGACGTGATAGTGGAATTCTCTCCCTAAGACGAACGAAGCGTTCTCTGGGCTCATTTTGCAGTTGATGAACCTTGTTCAGGATTCTCTCGCCACCGATAACTGCAGGTCAAGTGGCAGGTTTGCGAATCTCGACATCATGAGTCTGGCATTGCCCTGCTGAGACACCGCTATCCAGATTGATCTTCCTTGGTAAGACCTTCAATGGGGATAGTTAAGACGCGATGTTTGCCGCGCGCATAGACCAACATTCCCATCGCTCACAGTTACTTACGGCGGAATTTTTCCTTACTTCCAAACCTCCAGAGTCAGGCTGTGTCAATTGACTCTCGTCAGCAATCGGCTGACCTCAATGCCTTCTTTGTCCCAAAATCAACCCCCGGAGTGATAGGCTCGAGCTTCCTCCAGCTAGCAGCTGTGCAATCGAGGTGCCCTGGTGGCATATGAACTCCGCTCAAGAACAGCGACAGGTTTGTCCTAGCGCACTACGATCGGCCCTCATTCCGACAGACATGTGTTCTGTGGTACTGGGAGTTCATCCCCAGTAGTTCCGGTTTGAGATCGTGTTATCAATTGCTGACTCATACTCGAGTCGATTTTATTTTATTACGTGTCTGATTGAGGTACGTTGAAAGCAAATTGAGGCAGCCTCTGGCTACGCCTCCATTGGTACGGATTTGCAACAAAGCCAACAACACCTCGACACCCTGAGTCAAAATGTGCGGCGTCCAGATTTCACCCACATTGATTGACAGGCATAAAAAAAAAATTGGAACAAGTCTTAGGTGTCAACTAAAATTCGCAAGCAGAATGGAAAGTCACAACTTGGATATGCTCCGACGTCCAATAAACCGTTGCACATATCGAGGCAGACTGCATACGACGCTAGATCGGACCACACAAACAGCGTTATCACCTCGAGTCCATGCCATCCCTGACCGAGCCGCCCGTCTGTCCTTGCCGAAAATTCTGAAATCTTGATGACTTGTTCATTATTTGCGGTGATCTGGGCCGATATCAAAATCTTATCACAGCTGCAAATCGGTTGACCATCCAACTCTGCTTCATTAAGTCCGGTGATCTATTCTACATTTCATGTGCGACGACTCCAAGGAATACATCGCTCTTCGATATGATGTATCATGCACTTCGAGGGCCGGCCATCCTGCCGCCGTCCTGAGAATTCATGGTTTGACTGCCGCTGCATTGCCCAGCAACTCATCCGTCTTTGATGACAATAGGGACAAGCAAGCTTGATCTAAAGCACGAGGAGAGATGCCCAGGAGTAGAGACAAAGGTACTGGAATGGGGAGCCAGATGCACCATGAGGATCAGGTCTGCAAAGGGACATTCTTATAGGTCTGTTGCCTGCTTTCTCCTCGACGTCTCTCCTGTCCGAGAACCATCCAGGTTCTGTTATCGACGCCGGTTCACTTTTTCTATATCATGTCGAATTCTGCCCTTAAATCTATTGTCCCATAAAGTCTGGAATACCAAAGTCATTGTCTTTTGTTGTTGCCATTCCTTCCCGCTATGACTGAAGCGGAGTGTCAGCGTTGCACCTCCGAAGATTTCGGGATGAGAGGACGCGGAGTTCAGTTGGCTGTCCCATCGATCGTCATGCCTGTAGTGGCTTTTGTCTTGGTGCTTAACCGAATTTTCTCGCGTTTGAACATGCTGGGCAGACTGGGACTGGACGACTATTCGACCTTACTTGCTGTGGCAAGTAGATAATCCATTTGCTCCCGCTGTCTACTGACAATCTCAAGGTATTCTTCATCACACAATGTGGTGCAACTATTGCCGCAGTGAACCATGGTTACGGAAGGCCATTGGAAACGCTAGACTCACAGCAAGCTTCTCAGGCATTGAAGGTGAGACTCCAGTTTGATCCAGTGGCCCAGCACGCAACTAACGCGAGTTTCATGAAGTCCTTCTTCCTCCTCCAGATATTTTATAAGCTCACTATCAATTGCACGAAGATATCGATCCTGTTCCTCTACCGACGCATCTTCACCGATCGCGTTTGGTTTGTTCGGCTGTGCTGGGCATTGATATTAGTAGTGGTATGCGCATGCGTTTCCTTCACCGCGGCAACACTACTGCAATGTGACCCGATCAGTGGAGCCTGGGAACGTTGGAAAGGCAATGTCACTTGCGTCGACCTGTATGCACTTTGGTATAGCAACGCCATCTACAATATTCTGACGGATGTTACAATCGTTCTCATGGTTCCTCCGGTGGTCCTCAGACTTAGGCTACCGGCGCGGCAGAAGTTCGCGTTGATTTGTGTCTTTGGTCTGGGCGTTATCGTCTGTGTGGCATCGATCTCACGCCTCACGACGCTGTACTCTTCAGCTTCTGGCTCGGATGCCACTGCCGGGTCGTTTGTATCAACTATATGGACAACTATCGAGGCCGGCCTGGGTATCATATGTGCAAACTTACCGATGCTTCGCACTCCCCTGCAGAGGATGTTCCCCAAACTGTTTCCCTCCAGGCCAGGAACCAGTCAAGTGTCGGGGCCATCCGGGAGAGGCAATTCTGGTGAGGGCCATACTCTCGTTCTTGCAGCCAAAATCCACGCGGCGGATAACAGCCTCATTTTACCTCTACAGACCTCCAGCACAGGCATCAACCCTGAAAATTTTGTGAATGCAAACAGCAGCATGGAAGATACTTTGTTCTACACTCCGCCAGCGCCAAATGGACGCGGAGAAACATCACCGACTCGCATGAGGGCATGCTGAACTGTGTTTGAGAGTGTAGTTATGGGCAGAGGCCATGCAAGTTCTTACGGACTGCATGATGACAGCTGCTCTAGCGAAGTTCATAATTTGCAGATGCCAGAGTTAAGGTGTCATCGGCTAGCATTGTACGCTAGCGGATTCGAAGTAGAAGGAGGGCGCATGCCTCTTTGCCGACCATCGTGAGACCCATGGTGTGGCCGTTGTATGTATACAGAAACTGTAGTTCTCGAAAGATTGGTGGTTGAGATTGATTACTAAGTCAAACTTCCGCGGCATACTTGCCTGTTATGGACACCGTTCATGTCTTGGCTGCGATGGAAGGGAGATCAAGCTGGAGCTTCGACCGGGACTACATTGATGCAAACAGCTTCGGTCACCATTGAAAACAGCCTAACATCGCTTTTGAGTCTCCTGTACGCTTCAACTGACTTGTGCCTCCCTGTGTGCCTGCTGATCGGTTCTCTCAGCTCAAAATGTCGTTCGTCATCCGCCGAGGCGTGTCAACTCTGGTTCCTCCTAAGGCAAGTGCAAATCTTCCCCAGCTTGCTTGTAACCATATTAACGTCTCGTTACAAAAGGTTGCAAACCCATCTGTAAGTTCAAATCTCAGACAATCGCCTGCGTCATTGTGAAAAGTACCTTTCCTACCGAGTTCGAGCGAAGCGACTTTTCCCGAAAAATCAACCCCCCGCGGCTACCTTGTAATCAGTCATGGACATATCTCTGATTGGGAGTGTAGGGGCTCGGAGCTGCTGCAAATGCACAGCGCATGGCCAAAATTGCCAAGTTTTACGAACAATTACCCAAAGGGCCTGCGCCGCAAAGAGCACCTAGTGGACCATTGGGCTGGTATCAAGCAAAATACTTCGGCAAGAACCCATCTGCTGCCCGTACGTGAGGAGGACCCGGAGAAATTCAAGAGATACTGATAGAGAGTAGCAATCTGGCACGTCATTTTCGGCATCATGACCTTGGGCTATAGCATGGAATACTACTTCCACCTGAGTAGGTTACGAGGCACCCACGGCTGGAGAACGGATTGACTAATCTTTACACAGGACATCACAAGAACAATGCTCATTAAGTTATTCGCATGGTGGACTAGAGTTAGTTTCGGAACAGCTTGTACATAAAACAAAAATAAAGAGTTATTCGAGTTTGCCCGAGAATGACGCTCTACCTCTCTGGGTTCATCTGAAGATATGGGAAAGCAGTTCTTTGACGATGAATCTATTCTCGTGTTCTTCTTCGAGGTCGACGCCGAATGCTAGGAGCAGTTACTTCGACTGGTACATCACCAAGACCCACTATGGTTGGAAGGGGAGCGATCAAGTCTCAGGGTTTCAACCACCCCTTGCCAGAAGCTTACTCGATGCGTGGCCAGACAACCTCCTGAAGGTGAGTCTCGCGGCCAACACACACATGGAGGAAGTTGAGTCGCGTGTCCTTGATCGTAAAACGACATGACCGCATGGCCCTACCGCGGATGCTACTTTTCACGTGCTGTTACTCCAATCATGTCGCATGGCTGTGCGTGTTCGCCCGAAGATGTTTGGCCGGAGCAGCTCTACCAAAGTGATCTTCTAGTCTCGGAACGTTCAGCCGCGTTGATAGAAGAACAAGTGATATAAGGCTGATGATCAGGATCGAGGTGTTGGCTCAAGGACCCGTCGATGGGATAGAGAGGGAACTCTGCTGCGTCCTTTGAGACGAATACCTGATCTAGAAGCCAACACGAGGTCGCGTACTTGAACTGCGGGCCTGATGTTTAAGGGCACTCGTAGAGTCGAGCAGGGTTGAAAGACGGAGGAAATACTCGTAGTGGAAGGAGCGCCCAATAATTGAAGCGAGACTTCAATAGTGTCTCTAGGCCGAGGGTGAAGGGGCCTTACATAAGCAGGCCCCGGTCTCCGCCAAGCCCAGGTACGCTGCGCATTTTGGGACTATGACTTGCGCAGCCTCCTATCTCAGACTGACTCAATCACTACGAAATCGCCTTTGCGTTTGCTTTCTTCCTCTTAGCCCGGAGAGCACGCTCATCCTCGACTCTCTCTATTCCCTTTTCCCCGAAGCGATTGCGATCTCTCGGCGCTCCTGTGCGCCATCCGACCCTCCGACTCCAGGCCGGCAATCGTGGCAGACTCAGGTCTTTAACAGTAACTTACCCTGTGGCCTGTCACTGCCTGTCCTCTTGTCCACCGTCTGACATTCACCGCATAGTTCCAAGGAGGTTATGGCACAGCAGAGTGCACAAGATGTGGTAAACCAATCTCAGTCGGCGGGCGACAACCTTTCGTCCTCCGACGCACCTGCGACCACATCCACACCTGATATCAAAGTTTCCGGGGACGAAATTGGTGTTGGGGAGGTTGCACCCAAAGAGAATGGAACACATACCCTTGCGAATCTCAAGATGGACGACTTGGAGGATGCCTCAGGACGTTCTGACACCGACACCAGCCGAGCTGATGGCAGTGTCACCGGAGACAAACCTGCTGAGTCGAAACCACTCAAGAAATTCACCGCTAAACCTGTGAGTTTCGCAAAGTACTCGGTACCTAAAGTCGTCGCCGCAAATGCTGCCGCCAAAGGCATGGACAAAGGTATATGTTCAACTTTGTCTCGCGTGACCAGGCTAATATGATGTTCTCAGTCACTCTTCCCACGTTGTCCGCTTCATCACTCACTTCCTCTAGTCGACCACGTCTAGTCGCAAAGACAACCAGTGCTTTGCAAACACAGGGCAAGTCTTACAAGAGTGCTACGCCGGACCCTATGCAAGTGTGGAACAAGAACAGAGGTAAGACCTTCCATGGATATTTCGACTTTCCCGCTGACAGACATGAAGTCACACCTCAACCTTCAACGAAACATCTCACCGACGAAGAGCTTAAGCAGCAATACGGTATTCACTTGACGTCGCGGATTCAGGCAGATGGTGAGGGGAAAGAGGCAAAATGGGCAGACATTGATGACGACGAGGATGACTGGGCGCCGGAAACGATTGAATGGAATGACGGCACGAAGAGCACATTGACCCCCATCGAAGTCCTTCCCCAGGCAAAGCAGAAATCGGCAACTACTTCAGACGCTGACGAGAAGCCCAAGCCTGCTGCACCTCCCAAACCCCCAGCACCGCATTTCACAAGCTCCGTCGGTCCCAATGCCACAGTGTTAAAACTCGGGGCCAGTGCCGAAAGACAACATGCCCAAAAGGTTGCCAACCTACAGACCAAGACCCAGTCAGAGAAAACTTCGAACGGTTCTTCGAAATCGACCCCTGCGGTGGCACCGGCCAAATCACCATGGGCAGCATTACCTCCCGTGGACAAGGTATCTCCCATTGCGATCAATCCACAGCCTGTACCACCACCACAAGGCCGCTTCTCTTCACAGAACTACGCACAACCACCGACAGGCCTCACAGCACCTTCTCCTGCAACAGAAATCTCGGCTGATGACTTCAATCGTGCTTGGCGCGATGCGATTCCTGGTCCACCACGCGAGTTGTTTGTGCCGACCTCAGGACGATACGAGGCTGTGCCGGAAGGTCGCAGACGAATGTCCAGGAACGATCAAGGCTTCCGAGCCCCTGCTGTCCTTCAAAGGCCTAGTCAAACAGATCCACACGCTCCTGCTGAGCCTTCCGCAGCGTTCCAGACACATCGCACAAGCACAGATCAAGCACGACGTAGAGCATCATCCACCGTTTCTGGTGGCAGTGGATCATTTGGTCGACGAATGTCCTTCAAATCAGGCGAAACACCAACTTCAGTCTTTGGACCGTCTAAAAGCGATGTCGAGTCCCTTGTTCGACCCAGCTCTAAGGATGGCCCCTCATCGCAGACGCAGGTTCCAGCTTACCAATCGCGCGGCGCCACAGATCAGATGCCGGCAGGCTCTGCTCCACCAAGCGATGCTGATCTTGAGGTACAACGTGCTCAACAGAAAGCCTTGATGAAAGAAAATATTGAGCGTGCAAAACGACGCAAGATCGAAGAAGAGCAACGACTGGAAGCTGAGAAACGGGAACGCATTAGGCAAAAGTTGGCCTCTCTCGGTCCCGACCCTAAACTGACGAAGAAGCATGCGGAAGAAAAGACTGTGGAGGATGCGGGTACGGGAAAAGAGTCTAAGAAAGCTGCTGAAGAGTCCGCAGCGTCCGCGGTGCATGCCACCACTCATTCACCTCCCAAACCTCCACAACCTCTGGCATCTGGAGAGCCCCAGCAATATGGCATGATGAAGGTCCATCCCTTGGACTCGGTTAAGAAGCTTGGAGGTTCGTTATCTCGGCAACAAGATTCCCAGAAATTGCCTGTACGAGTCAAGCTGGATTCTGCAGGTTTAGAGGAGTCTAAGCAAGAAACCTCACAAATGCCTTCTCCAGTGGTAAATGGCGTTCGATCTGTTCCAGAATTGCGAAAATCAAGTGGTCAAGAGCCGGTTGCCTCTTCAGAGCCGAGTCCGAAATTGCCCAAGCCTAGCTCTTCAGGGAATGACGCAAGAAGTGGATGGGGAGATTTGCGCTCCGACCACCGTTCGCCCCAGGGAGCCAATCTATGGGGAATATCCAGTAAATCTGCACTTGGAAATGGTACGTTCGACCATGGACTGGCGGGATATGCGCCACAAGATCTGTCCCGGACATCTTCGTCGGTTCAAGGCTGGATGAATGGAAGGACGCCGCATACTGGTCGATCACCACAGGCCCAGTATGTGAATCATGCAGCGCCTGAGAGTCGATCGTTCTCATATCAGCCTCTGGCATCTCCCGATCAAGGCCCGTTAGCCGCTGATAGCGAAGCTGACTCACTCTTTCCCACTACCAAGCCCGCCCCGATCGCTCCCCCCCATTCTCAACAAGCTCACGGCCCTGGCGCTGTCCATAGCCTCCAGAACCCCCCTAAGCCTCATGCTATTGATGCGTGGGCGAATTTTCACCAAGTTGCGGGACAACAAGAGCGAGCTGAGAATGAAAGACTGCAACGTGAATTGGTGGCTCGGCGAGAAGAGGAGCTACGCACCGGAGTCCGACAAGGTCCTCAGTACACCTTCAACGAGACTTGGAAGCAAGTGCATGTCGGCGACCAGGCTGGTCAGCGGCATGTCGCCAACATTGCAGAGTCTGCTGTGCCTGCATCAAACCTGTTTGGTGCTGTAGGCACCATACCAGGCACAGATATGGGGTCACGAATGATGAGTGGGCCTGGTGGACGAGGATCTCGCTTCTTTCCACAGCCAATTGGTGTTCCACCACAGGACCGACGAGCATTCACTTACAGCCACCCCGAGCCGCCAAGATCACCATCACCGCCCCCGGCAGAAGAGTACTCAAGCTTCCATCCCGCTTTTGATGGAGACTTACGAAGTCCCAAGGTGCACTTCCCGCCGGCAAAGGCGGTAGTCAAACTGCCTCCTGTAATGCCACCTACGCCCCCAAGTCCGACACCGGTACAACCAGCTGATGTATCACATACACCGTTGACTTGGGCGGCGAGGGTTTCAGCCCCACCGCAGTCGTTCAGGTCTGCCTCCACTCCAATCGTACAGAACCCTTCCTGGCAAGAAAGATTCAATGGATTGCTGGGCAAGAAGTCCTCTCCGGTACCAGAACCTGTTCACTTTGCCTCGGCAGCTCTAGCGATTGCCCCTTCCTCCCGAGAGCCTCTCGATGTTCAACATGTACTTGTACCTGCCGCATCAGTGTCCATGCCGGTCGATGCCGATTCTGGCATCCCCGTGACTGAAGTGTCAATAGCGACGAAAGATGTGGAAAGCGAGGATGATCTCTTCGAGGATCGGGAACCAGGGTCTTTGCCGATTATCGAATTGCCCACGGGGGCACCTCCAATTCAGTGGGCGCCGTCATTTGCCTCGAGAATTGCTCCAGCGCCTGTCGACCCTGTCTCCAGACACCCCTTCATGGTGAACAATCTGCGGGAGTGGCATGGACCGTCGAAGCAACAATACGCCTTGATCCGCCTCCCAGGGCAGACAAAACCTATCAGAAAAGATATTCCAGTTAAAAGTGCACCACCAAGCAGTGGTGGTAAGTCACAACACCGGAACGGCGGAAACTCCGGCGCGTCGCACGTAGGTAAACGCAGCAGAAATCGAGATGGGCCACGGGTTCGACAGGCATCCAAGACGCACTGAGATATTACTCGGAGAAGTTCATTTCGGGAGAAGAAAGTGGGCGGGAGACGGAAAATGAGGCTACGGGCCGTCAGAATTGTTACAACAGCATTTTGTGGAATGGGATGTGAGGGTATCTCCCCATCACCATGCCGCAGAGGCAGTCACACCATCGTGCTTGTTTCCTGTATTCCATGCTTCATGTGCATATTTCGGGCATTGTAATACCCAACAATGCCGCGCCGGTGCCCTTGTTTTTTTTGGGGACACACAACACTGGACTTTTAGTATGGTTTTTTTGTTCTTTTTTTTTATCTTCGACCTTGTCACAAATACGAACACGGGGTCAAGAGGGCCAAAGCGGACCGTCAGAGTCTAAGCAGTAGTGAGGTACACACTTCGCAAGCACGGTACTCGCACGGGAGGTGACCTGTCTCTCGTTTTCGAGTGCCGCTGCCAAACCTTCGATCGGACTGGGGGATGGACTTTTCTGGTCCCTGTGTTTATTGCTTTGTGTTAGGCAAAGCGGGATAGTGAGTCACTACTCCCCGCGAGAGAGAGAGAGAGAGAGAGAGGAATAATGGGCACGAGTCGAAAAGTGACCATGTGAAGCACGGTTCCATTTTTACCATCCAAGAAGGATCGTGAAGAGGGGGCCAGGGTCGGGGGTCTGATTGGGGTTTTCTCGATGCTGATATCAGGTCTTGTGTGTCGTGCTTGACTGAGGCCAGGCCCAAATATCATGGCGGCTCTACCCTCTCACCGTCTAGTTCCCGCGAAGCAATGAGAAAGGAGTTTTAAAAACTCGTCTATCTTGTATGACGAACCGTGTTACCCTTTTTTATTCTTTTTGAGTTGATGTTGATTCTGTAGGGTTTCGTCCGTTGTCGTGTCGAGTTGTGTTGTGTGCCACCCGTGCCCTTTTTGATTCTTTGCTCTCTGGAAAGTTCACAAAGGTACAAGATGCCATCATATCATATTTTGTAACAGCCGAGTTATTATATTCCAGACTATGGACTACTGTCAACAAAATAAAATACCCATTCTATGTGGCAGGGGTGACAATAGATAGATATCTGCGTCCGTCGAAACGCAAGTCGAAAACGCAACTCGAGGGCGTACTGCCTAAGTACCTGAGGAGGTAACTGACATGTTTGGGTATAAGGAGAAGCATTTGGGGATCGTGGATGCAGAGGCAACGTCGAAAGTATCCCCGCGAGTCATGACTTGTTCTGGATAGGTGAATAAATTTGCGGGCACCGGTGAACCCGTTCTGGTGCCGGTGCTGGTGCCGGCTTGACGACAGTCAATCCGATATTGAAGCGAACCTGCTAACAATGTACTCGTCTCGTCGGCTGGGACCGGTTTTATGGCTTTGGAGAGAGGAGTTGGACGAATTCTTCGTCTATACCCATGTCGAGAAACAACCCAACGTCAGCAAAAACAGCGTTCCTTGATCAAGACCGAAGGAGAGGAGGTACGGTGGCAAGAAAAAGAGAGGAAAGACAAGTAATAACGCACAGTCTATGGATCCATTGTGATCCTTGTCGGCTTCGCGAATCATCTCGTCGATTTCGGCGTCGGTGAGATTTTCACCAATGGACTTCATGACTTGACGCAACTCGTCGGCTGAGATGGTGCCGCTGCCGTCCTTGTCGAAGACGTTGAAGGCGGCGCGGGTTTCGTCGGCGAAATGGGTCGCTTTGACGGTTGTAGACATCATCTTGAGGAATTCTGCACCCAAAAAAGGTTAGATCAGAAGCCCTTTGAACATGAGGGAACGGCAACGCGGCATCTGGGGGGAAAGGAAAGGAAAGGTGCTCGCAAGAAAAAAATTGGGCCGTACCGTCAAAGTCTATGGCGCCTGAATTGTCGATATCGACTTCGTTGATCTAGAAAGAGATCCGAGACGTCAGTATGGCATAATTCACAGACGGAAAGGAGGAAAGAAGCAGATCTAAACTGACCATATCTTGCAATTCAGAGTCCGATGGGTTTTGGCCCAAAGAGTGCATGATTTCGCCAAGTTCAGAGGCGGTGATGGTTCCTAAACATAACCCATATGTCTGAGTAAACGTGGTCCGTGATAAACAATGAATAGGCGGGCGTGTAAATGAATAAGATGGAAACAGCGCCGGCATGTGACGAAGAGCAACGATTTGGCAGCCTGATGACAGAAGTTGGCTAGCCCGGACGGTCGAAGACTTACCGCTGTTATCCTTATCCTGGAGTAATTGTGAGCCGATGATGCGAGATAAAAATACGAATGAAACCAGATAATTGATCATGAATCAACTTACAAACAGTGCAAAGACATCCTTGAAGGCCTTGATCTCTTCTTCGCCGAGCGGTTGAGCAGATATAGGAGTCTACAGTACAGCGTAAGGTGCGCTGCGGTTAGCTGCAATTCGGGGAACCAAATAGCGTCGTTTGAGCCGGGGAGAGGAAGAAACGAAAATTGGCGGGGAAAGGAATGTCTGGGTCATCACTGAATCTGTGCAAAAAGTGAACATACCATAGTGTTTCGAGACTTGGGGGCACTGGAAGTCCTCGTATCGATTTGAGGAACTGTAGGAGGCATAGCGAAGGAGAAGAAAAAGGTAAGGCGGAGGGGTTTGTTAGGCCGAAAGATATATAGTGGGATGATTTGTGCACACGAGTGCGATGATTGAATAAACCACAAAAGTTCAGATCAACTCAGGATAGGCCAGGGCCAGTGAGGCTGAAGAGCTACTGCACAAGGGTTCGTTTGAGGTGTGCCTGATGCTTGGTCTTTGGAGTCTGGATTCGGGCGTTCCTTGTTTCGCTCTCGCTCTCGCCGTCTGGCTTCTGATCGAGTCCTGCAGGGGGCGTATGGTGTCGTGCGTGTGGTGGTGGTGGTTGTGATGTGTTGGCCGTTTGAGACTCGCCAAGGCGTCGCGTGCTGTGGTACGTCCGTCGGTAGAATGCGGTGACAAAAGTCCTAGAGAGGCGAGTGTGTATGAACTCGGTAAGAGAGTCGAAAAGAACCTGGACCAAGAAAGAGCACGAGCTCAGGTTGCAGGATTGGGGGCTGAAAATGATGAAACGGGGGAGTTGGAGTTGAAGAATGGAGGGGTAGTCAAGTCTCTTGATACTTGGAATTCGTATCCGTAGGTAGGTTTGGTGAGGTCCAGTACAGTATCGTACTAGGTAAGAGTAACAACAGCAGAGGTTCTAAGCTTTGAGCAAGCTAACTAATGCAAGTTACTCCGTACAGAGAGGATCCTGAAGAGAGGGGACTTTGGTACAGAGAGGGAGTTCGGAGTACGAGACGGAATGATCACGTCAACATGGAAGAATAAGTCACGTGATATTCCCCTCACATACGAATACGAATGCGAATACGGAAATCACACGTGACGCTATCCCATTTTCAAATGACGTCTATATTCGCACCTGTGGAGTCATCGGCGCAGAGTCCGCAGTGCATACGAAGCGCACAGTACGAGAGTCATGAGATGAGACAGAGCAACGACTCATCGCACAACACGACACACTCATTGCTAAATCCTTGCATGGGACAACACTTCCAATTCACTCATTTAGGATAAATTATCACACGCTTCTTCGATTCGGTATATTTTGATTTGTCCGGCTTAGCCCTCCTGTTCGTGGTGTGTCCACCTCTTCGAAAAAAGTGCCTCAAGACTCATTCAGGGCTCTGGCGAACTTCTGGATATATGTCAAGTCGAGCACCCCTGATACTTTCTCGCTCGAGTCTTTTATTTCCCTCTCGACATACAAGAACAAACACGAGGACAAGAGTCGTCATCACCACAAACACAACGACAAGCACCATTCCAATGCTACATCAAGCCATGGCGACCAAAGCAGACGCCGGTGAGTCTCGGCCTCCGCAGAACCATAACAAATTGATATGTAAGTTTTACACGAGTCAAAAGCTCATTGCCAGAGCAAGGGCAATCAATCAATCAATCAATAACATCCTTACGTTCCATACCATTCCCAATCCCACATACAATACCATTTGAAAATCACGTACCCAGCTGACACTGACACCTCTTCGCGCCCGCCCAAAAAGTCGCACCGGGCGAAGCACCAGCACTGCCGGACCCTGGTTCAACGTCCACGCCCGCGCCGTCGCAGGCTGCTCAATTCTCTTTGTCGCGCCTGCACCGCTCCGACCTCTCCAGCGACCCGTTCCTCCAGTTCCACAGCTGGTTCACGCATGCGCAACTGCGAGGCAGCGTGCCGGAGACGGTGACGCTCTCGACGGCGTCGTTGCCCTCTGGCCGCGTGAGCTCGCGCGTCGTGTACCTCAAGGAACTCGACGAGCGCGGGTTCGTCATCTACTCCAACTTCGGCACGAGCCGGAAGGCGGCCGACCTCGCGACCAACCCCCACGCCAGCCTGTGTTTCTGGTGGAAGCCGCTGGAACGCCAGGTGCGCGTCGAGGGCGTGTGCGAGCGCCTCACCCCGGAGGAGAGCCAGGTCTACTTCGACACCAGGGCCCGGGGGAGCAGGATCGGAGCGTGGGCGAGTCAGCAGACGAGTGTGCTCAAACCGCTGCCGTCTCGACGGGAGGGGGAGCAGAACGACGACGACGACGACAACGACGGTAGGCTCGAGTTGGAAAATAGGGTCGAGGAAGTTTCGCGCCGGTTCGAAGGCCAAGAACAGATCCCCGTGCCGCCGTTCTGGGGCGGCTTGAGGATCATTCCCGACGTGATCGAGTTCTGGCAAGGGAGGGAGAGCAGGCTACACGACCGGTTCGTCTACACTAGACAAGCACGAGATGGCGGCGAGTGGAAGATTGAGAGATTGAGTCCGTGATACGTGATGACCTATGCACATCGACATCAATGACAATAACACCTAACAACAACAATGATCATCATCATCATCATCATCATCACCATCATAATAACGCATACAATACTACCGAGCTCCCTGAAGGTACTTGAGTCAAAGATCCATCATCCGACACCCGCACATACTCAACGCACGGAGAATGGGCTGGGTTGGTAACCTACCTACCTCCCTACCTACCTACCTACCTACCTAGGTACTCGTCAACTCGGCATAGTCGGCATTCATTGCCTCTTGCAATTTTAATAGTCAGTATTATGAGCATTCTTCTTGCACACCGGTACACAACTACCCGGAGACCTTCTCTACGAAAAGACCACGCGTCTGCAAAGATCAAACCCAGTAATTTCACGTTAAACACGAACAACCCGGACACACGAGACGGAGTTTCACATAGACACGTCGAGACGATAGAGAGAGATCACGTAAAACCAGACAAGAGACAAAAAAAACTAGGTAGGTAGGTTGGTTCTTTTGTTTCAAAAAGAATGTTCTGTTGAATATTCTTAAATCTTCTTCATCAGTCCTTGCCTTGCTCGTCTGATACAGCTTTACTCAACTCTGCCGGCAAGGCAGGCCCAAGGCAGGCCCAAGACGTGTAAATGTAATGTCCGCCATCTCAAGGACCTTTCCCATCGGATCCAGACAATCACCCTTCACCTAGATCCCTTCTAAATTAGATTGAGTGGAGAGTTTAATCTTCTGTTGGTACATGGCAAAAAGAAAAGCCACAACTCCCACCTTTTTCCAAACCAGTCCTTGAAAAAACAAATGGCTCAATTGCTTGCTCCATTCAGCGCCTCCCGCCATTGGAAGTAGCCGAACCATTTTCAAAATCCTGGAAACGCCAAATGCCATGTTCATCTCGTACGTACACATGCGCTGTCGAAAATAACCCGCTGAGCTAGACCAGAAACGCCGAGGCCATCGAACTACATTTGTCCATGGCTTCTGCGTTCTGGGTATCGTTAACACATCACAAAGGAGAAACAAAAGAAAGAAGCCGAGGCAAGCGAAGCTCCATTGCCACACTCGGTGATTAAAGATGTTCTGCTTTTCGGAAATTGAATCAAGCAGTAATACCGCCCATTAATGCCATCACTTTCTCGGTGACCGCCGCCGGATACCCTTTGCGGAGCATCTCTTCCACAACAGCATTTGCACTGGTACGGTCCTCAGCAGAGAGAAAGGCTCGCGTCATGGCTTCATAAGTGCTTGGTTCACGTTTGTCGCTGCCAAGCTCATTGTAGATAGCTTTAGCCTTGATAATGTCACCTTCACTCGCCCATCCGTGAATGAGAGTATTGGCAATATAAGGAGTCATCATGACGCCCCGGCGTGACATATCAGCAAGGACCTCTGGTGTGTTGGCAACCTCATGATTGGCAACCATGGCCTCCAGGAGATTCTGGTAAAGGGTGTCAGTGGGTCGGATATGGCGATCTTTCAAGACAGTATCAAAGACAGCCCGGGCACCCGGCATGTCATGCATGACACAACCTTTGGCATGAATCAAAGCGCCGTAATGAACCGCTTCAGGCTGGACCCCAGCCTGCTTCATCTCGGCTAGGGTGGCTTCAGCCGCCGGGAGGTCGACTGGTTCAAGGGACGCGTGAGCCTCGATCAACAGTTTATAAGTGTGAGAAGTAGGCTTGATATTCTTAGACTTCATGCGTTCGTAGTATTGAAGGACTTTGCTTCGATCGCGCTTGGTGTTGAGGAAGTATTGAATAATTGAATTGTAAGGAGCAGGCCGAGGTCGATAGTTTGGTGCTGCCTCCATCTCGTCAAACATGTCAACTGCAAAACGCTCTTCGCTGGTTCTGCATAGAGCATTGACCAAAGTACCATAAGTGACTGAAGATGGCCGGATGCCTCGTCCTTCCATGTCGCCAAAATAACGGAGACAGTCGTCGATGCGGCGAGCCTTTCCGAGTTTGCCGATGACCGCATTGTACAGAAATACACTGGGAGCGACCCCCTCGGACAGAGCACGTTGGAAGATTTTAACAGCTTCGGTGGCCTCGTCAAATGTCCCCTCCAACGTGGTGATGTAGATGCCGAAGGTATTCGCTGATGGAGCAGCTCCCATGTCGAGGAGTTCCTGGTGAATTTTGGCCGCTTGCTGACGGTCACCAAGAGTCAAAGAGGCAGCGATCATGGAGTCCAGGATTGAAATCCAGCCAGCCCGGACAGAGGGGATCTGCAGTGACATCGGGACATCAGAGTGAGCCATACTCAGGATCTCGTTCATCAGGTTTGGTTGCTTCGCCTTTCCAGCCGCAGTGATAAGTTTTGCATAAGCGGAATAGTGAAGGTTTCGACCTGCACGACGGATGTTCCTCAGGCGAGACATACCATCACTGAGATGATTCTCAAGACGCCCGGTGGTGCTCTCGACCATTTCTGAGATTGCCTTGGAAGCACGATAGTCGGTCGTATGCGCATAAGGGTCGTAGGAATCTGGCTCAGGAACATGGCCAGCGAATGGCACGTGAGGGGAGACCGGGGACGCTTGCAGTGAGACGGGGGTAGGAGCGGCAGGTTGGAGCAGTTCTTGCCAGCGTTGCAGGAGGTCAGGCCGAGCAGAAGCTACTTTTGGAAGGCTCTCGCTGACCACATGCACTGTGGATGGATCCATGAGAATGCCACGATTCAAAACAGTTTCGAGCAGGTGTGAGAATCGGGCCTGGTGTGCGATGTCAAGGGTATTCTCTGTAAGCAGCATCTGTGCCTGGACGTGCAAAGCGAGGGCAATGTCTTGCGCGTCAAGCTGGTGTACACAGTCCGGTCCCAAGCTGGCGATGGCATGCTGGGCAACAGGTGAGACAAGGCCGCCATTCTCAATCATTGCTCGAAGCATGAGGATGCTTGTCTGGGAAGAGATAGGTGTATGGGCAGTCCCAAGAGCATCGCCGAACAGCAGGATGGCTTCATCGATTTCGGCAACTGCAAGTTGACGGCTAGCCTCCGAAGTCGCAGCATTTCGAATGCGATAGAACATTGATCGAGCTTCGGCGATGGCTGCTTCGATAGAACCATCCTTGATCATGGCCAGTGTGTACATTGTGGCAAAGTCGGGGTTTGGAGAGAGTGCTAGAGCGCTGGCCTTGTTCCAAGTAGCCTTCGCCTTAGCGATATCGCCAGCTCGGATGTGCATGGCAGTGACGGCCATGACGGGCTCGGCGGTCAAGTTCGCAACCGAGATGGCGTCGAGACTGGCAATGGCTTCATGTGTACTGCCAGCATCGGCGGCCGCAGTGCTGACCTCGGAGAGTGCTTGATCACGGACAGCTGGCTGCAGGGTGAAGTTGTTGATCTCTGCAAGTGCCATGGAGAAGGCACCGTTGTCGATATGATGCTGAACCAAGGCTTTTAGTACAAAAGCAGCTGTCAGGTCATCAGAGAGCGGCTGTTGGTTGGCAGAGTCCTTGAAGGATTGTAGAATTCTTTCATAGAACCGAAGGCCAGTCTCCCCCTGTCCAGCAGCATAGTATGCCTTTATCAAAGAAGCATACACTTGCATGTCTAGTGGGTCGTTGACAGCTCTGCTTATGGCAATGTCGCGATATTGTTCGTATACTTCGTGCGCAGTGTGAATGTCTTGTGCCGAGGCGTGTGCATCGATAACGAGGGTATACAATCGAGAGTCGAGACGGATGTTCTCAGCCTTCATGTCTGACAGAAGTACCTTCATCGGCTCAACCATTCCCGCTTGAGCACAAGCTCTGACCAAGGCATTGTAGAGTGGTGCGGACAGGTGGAAGCCAGTGAGGGTCGCGCGTGCAATATTGTACAGCTTGGTGGCGAACATAAGTGAGGTATCGGCTGCATAAGCTTCCAATTGTCTAGTCGCGGACGGGAAGACAAGAGCGCCTTCGTTGCCATATCGAACAGCTCTTTCACCGAGATGTTTGCGGACTTGGTAGGCCTCGAGACTTCGAATTGCTAGAAAATTGAGAAGGATAGTATAGGAAGCAGCATTGAGTTCCACAGAGCGCTTGGTCATGTCACCATAAACCTCCAGCGCTCGTGGCCATGGTTGATATCCATTGGTCAGATTGATGGCAGACAACAGGATGTGATTGTAGGCGTCGACTGTGGGAACTTGGCCGTCCTTGATGATGGCCTCGAACAAGGCAGGAATCTCGGCATAACGGTGTTGCTGGCCAAGGCGCACGATCTGGTCGGACAGAACAGACTCCTCGGAAGCGAAAGAAGTGGCGTCGGTAGACAAGGTCTGCTCAAAAGACGTAGAAGTAGACTCCAAGTCGGTTGCAGTCAGCTCCGGATCGACGGGTGAGACTGCTCGCGTGCTGACAACTGGACTGCCAACATTTTCCTCCGGAGCCGGGGCGGCTTCAAGCTGTTGTGTATCTTTGACATCCTGTATCTCTTTTGCGATGGCTTCATCAACCTGGGCCAATGCCTCCACTTCCGCAAAGACCTCATCCACCGCCTGTGCCGGTGCCTGTGGGACGATTCGGTCGCTGGTGGTACGAGATACGGTCAGTCGCACAGATGGACGGAGGGCGTCGACAGCACGGGTTGACTCGAGCCGTTGGTACTTTGTAGCTCCCGTCTTCTCTTGTTCTTTCCATCCGATCCGTCGGGCAAACTGATGTTGCTTCCATTCTGAGTCATCGCCTGTCTGTTGTGCATGCTGCCAGGCTGCGTAGTACTGGGCTAACCCAGGATCGCCACCGGACGACTGAGAAGTATAACCAGTCTTTGCTCCGGCACCAGAGCCAGATGGACTCGCAAAGGCATTTTGAAGTTGGGCGGTCTTTGAGAATTTGGCAACGGGGTAGTTCTGAAAGGTTCCTATCGACTGGCCAGCAGCAACGACGGAAGGAGCATAGGTATGGGCGATTCCCTTTGCAAAGCTGACTCTTGCAAGATGTGCGAAGGGCTTGAAAGGCATTTAGAAGACTGCGAGACAAGGCCTCTTCAAGAGGAAGAGGGTAGTGGGTGAAGAGGGAACGAAGGTAACTAAGGCAGGTTCATTTGACGACTCGCAGGCCGCCAAACGAACGCGCTGGGCCGAGTGAGGCAATGATGGTTGAAGGGAAAAGGCTGGTGTTGTAGACACTCGGAGGGGAGTGTCTTTGGTCGTTGGTTGACTGATGGCTGGCTAGGAAAGGAGGATCATGCAACGACGGTAGCGAAAGACGTGTGTGTGAAATATCTTTTGTCCGCTCGAGCGGTTCTCGAAATGGCACGTATTCGTAAAAAGACCGTGCCTAGTTCAGCTTTAGTGCCTGGCGGAGATAATTGGGAGCGTGCTCCGGCGGTGGTGACGGCCTTGTACAGGAGGCTGTGGGCAGTATGGAGGATGCCTGCAATGTCAGGTGGTCCACGGACGGGAATCTTTACAAAGCAAGGAAGAGTTAGGAAGCCGTCGCAGCCATTCAGACGACACAGTCCCCGTCGACAGACCCGTAGAAGGACATGGGGCGATCGGGAAGATGAGGGATTAACGTTCATTTCCACCATGGGATTCCGAAGACACGCTGTTTATTGGCGCCGCGATCGTCACTGTCAATGCCCGTGGCCCCCAGAGCGATATTAATTTTCGTCCTCTCGGTTGACGATGGAGACTCCCTGGAAGCGGCCTTTGCTCCCCGATGCCAATGAGTGTACGGATTCAATATACTGTATATCCTAGCCTCGCAAGCTCCAGTCCCACCGGCCACGAGGCTCTTCGGAAGGAGATCAAGCCATCCTCCGTCCCGTACTGGACTAACAACAATCTAGAGAGATGCATTGTCCTTTGGATGACAGACGGGCTGTCTTGTTCAGGACAACATCGACTTCCAACTTGGATTCAAGCGAGAGCCATGGGCTCGAAACCGAAGCCGAAACACTTCGTCTACCAAATGGAAAATACTCATCCTCTTTTAGAGAGGACAGAGAGTACCGACACGAAAACATCTAGAGGGATCTAGTTGAGGTACACTAGGGTACCCAGATAGGTATTGGAAGGCAGGTAGTCAGTCAGGTCAGCATATCCATCCACGCCGACGGATACCACCGTCTTCTCAGCCGTCGCCTGGAACCCCGGGCACAGGTACGAGTACGGGCACTGGCAAGGGAAGCACGCGCGGGGCCATGGGCCCTAAAGCCACGCCCAGCAAGACACACATGCCGCTCGATGATGTCGGCGCCGAAAAGAAGCCCGTCATCCCCTGGTCGCTCTATATCAAGTGGCCGAGTGGCTGAGGCAGGACTCAGTCAACCCCTACCCAAAGTAAGCGGTTAGTATGGTATCGCACCTCAATTGTCTACCAAAGGCAGTCATTCTAGCGTGATACAATGTAGATACCCTGTTGCGACTTTAAAACAGCCGCCAAAACAATCTATTTTTCATTGTACATGCAGTATTATGAACAACTTTGTCGGAATTTTGCGTGTACTGGCTGAGCTGAACCCGAACGGATCCCGCCACCGCTGCATCTGTACATGACCAACCCCATGGTTACTTGAACACATCCCTCGTTTCAATTGAGTAGCCTGGAACGCCTTGCTAAGCACAGTTACATGTTCCTTCATATAGTTCGGCCTTCGATTGAGCATAAGCAGTTCCTGGAGAAACGCCTCCTCTTCAGACCTCTTGCCGTTCGAAACCCGACTTCCAGCTCTCCCAAAGCAAGCGTAGGAATCTGACCTCCCAAAGAGCCACCAAGGCATCCATCTATCCTCGTGGAGGCCAGCGCATTCCGAAATAGAGGAACTAGTCCAAGAAACCGTCGCCAAAAACTTGAAGCTGGAAAAGTCGCACGACTGTCAACACGCGCAACCATCATCGGCCTGCTTCTGGTTGTTGACCGCCACATCAATGACTAAAGCATGCAATCAGTACTTCGGGTTCGTCCTGGCTTTCTGGTCTGCTTACCTTGCGGATTAGGTTGGGTCTGATCTTCGCCCTCCATCCCTGGCAATGCCTGGGCTATTCTCTTAAAAAGGGCTTTCACATTATGTCCGAGCTTAGCACTCGTTTCCATGAAGATGGCGCCTGCTCTTTTGGCCTCTTCTTCACCTTGCTGTGTGGTGACCTCTCGCTTGCTATCACCCAGATCCGTCTTGTTGCCGACCAGAACCACAATCACATCGTTGCCTCTTTCACCGCGAACATCGTCTATCCATTTTCTCGTCTGTTCAAAGGTCTTCTTGGACGAAATATCGTAGACCACAACGGCGACTGATGAGTCTCGGATGTATGACGGAATGAGCGAGCGAAATCGCTCTTGGCCGGCCGTGTCCCAAAGCTGTAGTCGGACGGTGCGGTCTTCTAGGTACATAGTCTTGGAGAGGAAGTCGATGCCGATGGTGGCCTGGTAGGTCGTGTCGAAGGAATCATACATGAATCGCGTGATGAGAGACGTCTTGCCGACTGTATATCAAGTGAGCGTGCAACTCGTGCTGAGGACTTTGAGCTAGCCATACCACTCTGTTCGCCCAAAAAGACAAGCCTGGTGTCCGGTTAGCCATTTTTTGGGCCTGCCTCGAGGCATGTACACACTTGAATTTCTTCAAAGGGTTCGAATACGACCCTACAGCGCTCTGCGCCATGGTTGGGGATGGTCTATGACGGCGCGGGAGTCGAGGGTTCGCGACAACGCAGCTGACAAGTGTATCCAGAGAGATGGAAGTCGGTTTCGGAGGAGTACGGCTATCGCTAAGTCATGGCATCCATGAACGAAGAATAATATTACGGTTCGAAGACGGAATAAGGAATAAGGAAAGTGGAAGATACTCTAGGATGGCAAACAATCAGTTGAGTCTCAGGGACACGAAATTAAGCCCAACGGCAACTGCGGTCGAACTGGATTGAGCCTTGGATGTGGATTCGATTCGACACGAGGTACTTCGTATTCCCACGTCGACTAGTTACTTGGTATGGAGGAACTGCACAGTGTCTCTTTTGGACGGGACGCTTCTTGCCCTATCGGACAGCGTGTTCCTTTCGTTTGCCTCCAGGACCTCACTGGGTTATTCGACCTCTGCACCATGATTTTCCTGTGCCTGTACGGAGTAAGGAGAGTGTGATAACTCAGCCACCACCAAACTAATGCAAGTCTCTTCCTCCCTGGGTAGTCAGTGTCCACCCCCGAATGCGCCTTTGCCGAGAATCGTGACGCCCGCTGAAAAACCAACGATATCACGTGACGTGTTCTACCCTCGCTATCCCGACCCAAAGTCGTCTGTGCAGGTAGTTTCGCGTAGTCCAGAGTTTCCCGGTGCTTCAGACTTCTTTAGCCTTGAAGAAGTGTCAACTCCTATGGTGCCATTTCCATTTCTACCTTTCTACGCTTTAACTATTGTGCCTCAACAGTCGGTCTCGTACATAATTGGCCGCCTCAAACAGCCATTGCTCCCCATTGGCTGCGCATAAAGCAGCTGAATTGGAGAATCCGCCCGTCAAAAGAAAATCGAACGTCTGCTGCGTTCATGCAGAGGGTTTGTTCAGAGGACATGATAGCACGGTAACCATGCGAGCATCATTCGCGCTGTTGAAGCGCTCTGCTTGGAAAGGTTCGTCGACTGTGTACAGGACTCGTACCGACTGATTCCAGACCGCTGAGATTCTTTGTTCAGGACCGAACGTGGTGCCCTTCCCGAATCTCAAACCTGCCGTCGCCGGCAAGACTCCCCCCGTTATCAAAACCCAAGCTCGAGCAGCCTCGATATTACCCGCTTTCGTCGGATTGCGGTTCGCCGTCCACAATGGCAAGAACTATCAGGAAGTCTACATCACGGAGGAGATGGTAGGAAGAAAACTGGGAGAGTTTGTCCCGTGAGTAGCTATTCTACCGCACCGCTCGATGATATCGAGGCTTTGATCTGACAGTTCGCTTCAGGACGAGAAAACGTTTCACATACAAGATGTCCAAGAACAAGTAGAACACATCCCCGATATTTCATGTACAACATCATTATCCGAGTGCGCTACCTACCTTTTCCAAACCGACGAATTTACTCTACCTGTATATAAAGGATATCAAGGGCGTACTATAGGTGGAGCTTGTGCTCAGAAGCTGCAAAAGAGGCGCAGGCTGTTCAATTACCGGTTCAAGCTTTCAGATGCGTTATTATGACGAGGCCATGGGACGATTAACAACATCAGACCAGGTTCTACAATACCCAATCCTTCAAATGCTCTCCGTGTCGACTCTATGACTCTGGCTTTGGCATACTCGGTACACCTCGATCGTATTCGATCCCTGACTAGTTGCATAGTCCAGATTCAGTCTACTATTATGGGAACAGAATATCTACATTGTCTAAGATGGCTTGAGATGCCTCTTGTCGGTCCATTGATCCGTCCCCCGGGACGCTCGCTCGCCTTGTTAGTAGCTTTGATGGAAGTGATTTGCTCAAGCAGCGTGGTCAATGCCGAATCAAAAGTCCCTTTTTAAGGTCGAGATTTGCTGCCAGAGTTGTCGAGTCTCGTCCATCGTGAGGCCAAAGCGCTTCTGCCAAACCCTGTCCTGGTTCTGTAGATACGAGGGGGATGGAGTTGCTGGTCACGGTTGGCCTTTGCGCCGCCTCTACAAGCAGTAGTTGGTTGCTCCCTGATATTGATTCATGGGGGGCGGCCAGCTGGACAGCTCAGGTTTTTATTTGACGTTGTAAAGAAAACCTAAACTGCCCCGTCTATCTCCTCGACAACATTCACAGTGCGCCTAGAGAATAAACCCTCGATGCCATGACAAAACAGAAACCAGGACAAGGCAGGCGTTCTTAGCCAGAGGGCCGGGATATACTGAATCCCGTAGTTTAGGGGTAACCCATGAATATCACCTTTAGGAACCGATATGGTGAACATTGTTTCGATAATGCAGCTGTTCGCTCGACGCGATCCATCACACCGCCGTCTGCGCAAAACAGCCAGCCTCGGCTCTTGTTTCTTTGGGCCGACGACCTAAGCGATTCGGATTCCTCGAGGGGCTGCCGTTCTCATATAAACCTTTCCTTCCAGATGCCCATGCTGCACTCTCTCATGTACGCCTTGATCACCGAACGTATACATCCGTTCTAGTCTCGCCCATAGACACGACCAGGCTTTCCTCGCTTTCATTTAGCAGACCTGCCAACAGAGTGGCGATAGCCCAAATCGAACGAAGTCAATCCAGCGCTCCAATATTCTCATCAAGCAAAGAATGATTGTTGGCCGGCCACTGACTTCTGCGCCACGAGAAGAGCCCCTGACAAATGAGCTTACCAATTTGTCCTCGATCTGAGTAGGTCCATTTTTAGTTTTCGCTCGGACGATCTCGAAGATCCAGATCGACAGAGAGTCAAGTGAGTGCTGAGCGTACGAGATACGAGTCGTTCACGCGGCCATTGTGTATGAGGAGAAGATCTCAACACAATACGTCGGCCCAGGTAGACTGCGTAACGTTGACTTATATGCAAGTTTTGCACTGAAAGTCTGTGCACAGACCGAACAAGCAGAGAATGAGCCTGTCGAAGTATAACATATCAGTACAAAGATAAACTGATGAAGCCGTATCAGTCATCGTCCGAATCATAATCACCTAGGTTCAGACCAATTGGTTTGGCTGACGATGTCGTTGTTGTTGTTGTCGTCGTCGGCGGTGCCGCCGCCGCTGTTGTTGCCTGAGGCTTTCGCACGAGTCCTGGGACTAGAGGTTTCTTCGTCTTCTTAACCCGTTCAAAGGAAGGTGGAGGCTGTGGAGTAGTGTCCTCTTCGGTCTTCTTCGAATTCTGTATCTGGGCCTCGGTCGCTTGCTCCAGTCTGGCCTGAGCCACTTTATTACTCTCAAAGGCTCGACGGGCAGCTTCGGCATCCTCTCGCTCCTGCGCTTCTCTCTGTTCTCGTTCTATATCTCGGGACTGGACAAGGATCTCCTCTTCTTTACTTCCTTTTGCGCCTCGCTCGATTCGTGCGTTTCTTTGCATGATCTCGTCCAAGGCATCAGCAACCTGCATCTCGCGTTTGCTCTCTTCCATTTTCTCCTCAAGTTCTTCCATTGCATTCCTCTCGGCATTCTCTGCCTCTTCTGCTTCTTCCCTCTCCAGCCTGTCCAGGCGTTCTTCATCTGTCTCTTTTAGCTCTGTGCTCTCCGGGTCTCGCCATGACTCAAAGTTTCGCTTAGCCCCTCTTTCGCAGGTGTAGTCCATGTTCTTGGGGTCGGTCTTGAAAGTAATTTCGGAGCTACAACGTGTGCATCGAATGTAGAAGCGATAGATGGTGATGTTGAGATACTTTTCGTCGGTCGTTTCTTTTCGAGCATTGAATTTGCGGCCTTTGTAGATGTACTCGCCGCAAGATGTACATTTCATACTGAAAGGAGCCATCAGTCGAACAGGAATGGTCTTCGGACCTGTTGGCCGGAGGTGTTTCGGAGTGCGACCGATCTTTGTAGGATCAAAGTCGGGCGGGTAGTATTTTGTGAGCACTTTTCGTTCCGACATGGCGAAAGGCTGGCAGTGTTGACTTGGAGGAACGGAAGTAGGTTAGAACTGGGAGATGAAGTGATACACAAGGCGTTTGGAACAACGTCTAGGGGAGTAGTCAGAGTGTAGATGGAGGAAGATTCTGAGTGAGAGAAATGTTGCCTGGTACTTTCGTTGATGCGCCGCAGTTTCCCCCACATTGTCGCCTCCCGCTAAATAAATCGTGGTCGCGCCTGGAATCAACAACAAACCCACGTCAACACTGGACATTACTTGATATTTCAACACTGGCCGCCGGTGCCGACAACCCCTCGCTATCCTGGCCTGACTTTGCCTCTGGTCATGGATACAGAACACAGGCTTACTTAACTCCTCTCACCTCCCCCACTCGACGACATGGACAAGTACCTAAGGGCGTGGAGACAAGATGCCCTGAACAAGGGCCAAAATGATGCTGCCATCTACATTGGTGACAAGGTCCTCGCCTTGACGAGTATGTGAGTGTTGGGCATTCTAATCCGGACTCAATGTTGACTGGCTCCAGATAATGACTCCGATGCGTTCTGGCTGGCACAAGTTCATTTTGGCAACAACAACTTCACGCGTGCCCTTGGTCTGCTGTCCAGGAAAGATCTCATAGACCGAAGCCTGTCGTGTCGCTATTTGGCTGCGCACTGCTACATCAAGCAAGGCCGATATGAACAGGCTCTCAATATCTTGGGCGAAGACAACCCGACCCATCTGGTGACGACCTCTCACAATGCTCGGAGGAAACTGGCCCATATCAATGGACACACCTCAAGGAATGTCACGCACAGAGGTGTCAGAGCTCAAAGGGATCGGATTGAGCTTAGTGAAGAACGGGAAAGAGACAGAGAATCTGAGAAAGAACTCAAGTTTCAGGCTGGCATGTGCTATCTGCGAGGCTTGTGCTTTGCTAAGCGGAATGCCTTTCACAAAGCCAGAGAGTGTTACAAAGATGCCATACGGATAGACGTCCAGTGTTTCGAGGCATTTGACCAACTTATGAAGAATTCGATGCTGTCGCCTGCGGAGGAATTGGCCTTTTTGGAAGAGCTGGATTTCGACTCAATCCGCATTGATGATCAGTCGCTGGCCCAGGAAGCCGCACATTTCACCAAACTACTCTACACCACCAGATTATCCAAATACTCTTCCCCAGCCACGCTGGCAAACGCTACTGAGACCCTCTCAACTCATTATAATCTTGCCTCTAACCCCGACCTACTCCTCACCAGAGCTGAAACACTGTATACCCAATGCCGGTTCTACGATGCTCTTGCGATCACGACCAACATCTTGAACTCACAAGACAGCTCAACCAGTGCACTAGATGCCTCCTCGGCGAACACGAATGCCTCTCTCGGTCACAGTCCACGTCTGTATCCCCTTCATCTTGCCCTTCTCTTTGAAACAGGATCGAACAATACTTTATTCCACCTATCCCACACGCTGTCAACGCATGCCCCTCACGAAGCCTACACGTATCTTGCTATTGGTACCTATTACCTGTCAACTTTTCGAATAGCGGAAGCGCGTCGTTTCTTTTCCAAAGCATCTTTGATGGATCCCCATTCCGCCCCAGCTTGGATTGGCTTCGCACATACCTTTGCCGCGGAAGGTGAACATGATCAAGCGATAGCTGCCTATTCGACTGCAGCCCGACTGTTCCAGGGAAGTCATCTCCCGCAGCTTTTTCTCGGAATGCAACATCTTGCACTGAACAACATGCAGCTGGCTTGGGAGTACTGCCTAGCCGCTTTTGAGATGAGCAGCGGAACCGTTCAAAGTGGGACCGAAGAGGAGTTTTCCAATAGCATCTTCAACGGCACCACTAACCTGGGCGGTGATCCTTTGGTTCTGAATGAGATCGGCGTCATTCTATACCACCAGTCCAACCTTCCAGCCGCGGCAAAACTATTCCATAAAGCCTTGGAACTAGCTTCAGATTTAGGCTGTAACATGACTGCGTGGGTTGCAAGCAGGGCCAATTTGGCGCACACTTTGCGTCGTTTGGGTCGGTTCGAAGAGTCGCTCGCCGAATTCGATGAGTGCTTAAGAATAGCGACAGGAGGAGCGGCCCCAGCTTCGGCCTTCGAGCCAGGCAGGGGCACGACAGCTTTTGCCAATCTTAGTCTAAATGGCACAGGTATGGGTCTCACTCCGAGTGGAGCAGCCAGTGGTTACGATGAGCGCAATCTCATTGGGAGCATTCATACGAGCAGGGGCTTGGTTCTTCTCAGCATGGGCGGTCGGACAAGAGAGGCTGTCATGGCCTTACATGAGGCCGTCCGAGTGCTCGGAGGTGATGCAGGCGGTGGTGGAGTGGCAGGAACCCTACTTACTCGAGCAATGGAGTATTGGGCTCTCGAGGAGGATCTTGAAATTGACGATGAAGATTCGGCCTCGCAACTAGAGTCTGTCGTGACTGACAAAGCAGCTTTAAGATCCAAACGCAAGGGCAAAGAAGTTGTCTCTACCAGATCCGCCACGTCCACGAAGGGATTGAGTAACGAGCGTCTGATCGAGCAAAGATTGGATGGTGATGCTGACGACATGCTCGATGCTGCTCTGGGAGCTGTGCGAGAATGACGTGTTCGCAGTGATTGGTTGGCTGTTCATGTCACCCCTTGACAGCGTCCCGTTGGATCAAAACTTTGGGGTTAAGCTGCAAAACATCACTACCCAGATATAATCACAAGGTTTTGAAGATGTTGGGTTGGATATTCGAGGCCTCTGGGGAGCGGACAGTGGCAAGCTGCCGGAGTCTCCCTTACACAGGGCCCTGGAGGGTGTCGATGACATTTACTGTAACATTACTCGGTGACGGGGCGTATCAGGCATAGAGAAGCGCCAAAAGGATCAATTGGAAGTTCGGCAGATTGCGATGGTAGCCTCTCACGGTTGAAGCCATCGAGTGTAAATGAAACCAGAACCATGCATGCCTTAACTATGTAGTATGACAAGCATCACCTTTAAGTACCTATCCAGTGACTTCTCGCACGAAACCGTAGACACTACAGCGCATGCAGCTGCACTACTGTTCATCTGCAGATGAGATGAATTGAAACATCGTGCAGCTCCCTGATGCCCAATGTTTTGACGTGGTGAGGACCAGGCTGACCACCTATTGTCCATACATACATACCCACCGACCCACACTAACTAGTTAACTAGTTAACTAACTTGGGCACCTCGAGCCTCGCGAAGGATGGGAATATATATAATCATCTTTCTCAGGCGGGATAGTCGCAGCCCCCTACGTTACAACTTTAGTTAAAAATTGACTTTCAACGTACTCCGTACTTCAACAACGAGAGACACAACACGAAGAAAGACATGGCCGATATAGGCGACCAACATATTTTTGGACAGGGATCATTTCGTCGTCTACATAGGACCTTGCGTAGCAAAGCAACGCCTCCCGGGGTCAAGATACAAACAACTAGAATAACCCGCATGTACATCCTTCTCCTTTTCTTCTTCTTCTTTTCGTACAGTTGCCGTTTATCCGTCAAGCTGGTGATATGGTAGGGAAAAGGCAACCGGAACTCCTCATGGTTGTCATCTCTCATTGAGATACGAACTTGATAAAACTTTGAAAAAGAAAAAGAAAAAGAAAATAGGATATACCACGATAGAACACAAAAAAGAGCTTGTGACGAACGCTTTCTTTCCTTTCCCATTTTCGACCTCTCTCGCATAAACGCCTATTCGTAAAGCATTCGTTAATTAGTGCATGTCCCTCGGACTCCCTGGTCCCAGCATTCAAACGTCCAAGCTGTGACACCACAATATAGCCATCGTTCATTCCTTCGCGATCAAAGCCAGGGCATCCATAACCCATCCATGGAACTGAGCTTCATCGGATCAGTGGCTCGGCTCACAAGGTCGACCACGTTCTGACAAGCAGGCAAGACTCCTGTAACGCCAGCACCTTCGCCTCCTGCAGCACCCACAGTTCCCTGTGTCTTTGACAGTGCAAGAGCCCGGCGGACGATGAACTCGGCATTCTGAGCCACAAGTTCCCGCAGGTGTTGTCCTTCCATCTTGGTGTCGTTCGAACTATTCGACCGCCCAGCAGCCCAGTTGTACATTTCATCCCGAACAAAGATGCTTAATTGCTGTTCCATTTCATATCCTTGGTCCTGCTCGGCCAGACATCGAGCAATGGCCATGAGGGAAGCGGTGAAGATGCCTTCGACCGCCAATGGGCCCATGAGTGTCTGAATGTTGGGACTAAGCCTGAATGGCACGGCTTCAGGGTTGTAAAAGTACGCTCGTGCCGAGTTCAGGTTAGGGAGCAAGTCGCTCGCCCAGATGTCGCCTGTCGACCGAGAGATGGAGAACTTCATCGGGTACCGTGCCGACATATGCATGATGTAGGTCATGAAGGTCGTAGCAGCAAATTGATATGCGAACTGTCGTCGGAAAAGCCAGAGGTCTGCGAAGCTAGGATAAATGTCCTGGAAGTATCGTAGCGCAATGGTATTCGGCACCCATCGCTCTTGGATGGTGTTGAAGATTTCTGTCTTCATCACAGCCACTTGATCGTGAGTTCTTGGCTGAGTCTTTTGTTGTTCGGCAATCGTTCGCGACTTTTCGAGCAGGAACAACATCGGGTCGTCTCGTGACATGCCTGGGGCCTTGCGAACATAGTCCTCATAGACAGACTGCAAGGTCACATATGAAGCATCGTCCTGAACAAGCCGGATATAGGGTGCGATGGGCACAAATATCGGCAGATGGAAATACAGATTTCGCCGGCGAGATTCCTTGCGCTTGGCCAGCGTCTGATTAAAGATGCGGAAGAGCTGGACAATGCGTTCTTCTCTTCGAACTTTGCCACCGGTGGGGTGCTGCACAGCAAATGGATGCAACGAGCCGTCATGGCCACGAATCGTGAGTCGTCGATGGCAGATACTATTACCTCGAACCAGCTCAACTGTAGGCATGAAGCGCTCGATGCGAACAAAGTCAGTGTTTTTGTCTTTGTGCTGCTGATATTGACCAGGCACCTCGACCGAATCGTCGAATTTGAGAAACTTGAACTCGCTCAAATGATGACTATAGGCCTCAAGGGCTGCCCATTGTTGACGGTGGTCGAGTTTCTGTTCAAACTTGTCCCTCCACCGTCTCAGCTTGTGGATGTACTCGTACATTGTTGGCTTGGTCTGCACGAAATCGGCTTCGAACGACTTGCGGATGTGGGCGGGAAGAACAGAAGTGACGAAACGTGCAATATTTGCTTCTGTGGAAGGTGGCAATTTGGCACCCTCAGCGTAGGTGATCGGAGCCCTGCTGATGTATGCCAAACCGTCGTTGAGAAGCGCTACGATAAGTCGATGCGCATCCTCATCCGGCGGGCACTTGAAGTGCTTTGATAGCTGGTCGGTCATGGTCTCCATAGATAGAGCAAGTAATGGGAAAGCAGTCTTCAAGCCTGCCATAATTTCGTCTGTGTGATCCCATGGTTTCTTGGGCTCTTCTTTAGTCTCAGCTTCGGCCACACCATTCACAGCCCCACTGGCCTGCGCATCGCCATTAGGCTCTTGCTTCGGCTTTGGAGATGCTGATTCTTGGGTTGCGGTTTCACCATTTGCAGTTCCTGGCCGGGAGCCGTTCTCCGATTTTTCGAGCTTGTCTTGGATAGCTTTTTGTTGTCGCTTCTGAGCCTCGAATTGCTTCTTTTTGGTCAAGAACTCCTCTCTTGTGGCACGCAAATTGTAGAAAAGTGCCTGCGGAAACGCTTTGGCAATCTTCACCAACACTGATTTCGCAAGACGCGCTTCCTTATGCTCCAGACTACCAAGCAGCTGAGGGACAAAAGTAGTCCAATACCATACTGGAGTCTCGCCTTTGAAGTCTTCGAATGCTTTAGCAATGTGGCCTTCTTCGTCATCGAGACTAAGCAACCATAGCACCCGACTAAGCATCTTCCGTGACTTTGCACTCTTGTAGAGACCGGCAGCTTCGAGATAGCAACTGACAGCGTTGCTCGCAGCCTCGATGAGGCTAGGGTTCTCTTTGAATTTGCGATCAGAGTACTGACCCCATTCCGCCCATGCCTTTGGCAGACGCAGATCGTAATACAAAGCTACGCCGAAGGCCTCATTTGCCTCTTCCGCATGTTGAAGCTTGGCCAGGAACATACCTTTGAGCGTGTAGAACTCGGCTTTTTGTTGAGCACCAAAATAGTTAAGGTTGGTATTGTTAATAACGTCCAAACCGTTGTTCAATTCGCTCTTGTTCTGGTAATGACATTTTGCCTGTTCCCTGAGTTTGAGGAACGCCTCCTGGATTTCGATGTTAGGCAGAGTGTATATCTTGCCTAGTTGGTTGATGCAGACATCTGGCATCTGGTGTTTTCGTGCAACATGTGCGAACTTGTTAATTATCCAAGCAGTCTCGTGGTAGCCCCGGAATGCATACGAGTTGTTTCCGACGTTGTTACCGCCTTGGGGCAGAAGTGGGAGATATGTCGAATTCACAAGTTGAAACACATGCTGCCGCCACGTGACGAGATCTTGCCATGCGTTGATGTCGTCCCAAATGTTTGGTAATCGATCTCTCCACGCCTGCAACAGGAGCTTGACTTCTTGTGATTTGTTATCCAGGTTCCGTTCGTTGGTTGACATCAAGCTATCGCAGATAACACTCGCATCGTGAAGTTCTACCAGTTGCTGGAAATTCTGGAGTATAGGTATGTGGGCGCCTGTGAGCCGCCTCGGGAGCTGGTGCCACTTGCGGATGGACAGTTGAATTGCTTCATCACAAACGTGCTGGAACTCGGCGCGGGAGACTTGCTTAGAGTTGTACCGCAGCAAAGCCATGAACGCTTGGAAAAATGTACGCCTTGGAGTTGGGGCATCTGACACGGACTTGATCATTGAGTCCAGCTGATTGCGATTTTCGTCTCCAGCCCAAGCTTCGTAGTTCCTCCAAGCAGATTCCAATAGGAGATCGCTGAAATTCTCATGTTTCGCGAATTCCCCAAGTATGTCCCATTGTTGTAGCTTTTGCGCACAAATCATCCAATGGTCCTCCCACAAGTAATACTCTCCTTGGGAGAAGGGAACAACACCGGTTCTTGCTTTGACTTGGGCAGCCTCCCAAAGTTGTTGCGCCTTTTCCCACATGCCATGTTGTTCGTAAGACAAGGCTGCGTTGGTTTCCATGAACTTGCACCTACGTCGCCAGGTACCATAGAATAGGTCATCTTCTTGAAGACCAGCGTAGACCTCGATCAAGGCATCCAGATTACTTTCCCGAACCTGAGGTGTATCAATAAGAGGATCCACGGTAGACTCTTCCAGAGAGACCAGCGCAGTATACCAAGCATCATATGTTCTGCTGAGAAATTTGAGGACGTGCGGGGGTACCTTAAACCTCGGTTTTGCCCTGACAGCACCTTCAAGCAGCGCCTGCACCACATTGGGACGTAGATTGAGCTGTCTTTGGTGGTACTCCCTAGTGAGAAGTGTGACCATCCCCTTCTCCAGGTCAAGGCGCTCGTCTCTGTTCAGTGCGGACCAGCACAGCGGAAAGAGTTTGACCCAGACGTCATAAGCCACATTGTCATCCGTGTGTTGAAGCTGGGTGATCGGATCAAGGAGATCACGAACTTTGACTTCTTGAATGTCTTGGTTGAAACGACGTTGCGCCAGAACGAGAGCTTCCAGACTATCTTCAATCAGTAGATCGTCTTTGCCTTGTTCTGGATTTACCAGGCTCGGACTGAACAGACTGGACAGAGGACACACACGAATATCCTCGGGATGAAGTCGTGCAGGCATTGACATCTCCACAGAGCCCATGATCAGATGTGAAGCTTGCTTCAACCAAAACGAGTCCGCCAAGGTGTCCCAATTTTGCAGAGTCAACACGTAGTTCAACCGATAGCTGGCCGTCCTGGACAATGCCCGGTTGAAGATGTTCATGAATCGGTTGCGCATATCCACATCTGTCGCCCGTGTTCCAATGAGGAAAGCATGCTCCAAACGGACAGTCAATTCTGTTCTCGTTACCGTTGGATCTTCATAAATCTTGATCACCAGTTCGAGGAAGCGCTCAAGAAGAGTCTGATTCTGCCACTTCTCAAAGATCAGCATTTTGTGAAGTACAGCAGTCTTTTCCTTCAATGTTGGCCAAGGCTCGCTCGAGTTGAACACCCATTTCTCGACCATATCCAAGACCTTTCCACACATTTCAACGTTGAAGGACTTCTCAACAAGCGAAGCAAGCACACTTAAAAATGGCCGTCTCTGTTCGTTAAGTTCTCCCATGCGCGAGGAGAGAATATCGATGGTCTTCTTGATCAGATCCACACCAAGGGCGAACTCGTAAGGATCCATGAGCGGTTCACCCATGCGCCAACCCGGCGGCGGTGGTCCTGGTGGTATGATATAGGCGTTGATATGGTCCTTCGCAAGCTTTTGCTGCAACGCTTTCATAGCACCAGCGATGTGATCATCAACTTCAGCAGGTCGCACCACTGAAAGTGTCCATAAGTTGTTGATGGCTGATGTATAGTTGCCGGATGATAGAGCTTCTCCAATGAGCACTTTTGAATAACGTGTAGGGAAATCAGTTGGGTTGGAATCCAATTCCATCGTGTCTTCATCCTCGTTTCGTTGTTTGGGGATTGCTTCCAGAACTCGACGTACTAAGGGAAGTGTTTTGTCGTCATCAGTGACAAAGTGTAAGCAATCTTGGATCTCTGGATCGTCCATTTTAAGAGGCTTCTCGAGGAGATTCTGGATCTTTTCCATGTGGTTGACGATCCATTCGTCTGTCTTCGTGCCCAATAAGATGCGCATGACCTGTAATGTGTTGATCATGCAAGTCAATTGCTTCTCATCTGCCTTGTCAGCCTTTTCACCGCTCAGGATTGGATCAAGAAGCTTTTCGTAGAGGCCAACATCGACGTCTGCCCAAAGATTGGGAGCCAGAAGGTCTCGAAGTAGTTGGACGGCCTTCTTGCACATCTCGTTCGGTAGAGGCTGTTGCTGAGCTTTTTGCATTGTTTTAGCCTTGAGTTCCGCCGCAGGTACAGGATACCTTTCGAGTAAGGATGTGATGAACGTAATCATGTATTTCACAACAAGAGTGCGAAGTTCTATTGGGATTAAATACTCAGGTCTCTCAGCGGTCGAAGGCGGTGCCAGGTTGGGAGTGCCTGAAGAGTCTCGCTTTCGTGATGGTGTCAACTCAGCATTGGACTGCACTGAAGAGCCCTCAGAAATTCGCCTGGACTCCCACTGATGGATCAAGCCAATAAGAGACAACGCGAGCTTTTTGTTCTCATTTGACGGATTCGGAGGCGGAGCGATCTTATGCAACATTTGAACGATCGTGGGGATGAAAAATTCTCGTGATTCGTAGAAGAGGTCGGGCTGGCGGACGATAAAATTGAAAATGCTCTGAACTTGCTGCAGGTTGCCGGTTTCTTCATTCAAGATCTTCCTTGGAAGGCGCGCCCAATGAGGAGCTCTATTGTCACCGGGCGCGTTTGCTCCCATCCTGACAGGCAGCACCGGTGCGAGAACTTCCAGTGCCTGTGTCACCAACGCTTTGCCTTCGTTCTGGTGGGCTTTCAGCAGCTGATTGTAGACTTGCACAGCAATTCTTGGAGGCGTATCGTAGGCACGAATGAAATAGCAAATGAGCACGTATGCCGCATATTTGTTGATCACGTCTTCCAGTTTGATATGTCCCCAGGTGTATTTGATGATGTCCTTACGATCTTCAGACACTGCGTCCTTGTGATACTTCAGAATGAAAGCAGAAAGTTGCAGTGCTTCCATTCGAGAGTGATCAATGCCTGGTTGCGATGAATCCTCGCTGTCAAGAGCTAAAGGCTTCCACAGACGGTCGGAAATTAAACTGAACAGTTTGGCGTCGCTGAGGCTGCCGGCTTGATTGTTCTCACGCCGAGTATTCTGGAGGTCTCTCGCCATAATCGGATTAACGACATTGTGCAGGAGGAATGTTTTAACTTTCTGCGATATTCCTTTTTGTGCGTAAACTTCAAGGCATCTGTCAATGACATTGAACCGTCGCTGTGTCGAATCATCTGTAATAACGGAACCAAACAGATACTGCGTTAACTTGAGCGGAGTCTTGATCTCTCCTTGAGCAGACGCAGAAAAGACTTCCATCATGAAGTCGAGATCTTCAGGCGCGGACGAGAGATAGGAAGTCAGAATGTCCATTACACGATCACCTGTTTGTTCGACTCGCAGTCGCTGTTGAGGTTGCAAGGTGTCCGCGCGTAGTTGACCCTCTAGCTCTCGACCTGCTGATAGCACTTTCGCACGAAGCTGGGGCTGTTCGCGCAACCAGTCTTTAGCAGCGTCAAAAGAGCAGATTGAGTGGATCACGTAGATACCATTGATTGCTGCCGTATTTCCGTCCTGGCCCTCTTCAGTCTCGAAGGCGGCCTTGGTCAAGGCTTCGGATTCGGTCATGACAAACTTGCGTAGATTGGCACTCAAGTCGGAGGCTAAGATCTGCCCGAAAAATCTTCCATACTTCTCTTCCTGTAAGCGTGACGAGAAGAAGGCCCATGTCTCTTGCGGATATTTGTCCAGGTAAAGAATGAGAGGCTGGCGAAACGGACTAGCCACAGTGCGGCGCAGCTTTGACTCTAGATCTAGGACGCTGTCCACGAGATCCGCCATGAAGCTCGTAGCAGCCGAGGGAAGAAGATGAAAAATATTGAAGATTGCAGTCACAATCTTCATCTGCGGGTTCTGTTCAATCAAACCAAATGAAACCTTTTGGAGGAGCTGCTCTTCTGCGATGACCTTCATGTGTTCGAGAAGTCGTGCACCTATTTCGACTTTGAAGTAGTTCGTCAACAAGGTCAACAAACGAGCGAGGCCTTCGAGGCCAGCAACAGTAAGTCGCTTCGAATCTTGTAAATTCATCAAAATGGGTCTTAAACCGTTCTGCAAAAGATCCTTAGGCAATTTGGCGGTCTGAACAAGGACCTTTTCCAATCCCGCATTGGCAGCATCGATGATTTCGGGAGATTTCGAGTACAGCAGCTTGAAGAACACAGTGATGATTCTAGCGCGACTCGTGTTCTGTGGCCCAGTAGCAAAGTCCGGTAAACTCATCGCCAATGAAAGGAGTTTGAGACACGAAACTCGCAGATTAACTATGAGCTGGGCGTTGTTGTATTCATCGGGTTTAGGATGCAGGATTTCGGCATCGGCATCCGCAAGGGCCAGAGACTCCATCATCAGGCGGTTCAGCTGGTCGTTCAAGGGAACAAAATCGTGGCCGAGCCCGAGGCAGTAGGTTATGGCATCAATGAACCCAGTTTGTGATAAGAATGGCAGCGCTCTGAGTGGCTTGTTGAATATAGGCTGCAAGAGCCTCTCTTTGACCGGAGCAATCAACTCATGGACGTCCACACCTACTACTTCGGCCATCGTCGAAAAAGCGCGTTGTGCAGTTTCTCGGGCATGCTTGTTCATGTGCGAAAGTTCAACGCTGAACGTCACGGAAAGTGCATGAATAGTGCTCTTCTCATTCACCAGCATCTCCCGAGTCTGTCCAACGCAAACTTTTCGCAGAATGAACTCGAGAGTTTCTTGAGCAGTAATGCGTGTGCTGGCGGGGAACTCCTGCGGAGTATCCTTGATGACAAAAAGGAGTGCCCTGATGATTTCAAGCTGCTTGCTGTGTAAGAATGCATTGCCCAACGCGAGTTTGGTGATCACCAGCTGAATGCTGAGAGTTGCACCGGCCTTGGTAAACCATTCGACCTCGCGACAGCGGTGACAGAACGTCGAAATTAGATGTGAAAAGAATGGGAGTCTCGCAGCACGCTCCTCACTACCAAATATGGTTCGAGCAGTGTCGACAATTACAAGCAAAGAAGCCTCTGCAGCTTCCCGGATAGTGACATTGTCCGAAGCGAGACAGTGGCATATCACATCAGCTAGTGTTCGAGTGCTAAGATGTACTGCGCCCTCCCCTGAATTGACATCGAACTCTTTGGTCTTTCGGCCTGCATCACACAATGCTTGTCCTAACTCGACGATTGTGAAGTGTCGAGACACGTTTGTGATGAAAGATTCGGCTTGAGACTTCAAGTCGGGTATGGTTGTAGCAGCGAAACAAGCCTTGAGTAACTTTTTGAGGCTCTCTTCTTGTTCTCTGCGTTTCTGGACCGATTTGCCAAGCTCATTATCCGCCAGCATATCAGCATATGTGGAGAAGCGTCGAGAGACAAGGTCATTGGCTTGAAGCCGAAGCAAGGCCGCAAAGTCGTCAGGAAGATTATCGAATCCAATCAAAAGCTTAACCTGATTCACGATCAGCTTGAACGATTGCTGCTTGTAATAAAGATCCACAGATTTCTTTGACGGATTCTTGGCAGTGTCGCTCAGTCTTCGGATGGCGAGGTCAACCCCAGTGTCGAGAGGAAACGCGCGATCACGGCTAGTCTCGATAAGTCTGATATCGAAGCTAGGCTCGTCGTCGGTATACCGTCGGTAAGCAAGCTCATGAGGATGGTTCAAAAACTTCCTGTTTCGGCCGCCGAGTTTTCCAAGTATTCTCATAGTGGTATGAGAATGGAAGTGCTGGTAGGGCTGTGGCTGGAGGTGCTCAAACAACGCCGCCATCAATTCATCCATGATCGGCGCCATGATGGGATCTAGGTAATCTGCGGTGAGATTATCAACACAGAGCTCGAGAGTACGTAACCCCTGGCCAACAAGATCGGGTCCAGCCCGAAGTGCAACAACAAGGGGCCTCATCAGATGATTGAGATGCGGTAACAAGTGACTGAGTCTAGCAGGTACGGTCAGCGTGAGCTCGACGTACAAGTCCCTGTCATGAGGATCTCTTGCACCCTGGAGCAGGTGATTGAAAGTTTCTAACAGCATTTCCAGCAGCGGAAGAATCTCCTTGTACAAAAGTTCGAATCGGCCACCACCAATACTCCTGAAGAGGGAGCGCAACAGGATGAAGTAATGGATGGGCTTTTCAGCTGTGACACTCAGCTGTACACATTGTGTGATAATCTTGGTGATATGAGGCAGGAGGACTTGTTCATTATGCGTTGAAAATAGCGTAACCGCCATGAAGGATAACTTGAACATCCGTAAAAGTATCGACGAACGGACTATGTCGGAAGAACCGACCTCGGGAAGTTTGTCCATGAGATACTGCAACACCATCCCTGCAAATGCGGGAGAAGTTGCTTCACTGGCCAGGAAAAATTGCGGTAGGTGAAGCAATGCTGTGTGTTCGAACATCAGATCGTGCAAATAAGGAATCTCAGCCTGGAACACCTCATGGAATGTCGCAGGGTCAATACAATGGAACACCGTCCCGAAGCTCTCCAGCAACTCCTTTTCCTCACGAGTCATTTGCGCCATGGAATGGCTTGCCATAAAGTCGACAGGGGATGAGTATTGCAGATCAGGCGTTGGAGCTTCGGCACTGTAGTAACGAAACACCCGAGCACCTTCGTGAAAAAGCTTGGTGATCACACGTGTCTCCTCAGCGTTGTAACCAAAAGAAACTTCAGCCCAGTTCATAGGTACACTCGCTTGATCGACATTGAGCCCAGGAGGGTTGCAAGTCTTGAGTTGGTAGAACATGTTCTTGAGCCCGTTGACAAGGTTCTTGAACAAGAACTTGTTATCGACGACAGGCTCAGCACCGCGATCACGGGGATTGGATGTTTTGATAGGTGTAGCGTTGAAAATGTCTACCTCGTCCCAGTCTGGAACTTCGTTCTTGTCGTCCATATAGGATTCGGGCTGTGTGTCCTTGGCTTTTTCGATGTATTGCTTGCTCAGCTTGACGGCATTGTTATACTGGTAGTTCATTGCGGCAAATTTGTCGCCTATTGCATCGAGGATCATTATGAGGAAGTACCGCGCATCTTCCTTGTTCTCCAATTTGGTGATGCTTTCAGCCATATTGAGAAGCAACTTAGCGCTCATAGTCTGAAAGCTCGTGCCAGGGAAGTTGTCATGGAGATTCTTCGTGTAGACCTCGATCGTTTTGCGGATCTGATTGCGATCGAGTGAATCTCGGACATGATGAATAAGATCGGCAAGCATGCTATACGCCAAAGGTCGCATCGTCTCGTACACCGTGAGTCCGTTGCCAATTAGGATACGTTCGTCCAACAGCTCGTCAATCTTGTTCAAAAAGACTTTCCTATAGTTGAAGTTGATGATGTGACGGATCGCAACAAGTAGCTCCTTCCGGGCTCCCGACTTCTCGCGTGGGCAGTCCTTAAGCAGGCGAACCACGATTGCGGGAAGAGAGGGCAGGAAATCAGTTAATTGATTTGCGTAGACCCTCAGCAGGTATGCCAGGAAACTCATGGTCTTCACCTGGGCGGTGATAAAATCCCCGAAGGCATTTCTGTTCTTGATCTCTCTGCTAACCCCCGTGAATATTGTCTTGTTTGCGGCAGCTTCGGCATGTGCTCTTTCCTGTGGTTTCGCCTGTAGTAGGAGTATTCCCTTTATCGATGGCACAAACTTCTTGACATTGGCCGGGACGGAATTTCGGTGCGCCTGGAATATGGAAACCACGATAATGGGACACTCTGAAAGAACTTTAAAGGACTGCATACCCTTCACCAACGGATGTTGCTCCCTTTTCTCAGCACCTGGGTCAGATACAGTTGTTGCCGGAGATCCAGGTCTCGGTGATTGTAAGTTCTGGCCAGGGGGAATAGGCGTAGAGGAAGATCCCTGGGAATGAGGCGCAGGGGAGTCGAAGGTGTCACGAACAACCTGATCCATCATTTCAAACATTTCTTGAATCAGATCAAGGAACGGCTGGACTTTGGAGGCCGTCGCCTGCTGCTGGTGACGCTCCAGATCCATGATTGTCTTCAAGCAAAGAACTGCGTTGTCCTCGTTTTCGACTCGCACCAGCTCCATCAATGTGTCAACCATGTCCAGCGCATAAGGTTCGACTTCAGGCGGGCCATGCTGGAGTCTGTAGAGGATCTCGAGGATCTGATTTCGTAAAATATGTTCGAAGGAGAAAGGATTGAAGTCTGGTTTGCCTTCGAGAATCTTCTTGAACACAGGCCATAGTTTGGACAGGAATTTTGTGAACAACGCTGGCGGAGAGCACAGGGTCTCGATGGAATCGCGTAGATCAGTGGCTATATTGGCCTTCACTTTCGTGTCTGTCAGAGCATGCGAGTTAACATAGTTGTACACAAGTGTGACTGAGAGGAGGACTTGCCTGTCTTAGGATCCGAAAGCCTGGCAGCGTAGTGATCAATCTTTTGGGAGGCGTCCATGTTGCAAGATGATACTGATGGCGACTCTGACTACGCCAGGTAGGAGAGTGATCGAGTATGGACTGCGCCGGAATCCCGAGGCGTCTTCATAAGGGCTCGAGACTCAAAAGACCCATCTGCAGTTGGAAGAGGACAGAGAAGAGTCGGGGTAGTGATTGCGTAGAAAATGCTGAAGTCGGGGATTAAGATTAAGTAGAAACAAGACTCAGCCAACTTCCATTCGCTTCAATGAAAAGGAAAGGGTAGAAATGGGCGAAGAGCCTCGTGGCTTGCAGGGAGCCTTGATATTGCCTGGACTATTGCAGAGTTGGAGATGGAGAGGAAGAATCGCATCGCGAATGCGGGAGAGTCGCGAGCCAAATCCAAACTACGCTATGTCGTGAAGGGAATAGTACACTTATTAGTCATTCAATCCAGCCACTCAGGGCTTCAAAAAAAGAAATGTGTCTGACAGAGACATGCTCAATCTGACCAACCAGCTGTCTAGTCTCGAGTACAGTGACAGGGTCACAAGCATTTTATTGTTGTCCGTCTCCCTTCCATCCTCGACAGGCTCGTTGTTCACCACAATTGTCCAGATTCCAGTACACACCGAAAAACAGGATCCCGATACCGTTTTCGTGGCGACCAGATCGATATAAATGATCTGTGTAAAACGCAGTCGGCGCGGTCTAGCCATGATGTTGATTGTCGTGTGCTCGGTAGCCTCTGTTTTGAGATGGACACAACCATTGCACTTACGTACGAGGAATAAGATTCCCTGCAACAGGGATTGGCAATGCCAAAGGATACAAGCTAAGGGAGTGTTACGGGTTTAAAGCGGTAGATGAGCACTTGTGCAAAAGACCTCGAGTCCCTTGTTCACAGGCATCTCTACGGCGATAGCAAGGTTGTTGGTAGCAAGAAGATAATTTTCGTGACAGGTATCGCGCAACTTTCTCCTTCCCATGAAAGCGTGAATCCCTCTGGCAGGAATGGGAAGCAGTGAGTGCACCCTTGAAACCCCTGGAAATAGCAAAGTCATAATGGAAAAGTCTCCATCTCAGTCACACACCGCCCACATCATCCAGGATGCATTGGCTCGGGAAGCACTCCATTGACTGCATTGCTCGTTTCTTCAATCCGAAGAGGCAAACACGCAGACCTCCTACTCTATTACTTTGCAACCAATATTCTCATAAGCCAACGTAGAATATTCGCGTCATCAGACATTGTATCAGCCATCCGCGGCAGATAGCGCGGAATGTACACAAAACTCTTGAAAAGTCAACCGCTTGCTGACATTGGCATCTCAAGATCCAAAACAGATTGTCACAGTCAAGGCGTCGCCTTGGGTTGTAGGAAAATCAATGGGATAGCGTGCTTCCGTGTCGTGCGGCATGATGCACGGTTCGGTGATGGACATCGACTGAGCCGCTCGAATGAGTCCGATGCCGTCGTGGTTTGTTTTCCGAACCACTGTTAGACCTCCGAGACCTGGATTGCCCTCCATGTGAATCTGCTCGGCGTCTCTGGTTACTCGGGTGCTTGTTAGAAACAGCCATCAAGGTCACTAAAATAAGATGATGGTCTCTTAGCCAATGGAAGGAAACTAGGGGAAAGGATGAGGAAGAAAGGAATAAGATTTTGCAACCTCCGATAGAAGATTTGATCCACATACCGATGATGGTTTGGTTGCTGACGAATCATCGTGCAACTTGAGAGCATCGAGTCTCTCTTGGTTATCTTGTGTAGCATCTGGTTCGACCTCGTTTGGGGCGGTTGTGGACGAGATTGGCTTTTGAATGCCTGCCTTCATTTTGTTGGCTTGCTCAGTGAGCTTATCCCACTTAGCTTGGCGGGCCTTTTCACGGTCGTCGGCGGTATTCTGCATTTCGCTGTACCCATGAGAACATTCGTCGAACAGTTGGGGATTGATCTCCATGAAAAGCTTCATCGCATTGTAGACCATGCCATGAATTGTCCTAGGTTCAATTAGAATACATTCATCGCCTCACAGCACCGAGAACGTACCGATTCCAGTGGCCTTTAGAGTTCTCATAAAGAGGTGCGAACATGATAGGCAGGATTGTCTCTACATTGTCGCTGACGAGATTGCAGAAGTATTCGTTATTCCAGAAGTACAGTGCGCGTTCTGCCACCTAAAAGCTGTGAGTATTTATTCACTTGGAGTGATCGTGATCATACTTGAAAGTGAGGACTAGCCACCGACTTGGCTAGTTGATTGAAAAGCGGCTCTTGAACTTTGGCGAATTCCTGAGGGTCCATGACCTCGAAGATGTCCTCGACTTCGTTCAAGAACATCACCTCCTTGGTACTATTCGTCTTGGGCCAGTAACGAAGGAGACCGAGAACCACCTGAAAACATGGTTAGTAATGGCAACGGATTCTCGAACAGTATACACTACCTCTTCTGTCAAGGCGGCATCCTTCTCCAAAAATTGCACAATGCAATAGGCCAATTGCGGATGATACATGCTGAGGCTTTTTACCTTGTGCATGGGAAGCAAAACCCTTGTTAGGAACAGCTTATGTTCCTCTTTAAGGGGTAGAGCAAAGCCATTGATGATTGAACCCAGTATTTCGAGTAGCTCGGCTATGCCATTGAACCTCTCTGTCTCGTAGGTAAACTGGAAAAAGACATTATTGATAGACCTTCTGATGTAAGATCGAAGGTTGAGGAATTTGCCGTAAATGCGGTGCAGTGTGGTCTTGAGAAAGTCCCTTTCTCGGGGGTCCTCCGAATCGAAAAGTTCAAGTAGTTGAAGGACAAAATGGTGGTCAATGTATGCCTTTGCGATGTTTGTGTTGAAATCTTGGCTTTCGATGAAGCGTAAGAAGAACTCATAGACCACCTGAATATGGGGCCATGCCACTTCGAGGACTGGCTCGTCCTCTTCGGGGTCAAATGCTTCTCCTTGTGGGTTAACTGGGGGCGGGACTGGGCGAAAGAGATTCTTGCTGAACATTTCGACCACTTTGGGGTACATGGGCTCCGTGATGACAGATCTGTTGTTCGCAACGTAATCTAGGAGCTCGTGCAGAGCAAGTCGCTTGATCTCTTTCGACTTCATGTCTGCAGTCTGATCATTGAAGTCAAATATGATGTTGCACTGATCGATTTTCTGCATGAACAATTCCTGCCGTCGGTTGGGGGGAACTTCATGAAAGCCCGGGAGTTTCTCGAGCTCTCGCGCTCTCTGGTCGGAAACGTCGAAACGAGAGGAATGTTGTCGCTTGGGTGTTCGTACGCCTTCTGGGACATCCTTCGGTGTAGTCTGCAGTCGGTCGAAGAGCAACGACTTTTGGCCTGCCTTTGGCGGAGCAAGATCACCAGGCATGGTTTCCGTAGCACCTGGTCCCGGTATATGAGGAGCACTAGGGCTGATTATCACGCTGGGTGGAATGTGAGCACCCTGACGTCCAGGTGTGTTGGGCCCATTAGGGCCATGGCCAGCACTCTGGGATATGAAATGTTGACTTCCAGCTCCTGTTCCTTGGCCATGTCCGGTATGATGCAGTGTATTACCATGTGTGTTCAACCCGGCTTCATTATTGGATCCCTTCCCTCGGACATCACTGACATTTGTGGAGGATGAGTTGGGCGTTGCCGCGTTGGAGGTGTTTGGGGATCGGGAGTCGGCGCCGGGAAGCGTCGTCGACGAGGACACGGGAGACGCGGTTCCTGAAGCAGAGTCTTTCTTTTTGGACGATTTGTTTGAATCTTTCGCTCTGGATAACTGCTCGTGCTGGACATCAGTGAGCTGGAGCACAGGCGCGGGGAAAGTGTAGCCCGAAGGAGCTGATTAGGAGCGGGAAAAACAACGTCGAAATACATACCACTCTCTGCCTGAAGCCCTTCATGTTGTCGGGGTGCCCTAGACTTGTCACTAGACTGATGTCGTCCACAGAAATGTCGCAATATCGCGCCACCTCTTTTGACACAAACGAGACAAGCTGTTACTGTTTCATCCGTATGAGGCTAGGTGGAGGCCGAAGATGATGGGCTCGAGGACTGAGACGGGAAGAGCCCGGTTGTATGGATATGCGGCGTAGGAGGGACTTTGTCAATTCCTCATTGTAAGGAAGCAGGTTGCGGGTTAACGATTCAGACGACGACAACAACAACCTTGGACTTTGGAGGTGAGATGGAATGAGCAGAGGCCTGCAGAAGGTGTCGCGAGAGGTGCAATAGGAGTGTGTTGACGTGTGGTGTGTTCGTGAGCCAACGACAGTCGAAAAATTGTCTTAGGCGTGTTCCAAGTAAGTCGACGCAGGGCTGATCAATGCAGATACAACAACATCCATTTGAGGATTGCAATGTCGCTGCAGGAAGGTGGTGTATGGGCGAGTTCAAGATGAATGATCCAGTGAGTGCCAGGAGAGGATCGCAGGCTGGCTTGGTTGGTGGGGGCGTTGAATTACAAGCGACCACTGAATCACCAGAAACACGGCGGCTTAGAGGTCACGCCGTTGTTGTTAGAGCCGCTAACAACCGGAGGAAGGCTAGTACAGACCTAGCAATCCGCCAAGACATATACCAGTGTCATCAGACTGGGCGGATACCTGCTGGGACATCCTTACATTAGGTTGTCAGTCTCAACGGTTGCCCACCTGACGCAGTACGATAGAACACGCCTCTCCAAGGCCTTTGTCATGAGAATTGTGGTGAGGATTCACAACTGACGTGAAGGCGACACTCCCTCGGTGGCAAGGCGCTGATAGATGATATGACAGCCACATCCCCAGCAGTTCAATCATAAACTGCAAAGGAGTCTGAGATTTTGTCTCCAGCTCTCGTGCTGGATATGTCTCATCCAAGGGTAGAAACAGAACCAACTCGGAGGTATCGAGTGCCATCCACGTCTGTGATCTCTCTTGAGCATCCATGCATCGTACGAAACCCGGAGAAGGCTGTTCAGATGGTGGGCGGCCCCAGCGAGATTGCCCAGGCCCTCGACGTTGAGAGTGGCAAGACGTTGGGACTCAGTTTTCAGCCAGAGAACCCGGACAGTCGAACAGTGCTCTCATATAACAGAAAGACCGACAACTTGCTCCTCAAGATCACGGTGCCTAAGAGGACGGGCAGAAAGCGGAAGCGCGGCTCGGACGACGCTTTCACTGAGCACACTCCTGAGGACACTCGAAAAGATGTCGCTTACCTGCTACGCTCTCTCCATGACAATCCGCAAACCCACAAGGCAGAAGTTGCAGGAAAGGTCAGATCGACGCACGTTTGGCGGACGATGCCGGACTATGTGTACACAACAAGAGACTCGCAATTTCTCCGTGACGTGCGCTCAAAAATCATGACTCAAGACTACCCCCTCGTCAAGCAATGGTCTCTACCCGAGTCATACGGGCTGCAGGACACCGAAGTATTTCCACCTGCTATACTCTCCGCCCAGACTCTCCCTGCAAATTACATGTATCGACAGAATCCGGCTGTAAAGACTGTCTCTGACCCAGAGACTGGCAAGATGTCACTCTTCAATACCCAGGCACCACAACGGCTTTTCACTTACCAATGCCAGTGGGACGATGAAAAGTTCCCCGACCGACCCAACCCTGAATGCCCTCCTCTGCACAGCTTTCCGGAGAGCCACATCAAACTGTACGGCTTCATCCAACGGCTGTTCGATCAGCGGCCACTGTGGACGCGCCGAGCTCTCATCAACCAGTTTCCAGACGACGTCCCCATATTTGCGGCCCGCTATATAATTTCATACGTTGGATACGCCGTTCGCTCGGGACCTTGGAGGGACACCTTCTGCAAATTTGGCATAGATCCGAGGAAAGACCGTTCTTACCGGAAATATCAGACGGTTATGATGCAGCTTTTGCACAGCGGAGAAGGATTCGACCGCTCGTGGGCAAGGAGCAAGGATAAGTCGTCCCACATCTTCACAGGCAAGCCGCCGTACCCAACCGATGGCAAACTGTGGCAGCTGTGTGATCTTGAGGATCCTGATCTGAAAGCGCTGGTCGATACGCCGGAGATCAACCTCCGACATGAATGTGAACTCAGGTATTTCGGTTGGTACAGCAACGGGACCATGGCAAAAATCCGCATCGCACTCAAATCTAAATCGGATGCCCTGATTAACAACGAGACACTGGATTCTGCCGCCATGCAGAATTTCTTGACTCTACCCGATTACTGGGAAGGGATGGGTATGACTGACTCCAGCGATCAGATCAGGTCATCTATGGGCTTCTTGGGCAAGGATGTCTCCAAGAAAGAGCTCGAGTGGGCGGCTGCGTACCGAGCCCTGTGTCGAACTACCGCTGGCTCCCTCCCAACATCTGGAGGAAGTGGAAAAGGTCGATTGAGCAAGTCAAAGCCCGCGACGACGTCGAGCTACCTCGAGGCTGGGCAGACACCTGTGTCCGAAGAGCCTGATATTCCTCAAGGCTATGAAGAGCCAGAGGATGATCAAGACGATCTCAACGAGGAACAAGAGGGAGAAGACCAAGTGCTGTGATAAACTTGTTCTAGTCAAGGGTGCTTCGTTTTCTACTCGAAAGTGATTACTACCTTTCAGTGGCGGTGCCGATATCCCCACACCAGGTACTTTACGTCTTATTGAGACCATAGCACACACCTGCAGTATTACAAGCCGATCTCACAACCATGTGCTTCTTGGATCACTTGTACTTGAGTCCCTATTCAGGTTCTGTCCGTGCTTGCACTCGAATTCCTGCTTCAAATTAGTCAGCCTCAGCAGTGTCTATATCTACTGTCTGACGGTGCATGGCGCGCACAAATTCCGCTTTCTTCCTTCGTCTGACCGCTCTGTTTTAGACTTCCCCAGTTGGAGTCATCTCTGAATTTCCGCTGCTAAAGTTAGGCATCTCTGATTTCCGTATTCGAGAAAGACGCTTTTCCGTCTTTTGAGGGAGAAACGTGTCTGGACCAGACCAACGTGGCTCTTCAACGTAAAGAGACCTGCCTTCCCATGCCGGGTATATCCGAAACTCATGGCCATCGTAGAGTCGGCGTTGCTGACGCCCTCTGATCATTCGACGCCGGCATCAACGGGCTCCAAGGATGTCTTGGTAGGACACAAGTACAAAAAGATCCGATGGAAGAAGTACGACCCAAAGAAACGGCGGCTCGAAGGCCCTGGAAATCAATTCGTACTCTGGACTCCGCCGCTGCCGCCCACTGGACAAAGCGACGCCGAGGATACAGAGCCGTCACCCAGCAGCGGTTTCAAGATAGAGACAGCTTCCTCGGGCCAGCGGGCAACCATCGCATCTCCGCTGCAGCCTCTTCCCTTGAACGGCACACGAGTCGACCCGTTCATGTGCCTGCCCATCAAAGCCACCGACTGCGTGCGAGACACGATCGACTACTTCATCACCATCTGCAGCGACGTCGCCGAAGGCTCGGTTGTTCCTGGCCCTGTTAATCCCCACCTCTCGTTGCTGCTTCCATATGCGCTGAAACACTCTACTCTATTAGAGTCGATGATCGCCGTGTGCCGGGCCTCGATCTTGCTCTCTCTGGACCGTCCTGCGCTCGAGGATCCCGCCTTCATCCAGCACCGAGGAAACGCAATCGCAGGACTCAACACGAAGATCAGGACCAATCACTGTACCGATGATGACGCTCTGTTGACCGTCACCATGCTCATGACGCTCGAGTACTTGATGGGAAACCACTATGCAGTTCGAATGCATTGCGAAGGGCTAGAGAAGATGTTGGAGCTGCGAGGACCTCTTGGGGAAGGGGAAGAGGAAACTGACTGGGCCAAGTTTGTCAGGCACGGCCTGTCGAGCTACAAGGCACTTGGGTCGTTCGTGACAGGTCGACCGCCAGATATACCATCCGACTCTATTGGTTATCTAAAGGAAACCTTTGAAGAGCTCTCCCTCGACCAGCCGCTCGCCTATCTTGAACCGCCTTTCGACCCAGACCTCTGCACCATGTTGTCTAGGTTGCCTGCAGGTTTCTCCGAAGTCTGTTTGAAATGTCGCATTTCAGTGCAAATGATAAATTTGCTAGGAGCAATCGCTGGAGCAACGACTTTGTTGGACACAAAGAGTGCAGTTGAAAGTGTCTCGACATCCACATCCACCGATGCCTGCGTTCTCGATTCGCAACGTCAACGATCCATGACACAAGCTCTATTATCATCCTTGCAACGCATGTCGTTGACTTCAGTCGTTCCTATCGAGCTCAATCTCACGTGTGGACTCCTCGCGTACATGTTCCAACTTCGATCATTGGCTCCAGTCAACCTATTTTATGACCCCATTCTTCGCAGATTCATCGATACACTTCCGGCTCAGCCGAAACCAAGCTTTCTCGAAGAGCAACATTCTTTGATCTGGGTAAGCATGGCCGCCGCTGGAAGTTTAGCATTGAGAGTGGCACCAATGCCTTCTAGCCATGCTGTCATGGATCATATCCTTGATCTTTACCCAGAAACTCGAGATTGGTCCCGCTTACACAAAATCCTACGTGGCTTCTTTTGGACGAATGAGATCGGAGCACACTGGAAGACAGTTTGGCAGGCGGCAATGCAGCGAAGAGAATTTCTCCTGCGCCGAAATCAAGATGCCAAAGTACATCCGCACATGGTCACTGCGCAGATGCCCGAACTTAATTCTGAGGCCGTTCGTCGCCACATTGAAGGAGCACCACGAGCTGTGCGTGAAATGGGCGAAGCTATGGGTATATGCCCATTCCATCGGAAACACGGCTAAGTCAGCTATACATGCTTTGAGAGGATAATCTTGGAAGCTATGACGTGGTTTCTGCTTCAAACATCCCTGCTTCTTGTCAACCGGAAAGCCATGACAATGTTGATCATGCTACTTACGTGCGGTCTGGCCGGCTCGCAGATGTGGCAGAGTCCATCTATGGTCTCCTCTGAACAAGGCGCAAGTGGACCAAACTGAAGGCTCTTGCGAGTCAGCGACGAGGGCTTGCTGTGGGCTGGGGTTGGTTTCAATGATACTATGCCCGGTCAGAGGTCTCGAGCCGAGCACAGTCTCGTGGCCTGCTCGGGGTTTGGAAGTCCCGCTTCATATCGAGAGATGTCTCAAAAATTCTCGTAGCCCCTGTTTCGAAAACCGACGAGACCCTTCTTGGAATATCAAGGGGATATCTTGCAGAAAATGCCAATTCTTAGGAACCAGCTTGTTACCATAAAGTAACAACACCGCCGCAGCCATCATCCAAATGATGTACACCAAGATGACAGCGATATGGAGCCGGAACGCCACCACCCACGGTACCACGACGTCTGACTTGAAATCATAGTATCGGTTGGCCAACCAGTTCCGGATCGGCCTTTTCCGCTGCCTGATTCGCAAATGCTCCTGCAACCCTTCAGCAAGCTGCCAGGCGACCCTTCTGTTGATCTTATCCCAGGTGGTTTCTAGGGCAAATTCCCGGGCATTTTCTCCCATGGTTGCCAGGAGAGCCGTGTCCGAAAATCCACGAACCAGACTGACGAATGTATCCAGGTCGTGAGGTGGGACTAGATAACCTGTCTTCGCATGCTGAACAATGTCAGATGGACCTCCTTCGTCTCGAGCGACTACAGGCACACCACTCGCCATTGCTTCGAGGACGACCAGTCCAAACGTCTCGGTAACGGAGCAATGAAGAAAAACATCGGCCGAAGCGTAGGCGCGCGCGAGACTGGTGCCTGTCAGAAGTCCCGTAAACACAACATGGTCATTTGTCGAATGGAAAAGCTGGCGGACGTCGTTCTCAACACCCGGGTTAAGATTGCCGCCTACAATGACCAATTTGAAAGGGAAGTTTTGGTCCACCAGTCTGGAGGTGACTTGCGCCAAAAACTCAAACCCCTTCTCTGGCGCCAATCGGCAGACACAGACCAGGATCAATTCTCCCTTAGGAGCCAGCTCCTTGCGATACGCCTCATCACGTCGAGAAGGATGGAAGAGCGCAGTGTCGACTCCACGCCCAAGCTGCACCAGCCTACTGCTGGGTGCACCTGCCTTGAGGAGATATCGGCGAATGCCCGACGAAGGGTAAAAGATGGTGTGGACACTACGGTGGCTGAAAAGAAAGCCTTGGACAACTCCCAACAGCCAGACAGAGAATTTCGCAACTGGCCCCGGAAACAAGATTTCGCTATATGCTGAGAGGTCTGTCTGGAAATTCAAGAGCACAACAGGAGGTTCCTGGAGCTGTCGGATTTGAAGCAAAAACTGAAAGCCCGTAGATGCCGGACTAGCCAGGTACACGACATCAGGCTTGAACGTTCGCTTGTAAACATCTTCCAGCTGAAAAGGATAGACGACTGTCAAGTCAGGGTTGTAAGGTAGAGGGTACCCAGGAAGTCGCAGCTCAGAGACATTATTGCCCTGTGGCCGCAGTCTTGTTTCCTTGGAATGGGGAGCGACAATGGCGAGCTGGACACCGTTGCGGCGAAGATAGTCGACAAGGCTGAGAGTTGTGCGACTCACGCCGTTGACCGGACCCAGCGACTCTGTTGCGAGCAGGATTCTTTTCCCTTGAAGGATTGCAGGGAATCCGTCCTCGCATTTCGCACCGTTCTTGTCCTCATGAGATGTTGCCAGGTCCAGATGCAGAGGCTGTGGCGGTGGCGGCTGCTTCGCCATAGTCGTCCAGGAGCGAAAGCGACGAGTTGCTAGCGCAGGCGCATCAACTATTTGCCGAACGCCGGGCACTCACTCTAACTTAGGCTGGCTATCGATAAGGGAGGGGTAGAACTGCGTGACTGGCTGGCTGGCTGGCTGTAGGCGGGTGTCCCGTATTATGAAGGGAATCGATCCCACTTCTTCCTTCAATTCTCTGGACACGACTTGGTAGAGGTCTTGCAGGGACTTCTGTCTCTCAGTTTACATCTCTGCAAAACTGCCAAAGCGTCCCTCTTATGATCTTTATCTCTCGCTCGCGAGGTTCGGACTGTCAAAATGCCTCCGACGACCCCTCTAGTGGCAATCTTTTCATTTGCCGTTTCAACGCGTTATATGTGCTCACGGCCACCACGTGGGTGGAACATCAATGTCCCAAGGCTCTTCCACGTCCCCTACATTTTCCATCGTTTTCTATTCTGTCCATTCACACCGCGTCTTTGAATGCGCGTGCGTGCTTCATCCTGATGTAAACTCAGCAAGAGACCATGTGAGCCTTGATTGCGACGCGCCCGTACCACGGACCGTGACTCTTGTTTGTCTTTGCGATCGGCCTGCAGTTATCTTAAAATCCCTCCCAGAGAACGATGCGATTTGTTCTCACTCTCTTACACTCTCTTCACACTCGCAGTGACAGTCGAGATGGACTTCGTTCCTTCGCTTGCTGATGACAGCTCCTCGAACTCCTCTGTTGGCCTCTTGACGCCACAGAGCAGTCCGTTATTTCGTCCTTCACATCCCAAGGACGCCTTTCCGACGCACATTGCACAGATTCTCAATGATTACCAACAGGAAATGTTGCCGACGGCGAACAGAGGCGACGTGATGGATTTGCCGAGAACTCCCTCGCCAGAGAACCCCTCCATCAATCGGATATGCGTGATCGGGGCTGGCTACGTGGGTTCGTGCCTGAAGAGTCTTCCTGTCCTAGAATGTTGAAGCTGACTGCGCGCCCCGATACCAGGCGGACCTACTGCCGCTGTGCTGGCCTTGCACAATCCCTCCGTCCGCGTGGAGGTTTTGGACAAGGACCAAGGCCGTGTCAGGAGATGGAACTCTGGTCATCTGCCGATCCACGAACCCGGTCTTAGCGACATCGTTCGATTGACAAGAGACGGCGCTCTCAGAAGTGAATTGACAGAGAGAGACGTCCTCGACTCGAGACGCGATCCTAATCTCTTCTTCACGTCTGACGCGGCTGGTAGCATTGGCGCTGCAGACATGATCTTGCTTGCAGTCAATACACCTACGAAGAGATCTGGAGTGGGCGCCGGAAGGGCAACGAACATGACTGCACTGGATGGTGCTGTGAAAGATGTTGCGCTCTATGCAAAGACCGGCGCCATTATCGTCGAAAAGAGCACGGTACCATGCGGAACTGCGCAACGAATCAGGCAAACGGTAGGGTGTCATCGTGGGATGGGCATAGTCGCCTGTTGTGTGTCGGCCAGCTGACGTTGTTCTAGCTTGCATCTCTAAGGCCTGGCGTCCCTTTCGAGATCTTGTCAAACCCAGAATTTCTGTCTGAGGGCACGGCTATCGAAGACCTCTTGAACCCGGATCGGGTCATAATTGGCTCGGCAGAATCACCATCTGGACATGTGGCAGCTGATTTACTCGCAAATCTCTACACCGCATGGATTCCCCGGAAGAAGATACTCCAAGTCAATGCCTGGTCGTCCGAGCTCTCCAAGCTGGTTGCTAACGCGATGTTGGCTCAGCGCGTTAGCAGTATCAACTCCATCAGTGCTATTTGCGAAGCAACTGGAGCCAACGTCAATGAAGTGGCCAGGTCCATCGGTCTAGACGCCCGAATCGGACCCCACTTTCTCAAGGCTGGCATAGGTTTCGGAGGATCTTGCTTCAGAAAGGATATTGCCAGCCTCACATATCTGGCGGAGTCCCTGGGACTAGATGAAGTTGCCGAGTATTGGAGTCAAGTCAATTCCCTCAATGTCTCACAACGGCGACGCTTTGCAAGGAAGATTCTTAGGCGATACAACGAGAACCTGGCCGGCAAGAAGATTGCCCTGCTTGGCTTTGCCTTCAAGAAGAACACAGGTGATGCTCGAGAGTCTCCCGCCGTGGATATTATCAAGACACTTCTTGACGAACAACCTGCGGAGATTGCGATTTTCGACCCATACTGCGTCGAAGAAGACATTCTGAGGGAGATCGGCGCCTTCGGATCAGCAGACAGTGCAAGCATACCATCTCGGGTGAAGATCTATGCAGACCCCTATCAAGCTTGTGCCGAAGCGAATGCGGTCGTTGTCATCAACGATTGCGATCAATTCCGCAACACCATGCGGAAGCCACGGACACACTGTGTCATTGCTGCAGCCACAAAGTTCGACAGGACATTCTCTGACGAGGGCATCTCAGAGCTTGGATCGCTATCACCTGCCAGTGGGCCGCGATTTCCGCCCCCACGGGGCTTTGACTATGTCGCCGGTCTTCGCGTCAAGCTCGGCCCGATTCCGTCGTGTCCTGAAGACTGTCCTGACTGCAAGTCACGTTGCAGCAGTCCCATTTCCAAAGAGCCCGTCGAATGGGCGCGGATTGTCTATAATATGAGAGATCCCAAATGGGTCTTCGATGGCAGAGGCGTCCTAGATGTGGACGCACTCGAGAAGTTGGGCGACGTAAGAGTGGATGTTGTCGGGAGATGGAGGCCTGAAGATGGCGGGCGGAGTTGGTGAGAAAGCCGTCCAGTGCCGTGTCCCATCCCCATCTGCAGGTTGGTGTGGTTGCGTGATTCGTGGGAGTTCTTTAGGTGGCAAGAAATTTATATATTCCCACTGGCTTACAACGGCTTTCGGTATTATATGTGTCTCAGGCCGGTATTACGGCTCAATGTCAGTTGTCAATCGATGCCTGTGAGACAGTGTCTCTTCGTGGTGGTTGACATCACACCACAGGCGAGAATTGTAGATTTTACCCAGAAGTAATAATACATTTTATTCCCCACCAGAAACATGACTTCCCAATGTGATCAGGTCCACCACCTTTAAATCTGACGACAGCGCACGCAAGGCCGGTGTGAATCAGACCATCATCGCGCCCCCCTGGAAGGCACTTTATACCCGTAGCTTACATCGACAGCAAGATGGCACAGAGAGCACACGACCTCGCCTTGAGCGTCGTAAACGGCGTTCGCCATGACTCGAGAAAGCGATACTTGGCAATAGCCGTCGCGGCCTTCACTTCGTTGACTATTGGCCGCGCCGCATGGAAAGACTACAGACTGTATCGCAGCTACGGGCCCGGCGGGCTCCCATCCAACGCGTTTGGATGGGCTGTCTCCAACATCCTGCGCCTCTTCGGGATTGACATGACGGACGTGAGCAAGGCCGAGAAAGACGCAGATCAGAGATCGTGGCTCGGCGAGGACTGGCCGTCGAAGAAGTCAAGGGACGGTTCGAGGCCGTCGGTCGGTCCTCATCCGATCCCCCAGAGACAACTCGACCAATATGGTCCCAAGGACGTTCAGCAGGTGTGTATAACGTTTACGTCCCCTTCCCCCCTTGCCCCCGGCCACCTACCGTTCGATCAATACCTCCCTTTGCACAAAATGTGCCTTGCGAATATCAGTGTCATGCGTATCACGAACTTACCTCTGCGCCACGCACGATTGACTAGAAATTCCTCGACGACTTTACTACCCTAGGCAAACAGAACCCAGACCTGGTGACTTTCAAGCGGTCCCAGTATGAAAGACACACCGACGCTGCCATGTGGGTGGTCGAATCTTCTCCCGTCTACGCTCTCAGACGAAGCCACACGCGGGAGGTTTCTCACATCCACACGAACACAGACTACTCGGCGCACGTGGTGCTGTCGCCCAGGGACGCGGCCAAGGTGATCCGAGCCGGCTGGGGCCAGCTTCACGCGCTCTCTGGAGTATCGCTCTTTGGCAAGACCGCCGTTCCGCCGGGCTATGTCATGCTTTATTCTGCACGGAGTGACGACGAGGTCGACGTCTTGATCGAGATCATCAAAGCGGGCATTGGCTTCATGACGAATGCGAGTGTGGTGCAACCGTCTGTTGTCGAGGACAATCAAAATCTGGCTTCTGATTGAGAAGGTGACTGGCTTTGGTGGACCAACCGCGTATCAACAGGCAGCAGGTATGTGAGGGTGAGAAGAGGGAGGCAAGGAAGGGGAAACGTGTATAAAAGAGTCTCGAAATAGTTCTTGATTTCATCTCTCCTCGCCTTCTTTCCCCCCCCCGCTCAGCATTCCTTTGTCCACTCGCAAGCATCTCAATCGTCTGAAGGCCTTTTTGGCACAATCACCAGGAACAAGAAGACTCCTGATATTGATTGATCCCTTCGGTAGATTGTCACACGGTACATCTTGCACCATCCACTCGCCGACCACGAAGACTGCCATCACATCATGTCTTCAGGATACTATTCATCATCATCATCATCATCATCATCATCATATGGGCGCAACATGTCGAGGTCCGGGGGGCGAGACACCAGCTCCGCTTACTCGTCGAGAAACACGACACACTCTGACCGTTACGATGGGTCGAGTCGGGCACCGTACACAAATTCCAGCAGTCGAGGGTTAGACTCTCGCTCAACTTACAGTAGTGGTACCTGGCCCTCGACGTCCACGGCCGGCAACACCTACTCTCGGTCCAGTCACAGCCGATACGACGGCGGTGGCTCGTCGACGAGGCGACCACGGTACACCGAGATGGACGGTCCTCCTGCGCCCTCGCACCCGGTCTACCAGGCCGACGAACCTGAGCCGAATGCACCAACCTACCCTTCGGAAGGGGATGGGTACGGCGGGTCCAGAGTGACGCTGCGGTCCGAGTATGCGTGTCCCATCCCGAACCCGTCGACCGAGGGATGGGATCTGGAATTCGACGATGTCGGACGTAGTCGCGAGACCGAGGACCCGTTTAGCTCGCAGAGAACGCGGCGTTGACTTCCCCCTCTTTTTTTGGTTTCAGCACCACCACATCTTGGCTGTGATTTCAATTTTTGGGGGGTTTTCTTATACGACGGTGGCGTGTTCGGGGCTCGAAAGAATTCAAAGGGCTCTAAGTTCTAGGTAAACTGAATCGCAGGTTTGTGAAAATGTGTACACAGAGAGAAAGGGGTTACAAAAGGGGCTTGCGACGCGCCGGCTTGAGAATGTTCGGAACTCTGGATATGTATATTGTATACCTAGGTATTTCTTAGGACCGTACAATGCCTGGGTTGCGCTGCCAGACATGTAATTTGCGATCTTCTGCCAGAGGGAGGACTTGTCAGGTGGAGGCGAGGGTGGGTTCATTATGAAGGCTTGAAAGGGGGGGAGGAGGGTTCTTCTCTATCATATTTTGAAGCACCCATCACGGATGACTGCAAATCTACGTTGCTGTTCTACAGAAGTTTGTTGTTTAATAGTCTCTCGTTGGGATCATCCCAAGCGTCGACTCTGATGGCAATGACACGCCGCGGGATATCAATATCCTCGGCTAGGCTATTCCCCGTGTGTCGTCTCGAATCACTCGCCCACAGGGTAGATACATATATATATCCATGATGAAGAAAAGAAAACACATGCCCGAGCCTTGTAACTTGGCCTCCCGCACCCACTTGGCTCTAGGCTCGCTGTGGCAGACACCACCTCCTCAGAAAAGGGGCTCGCTTATATAGCCTAACTCACCCTATATCCCTCCCCCCTTCAACAGTTCATCGACCTCGATGATCAAAACCCTCACTCCAATGCATGAGACATATTCTCCAAGGTGGTTTACCACGAATTTGCATCCTTTGCCAGGTGATCCACTCGAGATTTCACATACCTATCGTTTTCTAGAGGGAAGAAACAGCGCTTTTCTCGTTATCGGTTTCAGCGCGATTAGTGTCCAGTGGTGTCGGTCTCGATCATCATCGACGAGAGTGTATCGGTCTCGAAGGTCTTTGACCGACCCAAACCCGCGGGCGGTGTTTGTGAGTTCTGGCGAAAGTCTCTCCTCGATGGGGTGGACACCACGTGGAATATACTTCGGTCCTTCTCTGGTATGGTCATGACCCCCGCGTAGATGAGATTTTCGGTCAGGAATCCTCCCTTGTAGCCCTCCACCGGAAGGTGGTCACGCACCTCCTTCCATGTCACCGTGGTTCCGCCGCCCTCGAGATTGTTCTTGCGAATCTCAACCACATGGCACGCCACCTTGTACAAGGGTTAGGGGCCTGAGGAGCCTTGAGTAAGAGGGCCTGGTGGAGGTTCTGTACAGCTGGGAGGTGGGTCAGAGATGGGACGAATCGCTTCGTGGATGGCCGATTCGTCTACCAAACCGTTCGTGATTTGCAGTGTGCTTTCTCGATGTTTTAATCCCAGAAAGAGATCGAAACACCGGAGGTGGCTGGGCCAGTGCAAAAAGCATGGATCTGTGATCTTCTGAGTTGGATGGTGTCGATATAATAAATATATCTCCTCTCAGGCAAGCCTCTTGTCGGCATCTCTGCTGGCTATTCTTCTTCCTTTGTTTTCCTGGATGCTTTTTTAAGGAGCCGCCGCTAATGTCTTCTTCTGCCGCCCATTTCTCTGTGCAGAATCGAATCTATCTTCGAGCAAGGAAAACAAGTGAGGTTGGGATTGCCAGGAACCGGATTTGTGTTTAAGGGCATGTGGTGTCCTGGAGACGAAATCGTGGTGAGGAAGTTGGAAGCAAAGTCTGAAAGTCGGCGACTTTCCAACGACTCAAGCATCGTGACACGCTCGGTGTGATGCGCCTCAGTCGCACAGATGATCTGGAGCTGTTTCTTAAACTGTGCCTTGATCGCGCCCATGACTGCTTAAGTTCTCAGCCCCAGGCCCCTCGCAGTTTTCTACGTCTTGCATGTATGGATATGATCATGAAGTCGCGTAAATTTGTCCTCGTAGGTAGTGATGGGGTTTCCCAGGCGAAGATGCGCTGATCGTGAAGCTAGGCCACGTAGGCACGGCAGCAGCTATGCCGCGTCATCTGGGTCGAGGGCCTTGTCGTTTTCGCCGAACGCATTTGAGGAGGTCAGCACCAGAAGTTTGGTGGCATGCGGGAAGATCATGGCAAGAGCCCACTGGTTGTCCTTGGTGTCATGTGGCACAACTATCACACGCACCCGAGTGTCGCGAAGGTCGCCAAACCCTGAGAGCAGGGTGTCACTTTGCTTTTCTCGAAAGGTCTTCCATGTCTTTGGCGAGACAGGGATGCAAGCTGACATCACAGGATCTAGACACACAAGGATACCAGCGTGCACTAGATCTGTTGTCAATACACCCCGCTTGTAGATCTCGATGGGAAGTCTGTTGCGGGCATCCGAAAAGGTGATCCTCACTCCTCCAAGGAGATCGATGTTGTCTCGTACCTTGATGACTCCATGACAACGTTTGTACAGCGTCGTGTTGCAAATCCTTGAAGATGTATTCCCATACGGGGACCCAGGTCAAGTCTCCTTTGCCAGCATCTGTCAGGTGGACTGTCTGCCTGTCTGGATCCATGGTTCCTCGCCACTCCGGCTTTCACATCAAGAGACTGGAGAACAGTCAGTCAGCCAGTAGTGTAACCACGCTTGGTGATATACATACTGCAACATACATACAGTTATGTATGTATATATATATAAAACGTTGAGAAGAGTACAAAAGAACTCAAGATAAAAAAAAGTATGTTGGACTGAAGGACAAAGAGCAGCGAGTGGGAGGGTCGAAAAGAGTCGAGACCGAGGGGGGGAGATACTGCGATACTTATACTTTTCTTCCACACAGGTCCTCAATCCTCAAGGCAACGATAGTAGTGTCACTGAACAGAGCGATTCACAGCAATGGCAGGCTCCAACGGGACCAAAAAGTTCAAACCCCTATTGATCTTTGAATGCCAGGCAACGACAATGAATGCGCACAATAGGGAAGTGAGCAAGAGCCAATGGTTCCGGGTGTTCACAGTAAGGTGTCTCTTTGTCATTATTCGTACATGGGTCGTAAATCGCAACTCGTGTGGTCAAGCTCAAGCATGCGCACCCGAAGGTACTGGTACACTTTCATTTGATACTCTGTATGATTCGTGGTATGTTTCCCCATCTTCATCAAAATGTCTGTGAAAAGGAGTTGTAAGGTGAGAGGATGCATGGTTCAAATTCAAATAACTGACTTCACTTCAAACCCAGGCATGGTCATCATTCACGGAGCCGAGTCATCAATCAAATGCCTTGACTGGAGCTAGAAAGTCAAGGTCGCTGCTTCGATCCTCATTCACTCCGCCATGAGAACCAGACTCAGAGGGTGACTCAAACTGGGAATCAGCCTCAGAACCACTGATCCTTCCGAGACCCGGAGGCGGCTCTTGCTTCCCTGCGAGAACATTCTGCACGAACCCGAAGGCCGTCACCAGCTGGTCGCCAGGTCTCACCACTTCAAACATCCGGGTGATCCACTCGTCGGATGCACTGATGAAGCGTTCGAACACCGGTACTGCCGACAGACTGTCTTGTGATATGCTCTTGAATGCTGAATTCGGAGCCCCAGGTAGCATGTCACTGGATGTACTTGCCGATTGCGCATATGCCGAGGGAGATGAAGGCTTGAAGTCAAGACTGCCACTGGAGCTTACAGCAAGCGTAATTTTGTCCGTGAAGGAGCCAATCACATCGATGCGCTGCGTATAGCTGCCCTTGAGCATACTTAACTTGGACAACTCCGCAATGCCACCGAATATCACAAATGTGGCCAGATCCGCTTCCGTGGGAGACTTGCGGCTCCATCCTCGCAGTCGACGCTCAATAGTCCCCGCGTACGTCGGTGCTCGACTCAAGGCTCGCAGATGTTGTCGGCAGAGATCGTAAAAGTGGTACGCCGGGATTACCTCGGTGCCAGGGTAAGAACGTAGCAATGCCTTGAGACTCTCATTGCACTGTGGACAAGACGATAAGCTCGGCAGGGCTGGTTCCTCGGCCGGAGACATGGATGGATGATTGTGCTCCTCAAGCTTCTCATGCCGAGGATGAGCGTGAATCAGGAGATCCCTGTATCTTTCGAGAAAGTGGTATATCGTCCACGCGGCCAGATGCATTCGCCGGGTGAGCTTGTTCTTATAGGGACGAAAGTCCGAGAAACGTGGAGAACTCGGCATCATGTAGACTCTCATCTGCACGAAGCTCATTGTGACGGATAGCATCTTGTCAATCTGAGCCTGCCGCCTCAGCATCTGCAGCATATAGTCCGTCGACGGACACGGCGTGGGCTGAGGATACAGTGTTTGTATATAGTTGTAAGCATATTCTGCTTTCCGCTCAACCACCTCATCTTCCGCGGTGTCGTCTGCGGCCCTGTCCCGGGCACACTGAGTAAGGACAGAGCGTGTGATTGGGCATGCATGAACGTTCAGGAAGGTGTTCATGGAGTGAGACGTGAGTCTGAGTGCGAATACATCACTCTGGCCAAGGTAGCACAAGATCTGTATAATGATCTCGTCCGGCAGAGAGAAGAAGGCCTGTCCCAGCTTTTGACTGCGATGTAGGTGTGTGCGTGTTAGCATTCTTCCACAGCGCATTCTCTTTTTGTATACGGAGAGGTGTGACTCACGCAGCCTTTTCAGCCATCGCTTGCATCTCCTTGACGGATCCTGACCCTGTCCGCTTCGACCGTGAGGAGAGACGTAAACTCAGACCTGCTAAGCTCGTCCGCCGAGAAGGAGGGCTGTCTGCAAGAGAAGGACGTCTGGAGGACTCTCCGCTGGAGCCTCCATTCTCGACAAAGTTGACGGTGCTAGAGCGCCGCAGAACGCCGGGTACAGTAACCATGTTTGTAGTGGCCGGCCACAGGAACAATTACATGAGAGGACGATCGGGGGGTGTAGAAGGCTATACTGTTGTTAAGTAACGGTGCAAAGGAGGGTGAGACTCGTTTCAGCCAGGGTCAGAAGTGTAGCAGGGGACCGGGAGTTGAGATGCAGTTGTCCAGCAAACATGCAAGGTACCATATCAATAAAAAGGCGTCTCTCCTAGAATGCCCATCCCAGTTGTCGAGTCTTTTTCTCTGCAACAGGAGTTTCGTTGGGATGGCACGTCACATTCGCTATGACATCCGGACGCTCAGATGTAAGATAACGCGAAATAGGTGCAGCTTATCTCAAGTCTAGGCCCCTTCAAGGCATAGCGTTATCGATGGCCAGCCGGATATGAGAGCCTCGTGGCACCTAAGGACCCAGGAGAGTCGGCGGATCGCTCTAGACTCTTTGTACAGTGGTATTGCATGTCGTTCTTCGACAATTACGGAGATGCTAACTAGTACTCTGCACCAAGGAAAAGAGCCAGCGTCTGCGAAAAAAAGAATTCAGCCGGTACACATGTGGTGTATAGCTACTTATGCCCCTCCTTTGTATCGACGCAACAACTATCGCCTCGCTTGCTATGCATGAAATGAATAGCCTGCAACCAATGTACACACGAACATTTCAACACTTTTCAAGGGTTCCAGTCACTTCCTTCTTGTTGTCTAATACTTCGGCCGGCTGGGCAGCATCTTCATCTGATCCATAAAGTTGCCATCCAGACCCAGCAGCCCATGAATAAATTTGAGGATGATGAAGAAGCTGTCTGGTTCACCCATATGCTTCTTGCCTTTCACCATCCTCGCTAACTTGGGCTGACCGTGCTCCAGAGCCACGAACATGTCGTCGATGGGGAAAATCTCGTCATCGTTGCCATTGACCAGCAGAACCTTTGTGCAAGGTTTCTCCAGGGTTCGGTCATTGAGGAGGGAGAACTTGCCAGCTTCCTGGATGAACGACTCGAGGTCGGGATAACCGAATTTGTAAGTTAAGGTGTTTGCAAGGTCGAATGGATACTCCAGCTTGTTGGTATTCTCGAGCCACTCTCGATCGAACATATGGTGTGCTCCTCCACCCAAGCTGATACAAGCCAGCAGCCGGTCATGGTGGGTATGCGCCAATCTGAGGGAATAGTAGCCTCCTGTTGAAAATCCCCAGACCACGACCTTCTTGCTGTCGATTGCCTTTTGCGTGTCCAACCAATCAAGAACACTGGACCATTGTCGATCTGGTCCAGTAGGATCCGACCGCAGTGCAGGAGAGTCGCCAGTGCCAGGAATCTCGGCAATAATCGAGGCTACTCCCTTTGACCGCCAACCCTGCTGCCACACCGCCAATTCTGTCCGGTAGCCATCCAGGCCGGTGATGATGAACACGCAAGGGACGGGGTTTTCGGCCGACGCTCCAGGAGGAAGGAGGAAATTGATAGGGACGACTTTGCCTTCGCCTTCGATGGCATGGTTGTGGGGGACCTGGACTTCAGTGATAGGATACTCCATGAGTCTGGAGGGTGTCAGTGGCCCGTCGTCAGGTCATGGTCATGGTATGCTCACCCTGCGCCCTTATAGAAAACCTCCTTGCCCTTTGCCCAAGCATATCGCTGCTGTTCCGACCGAGGCGCGGGGAATCGCGAGATCCGGTAGACTGCTGAACTTCGCCTGCGTGGCATGAGCAATGCTTTCCCTCCGCAACAGGACACGTACTGACAGGTAGTATTCAGAAGCCTTCTCTTTCTCACCGGCTTTCTCTGCCTCGACGGCTATGTTTGCCAACTCTTCGGCTTTGGGGAAGAACATCCGGGCATACTCGTCCCAGTCGTAGGGTTCCTTCAGGCCTTTCTGCTTCAGGTTCAGTGTGCGCTCTCGGGGACCTTCTGCTGGGTCAAGTCATGGCGAACCTTTATGATGTCTTGCGCAACGGGTTCAAAGTCTTTGATGCTGCCAAACATGAATGGATATACGCCCATGGCGCACTATGCTCTTGTCAGCGCTTGGTCTCAAGTCCGTCGTGCTTGTCCACGCACTGGGGCCTTCCATTTTGTCTCCCACAACTTCTCAAAGGACTCGTGGTGAACCGCAGATTTCGTGATTGCGTCCTTGATGTAGTACTTTTCCGCAGCCATGGTGGGCAAGTGAGGAGGTTCTGCAGATGAGAGGTGATACAAGGGACGAGAAGTAGACGTGGAGGACAGCAGAGGATTTGTAGCAATGGGTTGCAATCTACCGAGTAAACACACCGATGGCTAGTGAAGCCCAGACGGTCCAACTCGAGCCGGAGCCGAGTGATGCGCGCGGCTCTGCGTGTTGTACGAGACGACGGAGCGCAGTCTAAAGCTGGCGGGGGCACCGAGTACTCTGTACGTGTACAATTTTTAGGTCGCTTGCTTTACCTGGGCGGACGAGACACGCGTAACCTTGGAAGGATGAGGGGTGTTTCCCTCTTGGCTTGTTGTCACGCTCTTTATGTGCCTAAGAGTTTAGCGACTGGCTCAGACGCTGCAGGTGGTATACACATTCTCTCCTGTTCCAAAGCACTGTTCAAGGCATCCTTAGAGGTGAGTTTCATGGAGGATCGTACCTCATCTCAGTGTTGGACGTCAGCATCGTAATGTACCTAGCAGCCCTGATGCTAGACACGGCTGGCTAGAGAGGAGCTTGGAAGGGATTAACTATCATATTGTCTGTACGAAGTCCGGCGGACAGTACAGGCCTTCCAGGCTGAGAAGGCCGCTCAATGCTCAGGGTGTTTAGCCCCGGAAGAGGCCCTGAAGACTGCCGCTTGCCATTGGCACATCGGGGGCCAAATCTCGCTATGAGGGATCCGAAAATAGCCACAAAGCTGATGACTGGACATTGACCGCACACCTCGAGCAAGATGGCTTTGTCCAGCCTCGCCTGAGATGACGAGGAATGTCCGGTTAGGTAAGACCCAGTGAGCCTTGCTGAATCTACCCCCAACGTCCGCTCGGAGTCTCGTACGAAACAGGTCCTGTAGAACTGTCACCCGGCAGCAATTCATTCCGACCGCGAGTTTACCCAGGAGACCCAGAATGCATCATGACAATTTCTAACAACACTGCTTGAAGTGACAGGTCAGGTCGGACACAGGAAGCCTTTCGGTCGCAAATCTGTCCGTTTTCCATTCCTCCGCATTTCCAGTTCTGTGGTGCACGGGTGGGCGCTACATGGATGGTCGAATAGGCCGCCTTGGGTATACATTTGGTTGGATGCTCGGATGTGCAAACGCCAGAATCATGTCGTGGTCATTAGTCGTGTAGATCATAACGTGGCTGCGCAAAGGGCTGGCATTCAAGCCTGCAGCCGTGTAGGACTGGTCCGCGAAATCCAGATGTATTTGGCCGCACTCCCGCCTCGACCCAGTCTATACACCATGGGTGGAATGGCCGCCTCGCTCGTATCTTCGCCTTTTGCCATCGACTTCAGATGCATCCTAGCTCGATTGGAAAAGGGGTGTTCGGGACCAAAGGCATCCCGACAAATATCAACAACATGGCGCATGGTTTCGACCGCTTCGTCTCTCCGTCCTATTTTGCTGCAGATTTCAGCCATTGCCCTCAGGCATCGAACGTAGATCTCTCGTTCTTCCGGTCGCGGCAAGCATTCTGCCCTTTCCAGTGCCGCTTTGAGTGCTTGTAATGATTTTTCATACTGCTCCATATGGAAATATGCTTCCGATGTCGATCGCAATGCGTAGCACACCTCGTAGCAGGTTTTATTCATCGTGGTTTCGAATGCATCGACCAGTTGTTGGAATCGTACCGCCGCCTCTGCATATCTCTTTCTATTCATTAAACCGGTGGCGAATGTCTGCAACAATGCAATCGTCTCGGGGTGGAAATATCCTATGCTATCCTGGAAGAAATCTAGTAGCCGTCGTAGTGTGGCTTCTGCTAACCACGCCCGAGACGTGGTGGAATGGTACATATAATTGGCGATGAGGTAGATTGGATGCTCCTCTGACTCGGGTGTAGCCTTGGCCAAATCTGCAAGATGCTGTAGTAACATCAGCAATGGCTCCTCGTATCCCGTTCCATCGTGTCGAATTATCAGGTCGAAGATATAAATCATGAACCCGACGTGGTCGTCCTTTAGGAGACCCTCGACGAGAGCGAATGCTTTGTAGAAATTGTCGAAAGCTCGATCTCTTTGCCCGTTCCATAAGAACGAATAGCCATGGTACATGGAATAGTAGAAGCGGTCCGCAAGAGCGTCATCGGAAGTGGCAGTCCACGTACCAGTGGTGTTGCCGATAGATAGGTTTCTCGCAGTGAACAAATTCATATAATGTTTCTGCATGTTTTTAAATAGGGTGTCCAACAACCGTTGATCGGCTGGGGTCAGGTTAGGCGGCTGCACCACAGTTGCCTCGACCGCCAACGTCCTGAATGGCGGCATAGGGTGGAGATGAGATATATTCAAGGCTTGCTGTAACGATGCTAAACGCTTCTCCGCTACATCGGACGGACTGATAGCGAGAGGCATGATCGACTTGTCGTTACTGTCCAGTTCCATAGGACTTCGTGTGAATTCGTAGTCAGAAGTGTCAAGTGGTGGCTCGACCATCTCGTCGTTAAAGGAGAGAGGAGTCTTGGCCTCCGCCTCTTCCGGGGAGGAGAGTTCGCCAGGAGCATCCGCTTGAGGCTCTAACAGACTGGAAGGGTCTTTGATACCTTTACGATTGAAGTAGTGAAGAGCGTCGGCCAGAGTGACCTGCCTTCCCCGTACGAGGAAGACTTTATCCCTGTCATCTCCTTTCTGCTGTAGGCCTTGACGGACCAGGTCGAGCATTTCATGCTCTTTCTTCTTCTTGTCTAGACCCCATGTGTGGAGGCGACTTTTGTACATACGCTCACTTCGGCTCGGGTTAGCGGAGAGGTCCAACAACAAAAACAACAAAAGTACCTACGTAGGAGTAAAGGCGAATTCCCGTTTCAAGTATTCGGCCACATCTTTCAAGGTGCGGCCCTCTTCGAAATACAGCCGGGTGATCAAAGGTCGGTGTTTTCGCCACTCTTCACTGGTGTAGGAGTTGGACGAGCGTTTCGAAGCCTTGCCTTTGCGGTCGTGATCAACAGGCGCCGGGTCGGCCGAAGCCATCGTGATGTGGACTTGCACTGTGACCAGGCTTGAGTCGTCTCTCACCGGTCGATTACTGCATCATTAGAGGATAGGCGGGTTGAGGCTGAAAGATCTTCAATGGGTGATGGCACGGGTGGTTGGTTATACGGTGAGGAGGGGCCGAAGCAGTAGTCTGAACAACCCTGGGATCCTGTTGGCCTGAATGATTCGTGATTCGTGATCCTTGAGACAGTGGCCGCGCGAGTTTACTCGGTCTCACACATCTCTCTGCCTGTGTCGTGACCTAGCCTCAAGAGAGATACGATCGGGCACCTTCAGGTACTTTTGGAAGGGTGAGAAGGCACGTTTGAGGGGGTCGAACGATAGTGATGTACAGTCCGGCGTCGGGTGGACACAAACAAGGCGAAGCAAACGGTCTGGAAGCCAGGTAATATGGGTCTCGGGGTCCGGTAGGTCAGTTAACTCTGTCCGAAGGTGCTTGGGGGCGCTGGCGCGGCTCCGGACGCTCGAGGGTAAAGTGGCCGTGCTCTGTGAGATGGCAGCTGGATGGGAGAAGAATCACCGCTGAGGTGTCGACGGAGAGCCCCTCCAGCGCAGAATCTTCGCTCGAATAGCATGTCCCAGACGATGAGTGGCGGACTCAGTGGGTTGGAGCACGATGATGGCGCTGGTGTGTGCAGGCAGATTCACGAAGGCCCTGTCACCCATGCAAACAGGGGGGGTTGGGTCCTTTTGACAACGAGGAGGGGCACAAACTGCACAAAACCTTGCACCCTCTCTACTGACGACCTGCACAATCCGAGTCAGCGCGGCCAATGCATCTCGACCTTCCCACTTGGATGAACTATGAATCATCTAGGCTGCTTTTAGGCTGCTCAACACACCGTGTGTAAGCCTAGCGACTCTGGTCAGCGGCGGTCCCCAGTCTATTGCCTCCCACCCAGTGACCCAGTCTGCTGCCGTCGGCGCGTGCAACACAAGTACAGGAATGGAGATGCTGATTGCAGTCTAGCTAATCCCACTCCCCTAGGCGAGGCCAAAACTCGCAAAAGTACCTCCGACCCAACTGCCGATGACAAGCAGCTTATTGTTACACAACAGATACTACGAGTACTACATGCCACCAGTTTCAAGGCCCATGGTCCGAAACGGGATTGTGGGCGTCCAGGGCCATGCGATCAACTCCACAAGAGGTGTTTCATGGGTGTCCAAGCCACCTACTCTCGTGAACCGAGTTTCGTCTTTCGAGAGAATCTCTGCAGCGTCCGAACACGCATCCAAGCTTCAATATTTGGCCAGGGTCGCACGCCGAACTTGACACCCTCACCTGTCAATTGGCCGGGTCATGACGCAAGCCGCAGGGAAGCTCGAAACGAATTCCTTGTTTGAGACCCCGGCCTCTTCAGGCTCGTGGGTGGCTGTGCAATCTCGACAAACTTTGTGCATAAAGGGGCAATAGGTGCCGCCATCTGTTGAGCTAGAATGGCACCGAGTACCTAATTGGGAGCACGCTTCAGAATATTGTCGTCGTCGTGGTCCTCATGGTCCTCGAAGTCCCCTTTCTGGTTCTACAAAAGTCTCGTCGAGTACGTGTACACACCTCACCGCTCCGATCACCAGCCATAGTGCTTTGAACCGGAATCAACCCAGCAGAGTCGGCAGTCCGACGAGCAGAAGATTGGCCAGCTCCACAACTACAACCCTGGCTTACGAGGCCTCTGTGCATCGTCTCAAGGGCTCAGATCGCTCTGTTTCTCACATACCCGCCAGCATGAAATGAATCGTCTGAAGTACATACATTTACCGTCTTCTGCCAGCTCAGAAAGCCGAAGTTTCACCTCCCAAGTCAATAGCCGATTTCTCGGGCAGGGCACCTATACCTCGGGATCGAGTGAAGCAACTCTCCTTTGAAAATGGAGGTTGATTTGGCCACAATTTGGGTTGTTCTCTTCATTTGTACCATGGTCCACATGTCTGTGGGCTCGTAGTCTCAGGAACTCCGATTCGTAACTCTCTGGGCGTTTGAGCACAATGAAAGTTTCGGTATCCGGGGGATTTAAAGTTCCTACGCCGTACGTTGAAGGGGACAGTCGTGACTATCCTGGCACTTCGAAGTTCCATGTCCACCGGCGATTGCATGCCGCGCGGGCGGATCTTCAGGCAATAAGAATATAAACACTCACGCGCGGGAAGCCGCCCAGATGACTTCAGGGCTCCAATATGACGGTCTTTCACGGTCTTTCTCACAGGTCGAGGTGTGTGAGTATACGACGAATGACGGAGTATCTGCTGGTCATCGTCCCCAATGGAGACTGTGCAAACGGTTTCTGTGGCGTTCCGGTAGTGTGGATGTCGGACGGAGGAGATGCCTGATTGATCCTTTACGGATGGACTGTGCACAGTTCCCCTCCGCCTCTTCCATGGCCAATTGTGATCAAGGACCGTGCGAACTTTCTCCTTGTAACTTGTACTTGTGCTGTACGGAGTACTGTAGACGTGGAACGCGAGACGTGTCAGAAATTTCGCCTGCGTCAGCATCATTTCCCAGGATGCAACTCTGAGTTTTGCTTTTCCATGACAGCGTCACCGACGACCATTAAACACAATAATTACTAAGGTATCTCCGATTTTGGCTATTCGCGCAAGCCAGGGTTTCCCCCTTGCGCCTAATCAGGCTGTCCCTGCGCCAAATTTATGGGCTCCATCCAAATCGACAAAGGGGGGAGGGGGGAGTTTTTAGCGTCACTTGCTGAGATGGTGAGCGACTGATACAGCACGCATCAGGGGCTCGAGAGCAATCCACCACATCCCAGTGAGCTCCTTCAAGCCCGTCTTTGCTTTTCCATGGCAACTACGAGCTGTGACTCGGGACCCAATTCATCGTCGACCACAGTGTGGAACGTTGCGCAGAGGTCCCTGAACTTGGTTCCAACCCACTTATGATCATCGTCTCTGGCGTTGAGTAGATGGGCCTGGAAGTTCTGTATACGGTTGGGGAAACCTTCCAATGTCTTCACGGCCAGTCTGTCCGCCACCTCCGCAACTGTAACCCTCCATGCGGCACTCAGGTCGTTTCGCCAGTTGGGATCGACTGCATAGTCGTCCACGAAATCACCACACCCATAGACGATCAGTCTGCCTTTGTATACCTCGACCCCTTGAATATGATGGCTACTGTGGCCATGGACAATATCGACGTCGCATGCATCGATCAGCCAGTGTGCTGTTGCAACAATCTCTTGTGATGGCTGCCATCGGTAATTCGGTCCCCAGTGCATAGAGACGAGTTTCAGCGCTGAACGTCCTTCATGCCGGTATCGTTCGATCTCGTCGTCGGCCTTGATCTGTCTCTCCATGAACTCTCGACTCGTCCCTGTGTAGTCAATCAGATTGAAACACTCCTCGCCTCTCCAGTCCGTCGGGTGATCCGAGAAACTCCAGCACTTGACGGTCCAGCTGCCTTTCCCAAGCTTGACAATACCCGGCTGAGCCGCCTCTTCCACGGTTCTTCCTGCCCCGGCAAATCCGACACCCGCATCGTGGAGTGCCTGGACTGTGTCGAGTAACCCTTCCCTACACCAATCCAGAGTGTGATTGTTTGCGAGAGACACACTGGCTCTGTGTGATCCGTCACCCAAGCCCAACTCTTGTAGACATCTAACGTTACCAGGATGACTTCGGTAGTTGAACACTTTTCCGGGCCAGGGCGTCGTCGTTGTGGTTAATGCTGTTTCCAGATTGACAATTACACCGTCTGAACTTCGAATGAGGTCGACGGCATTGCCCCAGGGTGAAAGATAGTGGTACGAGTTGAGTTGAGGGTTCCTCGGTAAGATGTACTCATCAACCTTCTGTGCGGCATCTTCTGGGCAAGACTCGGGCTGTTCACGCGCAATGCTAGTCGGGAGGAGGGCATCGATAAGTCGGCCTATCATCAGGTCACCGATCAAGAGGATAGTGAAGGTCCTTGTCTCCGGCCCATCTTGACAACCTGCGGCGGCACTCATGTTCGGACGATCTCCCAAGCACGGCTTTCGTGTCTTGTGACATCGACAGAGACGGAGGCCCGCCAGGATACGCACATCTCTCGAGGCGAGCTACAAGCCTTCATGGAAGGACGGATTGACAGATCATGCGAAACTTGCAGCATCGTAAGTCCTGGGGCAGTACAATAAAATACCATAGGCGAGGATCTCGAGGCGACATCCCATGAGTAGGGAGAGTGAGAGATGTGATGAGGATGAGAAGACCTAGGGACACCCAAAGGGCCGCGGGGTTTGCGAACGTAATCAAGTCAATGGCTTGCCCCCGGATGGCTATATCCGGTGATCTGCACAGTGCGACCAGAACTGCCCTCCGCAGAAAGGACAATGCGATCAGAAGCCCTTGGCGACCTCTCAAACGCCGGGAGAGTACGACCATATGTCGGGGAAGGCTGTCACCTACTTATACAGATCCCTACGGTAGCTGAGTGTACACATGCAGTACATAATAGTATGTCTCAATGGATGTACGCTAAGCCCAGAAGAGAGCCGGCAAAAACAGCATGTTAGTTGCCTAGATGGGTAGGCCAGGGACTGTCGCTTGTACTCGTGCCAACAACTTTCTTGGCGCGTAGAAACTCACGGCGACAAAATTATTCTCACGGCCCAGAGTGAAGAGAACGAGCCTTGCGGCGGATTCATTTCCAGGTTCCAAACAACAACGCTTCTCGAGGTGCTTGTCTTTCTTACTCAGAGCATATCATCCATCCCACTCTTGAAAGGTTTCCGGAAAACAACAACGGAAGCCCATCATGGACGATTCAACGGCATCGCCATCCACGCCGCGTCAATATGCCAACTTCCGCTCCGCGGCCTCGACGAACTGGCGCGTCAAAGACGACTCACCGCGCGTCGAACAGCAACAATCACGCAGCCGTACTAACACCCCCCGTCAACAGAACGGTGGTGGCGGCGGCTCGCCATACACTGGCGGTGCGGCTGAGGACGCGGTCCCGGGCACGAGGCTGTACGTTGGCAACCTGCTCTACACGGCGCAGAAAACCGACATTGAAAACCTCTTTGCCGAACACGGCTTCACCGTCGCCGGCGTGAGTATCTCCACCGATCCCTTCACGGGTCGGAACCCGAGCTACTGCTTCGTCGATCTGGACTCTCCCGAGGAAGCGCAACGCGCCATTGCCGAACTCAACGGCGTCGATGTCCTCGGACGCGTGTTGAAAGTGAGTCCCGGCGTCGCCAAGCGCGGATCAGCATCTGGTGGCCAGAACGGGACCGGCAGTGTCGGTAGAGAAACCCGCACGAAGACCTACGAGCGTGGATATGCGCGAGATGTGAGAGAGGAACGAAGTAAGTTTTTTCATTTTCTCTTTTCTGGGGTGGTTCTTCTTCCTACCTTTTTTTTCAAAAAAAAATTATCACGTCACTCGCGCTCTAGACCTATTTCTAGACTGGTATAGACACTGACCAACTCGTCTCATTCAAAAGGCGGCGACTACAAACCCACATTCGACCGATGGTCTCGCACGGACGCCAGCTCACACTGGCAAGCACCGCAGAATGAAGGACGGAGACTGTACGTTGGCGGTCTGCCGCGCATCGAACCCCAGGCCGCGCTCGACGAGGAGATCCAAGTGCTCTTCTCCACGACCGACGTGACGCCCTCGGCCGTGTCGAAGCTGATTTCGCCGCACCCCAGCAAGGCCTCGGAGCCCGGGAATCACTACTACTGCTTCGTCGACGTGCCGCGGGCCGAGGACGTGGACGTCGTGATCGAGCAGCTCGCGGGCAAGGAAGGGTCCTGGGGCGGTCCACTACGCGTCAGTCGCGCGAGGGGAGGCGACAGGAAGGTCACGAGGGAGCAAGGCCTGAACGCCGGTGGCGGAGAGCGAAGGTCGGCCGGGCCGGGCACGTGGAGACGAAGGGACGATCAGGATCAACAGCAGCAAGTGTCCAGTGAGTGAGGGACCTTTTTAAGGATGATTGCTGGGAAAAAGAAAATGAATTGACCAAAGAGATTCCTTCCAACTTCCAAACTTCCGACGAACGGGAGGCTTTTTTTGTTTCCAACGATTTACGTGATGCTCCTGTAATGGTGTCCAGGAAGGATGGATGAATTTGGCAAGTGAGCACTGGGCCCTGAGCCATTGAACATTGAGCATTGAGCATCGAGCACCTGAGCTACGGACTAGATTGGAGATCTTGAGCTTGAGCAGACACAAGACCCTCTTGTTGTGTTCTTCGCAGATTGACTTTCCATGTCAACACGACGAGACTCACAAGCCAAGGAGGGATGTTGGTTTTTGAACATGAAAAAACTGAACATGGAACGTCAACAACACAAACACGAACACGAAAAATCACCCAATTTTTTCTTTTTGTACATTACTTTTGGCCATGGGCGCTACTGTCGCCTCCTGCGCACGTGCAGTACTGTATCGAGTCAAAATTCTCGTGTCGCAGGAGGAAAAAGGCCTAGCCAGCCGCAAGAGCGGCGAATATGAACACTATAGCACCATGTACGTTTCCAGTCATTCAAGTCGAGGCTGGCACGGGCCAGACCGTGAGTCGGTCAGTCTATCCTGACAGATCCTGCTCTTTTTAAAACAAGAAACACGGTTCCCAGTTTTGCTTTGTGAGTAATCTTTTCTCACTCTGATCTATCTACCTACCCTTCAATTTCACAGGATACTCTGTCGTCTCGATCTCATCAGGGTACTTGAGCCCGGCCTGTTTTCTCGCCTCGTCCATGACCTCCATGATCAAAATGCTCTCTTGCCACGTCATCGATTCGGACTCGAGTTTACCTTCCAACCACGCTTTGGCGGCAGCGTCGGCCTCGTACTGTTTTAGGTGGTGGCATCAAGTCAGTAACAGTGACAACGCATACACTCATACTCATCGTGTGTGTCAAGAACCAGGAAAGGAGAACGCAAAGACAAAAACTTGTGTTACCAGTTATGAAGCGCACATACCGTCATCCCGTGAGCGCCAGCTTCGAAGGTAAACGTCCTGTCGATGATCTCTTGCCCCTTATCCTTGGGCACAAGTCTATACCGCGTCGGTCGATAAATAGGGCCCCATACTTGGATCTCCCCTTTTTCGCCCTGCACGCGGACCGCAGGCACCTCGACATCTGCCCTCCCTGTGCCTCGTGCGGGGTCGTCACTCACGCGCATCGCCGTGCTCGCGACAGCGTGGGCCTTTGTCTTGCCGCTCGGCGTCGACTTGGGGAACTCAAGCAGGATGATGGTCGACTCATCAGCGTGCGTGCGCGGCTCGAACGTCATCGTCGTCCCCACAACCTTGGGCCTGTCTTGGTCCCGCAGCGCCGGCGACAAGGTATGATATAGCGTCTGAAACACCCAGGTGAGGGAATAAATGCCCAGATCCAAAAGACAGCCGCCGGCGAGGTCGAGATTGACCATGCGGCTGCCCACGTCGAACGTGTCGGGTACGGCCCCTATGCTGAGGTCCGAAGTGACCCTGACGACCTCTCCAATGTCATTGTCCACGATGTGTTTACGTATCGTCTTGCTGAGTGGGAAGTACCGCGTCCATACGGCCTCCATGAAGAACAGGCCCTTCTCTTTCGCCGTCTGGTATAGTTTCTTCGCCTGCGCCGCGTTGACCGTCAAGGCCTTCTCGCAAAGCACAGGTTTGTTGTGTTCCAGTGCCAGCATGGCATTCTGGAAGTGATGCGAGTGCGGTGTGCCAATGTAGATGATGTCGACGCTGGCATCTTTTACCAACTCCTCGTACGATCCGTAGGGCGTGCAAGGGGTAGACTGGGCTGGAGCCACGACTTCTGAAATGAACTTCTCGGCCGAGGATAGGGAAGAGGACGATGCGACGGCCGCAATGACGTGCTTGATGTCCAGGACATTTCGAGTCGACGGGTCGATCAAGACATCCTTGGTAAAAGTGCGTACAATGCCGCCCGTGGCTGCAATTACTTGTTAGTTGAACCGATTGCAGGCTTCTCGAGTAGAGACCGATATCTTACCCATCAACCCCCACCGCACGTGTTTTGGGGCTGCCATAATCACTGACAACCGTACTTGACACCAGGGAGTTTTCAAACTTCACTCCCACGAACGTGCTCTACTCAGAGGTCGATTGGAAACAGCATGATTGTTCGGAGTAGATACCCTACCTTATGTATCTCTGGGGAAAATATGGCGGGGAAAAATCACCACACCGTCATGGAGTGATCTTACCGAACAATTTTGACCCATTTGGAACTTCACCCGCTGGGCGACTGACGAACCCTGCGGATAATTAGCCTGATATGAAGCCAGCCGCGGGCAAGGATAAAAAGTGGTAGAATCCTTTTGACTTCGTAATAAGTCAACATATTGTTGTTATTTTCATCCGCGGCTAGTGAACTCTTGAATATTTCTGGAAGACGTATAGGAGGTACCTGGATATGTCAAGTAGGATACGATGTACACGCACCTAATTAAAATGCCCACAATAAACTCACTTTGAATGAAAAACAAAAGCAACATTGCCAGATCGCTTTCCTGGTGCAAAAGCTCGAATGATGTTCTGAATTAAGGAGGTGTTGATTCGTCTCGCGATATGGCGCAAGGTAAGGACTCAATAGTTAGCTAGGACATTGTGCGCGTTCCCCCGTCATTCACCAATCTTCGCGTTGTTCCCTTGAAGCTCCAAGAAAAGACAGAATCCCCATATCTTGTACACGTTTGCAAACATGGCTAAAGCGTGGAGTGTTCTCATATGTCATTCCCAGCCGCCATTCCAGGCTAGAGAGGGCCCTCGTGCAATAACAACAACCACTTTTGTATCGTGCGTCTTAAAGTTCCAGGATTGGTCCCATTTATCGTGTAAGCCCGATCTTGTTCAGGATGCTGCTCCCTGAAGCACCCTTGGAGTCTCCAAAAACGCCGAGAATGCTCTTCCATACGTGTTCGGGATCTTGGCTGGCATCAATGCCCGCCCAGATACCCTTGGTCTTGTAGTAGCCAACAACCGGGGTGGTTTGTTGATGATATGTTCCCAATCTCTTCTTAAGAGTCTCCGCGTTATCATCGGTTCGCTGGATCAGGGGCTCGCCAGTGATGTCGTCCTTCATAGCTTCCTTTGGTGGGTTGAAGACTTTGTGGTACGATCGTCCAGAGGCAGGGTGGACGAGACGGCCGGTGATACGCGAGACCAGGAGTCCATCGTCGATTTGCAGTTCGATGGCATGCTTGAGAGGTTTCTGTTCGCTTTCAAGCATCTTGTCAAGACCCTCGGCCTGCGCGACAGTACGGGGGAAGCCGTCGAGAATGAAGCTGCTTTCGTCAGTAACACGCACGGCCAGACCGGCTTGTAGATACTTACCCGTTCGCGCATTCTCTGTTCGTTTCCAGCTCGCTCTTGATCATGTTGATCATAATGTCGTCGCTGACTAGACCTCCCTGGTCCATGATCTTCTTGGCCTCACGTCCCAAGGCCGTTTTCTTAGCTACTTGAGCTCGAAGCATGTCACCGGTAGCCTCCATCTTAGGTTAGTGGTCGCTTTGGCTGCGGGAGCGTCGGAAGGTACGTACCAAATGGCAGATGCAGTACTTGTCCTTGATCCGGGGGGCTTGTGTTCCCTTGCCTGGAAATGTTCAGTCAGTGGGCGGGTAGAAGCACAGAGGTAGTCGGAGACTTGCCTGCGCCCGGAGGTCCCATGAGAATCAAGCGCATTGAATCGGCCTTGGACTGCTTGCTGCTGCCGCTTTCTAGCCGCTGTTCGAGCTCCCATATTCTGGCTTCCAGCTTGTGCACTTGGTCTTTCAAGTTCGAAACTACGTCGTCGGTAATTGGTGCCATGGTGATCGGGCGGTAGGAGGAAAAGACCTGACCAAGGTCGGGCGCTTCGTAGGAGAGATAGGAAGGGAAATGAAGAGAGTGAAGGCGATGTCGGCGGAGGGTTCGTGAGAGAGGCGAGGGAGGAACACACAAACTACGAGGACTCGGTAGGTTGAGTTGGATGAATTGCCCCGGGTACAGTTCTATCCAGGAAGTTGAGGAAGCTCTAAACGGGTCTTCGTGTTCTCCGCTGTACCGAGCTCCAGCTCGCAGCCAAACACACACCCGGTCAGCCAAGCAAGTCACGTTTTCCAGCCCTGCGCACCCGAGTCTCGTTTTTTTCTGGGCTGGACAAAGGGAAAATGATCTACCTTTTCCTACTCTGCCCGAACTTGGCCCGCTACACGTCTCTGTGCCTGTTGTGCCGAACGAAGACCAGTAAATCCACAGCTTCACCTAGGAATGCTCCCCGAATAGCGTCGTTGTTCGCGAGACGCCACCTACATATGTATTTCCAGCGAAGCTCCAACCAGCAATCTCACGGATGGCCAAGTACAACAGCATCGTCTACAGGTAGTCGCCAAAACACTCGTCTCCACAGCCATCCCTCGTCGTCAGAGAATCAATTGACCGTCTTCACATGAAGAGATACCCCCATTTGGAAGAAAACTCAGGACCCATCATCCAGCACGCCGGGTCCCACGTGGCTTTTTGGGTCTGAGGGCGAAGAACCAAGTTCGCCATTGTCCAGAGATCTCGAACGAACTCGTCCAGATCGATAAGCCCGTCGAGCAAGATCATGTTGTCTCGCAAACGAGGAAATGGAAACCTATCGATCCACCTAACATGAGGCATGGCCATTTGCAATGGAGTAGGCCTGAGGAATTCCGGCAACTCCAGGTATTCTGGAGGTGACCTTGCCTTGATTCCACCGTCTGGACACCCCGTGCCCTGCATTTCGGCGTGACGACCCAGCGCCCAGTAAATAGGCCACGCTTGCCAACAGAGCAATTGATGGTCACGGCTAAGTACATCTATGGAGCAACGCCATCGGTGAGAGTCATTGAGCAGAGGAGACGTAACCGCAGATAGGATGTTCTTCTGATGTTAAGTTAGCTAGGTGTCTGCGTGACCTTGACAGCAGGTCTAGGAAGTACCTTTTCAGAGCCAGGTACGAGAGCAAGCGATTCATGGTTATTTGAGTGCTCTTCGTCCTGAGTCGGCGGTGATGTGTCCAGGCCATTCAAGAGCCCTGCGTCATGTTGGATCGGCTGCTGCAGACGAGTCTCGCCTGTACATTCGGTCTCAGTCTTGGTCACGCTGTTCCCATCCTGCCTCGAGACCATTCGACTGCCTATGAATATGTCAGAATGTTTCGAAGCTTACCATTGGACACGCTTGAGAGGCCAGCCCTTACGTCTCGCTCGCTGTGCCAATCTGTCCTGGATCCGCTTTCGTTCCCGTGCATCTTCTACCCCGAACCAGTTATCGAATTTTGAATCAATCCTAGGTCGACCGCGCTTGCGCCTGTCTGTCATTTCATTCTCTACTCGCAGTGGAAACGATGCCTAGCCTATTTCCAGACTATTGTGCACATATATGAGAATCAAGCGATGTCGTTACACAAAGTCAGGAACAAAGATTTATGACGAGAGCTGGTTCTCGATACAGGTACTGCGTACCAGGCAAAGAAGGCTAGGAACTCCTATCACCATGAGGATGGTCAACATCAGGTATGCCACTAAATGGATGAGAAATATGGCGGTGAAACTGGCGCCCTTAGCCAGAATGGTTACTAATTATGCAAAGAATTGTGCTCGTTGCCAAGACCTTGTGAGTTTGTCTCTTCATAGGAGCCTCGTTCAATATTTGGCATTCCACTATCATCCAAAGTCATCCATATATCGCCTGCTAATAGGTCCAGAAGACTCAGGACACATACGCTATACCAGCCTTGCAGCCTCGATCCTTTCTTCAGGCCAAGCTAAGACTTCCTTGACAATATCTTCGATATTCTGGGTCGGCAGGCCAAGGACATCGTTATCAGCTTCCACATCCTTCGTGAAGTCTGCTCCAACATTCTCGCGAATAAGATGGGACAAGATCAGAGGAATAATCCCAAGTCTGTTGCCTTGATTCAGCAATTCTTGTCCTGCGGCGATCTCATCGTCAAATTTGATATGCTCAACATCCCATTTCTTCTCAGTAACGGCCTCAAAAACCTTCAGGATCTCATTCTGGCTCGTCCGTGTCGAGTATATGTATATGAACCGATTCTTGACCTCTTCCGGTTTCTTGAACGCCCGCGCAACAGCGAGACCGATGGTAGGTAAGGTTGTCGCGGTCCATTGCTCATCGCCACTATCATATATCTTTGCCCGCTTGTCCTCGATGTCAAATCCAATGAAGCCATTTGAAAGACCCCTGTTCATTCACCGGGTCAGCACCGGCCTGCAATGCAGTCTGCGGAAATGAGGAAGAAAAATCATTCTCACCAATCCAAGAAGGCACCCGTTGTGATCGCCGTCCAGGACAACCCTTTCTTTTCCATCTCAATCAGATGTTTATGAATCGCTTCTTTGGCGTCATACAATGGAGTCTTGACCCCGAACTGCGCTTTGGCCTTGTTCCCGCCGAACTCTGCAGGAATGAACCACTTGACGCCCGCTTTGACAGCCAGGTCGATAAAGGCGATTTGTTTCGTGACCCCGCCCATGTTCACAGAGCAAACGACGGCATCTTGACCTTGGAACGCCTTCAGGACCTCCTCATCCGGATACGAGTCGTCGACACGGTGCACGGTAACGTGGAACGGGAAAGTCGACTTGGAACTCTGTCGCGCAAGGACGGACACGGTAAAGTCCGGGTCGTCATCGAGTGCCTTTAGAATCCATGGGCCAATGTTTCCTCCGGCCTGTCGAGTCGTAAGATTTTGTATCTCGAAGTATCCCGAAGTAAAGCAAGAACAGATCGTGCTGGACTCACACCAATCAGCGTAACTTTTCTGATCTGAGCCATCGTTCGTCTTCCCGATGTTACAAACAGACCAGCACCCTACCGGCTTGTCACAAGCAATAGAATGATGTCTGCCGGTAGGCTAGAGTATCCCCCTTGATATCGGGTAGGTGAGGTTCGATTGTAGTTATAGCTCTTTCATGCCATGCAGGCATTTGCAATGACATAATTTATGCACATCTACTGGACCAGATAGCTTACAAACACTGGTCCTCTCGGGGGTTACTGCAATCTACAGTAGGTACCCTTAGGACAGGCCGCACGTAGCTACAACAGCACGGTACCGAGTGATGCTAATGAGGGGATCTGATATAATCCGCACGTTATATTCTGACAAAATGCGGCTTCGGGCTGACCTTGATGCGACACAGATGCCCATGGTCATTCATCGGCGAGAAGTTCGTCCGACTCGACGGACCAGTTTGTCAAAGACGGATGGACTTGACTTTCCAAGATATTGCAGCCATGGTGATCGATATGATGTCTCGCCATATCTACCATTTGCATGAGAACTTCCATGAAACTGACAAACTCCACCAAAGCGGTGAGGTGTGATCGTCATTCCGACAACGGGCCCAAAGCGAGATGATCCTCAACTGGCGCCCAGTCCCGAGCATCGGAGTCCGTCGCAGGTGAACCTATACGGGATGCCTTGATTTCTGGAGGCCTGGGTGACGCCTTCCAGGCAAGTTTCGTTCTGGAAAAGCATATGTTGGGAATTTGGTGTGCAGTCTTCTTGCGCCGCGTAAGTGCTGGCCATGATATCCTCCTCCACATGGGCGTCATTGATGGTTAGTATTTTATTCCTTCACAGCAGCAGCATTAGACATGTCTGCTCTGCGGAATCTTTCATACTCTCGTGTCTGGTCTCTGAATGGGTGGGGCATTGGTAGCCAACCATCCATCACTGTCATCACAATTCTACATCCAAGTCAACAAAATTTCATTTCAAGCAAGGTATCCAATTTCATCATCTTGAATAAGAGTGAGTCATAAATGAGGGTCTTCGCCCAATCTGACGATACACGGCACCTGTCGATTTTCACTCTGTTGTAAAGTCCGCAGAACCGAATAAATGGCGGGCACGTACAACGAAAAGTATTGGTGCTGCTTAGCGGGGATAGGAAATAGCATGTCGCCAGACTCCTCGATCGTGAGGGAATGATCACGAACGCTCACGATCGTCTGCCCAAAAAAGCCAAACCTTCAGTGGCGTCCTTGGTGTGACATCGATGTGGTCGTCAAGCTTATTCAGCATTGACGCCTGTTGAAGCATTTGTTCGGAAGCTTCCGAGATGTATTGAAAACAGATATTCATATATATATAGTTCTGTCTGGAAGTAAACATGCGGCGCCTGGGATCTGCAAACGGAAAGAAAAAACACTTCAAGTCCAGAATCAAACAGAGAACAATGTCAGAGCTCGTTTGGCTGATCACTGGATGTTCTTCGGGCTTTGGTGAGCAATTTGTCCACAGCGTCCTGGCCCGTGGGGACAAAGTCATTGCTACAGCTCGCAAAATTGACAAGATCCAGCACCTGCAGCAGGCAGGAGCCACGATTCTGCAACTCGACATCACCGACAAGCAACAGCAAATTCGAGACACAATAGCGGCGGCGATTAAGGTACACGGCAGAATCGATGTACTGGTCAATAATGCTGCTTACATAGCGATCGGGACATGGGAGGATCTCGAGTACGTATGATGATAACTCAGAGACCTACCATTTGCTTACATCAAAGCGACAGATATGAAGACTTTCTTGCAGAATTCGACACCAACGTTTTCGGAACCATCAAGGTGACTCGGGCTCTTCTCCCACACTTTCGAGAGCGGCGATCAGGAACCATGGTCTTCATAGGCTCCTTGTCAGGCTGGGTTGGTCATGCCGGATGTGGTGCATACGCTGGCTCCAAGTTTGCTCTTGAAGGTAGGGCAATTTCTGTTCCGTTTGGAGATAAGAACGCTGTGCTGACATGCACGATCCAACAGGGCTGGTGGAAAGCCTATCGCGTGAGACTGCCCATCTGGGGTTCAAGACGCTCCTCATTGAGCCTGGTAGATTCCGCACAAAACTGCTCTCGAGTGGAAACATGAAATCCGTGGCATCGGCGATTCCAGATTATCAAGAATTTTCGCAGAATTTGCTGAATGGATTGAGCCAGTCGGATCAGACTCAACCAGGCGACCCGGTGAAACTGGCAGAGATCATCTTGGACCTAGTACGGCAGGAAGGTGTTGCTGCAAGTCGAAATGTTCCGTTGAGGATCCCTCTTGGAGTAGACTGCTTCGAGGAGCTAAAGGCAAAGTGCGAGGAAACCCTTGAGTTGCTGAAAGAGTGGGAAGCCACTATTAAGAGTACAAACCACGACGACTAGCACTGTAGCATACAATGGCACTGGGCCTCGTCTTTCCTGTGTAAGAAAACGCGATGAAAATCGATGTGAGAGAACGTCGAGGTTTGGCGAGCGTAGTATACCATCTGCAGTTAACTAGTCAAGAACCTGGTTAGTCAGCGCAGCGACAGCATCTCCTCAAATACTCCACCGTAAAGTATACGGCAAAGTATAAGGCCCAATGTTGTCAATGACGGTCCAGGATGCTGTTGTCGTGTCTCCGACTGCCTGCGCTGCTCAAATTAACAAGATACCACCAGGCCAACCATCATTGAACATATCTACTATTTTCCAACCGATTTCAAGCGTGCAGCTCCTATTGTAATAGGCTACTGGGCCCAGCAGACAACCTCCTTTTCCACCTGGTACACCATTGCCCTCCCCATCTCCCTCTTGCCTACTTCCCTTACCTCAGTCCGCACCTGGTCAGCATGCCAGCCACAACGGCAGAGACTCTTTCCCTTGTGAGCCGACAGGTATCGGTCGCGCCACTGGTCCTTCTTTCAGCAGCCGATCACTATGGTCGTTCAGCCAAAGGCACGCGGAAGCGAGTGGTAGGTGTTCTTTTGGGACAAAACGACGGCAAGAATGTCCGGGTCTCAAACAGTTTCGCAGGTTAGTCGGCAAGCTCGAGACTATTATGCGCAACTGACACTTTGTAGTCCCCTTCGAAGAGGACGAAAAGGACCCATCAGTATGGTTTCTAGACCACAACTATGTCGAATCTATGCGAGAAATGTTCAAGAAAGTCAATGCTCGAGAAAAGCTGATAGGCTGGTATCACTCGGGTCCGAGATTGCGAGCTTCTGATCTGGAGATCAATGAGCTGTTCAAGAGATACACTCCAAACCCGCTCCTTGTCATCATCGATGTCCAGCCAAAAGAGGTTGGGGTGCCCACGGATGCGTACTTTGCGATTGAGGAAATCAAAGATGATGGCACGACCACGTCAAAGACATTCGTCCATACTCCCTCTATAATTGAGGCTGAGGAGGCTGAAGAGATCGGAGTTGAACATCTTCTCAGAGATATCCGAGACGTCGCAGTAGGAACTCTGTCAGCACGAATCACTCAACAACTCCAATCCTTACAAGGTCTGCATCTACGGTTAAGAGACATCGGCGCATATCTTCAAAAGGTCCTTGATGGAGAACTCCCCCTCAACCACGCGATCCTAGGAGACATCCAAGACATCTTCAATCTTCTCCCCAACCTGACCACACCTCCTGCATCACGACCAAACGGGAAGAACCAGGTCGAGAATAGCGAGCTGGCCCGGTCCATGAGCATCAAGACTAATGATCAATTAATGACGATCTATTTGAGCTCCCTCGTACGAGCCATTACCGCCTTCCACGATCTGATCGACAACAAGAACAAGAACCGACAACAACAGGAGGAGAAGGAGGCGAACAAAGATGGTGCTGAGAAGAAGGAAGGCGAAAAGGAAAAGGAGAAGGATGAGAAAAAGCCCGTCGTAAATGGCAGCAAGAAGGAAACCGAGGACAAGGGCAAGGGCAAGAAGAAGCCCTAGATGAACTCTAGCGGTGTGGATAGCATCGCATCTGGGCATTCAGCATGGCGTTTGGATGGTACCTCTAGCTAGAAGGCCAGTCGGTATGCATGGCCAAAAAGGGGACGATTATGTACAATACAATACTGCTTAGCAGCAAGACCATGTCAAGCCCTGTCATGAACGGGATTCCGTATCACAGAGTCTAAATTTCTCATCCCGGCTTCACCTTGCTCAAATCGTGTAGAGCATTGATGCACTCTGAATATCAGCGTGAGTGATGACCATCTTCTAGTTAATGGTACCTTTCAGCGATCGGGTCTCGTTGTCTTTCGATATCATGATCTTGAGGCGACCATCCTCTTGTCATGTACTTGTGTACGGTTCTTCGTGCGCATTGTCAAAAGTACCCTCCGATGGGCCTCGGTTCAGCGTGTATCATAGTGTACCGGTGACTAAAGTTCTGGGATGACGCCTTCTCATATCTCGGGCCTGGATCCAAGGAAGATGAACATTCAGAAGAGCCCTGAGGGCCTCCTTTATGCTCCTCGTTTCTTTTCCCTCGCTCGCTCCACGCCTCATCCACCTCCAAACTCACCCCAGCCCGCTCCCCAGCCTACACTCTCATCTCGACTGACCGTCCTAGACGTGACGCCGTGGGCGAACAAGCCCGGCGCCGCCTTAGCCAGCACAGCAGCGAGGATATGCTTACAGGAAGGCGGGCGCGGACTTGAAGTGGACGCCGTATCCACCGCCACGCCGCCGAACCGCCACGTTGAGGACTTGGATTCGCCCTTACCTTGATTGTTCGTCCACCTATGTGGAGGGCCTGCGGGCACTGGCTCTGCCTCTGTCTTTGTTTCGTAGTGACCTTTCATCATCAAGCTATGGAACGCACTCACACTGAACGCGGGACACGTACAGTTCCAGCTATCTAGACGGACTTCGTAGAATGGTGCAGCGCCGCTGCTCGTCTGTTTGCGGTGATGGCTAGTTGCTGCTGCTGATGATGACGAAGAAGCGCTCGAGGATTGGATGTAGAATACCTCGTCTCTGAAGTGATTAGGTTCTTGTCCTTCTAACGTCTGATGTCCCGCAGAAAGAGGAGCAGAAGCAGAGCCGGAGGGGCCTGACGACGACTCGGTGGGTTCACTGACAAAGTGTGAATCTATGATCCCAGTAGCACAAACTTCTGGCGCTTCGAGCGTGATCAGTCGCGTCACCAGGCCACGGTCGAGGAGGTCGAGAGCCGGCAGAAGCTCGTGTGGGAACAAGACATGTAGTGTGAGGAAGAGGGAGCGGGCCCGTTGGTTGTCTTGTTCGGATAACGCATGCAGAGGGTTCAACGTGGACGAGCCATGCAGGGACTGCGGATGTGAGGGGGAAGACTGACATAGAGAGCCAAGAGAGTCGAATATCGAAGTCATATCATGAGGAGATGATGGTGATCCCGAATGGGTTGTCCGTGATTCCATAGTCCACGGATATCTGCTCAGGCAGTCGTTGAAAGTGCATGTAGAAACATCCTTCGTCTCCGCTCTATCGTGATGTGTCTAGTTGGTCTCGAATGAGACCAAACTGACGCCGTCGAAACCCTTTCTACACAGCCTGGTCCAGTCTTGCATGGCGAGGTTGTTTACAAAACGACTTGGCATATGTGTTCTGCCGTATACTCGTGGATGTCACGTGTAAGTGCGGTAGAGCTTATGGATCTTAAACGCAGTATCTCCTGGACGCAGACGAACATAGATGCAAACATGAGTACACAAGACCGTCTTCGCACGTGCCGTCTTCGAGGCATTATCTTCCCGATTATGAAACTCGTGCATAAGGCTGTTGATCAAGCCTCGATAGCACAATGAATCCCCAATCTGTATTCGATCGTGCGCACACTCTCCCTGTACCATGGACGGAAGCGATTCACCGGCGAGTTCAAAGGTGATCATACAATGTATCGATCCTCATAATCTCTACGACAGCCTCGAACCTCGCCTTTCTCAAAGAAGCCCTTTGCGTAATCTACATTGGAAGTCACCCACTCGTCCGTTACGATCTATACCCGCCCTGAACATCACCCTTTCGAGAGAGGATCAGTCTGCTGGAACGGCTTCGAATGTCCGCAGGCATCAAATCCCTGGCTTACGAGAGACACCTTACGTGAAGCTATATCTGCTCCGTTGCGATGACAGGGAGACGTACAAGGAGAAAGCGAGAAAGGAAGTGCGCCAATGGGTCAAGTCGCAAATATCCGCTGCAGATGGGAAATCAAACAAGAACCAGGAGGACCATGACGCCTTTGAATGGCTGATAGTTCACGTGGTGCTGGCCAACACCCCGGCCGCCAGCCAGCCGCGGTCATCGAAACACATATCTTTGGAAACAACGGAGAGCACCGACAGCGTTAACAGCAAGTCCAAATGGTCCGGCAAGAGCTCCTCTACCATCTTCGATAGACTACGCGCAGACTTCAACAGCGGCTCCAAGTCTCCAATCAATCGTGTCGCCCAAGTCAGACTTCTGAATTCACACGACAAAGGTACGCCGCTGAGCCCTGCAGATCTCGAGGAGCAATGGCAGGAGCTCATTGACAGCATCAAAGCCTGCATACTGCGCTCGTTCGATGCACGAGTTGCGCAGTACGAATCAGACATAAGGGAGAAAGACGGCCAGAGATCTCTTCCGGGATGGAACTTTTGCACTTTCTTCATCCTGAAAGAAGGCCTGGCCAAAGGCTTCGAAAGTGTTGGTCTACTGGAGGATGCTTTGGCCGTTTATGATGAGCTTTCGCTTGGTCTGGACAACCTGGTGAAAGAACAGTTCCGAACAGGCGATAATGAGGATAGCGGCGCTCTCTTAACCGTTTCCAAAGAATCAAAAGCTCTACTTCGTGCTGCTCTTGAGGTTGAGGATTCTTCGTCCAGCAATGACATCTCCAAACAAATGTTGGATCTCCAAGACATATTGACTGTCGATCGTGAACAATTCCCATTTGATGCCGAAAGGAAAAACTATCAAAGCCTGATTCTAACAAATGATGTCTCTGCTCTGGATCTGAGAATATACTTGTTTGCCCGCCAAATGGAGCTTTTGCTGCGGCAAGCACGGGCAGAGGCGTCTGATAACACTCCCGGATCCAAATCCAGTGTAAATCTTAATATTTTGGCGGATCTTGCAGAGCGTGCTAATGAGTTCATTAACCTGGCTGCCCGCAGTCTGCGAATGGAACTTTATGGCGCCTGGGGAGGCCATGAAGGACTGAGCGCGGATGAGTTGTTCACGCAACGTGCCGTGACTGGCAATATCGTCTCGACATTTGAGTGGCGAGCGGTTATGCAGATAATGAGTAAAGTACTGCCATCGCTGGAGCTAGATGTCGAATATGGCACTGGGTGGCTATCACTGGACTCTGTCGAGCTCTTTCGGATTATGGATAAAAGCTCAACACATATTCAAGAGGCACGCAATCGCTCGAAAAGAATGTCGCTGGCTGTCGACTCCCGCTCTCCTTCACGTGAGCGTTCTCAAGGACCTCACCACAAGAGGATATCTGTGATTCCCGAGGAGGCCACTACACGCCAGGTTGTATTTTCGCGACCTGGCGCAGAGAGGCTTGCGGTTTGGATTTCGAGACTTGTTATAATGGCAAGACGTGCAGTATCGAATCTGGAGGCGGTGCAACCGTGGCTGGTGGAAATGAAACGTGCCGCGTTGCATTATGACTTGAACATAAACAAAAACATGACAAACGGGATGGCACGGAGGTCATCAATTTTCAAAGCAGAAGACCAAAAGCAAGCCACCGACAAATCTGCCTCGATGGCCGGCCTGGACTCCAATACATTGACAGCAGCTGCATCCTCAAAATCGACTTTTCTCGAGCTCTTCGCGATGTTGTCGGTCCTTGCATATCGAGTAGTCGCAGACACAAGCAGCCATTCTACTGCACAGCAAGTCTTGATTGATCTGGTGGAGCTGGAGTATGCGCAAGGCAACTATGGTCGAACCGCACGATACCTCCACAGCATTCTTGGCCCCCTCCCCAAGACTACCTATAAACCGTCCGACGGCCACCTGCTCCGGATTTATGCTGATTGTCTCAGGCATCTTGACAAGCCTACCGAATATGCCCGCTGCCTCATAGCATACCTGCATTGCGGCTTATATGGTGGCTCTACTGGGAAGCCCAGTGCCACACAAGCTGCGAGTTATGTGGATCAACTTTTCCAGACCCTGCCGAAAATCGATGTAACAACTCTTCCGATGTCCACCTTATTCATGATTCCTCGTGTTTCAAAGGCCATCACTCATGTCGCCAGCCAAGATGGATTCGCTTTGAGAATATCTCTTCAACCACTGTCTCCTATGACCGTTCCACTCATTAGCGAAGTCAAATTGCGACTAAGCTCCCAAGCTATTGAACCACGATTCATATCTCTCACATTATCTGAAAGTGCAGCGATCGAAGAGGTGGGGACAGAACTCTTTCTAAGCACTACAGTCATGGCCCAAGGTTGGTATATGCCTAGTGAGCTCGAGGTTAACATCGGTAAGCTACGGCTTTTACACCATTTTCGGTCGACCCAACATGACGAAGGTTTTCCAGTTGAAGATTCGCCGCTTGAGCAAGCCGTGGTTGTTCCGGTCCTGGTATACCCTGGTGAACAATCTATGAACGTTGATATTGTTCATGCCCCAGTCGTGCATCTCGCCGAGACGCGAAAGCTGCTTGTCAATCTGATGCCAGGCCACAACAGCGTGAGCCAGTGTAGGCTACGTCTTAAAACAGCGACAGCGGGACTGAGGCTCAATATTCATGAAGCAAAAGCTCATGGCAAGGGACAGACCCTTCAATCTTTACGTACCGCCCGGGAGGGCGACGCTCTCATGATGTTTATCGATGATTTGAAACCATACTCCAAAAGCTCGGTGGAGATTCCATACTCTTTGGAGACCCAAACCGAACCCTCGGTAGTGATCCGAGTTGAGGCCAACTACCAGACGAATAAGGGAACGTTCGAGTTGTACGACACAGCGTCTGTCAATGTGATTCTTCCAGTCACTGTCAATGTGCAAGATATCTTCAGGGATACCTGTATGTATTCACGATTCACTATCAGCCCCTCAACGCTAGTGCCATTGCGGCTGGTACGTTGTGAGCTGGAAAGAAATCAAGCATACCACTCCGTCAATAGTGGCGACTTCGACCAACCAGAAATGGTGTTTCCGAAGCAGCCGGCTAGCTGGACCACCAGGCTTGTCCCGTCCACACCCACCGCCATCGGCGTCACACAGAAACTCACACTTTGTGTTGACTTCCAAGCCGTTGACGAGCTCATCCTGTCGAGTCTCGAGGACAACTTTATATCTGAGCTTTCTAAAACTCGTCACCATGGTACTGCAAGACTCTTGGCAGGACATCTGCGAAATCGTGTTCGAACTTCATGGACGGAACAAGACTTGGAAGTGGCTGCCCTGACCGAAGAGGTTGAAATTTGGAGTATGGAAGACATGGACTGGCAGTCCGTTTTGTGTGCACTCGATTCTCAGACAAGGCGTGAGGTTGAGTTGTGGCTACAAGACTGGCACGCACAAACCAAGCCCATCAAACTTCTCGTCGATAAAGCTCAAACAAGGCAATTGAAGCTATATGTCGACATCGCACCGCATCCATTACTTATCACGGCGTGTCTAGACATCCATTGCGCCAAACCAGAAAGTCCGACTGCAATCGTGGGGCAACCCATGTTGGCGGATCTTGTGATGCGTCTTTCAAATGCGAGAGAAGATGAGGTCACTGCGCAGTTCGAAGTTAGTAATTCGGACTCGTGGCTGGTGGGTGGAAGACGCAAAGGCCATATGCAACTGAGCAGCAAAGCGAGTCGAACCCGCGTGGTCTTGGTCCCACAACATATTGGGCATGCACTCCTACCGACCATTACAGTCAAATGTCGAAAGCAGAAAAAAGGTAGCGGCGGTGAAGAGGTGTGGACTGAGGTGGTGAGTGATGTGCACAATCCAATGCACGGGCGTTGCATTGAGATCATCCCCAGCATACGAAGCACGACGGTCGAAGTTTTTGGAGATACACCGACTGACGGAAGTGGACGATTGTTATCGAGCCGATGAAGATGCTCAATACAAGCATGAGCACGAGGCCGAGTGCAGACCATCCAGATTATACGGAGTAAAGATTGTGTAGCCACCTCCAGCTTCGCCTTGACAATGAGAACGATAGAATGCAGGGAACTCCTTAGCACGTTAGCTCACTGGGATCTGCAGGCACCATCTCGCAGGGACGCCATTCCTAAAGACGACAAGAGCCTCGGCACCAACCGAGGATCTAAACTGTAAAGCTCTTAGCGAGATACAGGGGTCGGGATGGGATTCGGACAAGCGCCAGGGGCCAGGCCGGGCCACTCACATCCCACTTCCAAGTCTCGCCTCCCCAACAAAACTGTTTTCGTGCAGGGTGCCACCTCGAGGCAGTTTGCGCACCAGACCGCTGTCACGGCGCCACGATTCGTCATTGATCGTGACTGTCCCTGGGTGCAGGCCGAGTCGACTCGCCTGGAGCTTTGTCTGACACAGCACGATCCCAGCAGTCAAGATTTCGTCCTCCAGCATGTGAAAGACTGCACATGTCATCCAGCCTCGGTCGGCCTCGTTCGGCTAGAATCCTCTAACACTGCCATCGGTCTGTGGCGAAATAGAGCAGCATGTGCTTGAGATGATTGATCTCAGTGACCCATGGCGAGCTGTTCTTGGCCATCCACGACAGGCATACAAGAACCACTGACAGCTCCACGATGGCGGGAGGTAGCGGGTCTGTTGGAGAGATCGCCCACAGAAAATGCGCCAACGTTGGCAAAAAGCATCCAGAGTCGATGCTGAGCGAAAAGATCGACGGGCAGAAAGGGTCGAAGCATGGTACGGAGTAGTCAGAGTCACATCGAGAAACAGGGCGAGAACGAAGACGGTGAACAGCAGCATTCGCCTCTCTGGGCTTTTTTTTACACCGATACTTTGGGTTTGCTGGATCAGGGCTCGTCCCAGCGCCTATGGGCAGGAGGAGATGTTTAGTGTCCTGCACGAGAAGGCTCACGGGTATCTGGTGTATTGGTCGGTCCGTCTGACGCTGGCTGGGCATATTGGAGAGTGAGTGACATGACCGCTCATGAGACAGCCCTGACGATCACCACACTCGTACTCATCCGTATACGAGGTAGGATATGCTGTACGCTGTTCTGTCAGAGAAACTTGGTCACCGCCGCCATCGAGCCCCCACCGACATATGTACTGTAGAATACAATAGCTGTGGAGCTGGAGCCAAGGGGTCTTGAGCCTCCCACTCGGCTGTGCAAGGTATCGACAGTCATGTTTGTACTTGAACAAGAATCTACTGGGGGTTTGGGCTAGGGAGGGCTAGTGTGATACGTCTACTGTAGTGCAACGATCTGGTCAGGGACTTTGTTCGGCACGTTTAGTGGAGTCTCTAGGCGTGGCATGAGCCCCGAGGGAGAACCATTACCAGGCCATGGACCCCTAAGAGAGATGCTGGTCGGGGTTTGTGAGGGGCAGCTTCGGCAGTCCCTGAGAGGGAGTTCTGACCGCCTAGAACCCCGGGCGCAATGTGAGTGGCCTGTTGGGCCTGGACGGGCCAAGGGACCGCGGGTTGCCCTGAGTTTAGTGCGATTAGCTAAGGCTCTTAGTTGGTGCTGGTCCTCTTTCAGAAATCGTTGAGATTTGGCCGCAGCTTCAGCTTCTGCTTGCTCGCTGTCCACAAAAAATCAGAATCTTTTTTGCCCACAACTTTCTACTATCAGTCACTCGTGGTAGCCCAGTCTCTGCATCTGTAGCCAATACAAGACGCGTGCTCCAGACTCGGCTCCACCCGACATGTCTCCCTCCCTATCAGCACTTGTACAATGCAGTCCCTGACATCGGAGCCCTGTCCACTCCATTGTCCCTACTAATATCCCGCTACCTCTCCCGCATTTTTACCTTGAGACGAAGCTCTCACCCTCTCTCTACGCCTTGTGCCCGTAGATTGTTTGTCTTCCTGCACGACACTGAGCTTGGTTGTGCATTCCTCTCTTTGATCTCTCCTTGTTGTGAGCGCTTCCTCAGGGACACCTTCACTGTCCCCCTTGTGCTTGTGGCAGACAACGACGCCTGCGTCCCAACAAATTCCCAAGCTCTCATTCTTCCCCGACCTCTACTCTTCCACGCCTCCCTAGGTCACCTAGATCGCCTGGAGAATCATGACAACAACCGCTTTGCCTGCAGAGACGGCTCTGCGCCGCATGGGAACGACCGAATCCACTCCCATGTCGTCGACCAACATCTCCCCTCTCGATAGTCCGAGATCCTCTCCCTCCTCGACTTCGCTGTCCTCTCTTGCGTCGGAAGATGCCCTTGAGCAGAAGAAGCCCGTCGTGGGAAAGAAACAGCTGGTGGACACCTACGGCAACACCTTTGAGATCCCAGATTACACCATCAAGGACATCCACGATGCCATCCCAAAGCACTGCTTCGATCGGTCTGCTGCCACTGGTCTCTACTATGTTGCACGAGACGTCGTTTCCCTCGCAACCACCTTCTACCTCTTCAACCGATTCGTCACTCCTGAAACGGTTCCGTCGACACCGCTCAGAGCTGGACTCTGGTTTCTGTACACCGTCGTGCAGGGTCTCTTTGGTACAGGCTTGTGGGTGTTGGCCCACGAATGTGGTCACCAATCGTTCTCCAAGAGCAAGGTTCTCAACGATACTGTCGGCTGGTTCTGCCACTCGGCGCTGTTGGTGCCGTATTTCTCGTGGAAGATCTCTCATGGCAAGCATCACAAGGCCACCGGCCACCTGGAGCGAGACATGGTCTTTGTTCCAGCCACCAGACAAGAGTGGGCCACGAGGAGAGGGTATCTGCTCCACCAGCTGGATGAACTTACTGAAGAGACTCCTCTCAACACCGCCTACACCCTCATCTCCCAGCAATTGGGAGGTTGGCCCATGTACCTGCTAACCAACGTCACTGGCCACAACAAGCATGAAGGCCAGCGCGAAGGACGTGGTGTAGGCAAGCACAATGGCTTCGGCGGTGGTGTCAACCATTTCAATCCCAACAGCCCCTTGTATGAGGCAAAGGATGCCAAGTTGATCGTCCTCAGCGATCTGGGTCTTTTGATCATGGGTGCGATCCTGTTCTGGGTTGGCAAGACCTATGGCTTCTCGAACCTTTTCGTGTGGTACTTGGCTCCGTACCTTTGGGTCAACCACTGGCTGGGTAAGTTGTGAATCTGCGATGCATTCGGAATTCTTTTGCTGACAAGATCTCAAGTGGCCATCACGTTCCTGCAACACACCGATCCATCTCTCCCCCATTACACACCCACCTCCTGGACCTACACTCGTGGTGCGGCAGCAACCATCGATCGTGAATTTGGCTTCATTGGTCGTCAACTTTTCCACGGCATCATCGAGACCCACGTGCTCCATCACTATGTCAGCGTGATTCCTTTCTACCATGCTGATGAAGCCAGCGACGCCATCAAGAAGGTCATGGGCCGTCACTACCGCAGCGACACTCGCGGTGGACCCATTGGATTCATCAAGAGCATGTGGAACTCGATGAGATGGTGCCAGTGGGTTGAACCTCTGGAGGGCACCACTGGCGATGAGGCCGGGGTCATGTTCTTCCGCAACCGAAATGGTCTGGGTCTGCCACCCGCCAAACTGGAGAAAGCTGCTTCATCTTAAGCGGTTTTCTCCTTACGACTAGCATTTCGCTCAGGAGTTTTTGCCTGTGGATGATGACAGACAGGGAGGGCTTGATTGGCGTTACCTCTTTGGACTGATGCCGTAAAGTGGCTTGAGTAGAACATCAGCGAGACTCTTAGACCGATGAAAAGACAATAAAGACAACCGATAGACAAGATATCCCGAGCTCTCAACAGTATGAGGAGGGATTGTACTCATATGGAGTCACATAGATCAATGAGAATCAATGAGAAAGTTCTTTGGATGTCTTGAGGGTTGAAGTGAGGAGCGTCGAACAACAAGCTCTTTTAACCTATGGAATAGTCATGGCCTTGGACTGTTGTGGATGTCTCGGATAGTTGGATCCGGGCTGTACAAGTTGAAGCACTCGTACGCGCCGCCGTCCCTGATGTATTGTGTGGATGAAACCCCCGGTTTTTTCACAGAAACGTGCGGAACTGGTTCACCTTTGATAACGAAGAACTACAGTTGTAGAGAATCCACTTTTGTCGAGGCTTTACTTATTACAGTTAAGCGCTGGCTATTTGTACAGTCCAATCATATGTAACTGTAATTTATCAACTCGAAAAGTTTGAACTGAATTCCTGAGAAAAGGTCTATGTCATTTGAACGGTGTTTATCAGCTTGACTTGGCGTCTTTCCGTCGGAAGTGCAGGATACTGAGCTCCGGTTTTTGTCACGGGGGCTGGATCGAAACCCACGTGAGAGCCCTGCTGGGAAGGTCGGCCGAACACTGAGATATGCGTGCGACGCGTCCTTGTATCCCGTTTGTAGCCTATCCCACGGGTTTTCGAGGTCAGATTAACAGCTGAAATCTTCTCTACATGCCACGACGCGTCGATTCTACATTGCGACTCTCTATATCGATAATTGTGTAAGGCACGGTGATGGGCGTTATATGCGCCCATCCCAATTAGGTTAGCTCCTCCAGATTTGGTTAGAGTGTAAAAATCTTGGCACAACTCAGGTAAACGCCTTTCCATTCTATCTCTGCCTACTCCTCGATCATAACCCTCTCAACAACGTATTCCTTGCTCGCAACAACTTATTATTGCGCCGTCTAGCCATGTTGACTCCTGCCCAACTTGCCGTGGACCAATTGGAGTCCCGATTGGCCTATGAAACAGCCTCAAATGACGAGTTCTATGAGTGCAATTCCGACCGGGAGGCCCTCGGTGATGAGGAGCCTGTTGACGAGGCCCCGGAGGCTTTCGACGACGCGGCCTACAAGGTGAAACTCATGAATTCGTTAAGGAACAACTTCATGAAGGTATCGGAGTGTAATCAACTGTTTCACGTATTCACTCACTTTATGAAGTCTCTATCACTTGTTAGGATGTGGCTAATAAGCGCAACAAGCGTGAGATCATACCACTGAAGAAGCCTGGCAAGGACGATTATACGCTCGACAAGGCGTGGAGGCCAACCTTCCTCCTGGCGACTTTGGGCAAGATACTGGAATCAGTCATTGCGGACAGGATTTCCTACGTGGTCGAGACCCACGGTCTTCTCCCGACCCAACTACTTCGTGGCGCGGAAACAGCAACCCCAAGCGGAGGACTTTTTTTCGCTGCGATCGGCACACGATCACAGCAGAATCTCTATTGCAGAGGACTCTCGGCGACGGCGCAAACCCTGGGCTCGTTACCACCGCTGAGGTCTTGTTAGGATCGCATTACTGACCAGTAACAAGGCAGCGGTGCCCTCGCTGAGACGACCACGTCAACAGTCGGGACAGGAATACATCGGTCGCATTTACGACCCCATTAGGCAACGAAGCAGAGAGGGCAATACAGTGACGGTGATATGGACCTCGGCACATGGTAGCTTAGCTTTAGCTCGCCCTTTCGGCTTTGCCGGAGGGGCGCATAAATTTTTGTATGTATACCACCACGCTGCTGAGACGATCGCGTCAAAGGGAGAGTGACTTCCCAGGAAGGAAAGAGGGTTCGTTGTTAGACTCTCTGTAGTTGTGTTCTTCCACTCGCCTTCATATGTCTCCATCCTTCCACTCGGCGTCACTTCTTTCTCCGATAGACAATCTCCCAGGCTTTGGCTTCCACGCTTTGCAAGTCACCACTCTTGTCCTGCTCGAAGATGAAGTGGTCCAGCGACTGCATACCATAGGTGGGCAAGGATATCGTGGCCCAAGACTGGCAGCTTCCATCAGGGAAAAAAAGCTCGCTGCTGAAGCTGGCGAGCTCCTCTGCCGAAGAGGTCTGATATATCGCTCTCCAGGATGTTCTGTTCCCGGAGGAGAGATCGGTGGGGTACAAGCGAATGGTCGTGTTCACATCTGCACCTTGGAGAGCGCTGTATCCGGAGCTGACATTGACACCGTTGGCGATGAAATTGGTCACCAACAAGCCATAGTCGTCCACGGAGAGTGTGATGCTGGAGTCGTTCCCCGATGTGAATGTTCCAGTGTACTTTTTCGCAGCGGTCGTCTTACCGATTTCATCCACGACGGGCAACACTTGTGTTATCAACGCAGATAAGAGGACTTGGATCTCCGAGATCGAGCTCTGAGCGCCTGCCAGGTTCATGGCAAGTACCAGGTCGTAGTCCGGAATGAGGACCAAAATGTTTGTGTAATCATACAAATTTCCAGTTTTGGTGTAGATGTCGATGACGTGGCCGTCAGAAGTCAGATTTTTGCCACGCACGATCTCCCAAGCCTCACCGACGAACACGCCGGTCGATGATGTGAAGCTGCGTGGTTTCATCCATGCTCGCGTTTTGGCTGGTGACAAGAGATGAGACGACAGGATAGCTTTGCCGAAGCGCAGAAGGTCGTTGTTCGTGGAGTAAACGCCTCCCGTGCTACGCATGACATGTGAGTATTTGTCCTATCGCAAGATATTCCTGTCCGCACGAGCTCACCTTCTTTCGTATCCGAGATTTGCCCCATACCAGCTTGTGCCTGCCGGGATAAATGCGGCTGACGTGTTCGAGGGAGCGCCAACACTTGAGCGACTCATGTTGGTAGGCTTGAAGATAGCATCCTGGAGATATTGTGCATATGGTTTTCCAGTCACATTTTCAATCACCTTGCCGAGCAAGGCATACCCGATGTTCGAGTATGCTGGGCTTGTGAAGGCCCCGAAAATAGGAGGTCGTTTGCCGAAGTTTTGGAAGAATTCTGGTCAGACGGTGAATGGGTGAGCCTCAAGACGTTCATCCCAGGAGCAGAGAATCAAAGACTCACCATCCCAAGAACAACCTGATGTATAGGGCACTCCGCTACAATTGAGAGACTGTTGAGCGTTGGCCAGTTGTGGCAGACCCGTCTCTTCCTTGAGTCCAGGTGCCGGTTCTACGATGCTGAGAGTCACTTTGCCCACAGGTTAGTCGCCGACTTGCAATTCAGAGTAACAACGAGGCTCGACGTACTGTCACTGGCGATTCCGCTCAGATGGCTGAGCATAGCCTCGATCGTCACGGTCGACTAGTCCGGCTCCAGCAAAGGATCATGACTCGGGGACAGCTGTGCCAGCCTGGGGACATATTTCAAGACTGAATCCGCCAGATTGATTTTTCCCTCGAGTTGGAGGATTGAGAGAGCGGTGAAGAGCTTGGTCACGCTGGCGATGGCATAAATGGTATCGCCCGTGACGTTGTGCGTGCCGCTCTGGTTGTATGATGTTGGTGTGACATGGAGGCTGAGCAATGGTGTCGGATCATGGATGGACGCTAGGCCAATTGACAGAGCAGTTGCGCTGGAGTCGAAGAGCGTTTTGTTTTCCAGTTGAGTCTGGAGCGGCTGTGCGAGAGCTCGGATCGCATCTAGATTTGTTGGAGCGGGTAAGATAGGACCCAGTGGAGGACATTGAAGTTGGGCAAAAACGGTAATGGCACCAAGGACCACCGCTGACAGAATCCGCAGGAATGGAGTCATTCTGAGGTCGCGAATAGGATGGTCTCACGAATTCAGGAGTGAAGCTGGGAGTATAGGTCGAGATGTTGGGTCAACCCGAATATATATCTCCTTTTGAGCCACGCCCTTGGCAAACTAGGTATTTCTTGTTCTCCCCATAGAGAAAGGCTCGTTGCTCGAGTGAACACGGCATGCTGGTTTGCCGTCTCTCACGATCACAACCAATTTCCCAAGTACATGAGGGTCGTTTGGTCTATGAAGTGATTTTTGGGGGGGGGGGGGCTGAGAACTAGAACCGGGGCTAAAGTCGGTGTTCAGTCTACGTATGGCGAGGTATCCGATGTGAAGGCGATGTACTCCTGACAAGGTTAGTAACTGCTGCCCAACTATGCGCCCCGGAGCCATGGACAGTTCGGCACCCAGATAGCATAAAACGGACAAAGTGAAACCTTTCACTGTTGTACATAGCAACCCGTGAGGGACGACGTCGTCACACGGGTGGATACTGGTCGGAGCTCGGAAAACTCGCCAAATCGGGAAGGCACTAGAGCGGAAGCGGTGAGCGACGATTTGGAATATGCCAGGCTTGAGGACGGTGCTATCTGCCAGCAATCCCATTTGAGAGCGGAGATCGACTGTAGAGGAAAGAGAAAGATGGGAGATGAGAGGTGGTGTTAGCGAAGCTCGCAATGAATTTTCAGCTCGGGCGGAAGGCGCCTCATGAAGCTCTATCACCAGCAAATTAACCGGAAACGCAACTCTTCCATCCAATCTAACAACGCTGTTCTGATCTCTGGGCCATTCGTACGCCACTTCACTTCGCGCTGTCCACGACCTTCCGGAAGATCTTCTGCCCGTTCACCACGTTCTCCAGCCGGTCCACCAAGAAATCTCTTTGTCGTCGGACAGCCGTGAAATTGAATAGCCACTTTCGGCGCTAGATCATGGATTCATCGCCTCGTGACGTGAAGCGGATCGGGGAAAAGATCCTATCAAAGTCTGGAACCAAATGGCGCATAATTACCTGCGATGCCACATTTTGGATGAATGTCTTTTCATCCCAAAACTTGTTAGGATTGAAAGGTGAACTCTGACAAGTGGGGGGCAAGTCTTTCTTACATTGATATAGTAAGCACGCTATCCGAGATGTACTCATGCTTCAATGTAGCACATCTTGGTCGATCCTGGGTTAGAGCTGAGCTACTACTGTATTCGCATTAATCGAAGTTGGGGCATGGTCGTCTTATTCTTCTTCAACTGTCGCTGAAGTCCTCCTTTTGATTGTAGTCTTAACATTCACTTGGGTTCAGTTAGGTCGTTGTTGTATGGTATCGATGGTAGTAGATGGAATCTGTTTTCATCTCCACAAGCGTGGCGAAACCGGCAATCCCAAAAAAGCTGTAGGAGAGCCAACGTGTTCCTTAAGCACAAAAACCAAAATCCGAGATACAATGAATGCCGGTAAGGCAGTAGAGATCACGCACGTCATGGCGGTGAGTGTATGCGTACGCTAGTGTCAACACCGAAGGAACAGAGTATTGAGATTACTGCCAACAGAGGACTTGTACAGACAGCACCAGGGAGCGAGAACGCCCAAAGGAGGTGGAGATTTGACCGTCTCAAGCTAGCTTGCCGCAAAAACTGCTAACTGCCTTGATCGGAAACAGTCAAAATTTCTTCTGCAGTTTGGCATGGCTTCTGGCTCTGTGCATCATATATGAGATAAGTGACGTGAACAAGTGTCTTTTCATCTTGGCGATAGTTGAGATCCACGAGCACATCGCAGAAGCGAAGCGACGGGCGACTGAACACTGCAGGCATGTTTGGGACGTCCAAGGTAGCTATGCCTTCCTCCAATTCAATAACTCTCGCCGCAACGCATGTCAACTCGGCTTTTTGCCACAAACCCTCCCTTACACCTGCCAGGCAAAGAAGCTCCAGAGCCTTCCGCCGGATGGTGGGCTGGCGACACTTGCATGCCGTGAAATAGAGCGCTGGCAAGAAGGAAGGCTCGAGAGAGAAACGCTTTGCTTCTCCTATTGCAGTAAATTTTGCGAGACCTTCCTCTGCGGTGGTGATCAACTGCTGGAAATCTTCGACGTGATCATCATCCCTCATCTCCGAGGGATTCATACAAGCTACAGTTCGGATTTTTGTGATCAAGTATCGGATGATGAGACAGTACCATGCTGGCGTTCGACTGAAAGGTTGCAGATCTCTTCTGCCCATGAGATGTTGAGTTCTGCGGCGCCAATCTTCCAGAAGCTCAACGACTGGCTCCTGCTCCTTTTGAAGGATAGCAAGAGTTGTTGACGCCTCGAAATCAGAAGTGGAATTTACTTGTACTTGATACGCTCTCACTCTCAGACTTTGGGTCAACGCTGTGATGTCGTGAAGGGCATCTCTAGCGGCCTCGACAGTGTCAAAATTCCGAAACATGGCAGGAGGGTTCACTCGTGGACGGGGCACATGGCGTCCAAACATATTTGCAAGCAGCCAGAGGCGGTCGAAGGTTTTCAGCAGAGTTCTGTCTATTGCAGTTGTAGACGACCCTGATGCTGATGGGGCCCCAGCAATCATCCAGCAACCTCTTGATATTAGCCCAGCAGCATTGATGCTGTTCATCCGGTAGGCTTCCAAGCAGAAGAAGACCAGACAGGAAATGATGGCGACATCTATCCTTTGATCTCTTGGCGGTCGTTGAAGGAAAGTCGAGAAGGCCGCAATGCTTTTATTGTAATGGCGCAGAGCCTGGCTGCAATGAACGCAGGTGCATTCTGAGATCTTGTCGGACAGATCGAGGTGTCTGAAGAGGAAGCCCAGGGCAAAGGCGCCATGGCGGACTGTTGGCTCGACATTTGCAAGTTGGACAACGAGTTTCTGCCACAGGTCTTGGTCGAAGGCACCGCCGAGGGTTAAGGCTACCTTGGAAACGTAGAAGTCATAGGCCTGCCAATCCGCCTGTGTAGCCCGAAAGGTAGAAAGCAGGGCATTGCTGGGATTGAGGAACAATTTCTCCTTAGATGGGCTAGGGGTCGACGTTTCGATGATGAGCAGTTCGTATCCCTCGCAAGTGAAGCCTGCCTTTTGACATCTTGCACAGGACGGTCGACCTAGATCACATTTGACGCGTCGCCTTTTGCAGGTGCGACACGCCGCATGTGTTCGTGGAGCGTGCCTGCCACTTTTCGCGACAGGAGGCATGTAGCAATGTATGTCGAATGTGAGGGCAACATTGTGAACGACAAACGAAATCAAAGAGCGACAATCCTTGATAAGAAGCATGAAGTCCGAAGCGGTTTTCAGCAAGTGGGCTGCCTGATTGGCGCTATTCCCAATGAGGCAAGCCTGAGTTCCCAGGAGACATACTTTATAAGAATTGGCGCTTGGCCGGTTGAAATCTCCAATGACGAGACAACTATGTGCTGTACCGCGCCTGGATCAACATCTGCTTAATCATAATCCTTGCTCCGCGACGCACGATTCAACCGGCACCCTGCTGCACGGCCCGCCCAAGGGTAAGGGAAAATTCAGGCAGCATCCCAAGGGCAGGGAATCTGCCAGGTTCCCTGACTCCTGTCTGAAACAGATGCCTCGTAGAGGTAAGTAGAGCCGATTGTGGGATGCTACTGTAGGTCTCTTTACTCATGGAGCGGTCAGGGAACGCTCAGTTAAAGCTCAGCAGCAGCCTTCGCTCACCATCTAGGCCTAAACCGTAAATGGCAATTAGGTGCATGTTTGCAGCATTAGTCCTGTTCTACTGGCTCCAATCTTACCTCGTCCCTCGTTACTACCTATGCCGAATCTACCCGTCGTGCTGCATAAGCATGAAGATGGACTTGTTAAGATTACATGGAGTGCTTCACGCTTTCAGGCCCCCCTTGAGGCTGGCGACTGCGGAGTTACACGCTTACGCACCGAAGATTCCAGCTTTTCACCCATAGTGAAGTCAAACTCTGAAATCAAGAGAAATCTTTCTCCCAGCCGCTCCGACCAAATACAGAGCTACCACATGGGGTGGATATACGTCAGCGGACCATGAACGGCCATGGACCAAGGACGCCATCGCCAACATGTGGTCGTCGTCCAAGACGGTGTCGGCGCTGGCGGCGCTGGCGCTCATCTCGCGTGGTCTTGTCAATCTAGACGCATGTCTATCTAAGTACTGACCAGAATTCGGCGTCAACATCAAAAAGCTTGTGCCGTTACGGCATATTCTCTCGCATATATTTAGCTACTCAGGCTAACGAGACTCTATAACACTTGAGTAGCTATATAACCTTGATCTCGCGACGTCGCGACTTACGTCGCAGAAACCGTTCTAAGATCTAGGGACGGCGTCGGGCTATCACTTGATCTTGATGGGCCATCTGATTAGTGGGCTTGTGCTGTGTGTGATGGATTAGTCTCTAGGGTCATTCATCGTAGGTCAGACAGCTGGCCCACTGGGTGCTGACGAGTAACTCAGCGCGTGAGAGGCAAACTGAGGGCGCGTTGTGAACCTTATCCCGCCTCCGCCGTTGTCTCTAGATTTTAGTAAGCTAGATCTAGATTCTGCGACGGTAAAGGCGTTCACAAACTCAGTTGTAAACATAGAGATAGTGTATTCACCCACATAGTGAAGTGTCAAGTTAGGTGCCGTCAACGATCATGGCAATGCGCGCTCACTCGCCTACATTCTCTTGATCGTCACGCTTGATGAGACTGTAGATGGCCATCGGGTGCTAACGCCCGAGATCGTCGAGCGCATCTTCGACGTGCGGACCGACGACACCGACGTCGTCATCGGCCTTCCGCTGTGCTTCGGCGTTGGCTTTGGCCTCGTGTAGGGCAGCATGCTGACCTCGGTTCCCTTCTTGCCCAACGGCGGGAAGCGGTGTTTCCGGGGCGGGTCGGGTGGGAGCGTTCTGCTCATGGATATCGAGCGGAAAGTCACCTTTACCTGTATCAGTAACAAGATGAGAGATGGGATTATGGGGTCGGAAAGGACGGCTGCATCCGTCAAGGCAGCATACGAGGCTTTGGTGGTTTGAAGGGTTTTATTAGCCGGGTAGCTGGAGAGAGCCTGACCAACTACGGGACATAAGGGGAGGCGGGAGGGAGGGGGAGAAGGAGAGAAACTCAAGATTCGAAACGAGAAGTAGAACATATAACGAAAGGTGATAGGCATAACATGATATTACGCCAATATCACATGAGGTTATTTTCATCACTTACTGTATATATCGTCATTCATGGCGGACGACGAGCTCCCGCCTCCACGTGGTGTCCGCTGGGAACTCTCAGAGAAACAGTCTGGCTGTCTCAGCGCCAGGAGGAGCTCAACCACGCGGTGACACGCTCATGAGCAACGCCCCGAAAATCACCCTCCGCACGTCAGGAAACACTCAACATACAGCCCCAGTACACGGGAAGAGAGTGGTGTCTCTTCCATGTGCGCCCCTAGATGAAATCGATGGACTTCGCCACTCCATCTTCCTGCCCGACTATGGTTTACAGTATCGGAAGCCTGAGGAGTACACGATGACGAGGTCGCTTCGTCGGCGTCGCTCAAGCCTGCTACCAAATGGCTCCGATTCGAAGTTAGATCCTGAGGTTGTTTCTTAATGGAAAGTCGCGAGGTGAAGTGTGATTTTAGCGCCGGGTTCGGTACTACTTATTCCCGGTTGCTGCATTGGCTTACATGCTCTTACGTATATATAGCGGCAGGTCGCTCCCTCACTTTTAGTTAGTCAATTAATTCTCGTCACGCCGCCACAACCACAGAAGGCTATAATCACGTGCTCGGTGCTGGTCTCGATGTGATTGTGAAAAGAGAACTTGTCATTCTACGAGGGGGTCTGGGGGACTGTCAGACTATATAGGGTTCGAAGGCGTACGGAACCGTACAGGCCCGTACGAGGTCCTTCGAATCGATACCGTCAAGGGTTCGAGGGCGTACAAACGTTACTCCTTGGCACCCGTCTTTACATGTCTTGGCGCGCAAAATAATCACATCGACTTGGGCTCTGAATAGTTTTGATCTAATGACAGCTAGTATAAGCGTAATGAAAGTGGTACAATTTACATGTATTCATAGAATCTCAAGCTGATTGGATAGCTTACTCTGTTCCAACCAAACTACTTCTGGTAAAGCTCATAGTGCTAAAAGAGTACTGTAGATCCCGTTTAGCCACCTCCGTCTCCGTCTTTCTTACGGCCATAACCTCCGCCTTTCTCACCACGTTGCCTTCTTGTAAGTCAGCGTCTTTGTCGCTCCCCGCCGCTCTGAACACGTCTTACTAACAGCCTGGAATTGTCTTCATTCATTCGTACGCACGTACGGGAGTATACAAGGCCGCATGGTGGACTTTGTGTGCTTCATGTAAATCGGCATAAGAATAAAGTATGCCGCTGTTCTCCTCATACTATATATAAGTCCAAGGCTGTTCTCATCTTTCTTGAGTATCGTAGACTGGATCATCCTATTTACCTGACATAACGTTGCTGCCTTTGCAAGAGAGAGAGAAAGAAAAACAAAAAGAAGAAGAAAAGAACAGCCTTACCACCCGCAAACATGGCTTTTCAAAGCATTTTGCCTCCATCGACCAAGCGTCCGAAATCCCAACTTCGTCAACGATCCCCTAACCAACAATTGCTCTATGTAAGTCTCGATGATCTGGGGCTTTGGGACTGTACCAATATGTGATGCTGACGCTTCTTGCCCCGGCACAAGTTCATCCGCAATACATTTTCCATCTCAACATGGCTCCTCATGGGCGCATTGCTCCAGTCTCTGGTGGTCTTCATCGTCCCACGGTTCTACGCCATGCTCCCGTCGATCCTCATCCTGGGCGCACGCCTCCTCGACACGCTCGCCATAACGTACGGGTTCAAGCGGAACCCGTACCTCGAGGGTGCCATCCACGGACGGACGTCGCCTCAGATCCCCGACGAAGACGGCACGTTCCACGAGGACTCGTCGGCGGAGAAAGTGGTCGTGTTTTTGCTGGGCTTCAAGTCGAACCACCCGATGGGCTTCCTCACGCCCAAGGCCACGGCGGTCGGGACGTACTTCAACAAGATGGTGAAGGACCTCGAGAAGAATTCCCCGGACTCGGGGTACTACGGCGGATCGTCGTGGCAGAGCCAGGCCGCCAACGGGGCCCCCGAGAACCTCATCCTCTCGTACTGGCGGTCGACCGAGGACATCCACAAGTTCGCGTACGGCCCGGTCCACCGCGAGGCCTGGGACTGGTGGAACAAGGTCATCAAGGACGTCGACCACATCGGGATCAACCATGAGATCTTCGAGGTGGACAGGAAACACTGGGAAGGCATCTATGTCAATTTCCAGCCTACGCTGCTAGGTGCCACGACGTATCTGAGAAAGGGAGACAAACTAGTTGGTGGCACCGTGGAGGATCAGTGGATCTCGCCACTGATCGATGCGAGGAAGGGAAAGTTGAGAAGCAGTGCCGGGAGGTTGGGCAGAGATCCCGCGCAACTGTATGATCAGTACAAGGTCAAGGAGAAGGACGTCATGGTTTCTTGATCGGTGGCCGGTACGAGAATGAAAAGTGTTTTGTGTGTGTGAGAGAGAGCATAAGCATGGGTGAGAGTGAGTGGGTACAAGTACCAGTTAGTGCGAGGATGAGCCCTTCGGACAATTGAAGATTGACAAGGGCCAAGGTAATAGGTTTACAAACACCGTATAGCAATGCCCGTCTGGATAGTAAGGAGTAGGTGTTGTTCTTTGGGCATCTTTTGTTTTGCTCATCTGCTCCTCGTAGATTGATACGGAGTAAGGGAAAGAACTTGGCTATACGAATACGGATACGAAAACGAAAACGAAAACGGATTATCTTGATCTTCCGTACTCGCCAAACCTTCCTCGTCTTCGGCTTCAATGAGCCTCGGTACTTTTCCCTCATCTCTAACTCCCTCGACTTTCCCCCTCAAATTGCGCCCCAGAGGAAAAGACTCCAGCTTCATCTCGCCCACTCTCGACAAGACTCCTAGCTGGAGGAGTCTTGTTGATAGGCTGGCTGACGAACTCACTCTTTACCGCCCAGACAATGAGGCCTCGGGGGCCTAAATTCGTACAAAGCCAGGACCATTATCCGTGGCATTCCCAGATTCCACGTTCTCGATGCCACAGAAGGACACAAACAAGTACATGTCATTAGTAGACCAAAATCGTGCCACCAACACGCCCTTCACTTTTCTACCCTACCCCTCTAGCTGCTTGCCGTGGATGAACTTCTTCTGTCTCGTCGTACGCGATACTTGCAAAGCCATTGCTGCTTGAAAACAGTCCAAGCAAGGTACAGGCAGATACTGCATATTCTGTGTACGCACACCCGAACCCGAGTCCATCAACCTTGTCAACATACCTCACGCATCACAAATATACCAAGGACGTTCATCCAATAGATAGATATACACCCGGCCACCACCATCATCACTACCACCACAACAACCATGCCGTACGAATCCCGCTGGACAGTCGACATCCCCGACTGCTCTCTACCGACATTCCTATTCAAATCCCCCTCTGCACCGCTAGGGTCGAAACGATCTTTCTCAGATGCCGCCCGTCCCGAGACTCACTATCTGACCCGCAACTCGTTCCGTCTGTGGTCGCAGCGATTTGGTCTTGGTCTACGACGGTCGCCACACTTCCGCAAGGGCGACCGCGTTCTCTTGTTCAGCAGCAACGACATGTTCGTGCCCGTTGTGTTCATGGGAATCCTCTGCGCGGGGGGCATCTTCACCGGTGCGAACCCGACCTTCACCCCTCGCGAACTGGCCCACCAACTGCGCGACTCGGGAGCGACCTACCTCCTCTGCGCCGACGGCAGCATCGACACGGGCATCGAGGCGGCCAAACTTGCCGGTCTCGACGCGGACCGCGTATTCGTCTACAATGCGCATATCTACGATGGTCCCCAGCCGCCGCTCAAGGGTTGTCGGTACTGGGGCGACCTGGTGGCTCCCGCAGAGGACGCCAGGGGTTTCGCGTGGGACGACCTGACAGGGCCCGGGGAATGCGACACGACGCTCGCGCTCAACTACTCTTCCGGAACCACGGGTTTGCCCAAGGGCGTCGAGATCACGCATCGAAACTACGTCTCCAACTTGATCCAGGTGACGCTGATATCGCAGCTACACCCCGACTACGAGGCTCGCAACGCCCGCGCGATCTGGCTTTGTTTCCTGCCCCTGTACCACGCGTACGGACAGACGTTTTTCGTGGCAGTGTCGTTCCATCGTCAGGTCCCCGTGTACGTCATGCCCAAGTTCGACTTTGAGAAGATGCTAGAGTACATCCAGCGGTTCCGGGTGACGGATCTGGCTCTCGTGCCGCCCATTGCCGTGCTACTGGCCAAACATCCGGCCGTGGACAAGTACGACCTGAGCAGTGTGGAGACGGTCGGCAGTGGTGCGGCCCCCTTGGGTAGGGACGTATGCGCGCAGGTTGAGAAGAGGTTGGGGAGAGGTATCAATTTGAAACAAGGATGGGGGATGACTGAATGCACATGTTCCCTTTTAGGCTGGGACATTATGGCAACCTCGACGTCGGCGGCCGTGGGCGAACCCAACGCCAACTGCTCGGCGAAAATCGTGTCTGAAGAAGAGGGAGGAGAAGGCGACGACGACGGCCATCGAGAAATCACGTCCCGCGGGCCCCAGCACGTCGGGGAACTGTGGTGTCGCGGCCCCAACGTCATGAAGGGGTACTGGCGCAACCCCAAAGCCACGGCCGAGACGCTGACGCCCGACGGCTGGCTCAAGACAGGGGACATGGCCTACGTCGACGAGGCCGGCATGTTCCACATTGTCGACCGGAAGAAGGAACTCATCAAGGTCAAAGGAAACCAGGTCGCCCCCGCGGAGCTGGAGGCGTTGCTTCTCGAGCACGACGCCATCGCCGACGCCGCCGTCATCGGCGTCCCGACCGAGGATGGCGACGAGGCTCCCCGGGCCTTCGTGGTGCGCCAGCCCGGAAAGAACGTGACTGAGGACCAGGTCAAGAAGTTCGTCGAGGCCAAGGTCGTCAGGTACAAGTTCCTCAAGGGTGGCGTGGAGTTTGTGGATGCCATACCCAAGAATCCCAGTGGGAAGATTCTGAGGAGACAGATCAGAGATGGCGCGAGGGAAAAGCTACGGAAGGAGAAGGCTCAGAAGAGTGCAAGACTATAGTTCTCTAAAGACCAACAACAAAGACATTATTTCTTATCATACAAGGTTCACGACCCAAGAAGGTTGGAAATCGCAGAGCTTAAATCCTGAGCTTGTTCGGTATATACAGTACTCATGTAGAAGAAGTGAGTGACCTAGACCTGGGTAGGCACTGCATAGATAGACCATCAGCTAGCACCCTACACATCTCAGATCTGATATAGAGACCACACTGTTTGTTACATTACTATCACGGAGACGGGCCGGTGAGTGAGTATTCGATGTATTACTATCTAAGCCTCACACACTCTTTTTCTCACTCTCTCACTCTCTCAATCCCCCAGGTACAACCGTCCGGTCATTAATTAATAGTGGTGGGTAGTCCATCCGCTCCTCTGAGAACAGTGGACACCAACTAGCCAAAAATCTATCCGTCTACTCGTACCTAGCTACCTACAAACCCACCAGTATCTAGATATCAATACCCACCTCCACCAATTATCCCCCTCTTGTCGATTTGCATCGTCCTCTTTGGGATCTGATCCCTCCTGACCAGCTGATGTTCAATGTTCCTGAGCACATCCGCATCGCGAGGACTGTACTCGAAGCCGTCCTCGAAGTAGGTGCTCGCGGTGCTGAAGTCGCCCTCGTCGTCCAACCGGTCGATCCTGCCCAGGAGCTTCTCCAGGTGCCGCAGGGCCACCCCGGGCTGGTACCCGGGCACCTCGTGGCCGGACATCTCGACGGTGCAGAAGATCAGGCCCCGGTCCTCGGTCCACTTGCCCAGGGTGCCGTTGCCGGACTGCGCCACGACGCCCTGCGGGTAGTACGGCACGACGAGGTCGTTGTCCAGCGGCTTCGAGAAGCCCTGCTCGCCGTTCCACGTCAGGTTCTGCAGCGCGAGCAGCGACCCGTTGACCATCAGCACCATGTCGAGCGTGCCGTGGCCGACAATGACGTTGTTGGTCCGCTCGATCACCCTGCCCAGCGGCCCGCCGTTGCTCGCCGACGGAAGCGACCGGTCGATGCCGTCGGCGAACACGTCGGTCGCGTTGCTGCATATGCTCCAGTCGTACGCCGACCCGTTGCCCGCCGTCGGCGCGTGGATGGCCTTTTGCACGTCGGCCCGCGTAAAGTACAGCTGCGGCGACCCTGGCGCGTTGGTGTGGTACGGGTCGCCTATGATGTCGCCCGGGTATGGACACGGCTGGCCTACGTAGTAGATGTTGAAGCACGGGTTGAGTTCCATGATAGCTGTAAAAGACGAAAGCACGCGCAGGAGCGCACCCCCAAACAATTAGCACACGGAAATATGAGTCTGACCATGGCTGACGAGCGTGGGAAAGAAAAAAGCATTACCGTGCCAGACTTTGGTCACCGTCACATGTGAGGGTCATGTATGTTGTTATAGTTTGGAAACAAGGCAAATAAGCCCAAATGGAGGAAAATGAAGCAAAAGTCAAACCAGACCAAACCAAAGCTATCGTAGTGACTTACCTATTTCAATAAAATAGTTCAGATAACAATCCTCGTTCCCGAAACTACTTTCCGTCGTTGACGTGGCGTTGAGTTCCAGGATCTTGGGGATCTTGATAGGCCCCTTTGGGGGGAACGTGTTAGCTTGTTCCATCAGGTCGTGGAACCCGCATTCTTTGTTCAAGTCGTTGAGAGCTTCAAAATCGGCCTCGTCGAATGGGAACCTGTGGGAAGTGGTACATCAGAACCAGGAATCACTTGGCAGGGCATTACCTTGCCGTAACGGTCGAGGCCTGAGGATCATACAGATTCTTATTGGCATTGATAAACTCGACTGCCGGGGCAGCATCACCCAGCGTCCTATCGCCCAGGATTGGGTCGTAGATCAAGATACCGGTGACGTTGTAGTAGTCCGTGGCCTCCTCTCCGGTGGTGTTGAGCATTGCTTCGGCGATGTACGGCACCTATACGTATATGCATGTCAGTTAGGAACTTGCATCTCTCCTACAGGGGTCTCGGATCCGGGGGGGCAGCGGATTTTCCTTACATAGTTCCCGGCATAGCTTTCACCCGTGATTGAAACTTTGCGACCTTTCATGTCGAACGTGTCGATGAAGTTCTTCCAGAATCCCAGAAACTGTTGGGCCACGCCGACTTCGTCTTCGTTGTCGCCGTCTACACGGTAATGTTGGTCAGCTGAATCAATTGACCTGGAGAGCTGTGGGATTTGAAAGGCGTCGAGTGAAATAGAACAGTGTAGAATGTGGTACAACATCATACATACCACCTTTGGCTCCTGAAAAGGCTGTTCCCGCAGGTTGTTCGACCCAGATCACATTGGTCAAGTTGGTCCACGAATAAACATTGCGCATCGGGGCTAGTTGTCCACTCTGCCAACTTATGGGACCATTTTCCTGCAAGAATCCCATGAGTGACGAACATCCAGGTCCGCCATTGAGCCAGATGACAATCTCGTCGTCAGCCGCCTCGTTCTCCGACGGGACAAACCAGAAGAAGAGTTCTCGCCCAGCTTTGTCTCCTATGGGCATCAAACCCGAGTAACTCTCGCCGATGTCGAAAGGGATGTCGGGCAAGTTAGCTCCATCTACGGCGTACGGTTGAGTTTTGTTCGTAAGGAATTTATGAGTCGATGTGTCGTTTTCTGCCCGGCTTTGTAAGGGGTGCGGTATTGCGGAGATACCTGTCGACAAGCCCAAGATGACAAGCGGAGCCAAGGATGAAAAGAACATTGTGTTGGTCAACTTTGGCCCAGTATTCAAGAAAATGAGAGTGTGTGTCGTCGATGGGACAAGATGTTGTTCTCAGTGGTAACCTGGCAACGCAAAAAAGGTAGTCTGGAAAGTGACCTACCGCGACAAAGACAGGGTGAGAGAAAAATACGAGGTTCATAACGAGAACATATAATTCTAGTGAGTGCATTCGATTCGATAGTCTGAGTAAGATAGAACGTCGCAACGGCTCACCATGGGCTCGTTGGCTGGTTTTGGAAAGCTAACTATGAGCCATGTTTAGAAGCCGCTTTCTTGGAATAGACTATCCGAACTTGGACACTGGTATGACTCTCTCGAAATCATCGATCTCGAATCAGCTGCGTCCGATGCTAGGAATGGAAAGATGTGTGAGCAAAATGCCATCACAGACCTGGAGCGGCGCACCTGAGGGTTCGCGGGACACGCCTGGCCAAGCAACAATATATTGCAGGCTTCGAAACGCCCCGTTCACTAGTCAGGTCATCTTAGGAGCGCTTGTTTGAAGAGCACGATTGACTCATGTGACCTGAAGATCAAATTAATAGGATAATTCTGCGTAAAACGTTGAATATTCATGGTTCAAGTTCAAAAGGGCGAAAATAATCTGTGGGGGGGTGGTTGGTGAGATGATGGTGGATTGAAGCTTGGATCATCAATGGGCACCACGCCGATGAAATATTGGACTGACGCTTTATTTGGAACACCACTAGTCGTCCGACGACTCTGGACCAGGATGCTGAAAAAGAGAGGGAGAAATATCGTTTGTCTCCTCCTCAAGAACATGGTTAAATTGGCGGAACGAAACCGTGGTTTATAAATATATCAGTCTCAATGGGACATTCCAGCACATAAATCAGATCGTTTCGTCTCCAAAGGTCTCACGATCCCGCCCCGGAATTCTCCCTCGCCCTCCTCCTATCCTTTCGAGCCACAAAGAACCACGACAACAGAATCGACGTGATTGACACTATCAGAAAACACAAACAAATTATGTATGAGACATGATAAGTCGGTCCAAATACTGTGCTGTAGACGTGAGGCCCGACAATGCCTCCGAACTGAGCCATCGCATTCGTCCAACCGATGCCAATTCCTGCTCCGACCGTCCCTTCGAGGGCGCGAATCCGTTCAGGCCAAATGACAGGATATGCGGAACCGGCGCAAGACACGGCAACAATGAGTGCGAGGTACTTGACCACAGGGCTGTGCACGGTGATGAGGATGATGTAGCATATTATTGTTGTGCCCTCGACTGTCAACAATGTTAGTATCGATAGCTTAAACCACGAAAGGTAAGAGCAAAGAGAGCATACTTGAGACAGCCGTCGTCCATGGACGAATCCATTTCTTGTGCAGAAGTCGACCTAGTGTGTTGAGCAAGATGAAGCACGAGACGTACGGAGGCTATATTGAGGCTGTGTCAGATGCGTTTGATATCGCTGTCGTGATAAGTAGACAGCACTTACGATATTCATCAGCTGTGACTTGGCCGTTGTAGTGAAGCCAAGCTGGTAAATGACGGTTGGCAGGGCGTAACCGATGCCGAAGCCGCCGATACCATGCGCGAGCCAGTAGAAGGTGAATGTGTACGTGGTCGGGTCACGCAAAAGAATCTTTAGCGACGACCAGTCCCAATTGCCCTTCTTGCCCTTCGGCGCAGTTTCGTTCAATCTCTCGGCCATGAAGGCTCGTTCCTTTTCGTTCAACATCCGCGCCGTTTCAGGGTAATCCGGGAGACCGAAAAGGGCGATGAAAGATAGGACGATTGCTGGCAACCCTTCGAGAAGAAAGAGCCAACGCCATCCTGCGAGGTTGCCTTTCCCATCAAGGTAGCTTATTCCAAAGGCCAACAAACCACTCAATGCGCTTGAAAGCTGGCCGACCGAGTAGAATAAGGCGATCCGCCAGGGGAGCTCTTTGGGCTTGTAGAAGAAATCCATATGGTAGAGCACTGCTGGGTACTATTTTGCTGTCAGCAGTCTGACGGAGGAGATACCTCTGGTATTAGGGACGGGTATGTAGACTCACAAAACCAGCTTCGGCTGCTCCAATGGCGAAGCGGACACACATCATCCCCTGGAAACTCTGGACTGCTGCTGCCGAGCAGGCACAAATACCCCAAGTGAGGATTAAGACGAACATCCATCTCGAGGGTCGGAAGGTCTTCAGCAGCAGCGTATTCGTGGGCTCAAAGATCAGATAGCTGTAGGAGAAGATCGACAATGTCCATGCCCACATGCCAGGTGTCAAATGCAATTCCTTTTTGATGCCCGTTCCATGTTCAAGATTGATAATGGCAGCATTGGAATAGTTGGACGAGTCGATGACTCGGAAGATGTAAACCACTGAGTAGAAACCAACAAGCCAAAAGTCAATCTTGCGTTTGACTCGTTTCTCGAAGCTTGCATCCACAGCAATTTCACTAGACGCATCAATCTGACTGTCTGAGGGCGATGATGGCACTTGAGAGGTGAAAGTCTCCCCGGCTCTCTTATCGGTCGACATTCTGGTCAGGACAAATTTAGGCTGTCGGGGAATGACGGCCAATTGATTCCTAATCGATTTTCCACGAACTACTGACTGACCTGCTCATCCACAAGGAAAAGGATACATCATGTCGTGGCCCGCGTCGCTGGTATTTAACCAGCGAACGGCTATACGGCTTCTTCGTCACGACATCGGTGAGCAAAAGGCGTCACGTCGAACAATGACCATTTGCAGTCAAGTTCAACGGGTCTAGATTCGCATGATAGCGAACCATGGCCTCTGTATTGGATCAGACTGGTAGTCAGGACTTTTGTGATAGCCGTATATCCAGAAACTGCGGGCCTCACGGTGTAGAAACCGAGCAACGTCCAGAGAAGCAATATCTTGGTTACCGCATCCCGCCCGGGTGTGGGTTTGCCAACCATTCGGAAAGTCTCCGACAGGGGAAGACTGACAGGGGGTCGTTGTTTGCTGCCGCGAGCACGCGTCTTTAGCACAAAGCACGCAATCAGCGTGGGTGGTGGTGGCGTCCAAGACAGACCCGAGGTCTTGCGTCCCAATATGTACTTTCAAAACACCCCGCACTTTATAAAGAGATAGCAAATGCCAGATATCGAAGCAGTGCATCCTTTCTCACGTCTAGTCATTGAAGTCGGTGGTCCTGGAGTAGTTGATCAACGCTCGGAACCAACACCAACATGGCACCATCTGCGATTGAAGACCCCGTGTCCCAGGTATCTCCCGGTCAGATTCTGGTGAAGCCATGGAATCGTCCAGCCCAAACCAAGGAGAACCTTGATTGGGCCCCATTGACCAAGATAGATCTATCACGCTTCGACCAGCCTGGTGGGAAGCAAGAGCTGGCCAAAGAGCTCTACGATGCTGTTACTCGAGTCGGGTTCTGGACCGTCATCAACTCGGGGATCGATGATGCTCGGGTCCTTCGCCAGTTCAGCATTGGAAACACTTTCTTCAAGGAGCCGTTGGAGGAAAAGCGTCGATTTCCGTGCAATTTTGCCGAAGGCGAATATTTTGGTTATCGGGAGAATAGCCGCTGGATCGGTGATACTGGTGTCAAAGAGAACATTGAAATGGTCTGTCGTCGGCCCCCGATAGGTGTGCATCCGCTTACTTCAATCAGCTCAATATCCCGAAAGCCATTCCTGCCTATGCCGAGGTTGGCAAGCACAAGATAGTTCAAGAGCATTATGATGAGATAGCCACTTTCCACCGGGAGCTCTGGGAGAAGGTGATCCGAAAACTCTTCGTTCTAATCGCCATTATTCTGGAACTACCAGAGGATTACTTGGTCAAAGCTCATGACTACGACCAGGAGTCGGACGATCATCTCAGATATATGATATACAACGTCAGAACTCAAGACGAGTGGGATCGTGCGCAAGCCTACTCCAAGGGAGGGCACACCGATTTCGGAAGCTTGACGCTTTTGTTCTCGCAGCATGTCGCCGGCTTGCAGATTCGAACTCCCGAGGGAGACTGGAAGTGGGTTAAGCCAGTCGAAGGTGGTATAACATGCAATGCTGCGGATACTCTGACATTCCTGACGAACGGTAAGTGGATGTGGTTCCTGAATAGCGGATTTATACTCATGGTTCGGGAAACAGGCTTCATCAAGTCCACCGTCCATCGCGTAGTGACTCCACCAAAGGATCAGATCCAGATCCCACGTCTAGGGCTGCTGTATTTTAGCCGGCCAGGCGCAAATACACCGATGAAGACGGTGCCATCGCCACTTTTGGATCGTTTGGGTCTTCTCAGCGCCGAGGATAAGGATGAAACCCGGAATGTTCCAACCGGTACCGAGTATGTGCGAGCTCGTGTTAAGGATGTGCATTATAAGACCGTCATGGAAAAGCGGGAAGGCACGTCGTTCGAATTCAACGGATTGAAAGTGCAGAACTATTATGAGTAAGAGTACCAATAGCAGCAGTGCTACGCAATAGCAAATGAGCAGAATAAAACAAGACGCGAACCTTAGCCAGAGGGCATGTAAGTGTGGACGACTCAGTGCCGCGTCACTGCGATTCTGACATAACAGTATGGGCCCGTTGATGGTAGAGGGTCTCGGCCGCTGGCTCTGGGAGGGGCCCTGGAGGAACCCTGTGAGACATCACGTCTCCGCTAAGCTCCAGACCTTTGCATGATGTATCGGAAAGTTACAGACCCGTGCGTGGGAATCGCCGCATTTAAAATTAACATTTGGGAATAATTCAAGCGCTCAACTCACGGAAAATCCCTTCATGCGAACCTGAGCTTATACAGACGCAAAAAGAAAAAAAAAACTTCTAGCTTTTGGCGTTACTTTGATGCTGTACAGCCACCCTGGCTCCACATCTTAACAGACTTCACTGTCAGGCCACGAGCTGCGCCCTCTCCCCAGGTTGGTAGCCAGGTATCCCGACCGTCCCAGAATTCTCGTGGAGCCTTGAGACTTTTATCGCCCCAGGGTTTGTTGGCGATGCCATCCTTGAAAAAGCCAGTGGTGCTCCCGACAGCCACGTTCAGAATGAGGTAGAACGGCTGATCGAAGGGACTATTTCTATGACCTGTGCCGGCCCACGGGTTGTCCAGCGCGGAGTTATTCACAATGTATGAGCCGAAGTTTCCAAAGTCCCACATGTTTTGATGCGTTGTAAATTTGGTGAACATGACTTGCTAGAGGGTTTTATCAGCATGGGTGTCATCCGTTTGGGAACCTCAAAGTATACCTACCACTAGCCGTGTGTCCATGTACATAAACAAATACTTCTCCGACCATTCAAGACCAAATGTATGGAAGGCTTTGGAGTAATCCGTACGTCGCAGGTTATACTTACCCGAGGCTCTCCAAAATGCATCCACGGCGGGAACAGGGCCCCAATGGATAGTGCTGGAGACGCTGTCACGACCATCGGGGTATTGGGACCCAGGATTTCCTCTAAATTCCGCGATATCGATCTCACCACTAGCAGGCCATGCTCCATATGCTCCGACTCCATGCGGGCCTTGAGGCTCAGGCATCATCCAGATCGCAGGCCAGAGCCAGTCTCCGACGGGTGCCTTGGCCACGACTTCTACGCGGCCATAAGTGATGTTCTTCCGTTTGGAAGTGTTCAGGCGTGCGCTTCTGACCGGGTTGATAATTGCGCCGGATGTTTCATTGCTGCGGATCGAGCAGTCGTTAGGATTGCCCGAAACTGCCGTGCAAGTTCCATCTGTGGTCAGGTTGAGCACGTAATTGTTGTTGAGTTCTGCTGGGGTGATATTGGTGCTCTCCGTCGTTAATGTAGGCACGATATGAAGCCCTTCAGCGTCGACATATACGTTATCGGAATCTTCAGTTGTCCACTCAAATGACCCTGTGCCGAAGCCTCCTCGTTGAATCTCGAAGTTCCAAGTATTCTTGTCCAGCGTTTTGAAGTCGTCTTCCAGGACGAGACAATACTCAAAATTAGAGACCTGTTTGAAGCTCAAATAGCATAGGAAAGATCCTATGATGACACCGATGAAAAGCGAGACATAGAAGATCACTCGCTCCCAACGTCGACGAGGGTCCCGTTCTTCTAGCCAAGGTTTAGGATAATCCGAACCTGTGAGCCTCGACGGCCGGAATTTCCTCCGTGGAGGAGCGAATCCAATCTCATTATCGAGGTTTGTTTGGCTTGACTGTCCTCGTATACTAGGGGTTACGATTTCATTGCGAGCGCTTGTGAAGGGGTTTAAGCGCGAAGAGGTGGAAGTCGAACGGGAAACTGTGACACTCATGACGACTCTTGTAGAACGGCTATGTCGAGAAAGAGGACGAGGATGGCTGTTGATCTGTCGAATATGTGACAATCCCGGAAGACTAAAGTCTACGCAACAATCCGATCGACAAGACTAAGGCTGTCAACGCTCGGGGATTGTCGCTATGGCCCCGAAGTCATTGCAGTCATTGCAAACCTGTCCGAAGTACCACTGATGTTCACATATATTTACGAGCCCTCGGACAGCGGATGTCGTGGGTTGTAGGCGGGTCAGTTATGCAGTCCGTCGCTGAATTAGGCAGGAGGATGCGTGGTTCTCACTTATATAATTCTCACAACGAATGCCGCCGAAGCCTTATCCCGGAAACACATTCCCAGAGTTGCTGTCGAAAACTGACGCACTCGAAAGCGGTATGGTTGGGCGGTTGTTCTGGAAGCCATTCCGACTGCATGCATGAGACACGGCCTTGCAGAATAGCCCACGGAGCACATGGCCAGATCCAGCCCGTGTCCGGCTCCTATCGCATTGGTTGAACGGAGCATGCTGCATGCAAGGCCCCGAGTAGATCGATTTTGAGTTTTCTCGCACCACGATCCGCCCTTCGCTTAGCTTTGGCAACGGGGCATTAGACCACTTTGGAAGATATATGGAAGAGGACTAGCTTCCATTCCCCGGCGGATTCAGCGAAGGTTTTTGTTCACGTCAACCTCTGCTTTCTTTTGCGCCCAAACCCCGTGGCGGACCACCATGCCTACGTCCGAACACGCTCGCGAATAGGGCCGATGGGACGTCATTTTACGGCCAGTGTGAGCATCCGAGCCCCTCGCAGAGTCAAACATGAGCCGGAGAAGCTTGGATCCAAGCCGCGCCGACGAGGCTTTTCTCCCTCCAGAGTCTCCTCTGGGTTGGGCCTGTTCGCGATACACCCGTACGTCCAGAACGGCAGATTCTACCGAAGAGCTCACAGGAATTCGTTCCAGGGAGCGCTGCGCATGCTGCTCCACCGTCGCTTAGGGAGATGCACCCTGGCCGCCCGGCTTGTTCGTTATTCCATGGGTCGGTTGCTTCCAATCCGGCGATATCACATCGCAGCATAGCAAAGTGGATCATGGTTGTGCTAGTCTGGTGAGGCTCTCTGCAGGTATCTTACTGTTACGTCGTTTTCGCCTATGCTATCCGGCCAATCGACGATCTTAAGCACTGCAAGTATCTCAATGGGACCTCGTTTTCGCCTATACCATCTAGTCAATCGACGATGTGCGGCAAGTGAACTGGTCTTTCCTTTCTGAGAAAGGTGGACGAACCGTCTCTTCGGCTCCAACGCGCTGGACCTGCAGGCTCTTGATATGCAAAGCTTTGGCCTCTCGTCCCATCGTGCACAATTTGCACCATTCTAGGCATGAATCGGCTGCGCTGGTCTCAATCTGCTAAGGAGATCTAGGTAAGCCCCGGTATTTCGAGATGTCATGCTCGTAGAATAAGTATCCTCAATACCCCTGCTTGAATGCAGGAACTAAACTCCTATCCACTTCCCTTCTGTGCCGTCTGATCATCACTTCTGTAACCCTGTTCGGATTGAGTCAGACTCTATTCCCTTCGCATTTAAAGCATGGAGAACTCCTCCCTGGAACAGTTGCACGAGTTTGGGCATCCTTCTCCTTCCCCAGCCCCCAGCTTTATACAGAGTCGAGCAGTATCTCGTTCTCCGTCGAGCATATCTCCCAGAAATTCGGGGAGAAAGACAGAGATAGTAAGCCAAGTCGGACTCTATCTGTCGCCTTTCTGACCATTGCAGCTTGCACGATATCTATTCCGAAAGTGTGATCAACAACAATGGTTTGAAGTCGGCGATCAGGAGCCTTATGATGGCTCATACTCAGACCACACGGGAATCATCCTTCGAGGAGAGGGAGGCATGTACTCTTGCGAACCTGCTAGCTTAAGCAACGAATGCGTGCGTGCAGCTAGCCATTTGAACGTCTCATCAGTACTCTGTATGAGATCCGGAGCTGTTCTTGAACTTCTTGACGAGATTTCTTTGGAAGACACCCATGTAAAGCTCGGCAGCTCTGGGATAAATTTGCATGTTATGTCAACTGTGTCTGACATCTCCCACTGTTCTCTTGAACTGCGGCCTGACATGGACTTGCTCCTCTGCAAGAAAGAAAAGATCCTGCTCATCCTCGTCGAGGATTATCAGGTGCTGATGAAGCGAGGCTGGTACGTGGAAGATTTACTGATCGAGCACATCTATGGCAATCAGGCGCTTGAGAGCTATCCTCAAACCGCTCTCACAGGATCCAGAAGCGCTACAGAACACTTCAATAGCAGAGTACAGGATCAACGACGAAGCAATACCCAACTTTTGCCCTGCGTACCCGAAGCAGCTCTCAAAGATCCCGCCACGAAAGAGAAAATCAGCGTCATCCAGGCCGCACTTCACAAAGAAGAACACGCCGATGAGATCTTGGCTCCGGAAGAAGAGGGACGAGAAGCACCCAAACGCAGGTTACTCCTGCGGCATGCTACCATGGTCTCGATGGCGATAATTCTGGTCGTTGTTGTGGAGATGGCTTGCGTTGCCAAGATGGTGAGCGAAGTTCAGCTGGATCGCAGCTTTACAAGATTCGCTCTTCTTGCTGTCGTGCCGATCTTTGGCATCTACTCTCTGTTTTTCATGATTGTGGTCTCTGGCTCGCTTTGGCAGATCTTCGGTTCCCTGTCTTCGTTGAAGCAGAACACCAGGTACTACTCAGCTATCGCTCCCAAGCCTGGCCGGTATCCGGACCTTGAACTGCCCCACATTACAATCCAGATGCCTGTCTACAAAGAAGGACTCCAAGGAGTTATCATTCCAACGATTACATCCGTGGCGAAAGCTGTAAAACACTACGAAGCTCAGGGTGGAAGCGCCTCCATCTTTGTCAACGATGACGGGATGCAGCTTGTCAGTGAAGATTTAGCAGATGCACGCAAGGCCTACTATGAACTCAACAACATCGGCTGGTGCGCCCGACCTCCACACAAGGAGAAAGGCAAGAAGAAAGGCAAGAAAGCATGGGGAAGGAAATCGGAAAAGACCCACGACGAAGAAGCCGGAATAGCCACAGCATACTTCCTCCGCAAAGGTCAGTTCAAAAAGGCCAGCAACATGAACTACTGCCTGGACTTCTCTCTTCGCGTTGATGACCAATACCTTTCGATGGTGAAAACAATCTGCGAGGAACGCGGGTGCACCTCAGACGAGTTGAGCTCCGAGGATGAGCAACAGATCTACCAGCAAGCACGCGACCGTGTCATTGCGGATGATGAGGGGCGCACCTGGGCTGCAGGAGACGTCCGAATTGGTCCGATCATTCTCATCATTGACTCGGATACCCGAGTGCCCGAAGACTGCTTACTCTATGGCGCCCTGGAAATGCACGAGAGTCCCGAGGTAGCATTGATTCAGCACGCTTCCGGAATCATGCAGGTGGTGCACAATGCATTTGAGAACGGCATTACCTATTTCACCAATCTAATCTACACTTCCATTCAGTTTGCCGTTGGCATGGGAGACTGCGCCCCATTCGTTGGTCACAATACCTTTATTCGCTGGGACGCCTTGCAGTCCGTGGCGTGGTATGACGAGGAAGACAAGTGCACCAAATTCTGGAGCGACAGCCATGTCAGTGAAGATTTCGATGTGAGCCTGCGCCTACAGATGAACCACTTCGTGGTCCGCCTTGCTACCTATCATGAAGGTGGCTTCAAGGAGGGTGTAAGTCTTACCGTTTACGACGAACTCGCTCGGTGGGAGAAGTACGCATACGGCTGTAATGAGCTGGTCTTCAACCCACTCTACAAATGGCCGTACAAAGGTCCTTTCACCAGACTGTTCTGGCGCTTCTTGTTCAGCAACGTCAAGATCACAGTAAGTTTTTCATGATGAGGGGCCCGGATGCGGTTGATTCTACCCGACTAACCCGTGGCGTGCAGAGCAAGATTACAATCCTCTCATACATCGGAACATACTACGCTGTCGCTTCCGCCCTGCCTCTTTCGTTGGTGAACTATCTCGTCGTGGGATGGTACGCCAATGAAATCGATCAATTCTACGTGACATCCTGGAAAGTCTGGGTTGGAATGGTGGTCGTGTTCAACCTACTATCGCCAATAGGCTACGCAATGCTCCGGCACCGCCTGGGGAAACAGACTTTCTTCCAATCCCTTTTCGAGAGTATCAAATGGGCGCCCATGTTCCTGCTTTTCTTCGGTGGCATTTCCTTTCATCTTCTCAAGGCGCTTTTGTGCCACTTTTTCAATATCAAGATGGAATGGACGACGTAAGTCAAGCTACACAAAACCTTTGTGCCTTCGAATGCTCCAATACTGACAGTATAACAGAACCGCCAAAGAATACAACGGAGGCTTCCGAATTGGACTAGACCGAATTGTTCGAGACTTCAAGTGGATGTACGGTGTCATCATGTTGCTTGCAGGAGGCATGATCTACTTGGGTAAGTCTCGGCACTGTGACTACCATGTCCCACCACGTCCAGCACGGTAGATTTGTTGGACTCTCGAGAGCCCGCTAACCCTTTCTCAGCTTGCTTCGCGCCCTACGGATGGACCATCACAGATTTTTCAGTCATTGTACCGCTGGCTAACCAAGTCGGATGCCATGCGTTGATGCCCTTTGCCTTGGGGCTTTTCTAGTTCACAATGGCCTTCTCCATATTTGGACTTCGGGACACAGGACCCACTCGGGACTGGAAAGCACACTTCGCGGGTTATTTTCGATATGAAATGACTTTGTCACTCCCCCCCAACATTTAGTTGTTCAGAAGTTACGATAATCATGCCACAAGACATGATTGGTCTTTCAGGCGTCATTGTTCTCTCTGCCGGCGAGATACATCCGAGCCGTGTGAGGCTTGCCGGCTTACTTTGCCATCGATCCTGGAATTATTGCCATGGCCCGGCGAAGTTAGAAGTTTGAAGGTTGAGCTTGTTCAGCACCTCGCATGGCCATAGCTCAAGCTTTGCGGCTCAACGCTGCTCACCACGTGACCCATGCGCAGCCACCAATTCTGACGAGTTCGCTGATACAGTACGTAGTAGTAGTGGTGAGCGCACAGGTCTGCCAGGGGCCGTCCTCAACGGTTGGGACAAGCCGTGCCCGCTGACGAAGGAGGGTGAACGAAGAACTTCAGTCGGCCGGCCGAACCCAGTGAAATGCGACGTGATTGGGTTCCGCGCCTCCGGTGCTGGCCATCAGACCTCAGCATGATCCGGGCGCCCCGTAGTCTGCAGATTGCCGAACAAGAGCGCAGCCAGCGCGACCATAGCTCTCCAGTCTCGCCCGCACAGTGAGCCCGAAAAAAAAAAAATTTGTTACATTCCACATGGATATCATCGGAACTGTAAGCCCAGACAGCGCCATGCACCAGGCCTGACGCGCCGGCAGTTGGTGACGAATGCGCAAGGGAGGAAAAGAGCTGTTGATAGGCTTTCGACGAAGCGTCGTCATCCCCCTCGAGGCGCTGTCGGTGCCTGGCATTGACCCTCAATAGAGCTATTTCGCACAACGGTGGACACGGCGCCTCGAAAGTCAAGCTCGAGTCACGACAACCTACCAGCGGCGTTTACTGCTTCAAAGCTCGGGTGCCGGATCCTCCAGGAATAAGGTCAGAACCTCAGCCACGTGGGTAGAAGAGATTCTGAATTCCCATTCCCAGGGCAAAGGATACCCATGATCCAGGGTGCCCCTCCCCCTGCGTGGCAATATGCCTCGCTCGGCCCTCAAACCGAGACCGGCAGTCGAAAGCGAAAAAGTAGGAAGGCATCTGCGGAAGACTATGAGATATCATTGAACTGTTCGAAGGCGGAACCTGGAAGTTGTGATTTTTCTCAGTGTGCTGCTTTCGATTTTCCCACTTTGAGGCTGGGGTGCCTTATCCCATGCCGCATATAAACGCGGTCGCAGCCCATGCTTTGACAGGATCAGATAGCCGAAGCCACTGCCACGCTGGGGGGTGGCTGGGCTTTTCTGGACCTCGATCTAAGATGGTCTCGAGCGCGCTTCCCTTTGCAAGTCTCAGGCGACTGGTACGTTGGGGAAAGTCAACGCCAAAGATAGCGAATCAGGTCTTCACGAAGGCCTTTGCTATCCTACTACATGTACCAATGCATAATGCACTAGGTGTACTCCGTATCTACCACGCACCAAAATGGCAGACGCTCCCTTACAACAAAGAGATTGTCTGCTTCCTTCTTCATCATCTTCTCCTTTCTCATACTGTTCTTGTCGTGTATCAGCTCCCAGCGTCTGAGGATTTCACGATTGGCCGGCGCTCCCTCCAGCAACGGGCAAATCTCGCGCTTTGATAACAGAATATGAGATAAGGGAGTTTCCATGCAAGTGCATCTCCGAGGGCTGGGACAAGCTTGCAAAGCCCCTGCCACCGTTGACACGTGCAGAGACGACGCCTTGATTCTTCAGGCGACGAGTAGTCACCATACGGCATAGAGGACCGTTTCAACATGATGAAGTGATTGACACCGACTAGAACTCTCAGCATTCTCCTCTGTGAAGGTCCTCCACCTTGGAGAGATGTAGTGAAAGTCATGAGGCCCGGCAGAGGAAGAATGTGCCGTCGCCGTAACGAGTCTCTTCTCTTCTGATCTCTCGTACTATTCTTGTTCTCTTGCTCTGCACGTAGGTGTGATACGACCGCGACTCTTCTCCTCGCGCGGGAGTCGGCGCTCCCCAGGGTGGCCTATGCGCAGCCGGAAGCAGCTAGTCGGTAGTTGAACATTAGCCTCAACGAGACTGCTCTTGCAGCGAGAAGGTTGTGGCTGGCGAGTTTGTCTCACCTACCTCATGCAGTGTCCAGTGGTCGCCTCTTGCGCTAGACGGGGATCTCACACCGGCTCTGCGTCGATATGCACTGTCAAGATCTCTGCACTAGTGAAGAATTGGGCAAAGGGTTGGTGATCCCCGTGCAAGTCAGGAGCAGTCGTTCGCGCCAGACAGGAGAAACTCCACAAATCATCCGCTCTGATTGATGCAGCATCCCAGACTGTGCAGTGGTGATGAGTAGGTCAAGAAGGTTCGCCCCTCATGCATGATGCGCGTCAGTAGTAGTGTTCTGCGCCAGCTAGAAAGCCTCACGAACACCTTGCTTTGATCTAATGCAATGTCTCGCAGTAGTGAGGATCAGGCCGGGAGGCTGACCCTTATACAGCTGTTCGACTCCGGCGGTATCCTTTTGCGCGTCGGGTGGAAGTCTCACACCCTGTGGACAGCCTTTCTGGCCTGATTCGAGAGACGTTCGGCAACTTTTTGCCATTTTCTGCGAACGTAAGAACTTGTGACCTTGATTTGGTTGGGAAGAACGATTGACAGCCACCGAGACGGCTCGGCGACGAAACCTTGATGAGGTTGTAGGAGTTGCGAACAGTTCGTAAGCCCGTGCATGGGACTTGCTTGATTTGATTAACTTGTGATGATTTTAGCACTTGTCAAACTATCATAGAGAAGAAGAAGCAGTAGTATTAGTATTACAGAACTTCTTCATTCACCACAGTTCTTTCTAGGCTGATGTCCATGAGAGCTCTAGAGAAACCTCAATTATAAAGTTTTACCCTCGTTCGACCAATAATCAAGGTAAAGTCTCCGGTTCGTGCGGGCGAGAGGCTGGTGAATTCTTCATATTAATAATCCAATGAACCATCTCTGCAGGAAGTTGTAGGTTCACAGGACAAGGTATCTACGTAAGAGACCCCCCACGGGTTTCCGCTGACGAAGCCGCCATGGCTGGGTTCGACAAAAAGGGCGTCCTTGGAGCGCGCTGGGTTCACAGCCTCGCCCATTGTGATTGGGTGGGTACGAGCACTGGCAAGACCGCTAGCTATTGCCTTAACAGGGAACAAGGCTGTTCGGGCGGCCAATGACACTGCAGTACTGAGCCCGGCGCGGAACAATCCCAGTCCGACGAGGCTGTCTTAAAGGGGCAATCTGTGTTGCTCGGGCGAATACTTCATCCCATAGAATGTGAAAAGCGACAAACGGGCCAAAGCTCCGAAGGCAGACAGAATAGAAAATGGGCAGATACCAAAAGAAGTGCCATGATTCAGCCTAGGGGCACCAAGCTAATCGATTTGACACCCATATCGCAGTACAATAAATAAACAAGTCACCACTGAGCCTCATCCCGACCTCTACCGTAGCGTGATCTTGAATACCTGGCAAGCCGCCACCTATACCTCGTTATCAAGCACTCTAACCTAGCCCTCCGGCAACCATGCTCCACGTCCTGTCTGTGCCTTTTCACAAGCTCAAAGTCCCCCCGCGGGCCTCCTTTCAAGGCCAAACCGTCCTCTGCACCGGTGCCAACACGGGTCTAGCCCGCGAAGCATGCCGGCACGCTCTCCAACTCGGCGCCTCGAAAGTGCTAATGGGTGTCCGCACCCTTTCCAAAGGCGAACAGGCCAGAGAAGATGTCTTGACGAGCACAAAGGCTCCCAAAGACGCAGTTGAAGTGTGGCCGCTCGACATGGAATCCTTTGAGAGCGTCAAGACTTTTGCTCGACGCGTCGAGGACCACATCAACGCAGGTGGCCGCCTGGACGTGGCAATTCTCAACGCAGGTCTCGCTACGGGGAAGTGGTCACAGACTCGCGACGGCTGGGAAAAGACACTCCAAGTCAATGACCTGTCGACCGCGCTGTTGAGCCTCAGGCTCCTTCCGCTTCTCGAACGCTCCAGCGCTACCAATCCACACCTGGTCATTGTGGCCAGCGACATACACTTCATGCTGAACTTGAAGAATAATTTCCAAGAACGGCATGCGAGTGATATCCTACAGGCTCTCAACGACAGGCAGAGGTTCGAACGGGGCCAGGCAGCAAATCCGGCGGAGCGGTACGCGGTGAGCAAGCTGCTCGATATATACATTGCAATTGAAATGGCGGCGTTAGCGTCAAAGCACAAGAGCAAGGTGGTCGTCAACTGTGTGACACCTGGATTTTGCAAGTCTGATCTTCTCTCGCCTGCGAGAGGAGAGAAGGCGCCTCTGGTCTTACGGATCTTGCAGAGGGCACTTGCGCGTGACGTCGTCGAAGGATCGCTTGCGTATATCGATGCTGCGCTCAAGGGGCCAGAGTCGCATGGGATGTTCCTCGAGAACCAGGTTTTTACAGAGTAAGATTCCCCACCATGTCTGATGAATGCGTCTTGGAACAAACACCGACTGACATTTTCTTTTCAGTCCTGGGTCGGTGGTGACTGGTGAAGACGCGATCAGGACGCGACAGAAGGTATGGGGAGAGATCGTAGAGGTCTTCAAGAGAGATGATCCGACTCTTGCGGTGTAGCTTTGGCCAGACAGTTACGTATACATACATGGCGTTGCACAAACACCAGATTTCCTACAGACAATAATACTTATCATAACATGTTTCGACAGATCGTCAGTTGAATGCACAAACTCTGACTTGTTGCCATCTGCCTGGCTGTGAGACTCCCCACGAAGCACCAGCTGTCTCTGGGAGTCATGAAGTCATCCTTGGGTGCTTCTAGTGGCATTGGTGTCATTCATTTCTTCCGCCGATCTCGATCCCCTTCTCAATAAACCTCAGTGTCTTCCTCGTCGAAAGCCTGCTCCTGTATTTTGGTTCGTCCAGTAGCTTCTTCGTCGCCTGTATTCTTGTGAATGGTTTGGGGACCAGACTTGGAGGCGTTCATTCCCATCTTTGTGGCATAGGGATTTGGATGCTGTAGCACTTCCTTCTTACCACTTTCAGGTGGTAGATACATCAAGCTCTTCAAAGATGATAAATCCGCACCGGCTTGGATAAGGAGGAACCTCATTCGGTCATCGCCGGCCTCATCCGCACGGCGCATCGCAGCTGAGAGACCTTGGTCGAGCTTTTCAACTCCGGCAGCGAGAAACATCGGCACCATTTCGTAATGTCGTCGACTTACTGTCTCTTCCCAAGCGTAAAATGCGTCGGGGCTTCCAATCGCGCCCGCCTCCAGAAGCAGCTTCACGACGTCCTTGCTATTGGAAAATACCGCGATGCAGAGACATCCCCCCTCCTTCGGGTCAGCGCCCGCTTCCAACAGGGTCCACACCGCTGCTTCGGAGCCTTTCAAACACGCGGTTTCAAGCTCAGACGACATTTGCTTGGCCATCCACCGTGGATCTGTAGATTCCATCTCAAGAATAAGACGCACAAGCACAACAGATCTCATTTCAGCACCCTTAGCTATCAATTTCCGGCCCCATCGAGATTCCAACAATTGAGCCCTTTCCGAAACTTCCATCTGGAGCAAGAACTTCCTAATAAGATCTGGTTGATCGAGTTCCATAAGAGATTTTAGTAAGAGTACAAGCGCATCATTGCTCTTTTTGAAGTGATCTGCGCGAGGTAATCGTACCGTTTTTGCTTTGCAGCTCGACAAGCAGTTGAAAACGTCCGGGGCACGAAGCATGTAGGAAATCTCGTCAGCCATTGATACTGCGGTAAGAATACCAAGAAGATCCCCAGAGACTGAATCGATTATCCATGACCCGCTCTCTCCAGGTACTGCAAATTGTTAGCTGAGATACGAGGGTTTTTCATTGAGGATGTACCACTTGACCGCCAGACCTTGTGACCAAAATTCATGGCTCTTCCGTCCGCGGATGGAATAAGAGATAAGGCTTGCGAACAAGCAATCCTCGCTAAGTCTCGCCCACCTTGTTGTAGCAATACTGGCTCACAGGCGTCGGAAACATCACGGTAATTCTCGACGTAGACATTCGTTTCCAGACTACTTGTATGATTCACAAGGTATTTTAGGTCAGATAAATTCTTCGGAGTCGGTTTCAGCAGGGCCCAGTCTCCTTCCATGCCCACGTTTTGGGTAGGATCTCCATAATCTTTGTATTTCCAGGGCCTCGCAATGTGTTGGGCTGGAACCCCTTCTCGAGGTGCAACGATGTCCGCTCCATTGATAAATTGATCATTCTCGTCCGTGGGAGATTCGAATTTCTTCAAGAAGACATGGCCTGATGTTAAGTAATGAAGAACATCCCCCACAAGTATCAGACCACCCACTGTTGCCTTTCGTATATCTGTGCGCTCTGAATTGTTGATGATGTCCACATAGAGACCGCAGGGATCAATGGGAACATCGTATGTCGGCAACCTCTGTGAGGAGCTATCTTGGACTCCAAGGAAGCGTAAGCTACCACGCCTCCCGATGACTCTGAACCCTGACTTCTTAAACGTCGTGTCCTGCATAATTTTGTTCGTGAAGCGTTTGACTGTGCCTTTATCAAGACACGCTAGAACAATGTTGGGACGAGCTTCATGCTGAGAAGGACCAATCATCCAGCAATCAATAGCTAACTCCCATGCTGTCCCTTGTAGGATTTCCCTCTTATGCTGCTGAAAAATAACGTGAACGGCATGGATAAGTTGTTCATTCCAATGGGCCAGCACAGGTCCAGAGATATCCCAAGCGCCACTCCCCTCTAGTGGTCGGGATTTAAAGCCATCAACTGAGTCGAGCTGACACGGTCGGCACAATGAAGTCCAGAACGTCTGATCTCCTGATGTTGACGAACGCATCTTTCGAAACACATCTGTGAGTAGGCTTGGTTGTCGATCCGGTTTCCAGGAAGTCGGGATATTATTCATAGTATTTCGATCACTGTCAACAGTTGCTTGCTGAACATCCACTGTTAATAGGATGTCACCTCTTCGTACAGCTGCCTGAATGCCATTCATGGTTGCAAAGCTGGCTGTCTATGGTCGTTGGAAGCGATGAAAAATCAGAGGCGGTCAGGCTGAGAAAGATAAACCTCCTGCCTGAGGGCAAGAGTGCACTGCCACAGTTTAACCTCTCTCAAAGCAGGGATAATAGATGGCGCACATGTGGCTGATCAGCATTGGCGCATATAAACGAGGAGATTTGAAGCACCAATGAGGCTGGGAGTGTCTGTGAAGCAGCTGTGCAATGCCACATTGATGAATCTTCAGCCTGATTTCCTGATAATCATTCTCTGAAGCAAAATCCATAGACATAGCGTGCCCTTCTGTGACAGGTAGCGGTGACATCTAGAATAATGGGAAAGGTCGTTGTGGATGGAGGTATACAGGGGGGGGCTGACTTGGGCAAATCCCTGGTTGAGAGACTCTGGGGCCTACGAGTCCAGCCAGGATCTAAGGAAGGCGACCTCTTCATGGAATACTACAATGCCAAAATAGCGATCTTGGATACAGGCAAAGTCTGCCCGACAAATGGGAACGACATTATAGATCTAGTCGCAGTGCTGAAGTCCAACAAAGACAAGCGTCTACGGGACCTCCAATTACCAGTCATATCGGATCAACAGAAGCATGCGTGGCTATCGAACCAGCCGGAGCAGAATGTACAAGATGCACTTAAGTTTGCTGCGTCAATATGGTTGATGTTTGGGACGTCGGATTGGTCGGAAGACGAAACGTTGCGGGATTGCCTTTCTAGAAACCTTCCCTCAAGCGATCTTGCCGCTTCAAACCCGAGACCAGCGGATTTCCGAGTAACGGCCCGGAGTCTCAATCAGATCGCGGGCATCGAGATTGTGTGGAGCAGCGAATTGAAAGAGCACCTGAGATACGACCAGAGTCAGCGCATGCTGACCCTTTTCCGACATGCATCATTTCTCAAGGAACGCGGGCACAGTGGATACCCAAAGGGTTTCATGCAAGAGACTGCGGCGACTCTGGCTCTCCTCTTCCCGTACGGCGAGTCGCCACACAAGCGCTGGAACAGGCGTGTCCGTCGAAGAGCGGAGCCCGACGTCGAGATTGGCCTCGTTGCAAGCGTTTCTCGAAACCCCCAAGACTATCCGCACTGGGGTAGTCATTTGGTTGCCATTCAGCAGGCATTCGAGACCTCAAAGCCTCGAACGCTCAAGCAGTGGGTGCATGATAAGAGGGATAGTAATCAGTTCTACACCTTCTGGTTCGCGGTGATTGCGATTGTACTGACGTTAATGTTCGGTCTGATTCAATCGATCACAGGAATTCTTCAGGTCGTAAACAGTTGACTTTTCACGGTTGCATTCGGTCACAGACAGAAGATTTGACAATCGGGGAAGAAAATGGAGGGATCGATCCATATTTTGTTAAGATGATAGCCGGGATCACCTCTGGATCCCTGCATGGACTGGACACATCAATTACCTAGCCGCGCTTGTTTCACTTATCGTCATCATCATCCTCCCTTCCTAGGGCTGTCAAGGCTATCTTCAACTCATTCACAATTTTTTCATCCAGTTTATCTCCTTCATTCGAGTCTTGCCAACTTGATTCTCTTTCATCAGCAGGCACGGTCATTCTGCGTCTAACATCTGCCTTCAAGGCTATCATATCTCGTATATCCTCTGCAATGGCTTTCCGGTGCTCGTCGTAGCCTTTTAACGGCAGTACTGTTGTCGGGTCAACTGCTGCAGAAGCACCAGCGTCTCGATATGACGACAAGATGTATGATATGAGAGCGAGTGTTGCCGCCTCACTGGCCACGGTCAAAGTCAGCTCTGTCCCTTCAGTTCTAGTCTGAGGTGCGAGCATGAAGCTGGTGCTGGCACGGGTCAGTTGATTGGGAAATTGATTGAGGAAAATTGAGATCTCTCCAGCAATAGCTCCGCCAACTCCATGAAGGAGATTCAAGCATAATGGGAGCATTCCCGCTGCCCATACACGGTAGAGAAAAGCGCCGCCGGGTCTTTGATCGACATGGGATAGACCGCCCGGGACTCGTTGCAAGGATTCGGTTGTCTTGGAGGTCATCAGCCGGCTTAGCACGCCCTCAACAGCCATGTGCTCCGCTACGGGTGGCAGGGAGGAGAGTGACGCTAGTAACTGAACGCAAAAATCCGCGTAGCGTGGCTGGTCGTCGAGATCTGGCCTAGTGAGCAAATGCGACCAAGAATACAGCAGCAAGCATGAGGATAAGAGTCCAGAGTTAATGATTCTCGCCGACATTTCAGCCACAAACTGTGGGAGAGTGGGTAATCTGAGGATGGCTTGCGCAAGCATCAATAGTAAAGTGACATCGCGTGGTCCAACGAGACTGTTCTCATCACTGCTGGTCTTGTTCTTGTTGAGCTTCTGGTCCTGTAGAGCTCCGACAACCGATTCGAAGCCTTTGGCAATGATGTCACTAGTGATTTCGAGGAACGTGGTGTTAGTCGATGCTATCGGGATGATCGCGTTGCTTGTCCCGGGAATAGATGTCGCCTTGGTCTTCTTTTTTACATGGAACTGCATGGCCATGAAGAGAGTATACAGCGTTGATCGCCAATACGGCAAGTCATTGTTGATGATTGCCTGCTCATAAGATCCATTTCGGAATCTTACGGCGTCCCAGGCAGGCTGTAATAATTGGTAGAAATCCTCTCCTTTCGCTCCAGCGGTGAGGAGCTCACCCAAAAGCGCCACAGATAGGTCTAGTCTTGTTTGAAATAGCGAGTCGAAGATGCTCTCTGGAGGATATGCTCTTGCATTTGACTGCAGACAAACCCGGACCAGACGCGCCATGATTTTTTGGCACTCTCGGTCTCGAGCGAAAGACCGACAGTGATCCACGCAGAGACGCTGCAGACTGGCTAGGAGTTTCAACTCAGAATCAACAACAGACAGGTTCGTATTCGCCTTGCGAAACTCGGCAGTAAAGGACTGTTCGGCAGACTGGACCTTTCTCCCCCGCCAGTGTGGATCGACAGCGAGCAATTTGTCTGCATAGTCGATGTCGTAGTAGAAATTAGGGCCATACTCTTGTTCGGTGACTCCAGTCCTTTTTATATCCAAAGTCGACAAGCCGGTGTATTTTGCCGAGAAGTTTTTCTTCAGGTTTGCATGCAGCGAAGACTTGTAGAGAGAGACTTCGACGGCGTATGAGGTGAGCCACTCAAGCAACGGGATAAAGGCTTTCACGTCATTAACGTCTTTCGCCGCCTTTGCATGATGTAAGTGGTGGTTGGAGATATCCGTAACACGAGCAGCAATCAAATTCCATTTCGCAAGTTCTGTTTCGTCTGACTGGCTCCACGCACTTTGTGACACGAATGAGCTGAGCTTCGATACGAGTCCTGAAGAAGATGCGACATCTTCCGTGACCCATGACCAGTTCTGCTGCGCTTCGAGGACGAAGTCTAGCATGGGAATGGCAACCGCCTGAGACAGGTTACGAATGTTTGTGAGTTCCTCGATCGCAGAAACCAAGAATGTCTTTCCGCGAAAATGTCTCGTGCGCACCGATTCCTCCTTGATTCGACTTGGGCCGTCCGGCACAGTGCCATTCAGGATTACCGTTGCTAGCCATTGCTGGGTATCATTCACGAGGGAGGCAAGAAACTTCCACAGCTCAGATCGTTCCTCCAAAGATTGAGATTCTTGGTCAATATGTCTAAGGAGATGGAGCAGGTCGATGCAGGAAGCGGATCCTAAATGCCCTAGCAAGGAAGTGGGTTTCTGGCGTTCTATTGCCGTCAAAATAGATCGCATCAATCGCAGACATTGTTTTCGCAGCAGCTTTTTCGTCAGAAGAAGTCGTATCAAAGAAGGCATAGAGTTGAAGATATGTAACTCGGCAGATGTAAATTGAGCATCTTCTATGTCTCCAAAACGAACCAGAATTGTTGCAAGAGACAAGGCAGATTCCAAACGTGGCTCTAGAGAGTCCACGTGGGTGGTGCCGAACGTTTCATGATGCCTGATGACGAGAAAGCGAAGGACGGATGAAATTGCTGCATTATCGAAGCTCGGGTCTCGAAACGACGAAACAAGGTATTTGGCAGGTTCAACAAAGGGATTTGTGACCGATGTGTTCGAATCAAGACCCTGCCCGACATCGAAGGCGTAGCGGGTTATATCAGAGAATGTGTCCATGATAAGACTGCCAATATGATTCCGCTGCTCCGCAGACTGAAACAGCCATTCAGATATCTCTTGGAAAGCATTGAACATAATCTCAGTTGAGGTTGATAAGATCGAGGTTTGAGTTCGCAGAGTCGTAGGTAACATCGAATGTCGTCTGACCGAAGTGACACCACCACTCATGCTGGAATCGTATCGATAACTTCGTAAGGTGAGCTCCACGAGAGATCGATAGAGTTCTGCACATTTCGCCAGAAAGACAAAAGTTCTTGTAGGCACTTCTACCGCAGATACAATCCCCAAGATGTAAGTTGAAGTCGAATGACGACCAAGAAGGCTTGTTCGATTGATTCCAGACCATACCATATGAGGCTGGATCTTGCTCAGTACAATAACGAAGTCTAAACAAGATAGTAAGACGTCGCAGTTGAAGGTTGCAACTGACCTCTGGCGGAAGGCCTGGAGCTCTTGCTCCAGGATCTCGAAGACAAGCGACTCGATACTTCCAGCAGACTGCAGCTGGTTGCTCGATTCTTCAAGGATAGCGACACAGTGCTGCCGCACCTCTTCTGTAGGCTCCTCTCCGGCGGCCTTCTGGAGGATACTGGACAACAAATCTGCAATAAGACCTATACCTTCTGACACCACTGCTTGTTGATCATCGTGTGGCGAAAGACAGGTCTGGAGTGTTTTCATGTATCGGCATTCGAGCAGTTTTCCAATATACGAGAGACACGAATAGTTCACTTCCCATTTGATGATTTTGACTGGAGCATCAGGGTCAGAGATAACTTGCCCAACAGAGTCCGCAGGTAGCACGGATAAAGAAGAGGTGTCCCGGGTGGAAAATGCTAGCAACCTGTTCTGTGTCAGGTCGAGCATATTGATGGGCTTCTCCAGCGCGACAAAACTGTCGCTCTCATCTTCCCGTATTATTTTGTACTGCACACCCTTGACAGCTGCCTGGGTGAATGTGGTAAGATTGCGAAGGCGAAACTCCACATAGTGAATTCTCTGATCGTTAAAGATATCCGCTTTGGCTAGAGCTCGTGAAAACCGTAGGAAAGGCAGACACTCGTATGGAAAGCGAGCTGCCGAGACATCATAAAACCCCGCGAGCAGAAACTTGTCCTCAACAAAATCAACTGCTGGGTCATATGGTCGTTTGTTCGAAATGTCGCGATATGTGTTTGACAAGAGACCTAACTGAGCTGATACCAATTCTGGTGTGTATCCAAGGAAAGACTGAGAGACTGTGACCAATTCTTGAAGTATTTGTAGTTCAAACGCAGAGAGAATGCTTAATGGATCCTGTGCTGACGCACTAAGGTGCGTGACATAATCGAAGACGTTGCATTGGTCAATAGTTGCATCAAGCAGTGGACTGGAAGGGTCTTCTTGGGAGTTGCCCATAGAGATGCCGTCCAGAAGGTCTTCGAAAATGCTTTGCTGTGTGGAAGCACTACTTCCAGAGCTCCGTCGACCGGTCGCGGTGTCGAAGGTAGACACTCCATCTATGGCCCTCTGGGCATGGTGGCTTTCTCGAGCCTCCTTTATTGTGTTAGCCAAAGTCCATATCTCGTGGACGATGATTGCCCAGGCAAGAATCGCTGGACCGGCCTGGATATTCCCAAGGATTGCGTGCTTGGCCAATATCTCGTTGCACTCGTGAATAGACTCGATGTCGTGGAGATATTCACTGAGCCGGCTCTGCTGTCTTTGCTGAGAAGACGATGCGGTCTCATTCAAGCTCGCGATTGTCGATGCGAGGTTGAAAAGAGCAGCCGACACAAAAGACCCAAGCGACTGGATTTGCTGAATCGCGGCCAGCTGTCTACTGACTTGTGAAGTGAACGTGGAGAAGAATCCGACCGAGGACATCAGTTCTAGCCAATGGACGAGAGCAGCTGAAGATACAGTCATCTTTGACTGTCGTACACGCAGCAGCAAAACCTCTAGTACAACCCCGATAGTCTCCAAAGATGATGTGTCACTACTGTCGCGCAACAACAAGACGTTGGATTCGTCAAGATCCCAAGTTCTCCCATTCTCCAGGTCTTTCAACTGGTCCCGAATAGCAATAATAGCGGTCTCAACTTCATCTGCAATAGAGTCTTGTGGTGCTGAAGGCAATTCGGCCGCTAGACTGCGCAGTTGAGAAGAGGAGACACCCACAGCCTCGGGCAGGAGACTGGTATCTAGAAGCTCTTTGCGCAACCGGAGAATGGTAACCTTCTCTTGCAAAAACCTGCGTGCCAACCTTGTTCGGCGCGAGCCTTCGCTGTTGAAGACATCCTCGCTCTGTGACTGTGGACCCTGCAAGTGCTTGTCCACGAAGGCCGCTCCGAGGGCACTCTTGAGACTAGCAACTTCAGCCTCAGAATAGCCTTCTTGCAGCCGAGACTCTGCACTATATTGCCATTCCAGGATCGCGAGACGAAACGCTTCCAATTCGTCGATGTTCACCTGCCGACTGAGCCACAGAGCATCTGCCTTGAGCTGGTCAACATCGTAGAGATAGTCCGGGGAAGGCTTTATTCCTGCGCTAGATGTATCGAATGCTGTTTTCGAAGAGGGCGAGGGCTTTGGGAAAGACGGATATGACTGCGACAGGATCTTTTTGGGGCGATCGCCCGAAAGAATCTCTACTGCAAGACTTGATCTCGTATCGTCGTGAGAAAGTAGTGCGTCAAGGAGATCGTCCCAAGATCTGAATACGTCAAAAGCGGTTCTCCAAACATGCAGGGGATACTCACGGTAGCAGCAGGTCGCCGGAGAGACACCTGCCCAGGTCCGGGAGGTAGACGGGGCTCAGTGAGCCTGGCGCCATGATTAGAATGGCTGTCGCTTGACAGCATGTGATTGTTTGTCAACAACGTCCTGGCCTCTGAATTATTTACCAGTTCTACAGATATTGCGCGAACGCGGTCTTGTTGCTTCACCGTACCAGTCACCGGTCTTGGCGCTTTTGTGGCTCCTTTGTTGCGGAGTAGGCCCGGCGACTTTCTTTGGAGCGACCGGGGTTGAATTGTTCCGACTCGCATTGAGCAGCTTCGACGTCTCTCCTGTCTGAGGCTCGGATTTGCTAAGCAGCCTTGCCAGGCAAACCTGTCTCGAGTCTCCTGAAGCATTGCAATGTCGGAGAGATTGTTCAGCAGCGGAATTACAAGATGCCGGGGTTGCAAGAGCTCGTCGACTATAAGACGTGCTCTGCTTCCCGTGGTTTTCTGGTGCTCCATCAACACCTTCAAGCTTCAAGCAATTTGTTCATACAAGCTCGGACAAACACCCGGCAACACAACCCAGTAAAATACAACACAACACAACCATGTCCTCTACGAGCTCTTCCAAACGTATCGCCGTCGCTGGCGTGGGCTCTCTAGGCCTTCCGGTTGTCCTTGCTCTTCTCGAAGCCGGACACGCCGTCACTATCTTGACTCGCTCTGCCAGTACCAAGAAAGAAGGAATCCCAGCCGGTGCCAATGTCGAATATGCCGCCGTCGACTATACCTCCGTGGAGTCTCTGAAGAAAGCTCTCGAGGGACATTACGGTGTCGTTTCCACATTGACCACGACATCGGTGGGCGCGCAGGCTCCGCTGATAGAGGCCTCAGTCCAGGCTGGCGTGTCGCGTTTCATCCCCTCGGAGTTTGGATCGGATACTACCAACCCCAAGGCCAAAGCCCTTCCGGTATACGGAGCCAAAATCGCCACTCAAGAAAAGATCGAAGAGGTTGCAGCGAAGAATCCCGGCTGGAGCTACACGGCAGTCATAAATGGTGCCTTTTTCGATTGGGGGGTGAAGTTCGGATTCTTAGGCGTTGACCTCAAGAAGCACACGGCGACTCTTTACAATGGTGGAGATCGTAGATTCAGTACCACGACACTGGCTGGCGTTGCCAAAGCAGTCGTGGGCATTTTTTCTCACCCGGAAGAAACGAAAAATCGCGAGATTCGCGTTCACGAGACTGTCATCACCCAGAAGAAGATCATTGACATCGCTAAACGTTTGGATCCCGCAGAATGGACTTACAAGGCTGCCGATACGGAAGAGTTGAAGAATCAGTCATTTGAGGTTCTCAAGAGTGGAAAGGTTGAGGAAATCCCTGGTGCGATGATAAACTTCCTCGCAAGTGCGATTTGGGGTGAAGGATACGGTAGTGAATTCGTCGAAACTGAGAATGATCTTCTTGGTGTACCCCTTCTCGACGAGGCTGAGGTGGAGAAAGTCATAGCCCAGTACATTTGATGTTTCCGTTCGACTCAGGACGCCGTGTATACCAGGGCACCTGGAACAGAATAAACCATAAAACATAAATTCACCAACTAACGTATACGCATCATGTCGTCTCTTTTTTCATCATCCATGAAGCTAAATGAGTTCAAAGTTCGATTGACATCGAGGGGTCATGCCCACGTCTTACGGCCTTAAGCAATTCTCGTGCCGGCGCATGTGATCCCGGCTCATTCACGAAATAGTCCTCCGGATATTATTCTTGCTTCCTCAAGAGCAATATAGCGGCCATCTTGAGGACCAGAGTTGAGGGTTGCAAGTGGTTCTTTCTCCCGAGGAACCTGTCAAGACCTTGCGACAATTGACGTGAACTGTCACCTCGAGCAGCATGATCACGTCCTCACGTATCCTCGCTGCCACGGTAGCTGTCACAGCCCCTTACTACCTCTACAACGTCTCGCACTCTCTCTCGAGTGTACCAACTAGCAACACGAGAACGGAGTCGCCTCCACCAAGCTTCGTTCAATCCCAAACCCATCTCTCCGTCGTCAACCCGCGAGATCACAAGGGCGTGACGGACTCGCGGTCGATAACTTTCAAGCTCCCACCATCCCGACAGTCATGGTCAGACGAACAGATCCTCGCAACCTTCGTCCAGGGCTATTTCGGCGGCTGGGTCTTCACTCCCGAGCGGAGGCTTTTGGGTCTTCTCAACATTCTTCTGCGTCGTAGAATCGTGGGTTTCAGCAGTAAGTTACGACTTGATCCTGCCTCCTCCTCCTCCTCCTCCTCCTCCTCCACCACCACCACCACCATCTTCCCCAGATGGATAATATTTTGCTATCAACGAGAACTCAAACTCACGCTCTTCGCAGCAATCAAAGACGATCCCGGGCGTGACCAAATCTGGTCATGCAATGATCTCTCTCCAAGCAAACTCCCGCCACTCTACGCGACGCTCTTCGGAGCCTTCCAAGTCGTCGACTACCACATCTCAACGCACGACGACGACACGGGTACCGGTGACTCCGCCGGGGAAAGCTACGTAGACATCGGGTTCGGCTCGGACACGACACACTTTTCGGGCTTCCACCGGTTCTCTGTACATCGAGGCCCCTACGACAAAGGCGATCATGCTACTACGGAATCCGGTGCCAAATCCAGTTCTTCCGGCACGGTGACAATCACCAATTCATCAGTCGCATGTAACCCTTCGGCGAACACGCAGAGTCGTCTCGGCTCCCTGCACGCCTTTCACAAGGTCTACGCCATGTTGTTGTTCCGCGAAGGGGCCGCGAGAGTGATATCAACCCCGTGAAGTAGGCTCAGTACGGGTCTATTTATAGCCTACATGTTGCAACCGCTCTCCCCTTCAACGTATCATTACACTATTGTACCATGGTCACGAAACACCCCCCTCTATACTCCCTGCTCCCAAACGACCTTCTCATCTCAGTTATGTCTGTGGCTAGCCAAGGTGAAACATTCGGCTTTTGGGGACGCCATTTTATGCACTCATCACTCGCACAGTTCTGGGTATATCACCACGGGACAGGTTTTGGCCTCCAGTGTCAACAGTGGCGTCGGCTCTGGCTCGTTGGAACTTACACGTCTCAGATCATCATCATCAATGATATGGACCAATTGTTCAGAGAGCTGGATCTGATGAGCCACCACAAAAGCTGGTTACATAACACTTTCGCTCCCGTTCTTGCAGGTCGATATAGCTGTTCTGAGAGACGAACATCTGAAGAGATAAGGAGGAGTGAAAGTCGGCTTGAAAAGGGAGGAAGCTTGACGTTGTTTTGCACCCCTCCCCATATCATCAGGAAGCGACAGCGTTCGTCAAATTCGACGAAGCTCGCGGTTTTCCTCTGTCCAAGTACCGTGGAAGGCTCGACAGCTGTCAATCTTTTCGCCGTAAACCGAATCTCATCGCCCCTTGCACCTTTTGGGGGGGTCGAGCCACTCGCGGGCACACTGTAACATCCAATCCTCAAGACCTTGATGGCACCAACTCTGATTCAAGGCTGTCTCAATCACGTCAACCCTTCTAGCGGATGAGCCGGGTTTGAAGCACACATAGCCAATATACAGGTTCGTTTCTCCTTCGAGCGGGGTTGGGGTGAATAAAACAAGGTATTTTGCGTCTGCGTTTAGAGAATCCTTGCTCCTATTCTTTTGGGATGAAAAAGCTAAAGAGGCCCTGAGCTCTTCAAAGTCGGCTGGGCTGATGTCCTCTGTGACGATGAATCCATCTCGATACCAGGCCATTGGCCTATGGCTGTTTGGTCGAGCCTCCGTCAGTGTCATGGCCTGCGACCTTAGGGAGTCTCAGAATGAATATGCATTAGCCGACGTTCCTTTGCGTACCGCTTTGATCCTAAGGCTTGATTGCAAGGTATCGTGGGAAGGCAGAGAATATTCTTTGCGCGAGACTGTTGCACATCTCGACAACTCGTATGTCTTTATACTTCATTCGTCTTAAGGGGCGAACCAAGTTCAAATCCAAAGGAGGCGGTGTCCCAGATAGCGTGGGTGAGGCTATGCATCATGGTGTCCCAGCGTTTGTCTCCAGTCAGGCTCACAGATGCCCTCGTTTATAGTATTACGCCTCGAGGCCCAGCCAATAAAGAGCATCCAGCCATGGACCATTTCAAGGAAAGGTGCATCCGGAGTCGCGAACTCACCCTCGATCATTCCCAATGAGATTGACTTGACGAGACCCCTTCCAATTGAGAACAATCTTTTCAGAAGGCGAAGGTCTGTGTCGTAAAGCTAGCCCCCAATCCCGCGTGGCACTAATCAACCATTCGAACGCGAGACTTCATGTATTCATGTGTAATATCCCGTACCCAGAAGCAGAGTCCCGAACAGGCCACGCGTTCAATTAGCTCAAAGGGCACAAGCCCACCCCCCAGGATTGCACAAGGCTTGACTGACTCGGATGAGCAGGGCGGAGACGTTGGTGACTCACAAGGGCTGCTCCCCGTCGATTTCTGGTGTCTGCGGTGCACAATACCGGACACTGGAATCGCTTTTCCCGATGTGTCCGCCGGGTGACTGTGGTGCGTGCTCGGGATCCTTCGTCTTTGTAAAAATGACAATCTTCCTCTCGAAGCAGTCGACATGTTGATCCAAAGCAATATTATATCAATATTGGCCATTGAGCAACGATTTCCGGGGTGCGTTCGTCGTCAAGTTAAGCATCTCAAGGCCATGGTCTGTGGAAGATAGCCTGGTTAGTGGCCGTGATGCGATTGGCACCATCCGGTCCTGCGCTGTGCGTGAAGTGAAGATGGCTTTCCAGGAATTTTGGAACTTCGAGATCACGTATCACGACCTCGTCATTCTCTTGTAAGGGGCGACGCACCCATATTTCAACATTGTGCTTTAGGCTATGGCCAGGCAACAGCACGCCTCATCGAAGAAGGCAAAGCTTCCCATATGATACCGCCAGTTGAGGCGTGCTTCCCGTAGGTCAGATATGTAAACAACGGCTCCTACATCGATCTCACATTCAGGGCGTCCTCGATACCTTGAATTTTCTAGAAGTACTTTATGATTGCGATGGCATAGGTAGTAGATGGCTACGAGGTTGCATTCTCTGCACCGTCATACCTTCACGAATACCTTGCCTTTCTTATCCACCTTCACGCCGTCGCCGCCAGGCAGAATTCTCAATGTCTGTCCGAAATACGCGTCTATCACATTGAGGTGCACTTCGACCCATTTATCTCTCTTGTTTGGCAGGATCCTGTATGTGAGCGATTGCCTACTGATGGGGACGAGACTTAAAGAACATGCCTTCGGACCGCTGAAAGCAAAGTCTTCGGCAGCGTCTAATGAGACGTTGAAGGTGAGAAAGTGCATGCTCGGGTTCTCAAGCGTAAACACTAGCTTGTGCACTGAAGGCCCCGAGGCACTCAACGTAGCTTGAGAAGCAGTGAGTAGCACTCTCGGTTCAGCCATTGCAGCTACTAGCTTGGGGACCTCAAGTACCGTGGTGTTGACTCCATTGGAATCTTGTCGCCGCCAGCCAATTTCTAGGGCGAGGTCGACCCCAACAGTATGGCGGTCCCCGAGGACTACCTTCTGCAAAGATAACTCGAAGTCAAATATTGTAGTCTGGTCCGGCAAAACCGACGATGAGATCGTTGCCTTGTCCTGGGCAGATTCCATCCCGGGTCTTCTTACCATGCCGGTGGTTGATGAGCACGTCGCACTTCCCTCAACTTTAGTTGCCGTAAGAATAATAGCCTCGATAGTCAGAGGCTCATCAGCAAAAGAGTAGAGATTTGCAGTCACCCAGTATCGATGTCTTAAGCCGAGAGGTGTTGATGAATCTCTCTCTATTGGGGGCGCCTGAAAGAAACTGGGCCACGGCTCGAGATCGAGACGTGGTACGAAGTCATAATTCGCCTCAAAGGGACGAATTACGACGACATCAATCGCCAGACTCTTTGTTAGAACCGTCTCGGGTTCCGAAACCAGTGTGTAAGTTGCAACAAGCTCAACTTCGTGATCGACTGCAACGACTGTTTCATCGATGCAGACAGATACAGTAGTACTTTCGTTGGCCGCTATTGTCCCCAGGTCTCGTGGGGGCAAGATCAGGACCCCTGTTTCTGAATTTGTCGCATCCTGAATTCCAGGATCAAGCCATCTTATCCGCGCAGAATCCTCCACCGGACTGATCATACGAACCGTGACAGAGAGCATGGCAGCTTCTTCTTCGTCGTTCTGAAGACCAAATGCAATCTCGATCGTTTCGTTTGCGTAGTAGGCCCTGCGAAGTCCTGGCACTTCAATTTGCAGTTTTGGCGGTTTGGGTTGTACGGTGATCTTGTTGTAAGCATTGGACTCCTCGCCGAGGAGTCGTGGGATTGGTATACCATTCTTCGTTTCCCACCATTGGGCCACAGAGTGTTCGAAGTCAGAACAGGTGACTGCAAGCGAATAGTTAGGTCCATTCACAAGCAAGGTGATCGAAGCGACCGCTACATCGCCAGCTTCACGCGGAGTGATTCGTAGGCGAAAAATCTTGGTGCAACTCGATGGCATCACCAAATCAGCTTTTCCAGCAAGAGAGACAATGGCGCCAGCAGAAGACATCCTCTTAACTAGATTCGAGTCTTGGAGTACGACATCCTGGAAGTTAGCAGAAGACGAGCCGGTGATATTTGATCCAGCCTCTCCAGCCTCTTCTGCGACCAGATAAATAGGGTTCAGACTACCCTCAAAGACAACCTTGACCTCCGAGAGTCTGACGGGAGCAAGCGTCTCTTGTGCCTTTGAGTGCAATGTCAATTGACACTCCAGAGGCTCTCCAACGAATACATCGTGGGTTGAAAAAGCAAAGGACGGGAAAATAGGCGATAACGCTTGATCCATGTCAATTGCGGCAAATTGTGGCGAGCCTTCAGCACTGATATTTCGAAGAACTTCATGTAAATCGAAGCCAGGTCCAGTCTTGCTTTCGAAGACGCCGCTCAAGAGTTCCCATGATAGCTGCATATGCAACTCTGGATTTTGAGACTGAGAAAGACAATCCAAAAGAGACCAGCCGAGTTTTTGTAGAAGCTGCCACCAGCCTGATCGCCTCCACTGTTGATTCTGCCATAGAGGCTGAAGCATATCAATAGCCGCAGCCCAGGACTCGGATCGGACGTGTTCCAGGGCCTGCTCAAGTCGCAAAAGATCAACCTTGCGTAGCTGGCCACGTTCAGAAAAATATTTGATCGCGTCTTCCAGTTGGGAGATGATAGACGATGCATGATCGTATCCATCACTTCCATCAGTTGGTACCTCACGGTACGGTTCAAGAGCAAGATACGTATCATAGAGATGAGCCTTGCTTGCTACCATAGATGCAGGGGAGCGTCCAGGGGACTGTCGATCCTCGTCCGGAATTTGTAGAGCCCACTTCCGCCGCGCAGCTGTGCACTTCCTCGCAATATCCAGCCAGTACCCTTCATGATGAAGTAGCTCCCAAGGAGTGCTGCGATCGACCACCGGGCTGGTTTTTTCAGCCGCAACAAAGATGGGAAGGAGATCTACATCCTGCATTTTGGTATTAAGCAACGGGTATTCTGACCTCGAAACCAAATCGGCCATTACGGTTGCCCAGTTACTTTGCCAGGCCTCCCACCCATAGTTGTCAGTCCCTTTACCTCGACGGTCAAGAAAGTCCCTGACTCTTTCTCGGTGGGCGATCCATGATCTGACAGCCGTCGTACCTTGATCAACCCATAACAAACACCTGATTATGCGCAACGCCATGACGTCTGCCAGCGATCTGGCTTCATGGAAACGTGGACTCCAATCGGCGATTGTCTCGATAACCTCGGGACTGAACAAGGCGTCATAAGCAGTCTCATAATTGCGACAAGCAGCATCCATCTCTTGCCGGAACTCCGCCAGAACTCCAAGCTTGAACTCATATCTGACATTCCAACCTTGGAGAGGCAATACGTGTGAGACTCCAGGCTGTATGGTAGGTTGCGGAACAACATTTCGATTGCGCTTTCGACGGCAGTGTTTGGAGAGATCGCGGTAGTATTCTACACAGGGAGAGTGCAGAGTTGAAAGAACGGAGCTGACGAATTCAGTTACCTCAACGGCAGAAGCATTGTGGGGGAGAAAGAAGATGCTCTTCCCATCGAGCCCTCCTGAGCGACGAATGGTATAGCAACGATCTTCGAGGTCAGACGCATTTATGAAGCCATCACCAATGAGAATGACCACAAGTTTGGTTTTGTAGTTGGTCGAAGAAAGCACACTGCGAATGTTACCGACCTCAGACTTCAGCTTATTGTCGTGCAAAGAGCTTGTATGTGGATCGGACGTGAGAGAGAAGCATGTCAGGAATGCGCAAGGTATCCGAGACTGGTGTTTCGTAATCCACAAAGGAGAGAATATCCCGTCAGCATACAAGGGCGAGATAGGTGTCAACGGAGACAGCGGCGAGTGTAGTACGAGCGGTGGAGGAGGGCTGCCATTTGCAACAGTGGCCGATAGACGGGGAGAATAAGGCGGCGGCGGCGCTTTACGAGGCGGAAGTGTGTAGATCTGAACATACGTATTAGTTGACAATCTCAGTTATACGGTACTGAGGGTGTTGCTAACCTACCCGTCCGACAGTTGCGATCTTGTAGATCTTACCATTACGTGCAGTCACCGATCGAGAGTGCCATGGGACATTCGATGCGTCTTGTGAGTTGAATGCCTGGAGAAGTTGCTCCGCTAGAGGCCCGCGCACGTTAGGAGCATCTATTCTGATCATGAACCCGCCATCCTGCAAAAAAGGATACGTCCGACTTCTTGGTTCCGGAGTCGAATGATTGCCGTCAGCCAGACCAGAGACAAGCAGGAGGGGCAAGTTATGAAGGGTGTAGTCATCTGGGTATGCGTTCATATCTATTGAGCATCTTGCCAGGTGTGGGAGTCACCTGCAGTTCCAGAAGCCGTATCGCAGGTAATGGTGTGTGTATGGTGTCTCGACGGATGGCAGGCTTCATCAACACTGAGAGATACAGCAACTATTGTGAGGTCGCCACACCTTCCATGTTGAGAAGAGCCACAGTACCTAGGTACCTCAGGGACCCGTGCAGGGACTGGGAACGCTGGAGGATCTTGGATGGTCTGGCTCTTTGTTTCCTCGAGTTTTCCACTTCGAATCCATAATGGCATCTTACCCAATGACACCGACCTTGTTGTTCCTGTGGCAATCTGGTAATCTCAAGCTATCATTGATCGGATCTCGGGCAACATCACTCAGCACCCCACCGCACCTTCGAAGATACAGCGGATCATCTACAACCAAGACTACGCTGATAATCTTGTGAATCTGAGCACGTCAAGGCCGGACACATTTTATCTTCATGAGCATTGTTGCTTCTGCCCATCCGCATAATGACTTGTTGCGAGAATACTCCATCTCACTCCGAACGCTCCCCTCGGCCTTCGCAAGACCAAGCTTTTCAGGGACATGTGCAGTTCAGGTGCCACATATCTATCTATTCACTCTTCTGCTCTAGCTCGATCCACTGGAATCAGGATGCTGAAGCGTATGCCGTCGTATTCAAGGTAGGTTTGAGAGCTGCCAAATAAGGAAGGTGCTGTAAGACGAGGCTTGATCGGGAGGAAGAGCATGCTTTTGTCTCGTATTCTCTCGCCAGCTCCCGTTGGTCTTTCGTGTGAGGCAAATCGCCCTTGGCAAAGCTGACTGTTGAGCAATCGGCGGAATATCTCGATCGTCTGAGGCCCCAGCCTTGGAGAACCCGTACTCATTCCGCCAAGCCAGAGGCTACAAACAACTGACACTCACCTGATTCAACTTCACGGTACAGGTATGTTACAAAAGTTCCGGCGGCTCCATCGCTCATGAAAAGCGTACATAAAGGCTTTATTCAGCGTTGAAGTATGAGCCCGGCCGAATTGCAGTCAGAGATACCAAGCCTACTGACGTTAGTCACGCCTTATTCAGCCTTTCCGTCCCCAAAAAGGGGTGTCAACGGAGAGGCCATTACTAACCCCCAGTATTCTGGCACCGTGTGACACACACAAGCTAAGCGGATGCATGGCAGTTAGTTGCACTTAGACTGACGATGGCTTGCAACCTCGAGCTCTTAAGAACTCCATCTGCAGTCTGAGTTCGATGTCTTGACTTACGAACCAGGGACGACAACGGCTACTGCTAGACTCTTTTACACAACTGCCTAGGTCGAATGTTTTCAATTCACGCTCCTACGGTCTTACCGCCTCATGCCTCCCAGGCAGGACGGGCCTCCGAAGACCTTCACCTTCATCACCGGTGACCCACGCAGCAAGCAGAACATTACTCAGATACGCCGCCATGCTGGACAAAGCTCTGCTGCCAAAGCAAGTTACCTGGGTGGAATCCCCTCTGCTCGACCATCACCACCACCAAACCCCCAACAGTCAGCAGACACTGTGCAGACCCAACTCTCGGATAATGGCTACCAGCACCAACCTGGCAGGCATTCAAGCTCGATTTCGGCGGAGGCAGCCACGCCGCGAATTCGCATTTCCTCACCAGACACAGTCTCGAAATCACAGGATACCTGCGCGAGTCAAGTACGAAGGCTGACGATCGATGATCTCGTCAATGCAGTTCCTGACCAGAACGATAATTCTGACTCTAGGCGTGAGGTATCCGAGTCATCACCAAGAAGAGGAAACGCTCGTGGACAAACAGTGCAGCAAAGTGAAGGTGCTGTTCTTACGGCAACGCCTGGGCATCCGCACCGGAAAGACCATCCAAGTACCAGCCAAGATCGATCTCATCGAAGCTGGAACAAAGCTTCATCATCGCGGCGTCCAGCATCAAAAGGCGTTTTCCGTGCCATCCCCAATGTCTCCAAACGCCACAAACACAGCCTGGCAGCCTCCTCTCTAGTATCCTGGCGATGCGGGCCATCACCTAATTTTCTCATTCCGTTGTCGCGGGATGAGTCTCACATCGCGCGAGTACTCCAGAAGACGTCCGAATTCTACATTAGTAGCTTCGAATCAACATGGCTGCCTCTCCTTCATCATAACAGCTCAGTATTTGACGGAATAAGCACCATCGAGAACTTCAGTGGCTCTATATCCACAGCTGCCAGCCTTATCTCCATCAATCATATTGAGCCCGCCACCAGGATCTTGAACCGGATCGTATCTGACCTCCAAAGCCTCCTCACGATAGAACACCCACAGTTGTACTACGTTCTCGCAGAACTCTCACTTGACACATCGGACACTGGCATTGGCCGTCTTCGTGCGGAACTCAAAACACTTGCATCCGGCATGGCAGACTCGGCCCTTGGTAGACACCACCCCATCGCAGAACTGCTGCGTCTCCGGCTGACGCCAGCCGTGAGCACCCGCCTTCGCGAGCTTATCCAACGCAAGGTTCGGTCTTTGTACGCCACCTTCTTCACCTCGACTTCCTATCAAGCGATCGGCCAGTCATACTTTCTCGCACGCCTCCTCTCGCACCTCAACCAGCCAAACGAAGCCATGGAGATCCTCGCCTGGTTCATACGCACGTCCGAAGTGTCATTCGGGTCTCAGAGTCTGATGCCAGTTACGGGGCTCCTCGAACTCGCCAAGGTTCATCTATCGCAGGCCCAGCTCACGGACACGCACATGACAGACACAAGTCCGGCTCCGGACTCGACCCTGCGGGCTGAGGAGCTTGCAAGCGACGCACTGAACCGCACGCTCGGTCTGGACCCGAGCAACACCGTACCGCCCTTGTCTACCACGATCGTCCATGCGCGCATCGGGTGTCTGCGCACGCTGGGACGTGTGCACCTCATGCGCCAGAACTTTGCTACTGCCACGCAGTATTACTCCGAAGCCGTCAGGATCGGGGGTGAACAGCTCGGTCCAGATGTGCCGGCTGTGCAACTTGCGCTCGCGGACCTGGTCGGGGCGAGTGATCTGGCTATGAAGGCGGACATGCACATTGGGTCAACAGTCATGGGCCCGCATAGCAGCGCAGCATTGCTTCAAGAGTTGAGCAGCATTAACATTACAGCAGTCCTTTAGATACTCGTCACCTCTAGGTTTTAGTCTTGCCTCAGTTGACTGCATTTGGCGAATGACTACATACATATCTGATGCTTGCACAGGCATTTTATCCATAGCATTGCATGAATCTGGCGACCAGATCAACCATAAAACGGGAGTCTGGAAAACATCTGATTTTTTCTTTCATTCTATAGTACAGGGCTAAATGCTAGCAAGTCCCTTTTTTATCATTTTTACCTACCCAGGTGACTACTTTTGTTTATTCTTCAATCTTTCTTTTTCTTTCTTCTCCCGATGAGAGATATAGGCTTCCGCGGCGATGCCTCCGAACACCAAGCCAACCCCCATCCATTGGCCTCGGCTCAAACTCTTGCCAAACCAGACCACGCTCAAAACCATGGTCAGCATCTTTCTCGTCACTGTCACCGTGACGAGCAGCAAGCTCGAGAACCTTTCCAGGGTCGCGTAGATGAACAGCTGGCCGATGGCTCCGCAGGCTGCAAAGCCCAGGACATCGTAGAAGACCTTCGGATGTCGTGCGAGGAAGGACATGGCGGTGGCTAGTTCTTGCGTATCGGTCTTGACAAAGGCCGGTATGAAAGGCTCCGGGACATACGGAGTGACGAGGAGATATGCGCCCATCAGCAACGTCCCTAGCAAGTTCAATATAACCATCATTTGGGGGCCGGAGGTCTTGCCGTAACGGTGGGGAGACGAGAAGATGTGATCTTGGACCGTGTTTGTCAAGCCGTCGAAGAGAAGATTGATGGCTAAGAGCGTCAAGCCGTAGACGCTCGACGACTGGGTCTTTGTGGTCTTGCCTGGCTTCGGGGGGTGGTAGAGCGTGAAGATTGCGACGCCGCCCGTCACGGCGAGGACGATGAGATACTTCGACAGAGGATAGCGCTTGCGGAACAGAGTGACGTGCAGCGCCATGACAGGGAGGAGCTTGCAGGACTTGGCAAGGACGAACGTGAGATAGTCGACGTGGGCGAGCGAGGCGTAGCCAAACGGCGAGGCCAGCGTGGTGGTCAGCGTGACGAGGACCAAGGGCACAAAAGCCGACCTGCGCGGGAGGATGTGGAACGATTTCGTCTTGTACAGCAGGTAGAGACTGCCGCTGGTGAAGGCAAAGAAGGACTGGATGGTGTTGAGGACAATTGGGAACCTGAAGTACTCTTGCTGCGCCTGCGCAGAACCGTCCGCCGGGTAGGGAGTGGTGGTGATGCGCTCCTGGAGGAGACCCCAGGTCAGGAAGGACGCGTATATGCCGCCGACGCAGACCAAGAGTGTGAGCACGCCCGACGAGGGAGCCTGAGACGGGGCTCGCGAGCTCGATGACCTCCGGCGCTTTGTTTGCGGCGACTGCTCTTTCGAGACGTGCCCGTTCCCATAGACTGCGCGCCGCTCAGGCTCGTCGGAAGGCGTCTGCATAATCTCTCCCGAGTCAATCCTCTGCAAGGGGGCGACCTGCTTGCGCCGAGCCATGATCGCCACTAGAGTCGAAAGGACGAGACACAATTCCAATACAACAAGAACGAACGACTCGGGGTGAAAGACAGTATTGAAAAGATCGTGAGACGGGAGGTGGCCTTTTGACAACACAGCCTCGCCGCCCGCCCCAGCCTTGCGCATGAGGCTCGACATCCCGCCAATCCCGTTTACAACCCAAGATGAATAGGTAGGCAGCTACAAGGACTTTCCACAAGGCGAAAAACACGGAAAACAGGGTTCAGATGGCTACAGACATGTCCTACAAAGTGCAGATGGCTCGACAAATTCTCGAACAAAATGAATTTTTGCTATTCAGACCTCATCGTCGTCTTCGTCATCACTGCCGAAGATGGCTTTGAAGACAGCTTGTCCAGGTCTCTCCTGCTCAATGGCTTCATTCATCTCTGGATTCATTGAGTCTGCTCCCTCCATATTACCGGCAGATCTTGACCTTGCCGTAGCAACGCTATCGACAGCTACCGATTTGGCAGGGTCTGCATTTTGCTGCGGCATAGTTGAAGTAAAGGAACGAACCTGTGTCGTGGGGGGTTCGCGCTGTGCGGCAGATGTCGCCGAATGATCCGGATAAGGAACATTGAATCTCTTGCACAAAAGTCTGGTAGGGTAGAAGTTGGAAAATGACCTGGTCATAGGCCCAAACATACCCATTTTCGCGGCTGATACTGCCTGGTCTTCCGGTTTGGGTGCAGGCGTGCTCAACATTGCGTCCGTAGGCGCCGACGAGTCTGGGTTTTGTCCTTGTAGCGAGGCGGTTGAAGATGTGAACCGGCTAGCCATCAAGCCACTGACTGGCTTGAAAACTTCTGCTGCTCGAGCAAACTCCTGCATTTCAATGACCCAATCGTCCTGTTTCATACCTTCGGCACGAGGTGGAAGTTCATCCTGTCTAAGGCCGGCCTGGATTTCAAGGAAAGTTCGATACCTAGATCGTTTCTTTTCATCCTCTGCGTATGGCATCCAGCCACTCGTGCCTCGAGATAGTGCCTGCAAGGCAGTAGCCTTTTCCAGATCTGGAACCAGGCTGCGCAGAGAAGAGGTCACCGGTTGGGAAGCTTGAAAACCCGGAGGTGGCGGTTCATTGCCAGCAGCAGGAAGGTTCAGGTGACCAGATGCTGCCGCCAGACGGTCCCGAGCAGAAGAGGTGAGGAAGTCAAAGACTGATTTCCCTGGAAGTTGTGCCTCCCCCAGAATCGAGGCCCTTCCTTTGGCGGTCAGATTCGAGCGTCTTGCAGCGTCGGCCGTAGACACAAAATCAGAATTACCTTGGCCTCCTCCTGGCGCAATGGGTCGGGAAGATGTCCATGCAGCCGGGACCTCAGGAGGCTTGTACTTGTCATCCTGAATGGTGAGACTACCAAAGGAGTCCAACTGACTAGCCAACACGAACCCGTCGGGAGGAAGTCGGCCATCATGACATTTACGCAAGGCACCTTTGAGGCTTGCCAGTTTTTTCGAGATGAATGTTGGTTTCGTCTTGACCAACGGATTTGCCGAGCTTGCCGCATTCTTCGCTTTCGATTTTGGCCTCTTGTCGCCACCAAGGACCCGATTATAGGATATCTTCGGGCCCATTGAAAAGGGATCTTCGTCATCTGAGCCGTCGTCATTCAGAATGCCAACACCAATGCCCGTCCGTTTGGTTCGGGCTGAAGGCCTTTTGGAGAATAGTAGAGACGGACTGGACGTCTCATCGTCAGAAGATTCCTCTCGTTTTGAGTGTTTCTGAGTTGACTCGCTGGTTTTGCTCCCCAACGTCGATGTGGCTGGTAGCTCACCCTCGTAACCTAACCCTTTATGATCCGTCTTTCGTGAGAAGGATACAATCTGAACGTCGTCGGGAGCAAAAAGATGTGTCTCTGAAGATACGTCCTCATCATCATCTCCAAGTTTTGCTTTTCTTCTCACTCGCAACCCGATACCCTGGCCTTCACGCCAGCCCATCCTTTTCAGCAAAGTAGGGCCGATAGTCTCTTGGGAAGGACGAAATATATCGATTACTGCACTCCTTCGACGCGGGTCATGTTCGGTGCCAAATCCGGCGAACTCATCAGAAGTCTGGATTGTACGTGATTCTTCAGCTTCGCGCATGTCTTCTTCGTCCATAAAGTCCTCTGGTTTCTGTTGAGCCGGCTTGGCTCCATCCTTCATGCGGTTTTGTCTTGATGAGACGAAGGTAGAGGGTGTCCAGCCTTCTTTAGAGCCTACAGTGTTAAAATATCTGTATCCGCCTTTTAGCCATGATGTTCCATGATCTCAAGCTCCGCAAGCTCACCCGGCGCTGAAGCCACCTGTAAAGGCGCCGTGCAAGCGTTTTCTTCCTCTGTCGTCCGTCACCTCCTGCTTCCAGACCGGCACGAAACTGCCATCATCCCGAGTGTGTTCATCTAGTAATGGCAGGGCAGTCCCGTAAAGCACAAAGGAAGATACGGGCCTGTGTTGCAGATCTGCCTCGTAAGCCTGTCGAGATCTTTTGTACGCCATGGTGAAGGCAACGGCGCGGCGAGACGAGATTTGGCGTCTGAAGTGCTAAGCGGTCACAAGCATAAGTAAGGACATACATCACTCAGTTGAGCTCGTCTGCAACAGGCTCAGCAAAATACTTGATTAACAAGTTTCAACAGATTAGAGCAAAAGACCCCAGGAATACTGTTGCGCAGTCTGGTGCGGATCAGCCAGGGGTACAACTAAGTGGAAATATCAGCTGTCTGACGCCCCAGATTCCGCAAAGCCCCCAGGAGAGGGCGTTTTGGCATGACTGACAGCGTCTCTGGGCTTCCCTAGAAGCCCGCACCTACGAGGTGCCAGACAGGCTCGTGGGCGTGCCTGGTGTCAGTAGTGGACGCGCTAACAAGCAAATCCCGCTCCTGCATGGGGGCTTTGGGCTGCTGATTTTAGGCTCGGGAGCCTTGATCACAGCGCAACCGATCTCGAAACCGACCCCAGTACGGACAGCCACCAAATGTGCCACCAACTGTAACTCCAGTACAAGCATCACTAGTTAGCATTCCCAGTGACTGCCCATCCAGACAGCAATCATTTCATTGTACCAACACCTGGTCTTCCAACTTCTGTTCATCTCCTGCGCTGCTGCCTTGGAACACCACATTTCCATACCCAGATCCCGCCCAGCTTACCTCCCATTTGGCAGAGGTCAGTCGGGATCTTAGGCCGTTGCCAGCCCCCCATCGCCGAGCTGTCATCTTACCTCCTACTTTCGACCTCTTCGATGATCACACTCGTAATTTGGCGCTCCCCAGGCTGTCTTCCTGGTCTTTGATGCTCTCCTACTCATGAACGCGTGGCCTCTGCGCGGATCTTCGAAGAGAATCGGGATACTGAAAAGCGGCTGTGCGCGAAGCCTCGCAGTCAATTCCTCAGGGACGACGGCATTCCACTATCCGTGCGAGTGCGAGGCTCTGCATTCCGCGTCGGCAAACACAACATTGTTTGCCTGAACAACAACGAGACAGCTGCAGATTACCCGATATTTACAATGGCAACAGCAGCTTCACAACAATCACCTTCGATGGTGCGCAGTCACTCCTCGTCTCGAAACCCTCCTCCTTCGTCCTACGCTCCCGCCTCCCCTGCACAGCTTTCTAGGACACGGTCGACCAATTCAAGGCCTTCCGATCATTCAACGCATAATCGCTCTAGTTCTCGTTCATATGACAATCCTCCGCAATCAAATCCTAACGCACTCGCAAATGTCGCCCGTAGAGACTTCGAACAGACGAGTATACCGAAAAGTTCCTCACGGAGAAGTTCAAGAGACGGAAGGGCGGATTACACCATGGACAACCATGGAAGGACCTCCTCGCGCCCAGGATCAAGACGAGGCAGTCAAGACCTCACTGCACCAACTACAGTTGTAGCGAATGGCACCTCAGGCCACACTGCACCGCCTCCTTCCAGCACGACCCACACGGACAGACATGCTTCACAGACATATCCTACTGTAGGCCGCAGACGGACGTCTATAACTGCACAAACTGGCACGTGGTCGTTGGGCAAAACTATAGGACAAGGGAGCATGGGCAAGGTCAAACTCGCCAAAAACATCGAAACTGGAGAACAGGCTGCGATCAAGATCGTTCCTCGGCAAACCCTTGATGACCATGGGAATGCGAAAGATGAGAGGGCAGATCGCTCAAAAGAAATTCGGACTGCCAGAGAAGCGGCAATGGTGTCATTGCTCTGCCACCCATACATTTGTGGTATGATCGATGTGCAGCGGACAAACTATCATTGGTACATGCTTTTCGAGTATGTCAACGGTGGGCAAATGCTCGACTACATCATTGCCCATGGCCGACTCAAAGAGAAGCAAGCGAGAAAGTTCGCCCGTCAAATTGCAAGTGCTCTGGACTACTGCCACCGCAACAGCATTGTACACCGAGATCTGAAGATCGAGAACATTCTCATCAGTAAGAATGGTGATATCAAAATCATTGACTTCGGTCTCAGCAACCTTTACTCACCACGTGCCCTCCTCAAGACATTCTGCGGAAGCTTGTACTTTGCGGCCCCAGAGTTGCTGCAAGCTCGCCAGTATACAGGTCCTGAGGTTGACGTATGGAGTTTCGGAATTGTTTTGTATGTGCTTGTCTGTGGCAAGGTTCCATTTGATGATCAAAGCATGCCTCAGTTACACGCTAAGATCAAGCGTGGTGTTGTTGACTATCCACAATGGCTGACAGCTGGTAAGTTCAATTTCCTCAACACCAGAATGGTACTGACCTCATGATCAAGAGTGCAAAAACATCATTTCGAGAATGCTTGTAGTGGATCCCAAAGAACGGGCGAGTCTTCAGGAGATTATGAATCATCCATGGATGACAAAAGGCTTCAATGGGCCGCCAGACAACTATCTACCCCAAAGAGAGCCGCTTTCGTTGCCACTTGATCCGGAAGTCGTCGAAAAGATGCAGGGATTTGATTTTGGCTCGGCCGCCTACATCACGGAGCAGCTCACTCGAATTATTGACTCAGACGACTATCAAAGCGCCATTCGCAGAACGGCCAAAGACGATCACAGCAATACTTCGGGTGGCGGAGACAAAAAGCGTGGAGTATTCGACTTCTACAAGCGGAGAAATTCTATAAGCAGGGAGGGCCTTGCAGCCCCTTCGTCGGAAGCAATCCGAGGACACGACCCGCTAAATGCGTACAGCCCTCTCGTGTCAGTCTACTACTTGGCTCGTGAGAAGCTCGAACGAGAACGCCGAGAACAAAACCCGGGAGCTTTGGCTATGCCGTTGACACCTAAAGAGACCCCTCTGAAACTGCCGGGTCTCCCAACCCCTGAAGCGGCTTATACCAATACTTTTGCTCCTGAGATGCCAGGTGAAAAGGCCACCGGTGGTCGTTCAAGGGCCCGTGCTCGGACGAACGGGGAAGACGATGTCGTTCAGGGTATCAAACAATTAGAGATCCCTGAAAAGAAGCCGCCTCCCAGCGCAACTTCACCAACAGCAACACCGCATGCAGAACAGCCCACGAGACGAGAAGGCACTGCTATTGGTTTATTGAGGAGGTTCAGCACCCGGCGTTATCGCGACCGCGACATGGAACGTCCTCATCCACCCCCAGCGTTGAATATCCAGCCTCCTCAAGACTCCGCGGCGCCGCCACGTAAATCTTTCTCCGTTCGTCGCTCTCGGAGGAGAGACCCAAGTCCAAGCACTCACCATGCCGGAGGAAGCCAGCCTCAACATGAAGGTCTTCTCAGCGCCGGAAATAATTCTTCGAGAGCAGGCAAGTTGCTGGGTCGATCGACTAGCGTTAACTCTGCGGAGTACCGCCCGAGACGACTTCTACATCGTGGGCCATCGGCAAACGAATCGCCACTGCTTGCCCCCGAACCACCCCCTACCAGTGGATCAGATAAGTCCAGCGCCAGTGCCGGCAAGAATAGCAAGGGTGTGGAGCTTACAGACAAGCCTGTGCCTAATGCCGTTCCGTTACCTGCACCGCGTACGCCGACCAGTAGTCGTACTAAGTCTCTTGGTCATGCGCGACAAGAAAGCATTCAAGCCAGACGCCGACGATACGAAGAACGGCGGGACCGAGAAGCCAACGTGCCCGAGGAAACTGACGCTGACATGCGAGTTGGTGCGGATGCTTTAGACACGCCCGCCGTTCCTGATACTCCAGGTACGGAGATCGCGAAACCAGCAAGTCTGAAGGGACTGTTCTCGACCTCGACCACCAGCAACAAGCCTCCTGAATTTATCCGACACGACATTATCCGTGTTCTGAACCAGTTAGGTGTTCAGTATAATGTCATCAAAGGCGGCTTCTCCTGCCGGCATGCGCCCAGCATCAATCTCGAAGGTGTCAAGGAGCCAGGCCCCGGGTTAGAGGAAGATAGAAGTGGACGGGTGACGAGTGGACACCAACGACGAATCTCATTCGGTGGTGCTTTCCGCGGCAAGGAAAGAGAAGATATCAAGGACGAGAAGCTTAGTCGACACTCGACTCGGAGACGACAACCAGACCAAAGTTTCGTCACGAATTCTGAAGGCTCTGATGACTATCTGCCACAGGCCAGACACACCAGCGAGGCACCTGCCGACATGGCAGCAACCAGAACACGAGTTCAAGACGATAATGGCGAGCGGCTGGTGCTCCGGTTTGAAATTGCAATTGTCAAAATCCCCCTCCTCTCGTTGCATGGCATTCAGTTCAAGAAGGTTCAAGGAGGCATGAATCAGTACCGTTCAATGACTGCGGCAATTCTCAACAGCCTAAGACTTTGATGGGCTGAACATTTCTTTTGTTTTGGAGTTCCACCTAGAAACCAACGGCACGTTAAGCAAGGCGTATGCATGGAGACAATGATGAACGCAATGGCAGGGCCATTTATGTATGTATTCAAAGTGACTTTTTGTGGTGAGCAGTGCAGCCACTCTATGAATGAATGTCGGGGCAAGCGAAGTATCTAGACCACCAAGTTTTGCACCATGATCAAACATATGATTCAAAAACACGTATGGGACTTTTCCAACCACGACATACGAGGTTTGCTGATGAACACCTTTTTTGTCTCCATGTTGATTGATTCAAGTCCTTTCCTGGCCTGCACTCTGATGTTTGACCCTTTGCTTGAAAAGAGGAGACCCTGGAGGGCTTGCTAGGTCGATCAGAGACGGGGATGGCGGGATGCGCCGGGAGGACGAGTAGTAGTGATTTAAAGCGTGCTCCGTAGTCGTCTGTAGGCGTGGTATGTCAGGGCGAGTCCCAGTGACAGCAAAACGCAGGGCCTCATGATTCAGATGGGGTGGCGGAGGATGAAAGGCGGGTCAGCTGTAATTACAGTACAACTCTACTCCGCGGGTCCTGTAGACCTTTGGATGTGTATCCCATGTGAGTACGGAGTACGGATACGACTGCAAGTATTCGTAAGTCCTCGTCTGCGAAGTTTCCGTAAATGTGCCCTGTGTTGCGAGCTGCCCTGAAAATGAGCCTTCAATGGGAGCTCTATGGCAACAGTGAGCCTTGTGCGCCATGCTCTCTGTCCGAAGAGTGATGGTTTATGTCCTTGTAGAGTTCATGGTCGCCTGGTGCCGAAGACAAGTGGTGCTTTTGACTCCATAGTGATGATGTGACTGGGTGCGTTTGGCGTCGTCCCCAAATTCTCCCAGTGTTGGAACTGAGACGGGCAAGCAACGCTAGAGCAAACCATCCAGCTTCCGTCGAACACAACCACCACCTAACTAAACTACTCCTCTTCCTCTTGCATCCATCAACCTACAACCATCCTCAAAAAATTATTGCAGTCTCCCTTTCACTGCTGCGCCTTTTTTCTCGACAATCCAAGGTCGTACTATCGCGGTCACCTTGCCAGTCATTCTCTTTTTCTTCGTCTTGCGTTGTTTCCGAGAGGAGTCCCCGACCTGTCTCCCCAGCTGCACTTCCATTTCCTGCCAGCTTTCCTCAGGCACGTTAGACTTCTCCGAAAGGCTCGTGCTCTCGCCCACGTCCGGTTCTCACCACTGTCCCCTCTTCTATTCCCCAGATAATCCTCACCTCCTTCCAAGCGCTCTTTGACCGGCTGGTCCGTCGATTCGGCTCTTTCAAAGCCTTCCTGTGCGACCTTGCGAGCACTAGCTGATGGCCTCTGCCGCCAGCCTCACTTCCAACACAACAGTCTCGTCTTCGCCCTCACTGGACATCAATACCCCAGAATATAATAATGGTCTGGTGAGGCCGGCAATGAGATCTAATAACAACACGAAGAGTGCAGACGCAGGACGCAAGCAGAGTCCGAGTGACGGGGCTCCACGGTATGTGAATATGTCCGTCTATTGCCGACTTCCCACTTCACAAATATGCACGTCAAGAGTGTTAATACGAAATTATCTCCTCCCAATCGTCTCTGTTCACAATCACGAGCTGACTGGAGCTCTCACTAATGATGCATTTGCAGGCGAGTCAACTCTCAGAAGGCTTGGGGTTCGGCCTCCAGCTCCTCTTCACAACGAAGCTCGATGGCTGCCCAACCGAATGGGACCACCCCCCAACCAAGGAACGTAGGGAACATGAGGCAGAATACACACAAAGAGTCGGGGATTTCAGACAAACAGGCGCATGAGAGACTAACTTTCCTTTTCGGAGCTGCGATTGTATGACCAATACTTCCCGAACCGGATATGCACAGTAACTGACCTTGCGCCACAGGGTCTGAATGTAGTCATTACAACAAAGTCTGGCGAAAAGTTCGAGGGCTTGTTGTCTGGCTCGGCCTTCGGTCAACCAAGCTCTAGAATCACCTTGAAGATGGTGAGGAAATCGCAGTCTGCTGCTGGAGGACAGGTTAATGGCGCTGCGTCTCGGGAAGCGACCTTCGTTGGCTCGAGTCCCGAGTATGCAATGAATTTCGACCTGAAAGACATGATTGACATGACGATTCCCGAGTTTGTGGTACCTGAGGCCACGAAGCTTGCAAATGGTAGGTCTTAGCAGATGCCCTCGGTCTGCTTAAGCTAACCTGTTTCTCTTCCAGGCTCTTCGACCGGCTTTCAGACCGATGCCGACATCTCTGGCAATCAGTCTCGTGGAGAGCGTACTCTTCAACGTTGGGTTCCAGAAGGACCTGACACTACCGACTTTTCGCTAGAGTCATCTACTAATGCCACCGGCTGGGATCAATTCGCCACCAACAATCAACTCTTCGGAACTAGCAGTACGTACGATGAGAATCTCTACACGACTACAATTGACAGAAGTGCACCTTCCTATAAGCGCCGGGAGGCCGAAGCTGCGAGGATCGCGCGAGAGATTGAAGGAGCCGCCTCTGCAAATGCTCACGTCCGCGAGGAACGTGGCCAGGCACTGGAAAACGACGGGGATGACGAAGAAGAAAAGTACAGTGGTGTTCGACGTGATGAGCGCGCGTTCCCACCTCTCCCTGTGGGCGGGCCGAACAAGTACACGCCGCCCGCTCGGAGAGCTCCAACTGGCGCGGCTACAGTACCTGGGGCTCCTGTAGACCCTGCAATCATCTCAGCGTCCTTATCTCGGCCTGATGGCTCCAATCCAACGGCTCCAAAGGCAAATGAGAAAGAACCCAGTGGTACTGGGAAGGTTTCAGTTCCGTCCGTGGAGAAGCCGAGTCAAACGACAGCCATCGAGCCCAGTATCACTACACCTGCCCTCGTTCCAGATGCATCAAAAAATGATGCTGTCGGGAAGAAAGCTATATCTCCCGGACCTACTGAGGACGTAGAGGTGAAGGTCCTGAACCAATTCCGTCAGTTCGCGGACAGTGAGAAACAACGCGTCATCGAAAGAAGAAGAGCTCAGCAGAATCAAGACCGGACGGCTAAGCTGAACGAGCTACTGCGTTTCTCGAAAACTTTCAAGCTTAAGACCCCAATTCCCAGCGACCTCATCGGCATTCTTGCTAAAGATCCAGCTAAGCAAGAGGCCATCGTCGAGAAGGCACAAAAAGAGCATGAGGATTCGACTTCAACAGCTGCGAGCCCTTCTCCTGTCGCGGCATCCAGCGGTGTTCCTCGCAAAATAGAGGCGCCTCAGCCCACGGCCCCTGTTAATGATAGACAGACTTACAACCGCGGACGTGGTGGTTACCCTCACCCCGGGCGACCGGAACGGCCGGCCAGTCAACAACCACCACCGCCATTGTTTCCTGGCCGAGGTGCCCATGCTCCTTACCAGCAGAGATTCCCATCCCACCAAGATCGCAAAGGAAGCCACCCGCCACCCATCCCAGCTCCCATTCCGATCATTGAAGGTCGTGTGCCCCCGACTGGCCCCATGGCTGAACAAGGCGGTATGACCAGTCCACAACGATCTAATATGAACACACCATCTTCGGCAGTATCTGCAAGATTCAATTTGAATGTGAAGGCCTCAGAGTTCCGACCTACTGCGGCAGCATTCAACCCTACTGGTTCCTCCCATGCTCCCTCGAGTCCGTCATCTACTCATCGCGCAGGCTCCATTTCCCGAACTGCGACTCCCTCCTTGTTTTTTGGCCATCGTAAGCCAAAGCCTGCTTCCGAAAGACCTTCTATCTCCAGAGATTTCAACCCCATTGCACGCATGAAGGTAGCCACTGCCAACGCTAACAAATCAACTGAGGGTGAACCCAAGTCCGATGAAGCCCACAAGAACTACGCAAGCAACGGCGGAATACCACATGCTTTCCAGACAGGACCACGTTGGACCGTCAAGACTGACAACGATCAAAAGTCGTACGAGGAAGCTTTTGACCAGCTCATGGCCGCCACATTCTCGCGTGTTCCAACAAGAATCGGCTCGGCCCAACACCTACCGTTCCCAGCGCAAGGGGCATCAATACCGAACGGGCCTGCTCATGTACCACACATCACGACCCCCCAGCATTCGGCGCATTCCCCACATCAGTACCCTCACCAATATGATGACGCCACTCCCCGTCTCCAGTTTGGTAATGCCACTCCTGGAATGTACCCATCTCCCAGTATTCCCTCTCGTCAAACATCAACGTATGCTTCGCCCATGCCTCATCCGGCTCAGCTATCGTATCAGCAGCAACCTTTCTATGGAACTCCAAGCCAGATGCCAATGCAGATGAGGCCTTTTCCCGGTACGCCTGGGATGATGCATGCGCAGGCGGGACAAATGGGTGCTCCAATGATGGTTCAGCAACCCTCCAACGGGCCTTATATGGCTGTTCCTCAACAGTTCAATCCTCAGATGCAAATGTACTCGCCTAACGCAAACCATGCCTACCCCCAGCAGAACGGAGGCTATGCCAGTCCCGGTCGCGTGGCTCCCATGATGATGCAGCAGGGGTCGCAGCAGAGTCACGCAGGAGCGCCAAACATGATGTTCAGTATTTCCAATCAGGGTGTACCAATGGGTTTTCCACAGCAGCAGATGGGCGTACCTCGCGCTAACTACGGAGGACACCAGTATGGAGCTACTCCGCACCAGGCTTATGGAATGCAACACCGAACGATGAGCAGTGGATATGGCCAAATTCCCCAAAAGGGACATCCACAAATGCCACCGAATCATGCTCCGGCGATGACGCAACCTCCCCAAGCGCCAGCTTATGGACAGATGGAAGCAGTCCAGGACGATGGAAAATGAACTCACAATGTCGACTACTAAACAATCACTCGTCAATATTCTTCTTTTCTTGTAGAAGCGGAGGAGACCTCCAAACTTGGCTTCTTGGAGCTCAATGCTGTAGCAATAACACACACAGTTGTACCTGTTATTGGCTAGCAATTACCGGAACTCATCTAACCTGCTTCAATGTAAGTCATCGTCCAACGAGCTTTCCGGGCCGACGCTAATCATTCCAGCCTCTTCAACCACCTGGATTGCAAGACAGATCTGACATCCCGCTGCCGATGAATGGTGGGCTGCGGTCGAGTGAAGGCCTTCTCTACAAATGCCCGAGCAATTCTTCCTTCTGATTGGGTTTTATTGAGAACAGTGCTTGGACGTATTACTCCTTCGGGGGAGAGGTAAGAGTCTTGTTCGAGCGGAAAGACTCGCGTAAAGGGACGGAGAGGATGCTTTGACGAATGCGGCCAACTTTACCTGTGATGTACCTGTGACATCTCGAGTTGAGGATTATCAGAACGGGCAAGGGCAAGGCACGGACAGCAATGTAGACAGCAGGATGAAGTGTTGACCAAACCCCTGATGCAGAGGAGTGCAAGGCTCTCGTATAGCCCATACTCGTATGCGCGAGTCGGAAATGCGATCAAGAGTTTTGATGTAGCTGTTCGTCGACGGTGACAACGGGGTACGACTCTAGTCGATAGAAGGACTCGATAACAGCGTGTGCAGTAGGTATGTATTTGCTCTTCGGGTCAATCCTTACACTGCTACAGTAGGTGTATCTCTCGGGGACGAGGCAGGGGAGGCCCAAGTAACACGCCTAGTGAGCCCGACCCAAGGACCAGGAAGCGTCTTGCCGTGCCACGTCGTTAGATTAGGCCTCACTAGGCACTTTTCTGGCGCAGGCGAGAGGGCGCATGGGACTCCTCGACAACGCCTCATGTGTTGTAATTTGTTGCAACGTGTTACTGACAGCTCCGGCTCAATCCACCTCGACCCTCGTAGGTCCGTCCTTGAATCCCTTCGAGTTCCAGAGCACAGTACTTTCTCTTGGTTACTACAATCCCGCCACAGCGTTCGGAATGCTCAACTTATACAGCCATGAAGTATCGAGGTATGTGCCGGAGCGAGAAGACGACGGCGACAACATGTCCCTTGGCCGGGCTGGAAGAGGGTTTGTTAGAATCCTCCTTCGTATCGTGTATGTTCCCCCAGTGTTACTGTTGGCTCTTCTCTTCGTGCTCTATGTGGCCTGCTGAAGTTGTCAACCCTTCGGCGGGATCAGCGAACACCCCGGCACCCACTGTTTAGCCTCTGTGGCGCTCGCCAGCTAAGAGACCTAACTGACCTTCCAATTCTCTTCCAGGGCCCCTGGTCGCAATTGTCCTACACGCTAGTCTCGAAGCTGGCAAGGGACCACGACCGGGGTGGAAATGCGCTTGATGCGCTGGCACGTTGCGGGCCTGCAGCTCTTCTCAGATCTCGCGGCTTCTCAGCCTCTCATCGACGGACCTCAAGCTTACCGACTTTCACCACTCCTCTCTGCATCCGTTCTTTCATTCTTTTTTCTGGTTCTTAGCCCATTCAATCAGCGCGGTGCCCACAGCGTTGTCGTCATGCTGGCTGCTCTCTGCCACAGCTCTCCACGGTCCTTGTCTTCTTGTTGATTAGGTCGGTTCCTCTCGGAAGAATCCTTTGGTCACATTCGCTGCTTCGTCGTACTCAGTCCGGATTTCAACCCGCACCGCCGTGGTGATTCCAGCGGATGCTCGTCCGACAATCTTGAACAGTTTGATCCTGCAGCTACCCCTTCTTTATCGGCTGTTCCTCCTCCCGTCCAGAGACGCCAGACGAGGTGGACGTCTGGCCAGCGACCGCAAGACACCGCTATATCGGACCTCACAGAGTGGTTGCGGCTCTTTCTAGTCAAGAAGACATTCACTTATCGCCTGACGAATACAACATGCGTCAGACGGCGAACAGCGACACCGCTCAGCCTCATTTTCAGACTTCCTGCGACCACAATTCCGACCTCCCCTACCTGTCTCGAAGCCATTGGCTACCGTAATAGGGTGCTGGACGAATAGGTATTTTTGCCCCAATTCCTTGGTCTTCTGCGCCAGTAGCAAGGTACGCCGGGATCCAGAACTCCCCAGGCTAGCATGTCATGGCAAGATATCTGTGGCTTTGTGCTGACAACTGTGCAAGATACCCAACGCTTTCTCTGTCTTTCTCTCCTCACGTCCAAACCGCATTTCGTTCTTTCTAGCAGCTTGTCCTGACCGATCATTACGGAAAATTGTTTCCTTGCTCTTTGTACAAACAGCGCATACTCGACCGTAATATTTAATCTCCCTCAGCTCACGTCGCAGAACATATCACTTGCGACTTGTACCAATACCAGCTACCTTATATCCTCCATTCGTTCAACAATTGCGCCAGAAACAAGCCATTCGCTTTGAGCTACAGACGGTCCTGATTGTCATTGTCGTCAAATACTGTGGATCGAGATTCGGCTTGCGGCCACAAGCGCTTTGCCTTTGCAGCTAGGGAGGGCTTTTTCGAACACTTTGCGATCGCATGACATTCAACGGAAGAGGATCATCATCTTCCAAAAGTACACAAAGCTTCAAAGCCTGATTGTGACATCTGTACAGCCCCATAGTCAGGATCGAGACGGACTCGGTACCAGGCGCTTAACCTGAAGCCGGCGGTAAAAGGTAAATTACACTTTTGTTATTTCACGGTCGTCGACACCCATTCATTTCAGACTTATCTTTACCACATTCTCTCCCCCAAGATCGTGTTGAATACTTCCATCTTCTTCCGAGATTCTGTGTGGCTCCGTCTATTCTCGGTACGACCACAACATGGAAAGCGGCAGCCCCAGCGGCGACCTCGAAGCACTCCCTCGCACCAAACAACGCTGGAAGCGAGGATTCATTGAACTGACGTTTCTGTCACAACAGTGGCGGCAGCAAGAGAACCCTCCCTTGTATGCCTTTTGGATGGCCTCCTCGGAAGTGGATCAAAAGTTCCTCGGATATTTTGCAAAAGTCATAACTACGGAAAATAATTATCTTTCAAGGTAAGGGCTGCTGGACGAATACGTTCTAGACACAGGGTTGTTGTGGCTAACGGGGCTATTCAGTTTCTTGTTTCGCGTTTTGGGTCTATCGGTGATTCTCGCCGAAAAGCTACTTCAAGCGCGTCGGGCCAAGCGGCTTGACCCGGTCCGCGACCCAAAAGCAAGATATCTCATTCATCATATTCTATGGCTGGCCCGAGAGGGATCGGTCATGGTGGAACAATATGTGCTTCCTATGGTGGGCAACTATCTTGAGCTCCGAGTGTTGTGCTATAAGCTCAAAGCGTCCTTCTATCACATTTTCGTCCTCTTCCACAATGAACCTCCGGTTAATGATCGTATCACCCGCTCAAAATCCGGTACCATTTCTCTATTTCCAGATCCATTATCGCCAAAGTTGTCGTCGAAAACACCCACCACCACAACATCTCCAACAAATGGCCGTCAGCGATCACCAGCCATCAGCCTAGGCGGCCCAGTTGGCGGAACTACGTTCACGCGGACACCACCAGGTCTCCCATTACCTACACGCCCTTATTCTAATGGATTCAACGACGGGAATGCTACGGCAACCTTTCTCCTTCCCTTGCAGGATTACCGGCCTCTGGCATCGCAAGCATTTCGTGAAGCAAATGAATTGGCTGAGCGATTATTGCCGGGATCTCATCCAGTGCGATTATCGGTAAAAGTCGAATATGTGGCATACGTATACGATTGCCTGCACGAGGCGGAAGCGTCACGTCGTATGGCCCGACTGGCCATCAGGCATGTGTACGAAGCACAGGAAGGAATGGACGATGACTCTTTCGAGGATGCTGCCGAGATGGTGGGCATTCTGGGCAAGATGATGAAGCGCGGATTAGGGGGAGGGGGAGGAGGCAGTTCCGGGAGCCAGCAGCAGCAAAGTCAAACTCAACCACAAAGTAGAGGAGCTTCTGGCCCTGGCACGAGTAGTGGAACGAACAGGAGATATGTCGTCGAATCCCCCGCTAAATCTCAACAGCCGACGACATGGGTGTAGAATTAAATTACAATGGAGAGTAATAGTTCTACGGTTTGTTCGCACAATGGTTCTTCAGACGTTCAAACGCATGCAATACGGACCACGTGGCTGTGTTGCTTGTGCTCCCGAGATCCTGTTGAGAAACGGACATGGCTATCGTCTATTCATCGAAAACGACTACCTAATGGTGAGCACCCCGGGTAGGTAGAGGTAGTTGTATGCAACGTTTCTACAGTCACGGGTAGTATACTAGGTAGGTAGTATGGTGGTGCCTACAAACGAGCAACGTACTGTGGCCGAGGTTGAATGATGGACGTACTTACTACTTTGTACGAGTGCAATAGCCATCTTGAGGCATTGTTTGGTAGTAAGTAGTGTCAGTTCGGCCAGTTTCTCATTCTCGTCCCTCATCAAGCAGAGGCCACATGCCGACTCGCCTGGTGGTTGAGAAAATATCGGTATCTGTGGTGCTGAACACACCTCAGGGGCCCCAGAATCAGACTACCTGACCACGAGCTTAGATGTCCATGAGTTTAGTTCACGTCAACCATGGGCCATAGCGGCGCATCCAACCTCACGGGTTTGAAAAGGACGACTGGATCTGCGGCCAAACCCTGGCTCAGTGGTCTCGGGGGTTGAAAGGAGTATGGCTCGTATTGTACTCTATGAGATGAGGGGAGGGCGCCAGCGACTGGAGATCGATACATCATTGATCGAAGCGTTTGACAGGGACTCAGCCTTTTGCTTTCTCATACGGGGTACGTACTCGCATAATTATTTAAGCTTTGACCTATTCTAAGAGTTCTCCAGGAGCATGTTTCAGTGTGTGGCTTTGAAAGGTCCACTCTATTGCGTATGCACGTACAAGGAGTGCATGGAGCACGTCGGGACGGTAACGTGTATGGACAGAGACCAGGAGTTCGAGGATTACTATCCCCCCTGACTGCCTTCACACATCCTGAATATCACTGGGGACCTGCCTGAGAGTAACATAATGTCGATGGCCATCCAAGTCCTTCACATTCATTACATCCAGGATCGATCTCGACGCAGTGCTGTGGCGGGCTCTCCCAGGCAGTTTTGCAAACCGCCTCAGCTCTCCTTTCGCCGTCAGATGTGTCAAAAGCCCAGACTAGGAAAAGAACGACCAGGACACCAGCCATTGTGCTGCTGCTGAAGAGGCTGGTCCTGAGCATCGTGCTCTTTGATCATCGCACACGGCTTCGTTTTCTGTGTTGGAAGGATATCTTCAGTATTCTTACTTCGTGTCGGAAGATCAAAATCGATGCTATATTCACCTGCAATAGAAGAACCCCAAGATCACGATATATATATATATACCCCTGGTATCAGGCCGCATAGCCTGCAACCGCTTCCTGTTTGCAAAGGTCGACCAAAATCAACCCAAGAGCCGTAGACACCATGGTCAAAATGGGGCGTCCGACAGTCAAAACCTCTGCTACACTATACATACTCATACTGAACCTGGTTTTGATATCCAACCTGGCAGCCGCTTTGCCACACGCCGGAAGAGGCCGTTTGCAACTTGGTGATGCCATCGGGACATACTTGCCAACAGCAAAATTATCACCGGCAGACTTGTCCTTCGCACCGCAGCCACAGTACATCACATTGACACCACCCATAAGACGGCTGGAACATCAGCAGGAAGCAGAGGTGGCAGCTTTGCCGTTGATCGGAGAAAAGGCGTGTGGACGGGGTACAGTCAACGGGCGGACGGAAAAGCAGACTCTCATTGAGGACTGGAGGGCATGGAGGCTCCAGTTTGGCCTGCAGACGATGCGGAGGAGCTGCCGGATGGAAAAGAGAGGGTGTGCAAGAATCCGGAAAATGCGTTGAGAGAGCATGAAGGGAGTGAGATCAATCAAGCAAACAGCAGTTCCGACAGCGGGGGCGACCGACAGGACATGGAACGAAAAGCAAGGCGCATATGAACTAGGACTGAGGTACACACGACATGGAGGCGTTTTCCGTTGTTTCATTGTTGCTTGAGCATCGCATAGTCAGAGGGAACATAGAATGGAACATGATGACAAGGAGTTTGGGACAAGGCACTCTGCATTTGACAATGAGGTGAGACTGAGATGAGGGCGGCATGAGAGAGAGGCATTTTGAGGACATTGTACTCGGGGGCTGATGGAGTGATGATATTCCAAAGCCCTCTTCGCGCTCTCGCTTGCTGTGGCAAACGTCACTTTGCGCAGACTGAGCAATTCTCGCAAATAGTCTCTACACCTTTTTAATTCCGACGAGGCATTGTCATTCTTTTCTCAGGCTCTCAATTCTTCAATCCTTCCTCTCTCTTTCTCTCTCTCCCCCCTCTGCATTCATCTATCGAAATCGCGCACCCGCCGGTTGTCTCTCAATCCTCTAGACACCCACATCGCTCAGCAGGCCTAGACCAAGTCTGCAGGTACGCTCATCGCCCCGCCTTCCGCCATACATCCTTGCAGCGCTTCGACTAACTCCGCGACCAGATCTGCGCCTGAGGCTCCTGCGCTTCTTCGATCGCACAATCTTCCCATTAACACGCCCTTCAATCCTCAAGCCTCGACCCTCTACAAACCGCCCGACATGTCTGACGCCGGTCAACAATCGCCTAATGGCAACGCCGACATGCCTCCTGCCGCCGGTGGCACGGAACATCTAAACATCAAAGTAACCGACGGCAACAACGAGGTGTTTTTCAAGATCAAGCGCAGCACGAAACTGGAAAAACTGATGAAGGCATTCTGCGAGAGACAAGGAAAAGACCTGCGGAGTGCTCGGTTCTTGTTCGACGGCACCAAGGTACAAGTCACGGATACTCCAGACACTGTAAGTCACAGCCGCCCCTTCAACCTCGTGGGATTGCTCGAGCGAGGGCACTTTCTCGCGCGCCGACGACGCAAACGTAAACGCTTACTGATCATCATCATTTCTACAGCTGGACATGGCCGACGGCGACAGTATCGAGGTGCACCAGGAACAAATCGGTGGCGCTGCCTAAGGTCGAGGACGTTCTTGCGATATCACAAACTACAATACTCAAAAAGGTTACGGAGGTTGAGAATACGCGCTCGCTCTCCTCGTGAGTAGATTCGGCAATGGGGCAAAGCGAACAATGGTGCGAGAGATTGGCCTGGTGTTTAGAAGAGCTGAGTCATAGGATATCTCCCTGCAGATCTGGGATCGGAGAAGGAGGCGTCAGGGTGATTTAGTTGATACAAACAACATTCGAAACAAACGGCTCTTTCTCCAGCTTCAGAGGCACTCCCCAGCTTGATAGTTCACTGCTTGAATGTGAATTCGGTCCTCTAGTCTTTGCTCAGTAGGTGCCTGCGAATAAAAACTTGTATCAATGTGCGATGAATTTGATTTCAGGCTACGACTACAGAATGTTAGACCTGCTTCACCGCCGTCCACCTCGCAGTTGCGCACAGCGCAGCACAATCTTCAGACGACTAGGGTATGAGAAACACCACAGGGCCGACGATGCTGGTGACACAAAGTCCAGGAAATCTCAAGGCCAGGTACAGTACAGCGGACAGTTGTACCGCGATCAGTCGTTCCACATTGCGGCCTTCAACTTTTCGTCCGCCTCCCTTTCTCGTTCTCTTTCCTCCTTCTCCCTGTTCTTGCGCCGAGCCTCCTGTTCCCTGATCGCTCGGTCGTACTGTCGTTGCTCGTCCGTCTTTTTGGGGACCTTCATGCCCAGGCCAGCCGCGATCATCCGACTGGCCGCCGCGGTGGTCTTCTCGGGCCTGCGCTGCTGCTCCCTTTCTCGGTCTGAGCCGGTCGGGGTCGAGGGCGAGGCCGGGCTGTACGGCCTCGGACGACCCCCACCCAGCACCTGGGCAGGTTGCCAGTTCATGTATTGGCCGCTGGCCCCGGGCGGCGGGGAGATGGGCGTCGGCGGCGGCGGTTTCAAGGCTGGATCTCTTGCCGCTGGGGATTTCAGCGCGGGCTCTGCGCCGTCGACCGGCGTTGCAACACCGTCGTCTGGCGAGCTGAGATCGTCGCCGCCGTCGTCGTCCTCCTCCTCCCACGAGTCCACGACTTCCTCTTTCTGGACTTTTTTCTTCGTCAGCTTCGACGTCGGAGGTAGGTCAATGTGAAGATTGGCTAGTTTGGACTCCATTCCCGCAGCGAGGCCAGTTCACAGGGCTGGTTACCGGGAACAGACTTGTCGTCGAGGTGGGGGGCCTTTCGAAGTCAACGAAACTGTGCTTCTCTAGGACAGACCAGCAGGGACAACGGGGTTGTGCTATGCACATCAAGGATGAAAAAAGGGCCGGGGGGGATTTCGTTTTGTCACTGGAGCTGGAGCTGAAGCACTGGGGATCAGCCCAGGATCGATGTCATGGGGTTTGAACACAAGCGTTGTATCGATCACCAAATCGAGTCCGGATGTCTCGAAGAGGTGGTACCACCGGCCCCGGTTGCCCACTCAGCACGCGACAATCAGGGACGAGTTCATCACCGTCACCATCGACGCCGGGAACGCAGGGCAAAATTAAGCGGAGATTCAGATGGGGGAATGGAAGACTTGACGAGCTAGCCAAAGAGATTCTGGGGCACGGTGCCGTCACTGTGAAAGCCATCGTGCTCGTACGACGGCGGAGCATTCTTCCCTACCATTAGGAAGTACAGTACTCGTGTTGCTTTAGGCACTGTTGGCAGTGCTGTAGGCCGCTTGGCTCCTTCATTGGGCGGTCTTGTTAGGCAGCTCCGGGCTTCACGCGTAAGCTCGCGGGGCTCCCAGGGCCCGAGGGTTACAGGGCGTTGACGGGCGAGACAGGCTGCTTGTGGCGCCTGAGACTCGCGCAGACATGGTGAAACCCACCAGACTGAACCCCCCGCAATTGGAGACACACGCGCCAGCGAGTGTGAAAGTGTGACATTTCATTCATACCGAGGCTTGATTCCCTCGTCCTGGCTTACGCAACAATGGGGGATAAATGAGCAACGTCCTTCTCCTTGACCGGCGAGCCTGAAATCGGGCCTGCCCTCCGTGTCCTCCGTGTCCTCCCTATCCATCTCCACAACGCCCGAGGAGCACTGCGTGGTGCGCCTCCGATCTCGCAGTCGGCGACGACATTCTCGAAAGGACAGTAGCGTCTCGGAAATTGACTCGAGGCTCTTCGAGATGAGCCTCTCCTCATCCTCGTCTCCTCGCCGACCTCGGGACAGCACATGGTGGTTTTCGACCTTTTCTAGGGGAAGATGCCTCCAACTCACGCTTATATACACATATATATTCATTCCCCCTCCTTCTCGACGCCCCTTGTTTGATGTGTGCTTTCCGTCTCGGAATCTGAATCTCCTCTCCACACTGTGTCTGCATCTTGTTCGTCAGAATAGTCTTCTTTGCGTTTGTCGCATACACCTAATTCGCATGTTTACTACACTAGAGCAATGACAAGGTTCATACTGCCCAGGGCCTTTCGATCGCGGATAGCGCCCTACCAGGCACTGTCCAAGTACGGCACCAGCGGGAATGTAGCACCTTTCTCGAGTTCGGCTCGGCATCTGTCGTACGAGGATACGATCGAGAACCTCAAGATTGGCAAGCACACGCGTGTGCTCTACCAGGGTTTTACCGGGCGCCAGGCGACGATGAACGCCCAGGAGTCGATAGACTATGGCACAAACGTCGTAGGCGGCGTAAAGCCCGGTTTCGAGGGCGAGCACCTGGGTCTACCCGTCTTGCCGAGTGTCAGAGCAGCCGTGGAGAAGCTCAAGCCTGACGCCAGTGCTATCTACGTGCCGGGAAATGGTACCGTGGCGGCCATGGAAGAGGCCATTGAGAACGAGATCCCGCTCATTGTCGCTGTTGCCGAGCACATTCCCATTCACGACATCATGAGGATACACCAGATGCTCCGGACTCAATCCAAGACACGGTTGGTGGGCGCCAACTGCCCGGGGATCATCAACACCCATGGACGATGCCGTCTGGGTTTTCAGCCCTTGCCGTTCTTCAAGGAAGGCAACATCGGCATCGTGGCCAAATCAGGCACCCTCAGCTACGAGGCAGTCGCCTCCACGACTCGTGCTGGTCTTGGACAGACGTACGGAATCAGCATGGGCGGCGACGTGCTCGCTGGGACGAATTTTGTCGAAGCGTTCAAGATCTTGGCCGAGGACGAGAAGACCGAAGGTATCATCATGATCGGTGAAGTCGGCGGAAGTGCAGAACTGCGAGCGGCTGAATGGATCAAAGAGTATAACAGAAAGACTGCCAACCCGAAGCCGTTCATGTCTGTTATTGGTGGCGTTCAAGCCCCCGCAGGTCGCATAATGGGTCATGCCGGTGCATGGGCTGCTCCCGGGGAGGCCAGTGCCGCCCAGAAGATCAAGATTTTGCAGGATGTAGGAGTTACTGTTGTCGACCACCCGGAGAAACTAGGAGAGGGCATGAAGCGACTATTAGCAGAGCGTGCAAGGACATCAACGGCCTCAGGCATAGGCTCATCACAACAGCGGAGAGGCTATCACACGATCCGCCGTCGACCTGCAACGCAAGCATTGAAGAAACCCGTCGGCGAACAGCGGCGCACTCTGTACATCAAGAAAGGACAAGCATTTGACATGCTCAGGGAGAGAGGCATCAAGGTCGTGGACACTCCTGCAGCAAATGGCGAGAAGTTCCTTGCCATCTCCATAGATCGCGAAGCACGACAGCCTTGCATAATTGCATCGCCTACGACAGACCCCCATCGAGCATTTGAGCAATCCAAGAGATTCCCGTTTGGCTACGGCACCGGTGAGGCGACGTCCGAGGCGACGCTCGAGGACATCGCGTCGCACTTGGCCATCCCAAGCAACGGAAAGGAAGGACTGGCCAAGCTGATCCGCGAGTTGGTCGATCTGTACATGTCTAAAGAAGCCTTCGTACTACAGACCAAGTTTGCCGTGGGCAATCAAGGAGAGCTACAGGTGCAAGGTGCCAAGTTTGGCTTTGACGACGCCGCATTCCGTAGCTCCAAGCGACAAGCAGACGTCCACGCCCTGCGAGACACTGATAGCGAGGTGAAGGAAGAAGTTGAGGCGGAGAAAGATGGGATGATCTACGTCAAACTCGAAGGGGAGGGTTCGATCGGGACCATTGTCAATGGCGCTGGACTCGCCATGAATACCGTTGATGCGCTGGTGGCGCGAGGTGGATCTCCTGCGAATTTTATGGACACGGGAGGTAAAGCAACGTCTGAAACCATCAAGGCCGGGTTCAGAATCGTGTCGTCTGATCCAAGGGTCAAAGTCATCTTTGTCAACATCTTTGGTGGATTGACTCTTGGAGACATGATAGCAAATGGTATTCTAATGGCGTTCAAGGATCTGGACCTCAAGGTCCCGGTAGTTGTGCGCATCCGGGGAACAAGGGAGGCTGAAGGACAGAAACTCATCCAGGAAAGCGGGCTAAAGCTGGATGCTTTTGGTAAGTTGGAATATATCAGGTGTAGTTGTAACCCCCCTGCTGACCATGATGACAGATTCTTTCGAGGAGGCTGCAGCACGAGTGATTTCGATAGCCAAAGGAACCGCGACTATGGAATAGACAGAGACCAAGTCATTTTACGGCGCCTTGTCACTGGAATATTTGAAATATTTTGGAAGAAGCGATAATGGGAAAGATATAGGTGGTCAGGTGGACCAGATCGGGGGGCCTTGCGCCTGGATACAGACCGTGCTGTGCTTAAGACTGATTCTGTGCCTTTGGATAGACACGAAAGATGTCAGATGAGTCTGGGGACCAGCAAGCTGCCACATGGATCGAGCGCATATACGGGAAGACGGAGACATTCGGGGGCTTGTTGTCCAGCGTGACACAGTACAATGGTCGGAGCTGCTTCGGGGCAGTGGCAGGTACAAGGAGCGCATCAAGAATTGCTCCTTTCGGTCAGCATCAGATAAGAGCACAGGGAGCTTGACAGAATACGAGTTGGTGAGGGTGTATGGCGCATGTCCTTCCAGACGTCGAGTAAGCATAGACGTCGTCGCCGGGTCGGCATGTCGAGGTCGAGCCCCCAAAGACTGGACTGGGCTGGGCGGGTCCCCCCCCCCCCGCAGGCCAACTATCGTAGGCCCGTATTTTTAAGGCCCCCACAAGGCACTCGGGCTCCGTATCTTGATGCGGCTTACTACTTATTACTGTACCTGGTTAGCATTGTAGCGCATCCCCCTCGTCTGACCCCTTGACTTCTTATAATCACCACTCGTACCCTCGTATCTCTCGTTCATCTACTTCGTCCTATTGCGGCTCCTATCGTCCTGATATCTGCCTACCCACATGCATATATACATACAGATATAAATCTCTTAAAGAAACGACACCATCCCATAACCAGTCTTCAAGACGCTTTGAGAACAAAGCTCACCCAAATCACAACGAAGCGGCCATGGCTTCCAATCTCACCACGCAGGCTTACGCGAAAGTCTCGGCGGCTTCACTGCAGCAGATTTCATCCCTGTCATGGCTGTGGTCCCGGTACCTTGTGCCTGCGCTCGTGGCGTACCCTTTTCTGTGCTCGTTCCTCCGTTTCCGGCGGATCAGGGCGCTCCAGGCCAAGTACAAGTACGGAACGCGCGAACATCCGTCCTTTGAAGGGATGACGGTGCAGGAGGCGCACGACATCGTCGATGTCCTCAGCGACCTGGAGTTCCCGGCGCTGTACGAAAAGGGGATGCAGTTCGCGCTGTTCCGGACGTACGGCATCCCGACCATCAGCAAACTCCTCGCCAAGACGACGCAGCTGTCGACGGGCCAGAACGTCGGCAAGCGGTACGCCGACACGGGGGTGCTCCTGACCGACATGTACGGCGCCGACCCGGACAGCGAGCGGTGCCGCGAGGCCTACGCCCGGCTCAACTACCTGCACGGCCACTACATCAGGCAAGGCAAGATCAGCAACGACGACATGCTGTACACGCTGTCGCTGTTCCTGAACCAGCCGGTCGAGTGGGTGGGCCGGTACGAGTGGCGGCGGTTCACCGACCTCGAGGTGTGCGCCATGGGCGTGCTCCACAAGGCCATGGGCGACGGCATGGCCATCTCGTTCGAGCCGCTGCCGTCGTGCTCGACGGGTTGGAAGGACGGCCTGCACTTCTACCGCGAGCTGGACGGGTGGGCTAAGGCGTACGAGGAGAGGCACATGGTGCCTCACAGGGACAACTACGACGTGGCGGTGCAGACGAGGAACCTCCTGATCAACGCCTTCCCGCCCTTCATGAAGGCCACGCTGACCAAGATGGTCAGTGCACCTCTGGACGACAGACTGAGGGAGGCCATCATGTTCGACGAGGCCCCGCCCGGCTACGCGAGGTTTCTGAACGGCTTCATGGCCGCGAGGCGCTTCTTCCTGCGATACCTGGCCCTCCCGAGACCAAAGTTCCTGACCAACCCCTTCGCGACCAAGACGCCCGACGCGAAGGGCCGCCGCTACATTCTGAGGTGGGACACCACGCCGACGTACGTCAAGCCGACCCTGTGGAATCGATGGGGCCCAGGTGCCCTGGTGAATATGCTCGTCGGCGTCCCGAGACCGGGAGACAAGGGCATGTACCCTGAAGGCTTTGAGGTGAGGACCGTCGGCCCCCTGGCGTTTGCAAACGGAAAGGGCGAGAAGGAAATGGAGATGACGAGGGAGAGATTGAAGCGCGAGAGGACAGGAGGGTGTCCGTTTTCAATGAAATGAAATTTTCTTCTTTTTTTTGTTGTTTGTTTTTGGGGCCTGCACTGGTACAGTTACGAGAGATGGAGAGTGTGAGAGGGAGTGTGAGAGAGAGAACAAACTCGACTCCGCCCTGTGGCATATGCACACACAGTACCACTTTTTTTCTCTTGTCATTGTGGCTCGTCTCGTCTGTTGATGGATCTGAGGGATGGATTCTGTGGAAATATGGTACAATCTAGGCAGTGTTATCACTCGATCTCTCTCATCAGTCCAGACTCCAGAGTTTCTTGTCGCTTGTGTACGGTTAAGCGGGCTTCTCCATTCCGACCCTCGCGCCGACAACAACCGAGAATAACCAGACAATGTTGTCACTGGCCCTTTTAACACCCTTTAAATACCCCATACCTGCGGCTTTATCACATGCAGCCTGCGCAACCAATTGCTCGTACATACAGTATTACTGGGCGTCGTGGTCGTCGTGGTGGTCCTCGAGTTCATTCCTTGCACAAGGCAGAAGCGAAGCGCAGGGTGTTTTAGTTCTTTTTCGAATCGCTCTCTGGTCGATCAACCATGGCCGTCCCCGGATCTTGTCGTCGCAACCTCTGGCGACTTTCACAGCGTGGCGGTACAGGGACAGGTGCTGCTTCTTCTTCGACGACACGATTCACCCACCGCGGATTCCACTCCTCCCCCGTCACCATGTCCACGCTCGCCGCGTTCAAACTGCCCACCATCTCCAACGAACCGAACAAACACTACGCCAAAGGCTCGCCGGAGCGAGCAGGGCTGGTGTCCGCCCTGGAAACGTTCAAGTCCAAGATGCCGCTCGAAGTGCCGCTCGTGGTCTCCGGCGAAGCGATCAAGACGTCGTCGGTACTCGCCCAGCACAGCCCGTCTTCACACGCGACGTCGGTCGCCAGCTACTCGAACGCGTCGGCGGCGGAGGTGCAAAAGGCCATCGACGGAGCACTGGCCGCGAAGCCGGCGTGGGAATCGCTCCCGTTCGCCGACCGAGCGGCCATCTTCCTCAAGGCGGCGGACCTGATCAGCACAAAGTACAGGTACGAGATCATGGCGGCGACGATGCTGGGACAGGGCAAGAACGCATGGCAGGCCGAGATCGACGCGGCGGCCGAGCTGGCTGACTTTCTGCGGTTCAACGTGCGGTACGCCGAGGAGCTGTACGCACAGCAGCCCCCCTACAACTCTCCAGGCGTGTGGAACAGGGTCGAGTACCGCCCCCTCGAAGGGTTCGTGTACGCCATCTCCCCCTTCAACTTCACGGCCATCGGCGGCAACCTGGCGGGAGCCCCCGCGTTGATGGGCAACGTGGTGGTGTGGAAGCCGAGCCCGTCGGCGATCGCGTCCAACTACCTCATCCACCAGATCCTGACCGAGGCCGGACTGCCCGCGGGGGTCGTCCAGTTCGTGCCCGGCGACGCCGAGGAGGTGACGAAGGTGGTACTGGCGCACAAGGAGTTTGCCGCCCTGCACTACACGGGGTCGACAGCCGTGTTCCGCAAGCTCTACGGCCAGATCGGCGAGGGCATCGCCGCAGGTCGGTACAAGGGATACCCCCGGATCGTCGGGGAGACGGGCGGCAAGAACTTCCACCTCGTGCACCCAACCGCCGACGTCGACAACGCCGTGGCCCAGACCGTGCGCGGCGCCTTCGAGTACCAGGGCCAGAAGTGCAGCGCGTGCTCGAGGCTGTACGTGCCGGCGTCGCTGTGGGAGGCCGGGTTCAAGGCCAAGCTGGTCACGGCGACCGAGTCGCTCAAGGTCGGCGCGCCAGACGAGAACTTTGGCCACTTCATCGGCCCCGTCATCCACGACGCGAGCTTCAAGAAGCTGTCGGCCGTGATCGACGACGCCGCGAAACCCGACTCGGGCCTCGAGCTGATCGCCGGCGGCCACTACGACAACTCGCGCGGATACTTTGTGCAGCCGACCATCTACGTCGCCAAGGACCCCTCCCACAAGAACTTCACCACCGAGTTCTTCGGCCCGATCCTGACGTGCCACGTCTACGACGACTCCAAGCCCGCTGCATTCGAGGACGTCTGCAAGCTGATCGACAGCACGTCGGAATATGGTCTCACCGGTGCCGTGTTTGCTCAGGACCGCGCCGCGGTACGGTACGCCGAGGACGCTCTACGGAACGCGGCGGGGAATTACTATATCAACTGCAAGTGTACAGGTGAGTTTTTGAGTCGCGGTTCCCAAGTTCGGGTTCGAGTTCGAGCTCAAGATTGTTTTTCCCCTTCTTTCCCCTTTCTTTCAGACGCGCCCCGAGAATTTGTTGCGTGTACCTTGTTGATAATAACTCCAACGTCACTTCCAAAACAGGTGCCGTAGTAGGTCAACAACCCTTTGGAGGAGCCAGAGCATCAGGAACAAACGACAAAGCCGGCTCTGCAGCGATCCTGTCCCGGTTCGTCAGTATGAGATCGATCAAGGAGGAGACGCTACCTATTTCCCAAGTCGAGTACCCATCCAACGACGTCTAGATTGATCCTAGACCGGCCCAGTGGAACTCTACCGAACTTCTCCTTCCGTCCGTCCAACGACGACGACGTCTAGTTATTACTACCACCACTACATGAACATACCAGGTCCGTCATGAAGACGAGTTGATAATGACGACAATGATGATGGTAACGGCGATGACGGGTGATTGCGACGGTGTGTCTGGGTTTCATAATCTCTTTGAACTTGGTCATCACGCTCTCCAGAGGGGATCAACTGATCCGACATAACGATTGAACTTTGAGCGGTGCGAGCGCAGGTGAGGTTACCTTCCCACGAAGGGGATCATTTGAGAAACAAAGAATCCAGTCAGGGGCGAGCTAGCTGTTGCGAAATGATATTGAAAAAGGGGGTGCGTGGGTGTGTAATGAATCAAAAAAAGCATTGCGTTGGTTGGGTGGACTGCGCGGTTGATTTCTTTTGTTTTTGTTTTTTTCTTTTTTTTTCAAAAGAGCATCACTCACTCACGACGACAGCAGTAGCAACAACGAAAAGGCGTTCTTTTCTTCATTTTATTGGATTGATCAAGTGACCTAGGCTCTCCTCCGCACCATGTTAACATGAGTATCATCTACCAATATGAAAAATAAATAAATTACCTACCTTGACTGTCTTCCGTAGTCACACTTCCCTTCCCCCCCCCCCAACAACAACGAAAACGTAAGCAGGTATCTTGGAAGGACGGTCGGTCGAGAAAGAAGAAGACCTCTTGTGCAAGCAAGGACGGCGGCGGCTCAGACAGGCAGGCATGCAGGCATCGACGGTCCAATCAATTCATGACGACGTGCGGATTGGGTTGGGGGGCCCGAAGGGGGGGAGGGGGGGGGAAGAGGATGGATGGATGGATACCCAGGTCAGACAGGTATGTATGTATGTACTGTGTACAGACTGTTTGGGTGTCAAGGAAACCCCAGACAGACGGAACCCCCCGTCGGGGACCGGGACGGGACGGCAGGACCGCCGCGGAGAGAAAGGGAAGACAGTTGTGAGAGACTCCGGGACCAAAGAAAAAAAAAAAAGGCAAAAAAACAGGGGGCACGGGAGACGAAAGTGGTCAGGTACCTGGGTACGTATAGACAGCGCGGTATGGACCCTTGTAGACCACACAGAGATATATAGATAGACACGGTCGGTCAGACAACCTTGTCCACCGGCGGACAGAAAAACACAATATTCCCTGCCCCGGGAAAAAAAAGAAAGCTTCGCTCGCTGTCAATCAAGTACCTAGCCAAGTACTCCTACAACGGCAGGGAAGAAAACCCGAAAACTCGAGAGAGTCAATTCACACAAGAAGAAAGCTTGTTGAGCGGCAGAATAAAAACTCAAACTCATGCATGGTGACCATGTGCAACAAAGACTGATACCATTGCTCTGAATCCAACGAGCTCAATCTTCAAACTTGCTTCCGTCCATTTTCAGCATATGCCAGGTTTCCCTCCGTTTGCGCATCAGCAGCTTTTCTTTCTCCGCCGTTGAGCATCTTTTCCTTCAAGCTTCAGTTCCGAGTCAAACAGAAACAAAAAATGCCATTTATTCAGACAAATTCCTGCATTCCCCGTCGTGTTGACGACGCCGTCTTTCGCCGTAACCATAAAAACATTCATGTGCATGCAATAACGAATGAGCCACAGCCCTTCCCAGTTTTCCAAACGCCGCTGCAGTATGTGCTAAAAACAAGAACCCAGGCGCAATGTGCTTAACGATGGGGAAGATGCAGGCCTGTGTGCAGTGCTTGAGCTGGTGTTCGGAGCCGTCGCAAGTGGTGAACTGATGTCAAAATGTGCCACGCTGTGTCGCTGGTTTCGATGGCAGCAATATTGATACGGTGCTAATGATGCTGACGCAATTCTATGTGGGATATCATTTTAATCGTGAGAAGAAAAGAATGGTGCGGTGCAGACATGAAACATGACCTTTTGTGAAAAGGTTGGTGTAGTCGTACATGTCAGAAATGGTCCTGAAGAGGGTAACAAGGGTCCCCAGTCGATTGGGTTGTCATGTTCTCACGCCGGACTGTCGAAGTCAACCTTAAGAGGCAACCTTTGTAATTGTGACACCGCCATTCAGACGGCTCGCACCATAGTCCTTGGCCCACTTCCGGGACATGATCGAAGCTAGCGACGGTCAGTGTCGAGGTCAATTGCATCTCAAGAGGGTTACTTGCCCTTGAGGAACTTTTTGCTTGCGTATTTCTTGAACAGTGCTTCATGAGCCACTGGGGCCTGGAGGTATTCAACCATGAGGTCAAAAACGGGCAGGATCTCATCCTCAGAATAGCCGGCGAACTTGGTGAGGGTAGCGTCCTAGCGAGATTAGCGTACTGTCAGACCAGGGGAAGGTAAAGACATACCCATCCACCGCGTTCCAAGATCATGCGAGCCAGGTACATAGCCGCCGCTGCGACATGACTCTGTTTGTACTCCAAGAACCGATGATCGACGAGGCTGATCTCCATGAAGTATTTGCCCAGAGTACGAGCCTGGATGTCGTAGTTGTCTGCCTTCGAAATTCGGCGCAGGAAGTTCATCGGGTTGGGATAGCTGAGGTCGTACTTCAGCGTCGACAGCGTGTACCGTTCAGCACTGAGCACTTCCTCGACAGTGAAGCCATCATCGGCGACGTGGACAAAGTTGCCGACATGTGGCGAGAGCACTTCCTCGTACTTGGATGCGATAAACATGGCCGTAATGCCCACCAGTTGGAGCTTGTCGAGGGGAACGACCTTCTGCGACAAAAACCTATCGACGATATTGACAGCCAGAAAGAGGGTCTCGGGCAACAACCTGAAGCGAGTGTGCACCTCGATGAGCCAATCGACGAGGATACCTCTCATCTTCCACTCGAGATCATCCTGATGATCCATGTAGTGCGGGTTAGGTTGGGTAATGTCCTCAAGGCTGCGATAGTAGTTGAAGATTTCGCGAACATATTCAGCACACATCGAGGGGTCGTCAAGGTCTTCTGCGTCTAAGTCGGCAACGATGTCATAGCTTTCTTCACTCTGCTGAGCGTCTTCAACTGGTTCCTCCAGGCAAGACTTCTTTCGCGGCGGCTCTTCAACATCCGGGGTGGCGTCTTTGGATGAGGGGATGGTTGAGGTTGAGGTTTGTGTCCGTCTCTTAGCACCCATTACACCTGAGCCACTGCCGGGCTTTTTGGAATCCGAGCCAGCCTTTGGTTTGGCATTGTTGTCTTTGACACCCAGAGCAGCTCTCGACGAGTTGGTACGTGACAATTTCTGCACCCCCCCGGTGGCGGGTTGGGCAACCTTTGAAGGGAGTCCAGATTTTCCTGCAGCTGCTTTCTTCCCTTCTTGGACCACCTCGACACCCTTGGCAGCGTTGGTCACATCGCCCAAGGCACGTCGTCTCTGGGTGCCATTGGTGGCAGTTGTGGTCTTCTTCATCACGGTAGCTTTCTTGGCCAGGGAGGTCGTGTCGGGATTGGAGAGGCCTGCAGCTTTGGCACGCGTTAATCTTGTGGAATGAACAGCGTTGTTCTCGTCGTTTTCATTGTTAACTACACCCTGTCGAGTGCGAGACTGCAAGCAGGTGTCAGTGCGTGTTCACGAGACGCGTAAAAAGGCGTGCATATCAGCGGAGAAAGAGGAGGGAAACTCACGACAGGCATCTTGAGTAGACGACGCCGTTATGGCGGTTCCAGACAGGTACAATGGAGAGGTAGAGGACGAGAAGTGTTGTGGACTGGTGGTAAGAGAAGAAGGTGAAGTGGAAGTCGTGGAGCTCGGGACCTGAGTGGTGGTTCGCAGTTAGCATTGATCGAGACGTGCAGCAAAGAATTCAATCTGATTGGGGAATGACGCACGAGCTTCTCTGAGACGCGAGTGTTGGAGATTTGAACCTCAAGAGATTGCGTGTATGTCAAGTTGATTGTCGAACAGGGAGGCCGTGGATCCGGGAGGATCTCGCTGCGCTCTCGATCGTGGTGAAGAGTGGTGAGGTGTGCGGTAAACACGAGATGTTGTTGTAGCGCGTCCAGGCCCAGAGCGGTGCAAAGGTCCGAAATGCGTCCCAGAGAACACGTCGAAGGCGGATGCAGCTGCACGAGAGGCGAACAAAGCTCCAAGACGCAGAAGCAAGGAGGGATGCAGGCTTCGAGAAGGGCGGTGTTGGGGGGGAGGAAAAGGTACTGAAGTGCCAGAACAACAGATACTGCACTGAGGTTGTGATGGTTGAGATGGTAGCAGGAGAGACGCTTGGAACGAGTGAATCCCAAGCCCAAGCACAAGCACCAACTAAGTTAGTCCAGTTGCCGGGCTGGTTGTTTTTCCTTGGCAACCGGGGCAGGCGTTTTTTTGGGCGGCGACGTCGAGCCTCGAGAGCGCGCTGCAGGCCCCATTATTAGTCGTTAGTATTGTACTCGTACTGTACGCTGAACAGGACGCAAGGACTCGTACAGTACAACAGTATGTGCCCGTAATCCGTGCAATGCCCGTCCACAGTCTCGCTCGCTGTGGCTTCTCGACCGCCCCGCACTGACCTGTCGAAAACGTCGGTTCTGGGTGGCTGATGGCCCGTCTACGCACGCTGGGCGTTGTCGAGGTAAGTGATGATCAAGAAAACTATGCCGCAGCCTCTCCGGCCAGAGAGACGATACAGAGTACAGAGACAAAGCAATGCCAGTACCAGCGAGACGAAGAAAACGATGCGTGAGGAGGACTGTCACGATGCGCTTCCTTTGGCGGTACGACCGAGTACAGTACGAGCTGCCGATGGAGACAGGGAAGGCGCGCCTGGCACGCTAGTGGCTTGTTACCAGGCAACGGCGACCCCGCGAACACCAATCACGAATGCTTCCACCCAGCGACCTCCAAACATGAAAATGCTCTCTCAGGTGGTGTTGCATTTATCTACCCAGGACTCTGTAGTTGATGCCATCTGCCACGCCGTAACAGAAAACTGGTCTGCCGCCTGAAGGAGTTACAGGAGACTCCTACTATTGTTCCCTGGCTAGCAAATGAGTCCTTGGATTACGTGCCTGTTCAGTACTCATATCTTCGTCTTGCCCTAGTGTACAGAAGTTTGCATTTGCATTCCTTTGCATGTTGACCGCTGCCTCTTTTGCCGTCTCATTTACCAAATGTATTTCGCTGAAAAACCGGCTTGACTGCGCCTTCAAGAACAATGGCCCCGGGGACCTCTCTGTCATGGATCACACCAGCAGCTGAGTCGCCTGCTTCCCAACGGCTTAACAGCTGATTACTCTCGACCGGCTTGACCTCAGCCCCCGACGTTCCAACCGTGATATGCGCGATCGCGTTGGCACTTGGCCACATCTTGCCTTCGTCGGCAGGGAAAATGCGGACAACAAAGGTCATGATACGGTCGTCCCACACCAGTCTTTCTAACCTGACCCGCGCCTTACCAAGGTTGGGTGCCAGCCTCTCCTTCTCTCGAAGGTCGACGTTGGCAATCGCGTTTCTGTAGGTCTCGGTGTACATCTGCCACATGTCGGCGTGTTGACTGGCAGACGCGCGATGAATCAGCGTCACATGAAACTCCCCTTGGATACGACGTGACTGCTTTAGCATGCGATACATGCGTGCCTCCTCTGCGTCGCCGGAATCAAACAACTTGCTCAAGACCGAATTGATCTGAGTCACAGACACTGGCACACTAAAATATTCCAGCTTAGCCACCAACTGGTCCGCAGTGAACATTTTTGGCTGTTGTGGGGGCGGTGTGTTTTTCTGTCCTCTGCTCGAAGGACCTGATTTGTTGAAGTCCAGATCATGTTTTTTCTCAACTTGTTGTTGCATTGCAAATTCAATCGCTTCCCGCATTTCCTTGTCTCCAGGCATCGCATCTGGCAGGAGTCCTGGGAAAGCATTGTACAAGTGAGTAATGACGGTTTCCAGGTTCTCAAGTGAAGATGCCGTAACATCCAAGTTGATAATCTCATCGAAATCGTTGTCCGGAGGCGAATCTGGATTGCAACCTTGAAATCGGTGTAAAAATCCCTCCATGATGGAGATGATTTCATCTGGACCCTTGCTGCCCGCTCTTATTGTCTGATGATTGTCTCCTCGCTCGAGCACTCGTTCTCGGGTGACTCTGCGAATCTTGTCAAGCATCTGATTCTTGGGCTCATGAACATAATGCAAGGCCACAAATCGTGTTTCGGGAAGAACCTTGCTGATGTCGTTGATAATCTGTTCGCGCTCTCTTTTTTGGTGGTTGTTTCGATCTGCAATGACTACTCGGTGGTGCCTTGCTATCGAGTCGGTCACGGCGTACGCAAAGCGCTGGGATCTGTCTCTTTTCCCTTCGATGTTGTCGTTCTGGACGTGCCCAAATCCGAACAAGTGCACCAGGGCGGTCGCCACAGTCGTCTTCCCACACCCGATAGTTGCAATGGGAACCAAAACGACAGGCGAGATCTGCCCATCGCCGCCGCCATCTGCTCCCTGCTCTCTCTCGTGCGCAATGATATCTGACCCTTTCTGTCCTATCTCGGCGAGGAACCCTTCCCGCATCTTGATGATACCATGGTTCTGGTTGTAAAGTTTACCGATCGAGGGGTCCAGGGCCAACCGCCGGCGGGCGTATGTGAGGTATTCTTCTGTGATTTTCTTGTGCTTGCGGATCTTTGGAGGTTTGCCTGCAATGACGGACTTGGTGCATTCTCGCCATTGTCGATACATCAAGTATGGCTCCTCGAACTTGTACTTGAAGAACCAGGCGGGAGCGTAGGTCGCCCCTTTGCTCTTCAGCTTGCATCTGACCACAAATCCTTCGGTATCTCTTCCTTCCCACGAACCTGTCTCGGCACACTTTGCCAGGAACTCTTTGACCTTATCAAGAGACTGGAGGATGATGTACTCTGCTTTTTTGAACCCCCATGCATCGGCAAATTCATGCACTTCTGGACCTGACAAGGTGGCAAATTCTGGTAGGTTGAGGTTGAGGCCATGTAGATACAGGCCGGCAGCCTCTGGCGGATATTCAAGAACATGCTCTTCGAATTCGTCGTCACACAATTCAGCGACTGCGGTCACGTTCATCTTCCTCAAAGCCAGAGCCAGATCTCTGGGAGATTTGCCCACACTTTCCAGATGCCTGTGAACCCACTTCTCTCCTACTTTCGCATGACTCAGGGCAGCGTCTGACCTGGAACCTGTGGAGTGCTTGCTACAGACAAGAAGGGTGCCATCTTCGAGCCCAGACATGAAGATGATGCAACCATTCTCCTTGACACTCAACTCGTACGGGCCAGTGGTGTCATTCTCAATGTTGACCCATTGGGTGTTTGGGACCTCATCGACGTTGAAAAATTTGTCGTAGCCTCGGATGGCGATTTCGGGGGTGCCATCGGATCTTCTGGTGGTGAAGAGCCCGCGGGCGTAGGTCGGAAGGTCGTTTCTTTTGTAGTCCCAATCGTTGAATCGCCATGAGTCGACGGTATACTGCGAGCCATCGACGGAAAATGTAGTTTTCTTGCACGAGAAGCCCTTGTGGCCGCCCCGACCTTTACCTTTGTTGGCCTCCAGGGTCTTCACCAGCTCGGCGACTTCATGAGGGTCTTGGCTCATGATGGATGCGGGTTAGTTTCCCGTAATGAGGAGTTTATGGACAGCAATCAAGACGGATCAGTCTTGCTGAGATATTGCTGAGCGCGTAGGGGCGGGAAGTTGGTAGATTCCCGATAGTGAAGAGACTCTGGCAGTGGCAGCAAATCTCAAAAATATTATATCATGGCAGGGAAGCTGCAGATGGCCGCCCGCACAGTCACTGTAGAAAGCAAAATGACAGGCAACAGTGACTCAACACACTGTACATTGACTCTGCCAATGTCGATATTGGAATGACTAACAAGGCATGGGCTTGAATTCGTCTGCCTTTTTTGATAGGATTCAGGTGCCGCAAAATTGTGGCCAGCAGTTGTGCCTGACCAGCCTTGTGTCGATGGACATTAGCGCCGCAGATCTTACGAGGCCACACGACTACTGTAGCCACCATATCATGACTCAATCGCCAGTGGTGCCGCCTTTTTTTTGGCCGGCCCGCATGTACAGACGTACCTTACCTCATGCAATAAAAAGTGTAATTCCTTGCCCTCGCCTTCACCTTGGTGCCTCTGTAACTCTGGATCCCCTGAGAGTGCCCTGAGGCCCGCAAGATTTGACCGGCAGCAACATCAAAACTGTCTCAGCATGTCTGACCTGAACCCATTCCTCCTTGCCGCAGTTACACCAGACCCCGACCCTCGTCTCCTCCCACTCCTACGCTCAAGACCCGAGTTGGCATCGGCACAGGATGCTCATGGTTATTCCTTGCTACATGCAGCCGCATCCTACAATCACGTGGACCTGTTGAAAGTGTTGGCCGGTGAATTCAAGGTTGACATCAATTTGAAGGACGAGGATGGAGAAACCTGTTTGTTCGTTGCCGAAACTACAGAAGTTGCAAGCTGTCTGGTCGAAGAATTGCACATTGACGTCGGAATCCGGAACGATGAAGGCATGACCGCCGAGGAGAAATTTGAGGCTGAGCAAGAATATCCAGAGATTGCACAGTATCTTCGACGCCATGCATCTTCTGGAGCGGCCAGCGGAGACGCCGTGTCTAACCGCATGGAACCTGTTTCAAACGGCATTCAATATCCTCCAACCCTTCCGCCCAATGTAACCATCAACATTGACACTGCGGTCCCCGGCCCGGCTAGCAACATGGAGCAAGAACCCGATCCAGAATTCAGGAGAAGAATCGAAGAGCTAGCTGCCAGCGAAAACTTTCACACAGAGGAGGGCCAAAGAGAATTGCGCGAGTTGATCACAGATGCTGTAAGGGAGGTTGGCAACGACGAAAGAGATGTTCGCCGACGATTCGCTTGATCAGCCAAACTAGCAGGGCTGGTGAAGATGAAAACCATGTCCGGCGGGCAAGGCCGATTGACTCCGTTGCAGCGAATGAAAGACTGCGCAGCGAGCACGATGATTTGTGATAGATACGCTACATCTTCCTGAGACATGTCTGGACGGCTACAGCCTTCAGTCATTCATCCAAGCCGCAACCCTCCCCCCGCCAACTCTGGCCGCGAAGCGCAAGCCCGTGCTCCCCATCGGGAAATAGCTGACCAGATACCAGACCAGCGCCACAAGTTGGATGATGGACGAAAACAGAGTCAGGATGGTGGAGTGAAGCTTTAGGCCAGGTCAGCATCGCAAGTCGGTGAATCAGGTAGCCGGCTACACGTACCCCAACGGCGAAGTAGATCGTCATGACGATGGATCCGAAGTAAGCTGCAGTGAAAGGCAATCGAGGTCCCGACATAAGGTGGACACCGTATTGGTAGGGGCCCATTAGGAAGGCCCATGATGCGAGAAACAGCAGGGAGCCCACCGACCACCTATCGCGACGCGTCAGCGACACCGCGTTCTTCATGAATACGAACACATTGCGCAGGGCCCTGGATAGCCCAGTACAAGTAGGACAACAAGCGAGGGTGGGAGCCAAACAGATGATCCCCAGCACAAGCAGTCATGCTTGATATAGAAGAGCTGACATCATCAGGAGGCATGGCCGAGTCACATGGCCATGTGATGCAAAGCGGGATGGTGTGCAGCCACAAACTCAGGAGGGAAATGGTAGAAACACTCACAGAATCGCAAACTTGCGCGGCTTGAGCGAAAGAACTGGAAATAGTGCAAAGCAAATAACAAAGCATGCCAAAGCGGCAAGATTGCATCCCCCGAATATGAGCAGGCGGTCCCATCGGCTTACTGTAGTGACAACAAGATCAGCGAGTCTGGCCTGAAAAATGTACACTCGACAACTTACAGGCAAACCAGCCCTCTTCCTCCTCTCTCCTCGTCGGCGCAGGCAGCGGTGCACCTGGAGCCTCGTGGGTGGGTAGTTGCACATAGCCTCGGTCTCCAAATGGGTTGAGCGATGACAGCCTCGACAGGATGGGGGTGGAGGACGTGTTGGCCGGCACATCAGGGTCTCTTCTCGACCAGCCTAAGGAGTTCAGCGAGTCTCGGAAGGCTGTCGAAGTCATCTTGACCGGTCACTCCACCCTTCTCGAAGCGTTTCTTTCACCAAACAACCTGCCAGCTGAGGGGGAGTAGTCTCCACAAACAGATGATGTGTTCTGGTCTGGCGTCCAACTCTTTTTGGGAAGCGCGCGGTTTTGCCCAGAATCGTGCTCGATGTGACAGAAGTAAGAGGAGAAGAAGGTGCGCAGAGGACGAGGGAGGGTGTCTTTCTCAGACCTAGCGTCGCAGTCGCAGGGTGTTCGCCGACAAGGCTGACCTTGTATGAATTGGAGCTAGAGTGGTCGATCACAAAGAAGTTGGCAGAAAGCAGCCCTCAGCGGCGGATTGAATTGAACGCTTGTGAAGATAGGAGACGGCTGCCTGCTGAATGTCTAAGCTCAGGGAGGTTTGTCCGTCGGGGTGGGACCGTCCAGAATCCTGGAAGGCAGATACGGGAGACCGATAGATGTGTAGACGATGTCGAACGACGGACGGCGGCCAGCATGAACCGACCACCTTTTCGCAATAGTTCGAGTCGTCGTAGAGCAGCAGGCTGCGTCGAGAATGTAGAGTTTGCTAAAGCGGACAAGCGGCCCGCCGATCCAGAAGAGCCACAGTTACGCTAAGCCTGGCAGAGACTGCGCTGATGCGGAGCACACCAATCATATCCGTATCTCGCACTCCTCCATGTATCTATCACTCGCATTACTGACCCTCCCTCGCAGAGTCGTGACCGTCTCTATCAAGCTCAGACGTACCGTGCGTGGTCGCCAATACGGTCAATGCTCCATCGTGAAGGCAAATCTTGTTTTGGCCGCCATCGCAGGGGGTGGGCTGCTCCAGGCTGGAAGCCTTTCGCCAAAAGCCTTCGGCACGAACCATCCGTGCGGCGCTGGCTTGCCCAGATCGTACTGCTCCCGCGTTAGTTCAGCGACTCTGGTGGAAAACTGCAGCTTCTCCGTGGACCCTTCTCGTCGCACTGCATAGGCCTGAACCCGATAGGGCAACCGTAGTCAACGACAGCCATCGGGAGGTTGGTCTGATGGATCGCTGAGACATGCGGTGTATGGTCGAACAACGCCTCACTAGGCCGGGTGAAAGATCCATGCTACCCATGGGGACATCGAGGGATCGTCTTGCTATTCCCTGATAGCGACAGCAGAAGCCCATGTTCTTTGTCAGCCTCGACGCGCGGGGTTCTACGGCAAGGTGTGGCTGATGGTTAATTCGGAACAAATGATCTCTCGAGGCCACTTGACCTGCATCCGTTCTATCCCGGATGATCTCTATCTGGGTTCATGACTACTCGACGTCTAAGTCATGCTGGACTTTGGTCGGGAGCCATGGTAGGGAAAAGGGTGTATTGGTACCAGCCCATGTGGGCGGACTTTGCTGCTGGACGCTAACATGACCCCTCTTCTTCTGGCACCCGAGACAGCATTCCGTATACAGGTACGGACTGCAAGAATGGGCATCCTACGCTGCCTTCGCATTGCCTGGCGACCACACCCACTCCGCAGGCTGTCGTTCATTCCAGCGTCTTGGCCAAGAGGGCTTAGGCGAACGATTGGGTTGCCGGTGCCTTCCGCCTCATGTGGCTGCGCCTCGAGGATGGGGAAGGGACAGAAAGGTGCACACGCAAACCGATTTTGGGAGGGGGGGAAACGTGAAAGTGACAGACAGTCAAGTGCCATGTTGGACGTTGGATGCTGCAATTCATAGCCTTGCATATCGAGGGTATAAGAAGAGTCTAGTGACCCTGCCAGACGTGGCGAGGACCTCTCTGTTCCGTGTCGTTCCTAGATTTGCATACCTCACAATCGACTGCATTGGCGGCTTTGTATGGCACTGATTTCCCGCCAGATCCGACGATCGAACAGAAAGCGTATCTAGGTGCTTAGGTACTCCGTACCTAGGGAGTAATTGAGGGTGCTGCTATACCTGAAGCCGCCTATCAAGCGTCTGTCAAGGGCCTATCAAGCGCCCAATCGCGCTGTGCTGACAGCGTTGAGTCAAGCTGCAGGGCGTCGCCAGCCAGCCAAGCAGTGAGTGCGTGCCAAGGCCGACGTTGACTCGAGGAAGCCACGACTGGCACTGACAGTGGCGCCGCCAGGTTCTTTCTTCCTATTTTCGACTCGACCCGGCGAGGCGGCGTGTGCATCGGGCTCCCTCCCAATCCAGTTCCTCAGTCACCGACCAGCTCAACTGCGCTTCTCGCGGAAAGGCCAACTGCCCACACCAGCCAAACATCGTCCCGGGCTTTTGCACAACATAGCAATCTTCGCATCTCCCTCTCCTCTGCGCTCTTCTCACTGCATCCCTCTGCCTTCTTCACCCCTCCGCGCGATCCTCTCGACCGACTCTGTCGACCTCATCGTCGCCTACCCACCATTCACCGACCCGCATTGCTTCATCCTCGCTGGGCCCCTCCTTCACCTTCGGACCACATTCCCACGCCGCAGGTTGTCGGTGTGCACTGATTACTCCCTCATCAATCAGCAATCGCAAACCTCGGACTGCAACGCTAGTCGTTCTGTGGTCGCCAGCCTGTGCCCTTTGCGTCGCGCATCATTCGATCGATACCTCTGAAAAGGCGGTCTCCCGCGATTAGACGACGGTGCAAACACCCCTGCCATTTCCAGTTCTTACCAATCGAGTGTGATTACAATTGGTCTTCACCCGGTTGAGCACTACGCATAACGCCAGTCTATTCTCCCTCATAAGACTCACATACTCTCTGCATCACAGGACGGAATCCGCCCGGACAAGGTCGAAGCTCTGCTTACAGCACATACTGCAGTCAGCCTTATCCTCTATACGTCCGAGATTCGTGTCATACATGCCAGGTTCCTGGCCTGGTTATCCTGCTTAGGACAACTGCCCCCATCCTCGGGACGGGACTTTCCTTCGATATCCGGCTACCCTGACGACCACTATTCCAGAAGAGAGCTTTGCGATGGCCGAGGCTGCGTGATATGCGATTTTGACAACGTTACCGAGGATCACCACGAGCTTATACGACCATCACTATATATTCGGCCCGCCACGCACCCTTCCTTCTTCCTTGGACCATGAATCACTCTTCAGGCGGAATGCCGTACATCAAGGCCGAGCCCGAAGATTTCGGGAACAGCCAGTTCATGTCTTCTTCCAACTTCAACCCCTCTCAGAATTTCAACAACCAATTCAACGTTCAGGACAATGGAAGCATAAACCCTTCTGAACTTTCCAACTTTGGTGGGATGCAATACAATTTTGGCGGCAATATGTCATCGAGTTTCAACATGGGCAACTCGGGCTACGATGACAGCGAATTGCTGGAAAGCCTAGACTTCTCTCAGAACGGTCAAGGCATGCTGGATGATTTCACAACCCTCAACCAGTCGAGCAACAATAACAGAGGTTCGGGTGCGATACCCATGAGCCAACAAAACCAGATGTCCAACGTGTATTCGAGTACGCCGGATGGACCGCCCATCCAGAGCCCTTTCCTAGGAACCTTCGATTACAATCAATTCCGCCCCATGGGCTCACTGCCACAGCACATGTCACCTCTACAGGGCGGCCAATTCGGCAAGCGTCCAAGCATGCAATCAGCGAACCGCAAGTCCTCTTCGGACCAGAGATCGCCGTTGACTCCACGAGCGACCGCCATGGCAGGACTTCATATTGGCACCCCGGAATCTAGTAACCTTGCCAATGGGCGACCAATAAGAGCGCCAAATCTACAAAACCGGCACGCCAAGACTCTTTCTGGACAGTATGATAGCACCCCCGGAAGTCTCCATTCGTTCTTGGACTCCCCTCTGTCATCGCCTGGCGCCGGAATGCACCACGCTGGCATCTCAGAAACCATTGGCTCTGGGCAGCATGCGTCTTTACCTGCCAAGGTCGAAAATGGTATGACAAATGCAGAAACCATTGAAGCGAAGAAGCGCCGGAGACGAGCTTCGCATAATGCTGTGGAACGAAGGCGTCGGGACAACATCAACGAGCGCATACAGGATCTGTCGCATCTGGTCCCACAGCACCGACTTGATGATGACAGGGTCAAGAAACAATTGCAGACTAATGGTCCGCTATCACCCACGATGGGTGCTACCAGCATGAGCCCTCCCAACGCGAACAACGCGGCGACCTCATTGCTTGCAGGTGCCGCGGGTCGGCGCGCTGCCAGTACTGCGGGTAATATCACCATTGGGTTGCCCATTGAAGAAAAGGAAAAGGGCCCCAACAAAGGCGACATTCTCAACGGCTCAGTCAGCTGGACGCGGGACCTGATGTGGGCTCTGCATCTGAAATATCAACAGGAAGATGAGTTGGCATCGTACATTACCCAGTTAGGTGGTCAATGGCCGTTTCAGATCACGGACGACGAGAAACGGATGCGCTCCGAGGTCATGGACGCCATGGAGAAGAACGACTCAAGTACGTTTTCGTACTCTCGAACAGATGGAAGCGGTCTCCGTGTGCCTCGCCACACCAATCTTGCTGGCGATAAGGTCCAAGGCAATTCCAGTCTGAGCCCCCAAAGTAACTTCGAGCTCAGCCCAGGCTTTCACAGTGGTGGTAGTGGCACGGGAAGTGGCAGCAACCCTGGACAGCCACAGTACTGGCATAGTGCTGGCCACGGAGGGATCAGCTTCAAGGAAGAAGACGAATTCATGGAGATGAACTGATCACACGATGGGTCCTACTAGGTATACAACATTTGCAGCAAGCATGACGTGGACAGGGAACCAAGTATCACGTATATAACAGACCACGAGTGCTCATTATGGCTTCATTTCGAGACAGTACATGTGGGTGGGATGCGATGCGATGCAGTGTTGAGTTGAGTTGACTGTCTCTTGTTTGTCTTGTTTTCTCGGCGTTGGGACTGGTTTACTTGATTGTATTGATGATGCTCAGGGCATATGAGTTTTGATACCCCTTCATTTTCGAACATCTCCTCCTTCCCTTTGAATTTTCTCGTGCTTGCTGTGTTGAGTGCAACACAGGACAGAGGCTTGTATTGTAGTAGAGGAGGTAATAGCATTGATGAGGATTTTCTATGCGTTTTGAATCGAATTACAATCATGCCCATCCAGTCCTCAGTTTCCGGTCTGGAGGGATATAGCACCATCCTGACATGACTTGGTCTTTGCTTCTCGATTGTCTTTGTAAGTGATACTCGTACTGGATGTGTAGTCTCGTACATTCCGTATGGTCATATGGGTGGTCAAGGGAACCATTGTGATGACTTACTGTACTCGCGGTTGTAGGGGACGACGATGGCCCCAGTACGAATACGAGCACCTCCGTAGGCTGACTAAGGTGCTTTTCTTCTCCAAGTTTCCCCATTTGCCTTTTATCCGTCTACTCCGTGTCACCAGCCGATATCGTCGAGAGCAACTCCGTACTCCGTACTCGTACCTGTGTGCCTGCGCCCCAGCTAAGTTGACTTTCACAATAATTCTTCTTTCCATTTCGCCTTGCTCGTTGAAAGAGACCAGACTCAACTCGTCTTGCGCATTCTTGTACCAGGCCCCCTGCGAGGAGAGCAAGCCTTCTCTCTCCCTCTCTCACCTCTCTCCACTCCTTCGGTGTCCATTCTTGGTCGCTCGTTCACGACTCACCTCCACCAACTTCTTTCATCTGGGCTGGTCTACCATCCGTCCATCGGATAAAGCACGTTTCAAGAAAAGCAGTCAAGATGACGGAGAAGCCACTTCCCTTCGTCTACCAATTCGCCGCTGGCGCTGTCGCCGGTGTGTCTGAAGTATGTTATGCTCAGTCCCTTGAACTGCGGCCGCAGCTATCACACCATGTCTAAACTCAAGTGCTAACCGCGGATTACAGATCCTGATAATGTGAGCTAAACAGCTGTGCTTGACTCTCCAGCAGATCGATCTCTGTCTTTGGCCCTGCGCACGACTTACGATCTCCCCACTGGCGCGAGTGCATGTCGAATGAGTCGGAAGCTAACTCTATGGTTGTCTACAGGTACCCGCTGGATGTGATCAAGACAAGAGTGTTAGTATACCCTGACTGCTGCTCGCTTTTGCTTTGATCCCTCCCCTCAGGGGCGTCCGAGTTATGCCCTAACTCTTGACATTTGGACCTCCTTAAAAAGGACCGCACTCTTTGGTGGTTGAATCGCGTCGTGGATCTTTGCTCACGACCTGTGTTTCAAACAGACAGCTACAAGGAAAGCCAGTTCCCGGACAAGACTACTACAATGGCATGCTCGACTGCTTCAAGAAGATTGTGCGTAATGAAGGTCCCTCAAGGCTGTATCGGGGTATTGCCGCTCCAATCATGATGGAGGCGCCCAAACGTGCTACCAAATTCGCCGCCAACGACTCCTGGGGCGTCTTCTACCGCCGTCTCTTTGGCGTCGAAAAGCCAACGCAAAGCCTCTCCATTCTGACGGGTGCCACCGCGGGTGCCACGGAGGCCTTCGTTGTTGTCCCATTCGAGCTCGTCAAGATCCGACTCCAGGACCGCGCGTCGGCAGGCAAATACAACGGTATCGTCGACTGTGTGGTCAAGACGGTCAAGGCAGAGGGCCCACTCGCCATGTACAACGGTCTGGAGAGCACGCTGTGGCGTCACATCCTCTGGAACGCGGGTTACTTTGGCTGCATCTTCCAGGTCAAGGCGCTGATGCCAAAGGTCGACCCGAAAACGGAGAAGGGCAAGGCCATGTTCACCGACTTCACGTCCGGCGCCATCGGAGGAACCATCGGAACCATACTCAACACACCCATGGACGTGGTCAAGAGCAGGATCCAAAACAGCCCCAAGATTGCAGGAAGCGTGCCCAAGTACAACTGGGCGTGGCCCGGGTTGGGAACCATCATGAAGGAGGAAGGCTTCGGCGCCTTGTACAAGGGATTCCTGCCCAAGGTGCTGCGACTGGGACCCGGTGGCGGCGTGTTGCTCGTCGTCTACACCGGTGTCATGGATTGGTTCCGCAAGATGGGCGCACAACCGGTCGCTTAGAGGGTGCGAAATGACCAAGAAGACGAAGCAGATGGAGACGAAGGCTAAGAAGACACAAACTCGCAATTGCTTTGGGCGCCGAAAAACGCCCATGGTGACAAATCCTCTCATAACTACAGTCGCGGCACTCGAGGCGAAGTCATGAGTCCCCGAGATTGTTTATTGTTCGGTCATCATCAATCGGGTCACGATGATGTGTGGCTCACACTATTTTTCATTTCCACTTTTTAAGAAACGAGATTGAATGATTTGGACAACCTTTCCACTGGGAGTGGGTTTTCAGAAAGAGAAAAGTTAAGACTCCTCGTGGCAGCGCAGGCAGGGGCATTTCTCGAGCAGATCATCCTGTACGACTTATCGGGGGGCCCACCGTCAGATGTGCCCAACAGAGAAAACACAGAAGATAGATTTGATAGAAGGCTAGCACCCCAGATCAAGGCCTCTAGACTACTCGGGCCAGAGGAAGAATGAAGAATTGCAAGACAACAACAAGCTTAGCAACGTACCCACCGATTTCTTTGTTCCTGGATCGTAGGGGAGAACGGGATCATGCACTCGATCGAGCATGTCTAGACGATGAACCTGGACCTGGACCAGAGAACAGACATTTGCCATGCACTCGTGTAATTAATCGTACAGAGAGAGGGACCTTCCACGTCCATCATCATCATCATCATCATCATCGTCGTCGTCGTCGTCGTCAATTCGAGGGTTCTCGACTGCCACAAGCATAGTAAACCTAAAAACAAGCGACTGCAACACACCCAGTCTCTGGGTCTGCGCGTGCTCGAATCCAACTTTTTCTTTACTAGTACAAAAAGGCACCAGGGTATGCTAAGGACCCTACAAACCCCAGCCTCGATATGTCTCAGGTATAAATCCACGTACATCCTCAATATGATCTCACCTCAATCTTCGGACATACCACCTCGACCTTTGCCCCAGCTCAAGTTCAATCTTCACTTTTGAAGGTGGAAGCGGGGCTTTGGTTTTGGCGCGTTCTGTCTTGCCATTTTCCCCGATCGGCTTCGTTGCTGAAGTGTGTGGGTGCGTGAGAGTAGGCCGTTGTTGTTCGGAACTGTCCATCTTGGTCTCGGAGCTTTCCACAAAAACCTCTTGGCCGGAGTCAAGTTCGACGGCGGTGACTAATTCGTCGTTGACTTTGATGAGCGGATTGTCCAGTGTAGGGGCTAGTTTCTCTGGCGTCTGCTCCAATCTGGTGCGAATCTGCAAGGCCTCGTCGACTTTGTCTGGTTTCGAGGCCTTTTCCTCCGACTCCATGCGAGGGATCTTGGTCTTGGTAGAGGGGATTTGAGTGCTCTCCACGGCTTGCGGACTCCATAGTCGGTTCTCCAACGCCGCCGTCCATCCGGCCCGTCGGGCAATTTCCTCAACGATCAAGTCACACTCACCCAGGAGTTCTATATCAACCTTTACTCCTTCCCGTTGGCATCGATCTTTGCTGATCCAGATTTGCGGTACGGTAGGTGGTACGGCCAGGAGCATATCATTGACTGGCGCGACTTTGAGGGACGTGCCGATGATAACTAGCAGGTCCACTTTGGTCTTGTCGATGTTTAGTCGAGGAGCGTAGGACTGCGAGATATGTTCTCCGAAGAAGGTCATGTCTGGCTTGAGCAACCCTTTCGGAAAAGGTCTACGGCTCTCCTCCATGTCAGAATCAGAATCCTCAAGTTCGTCTCGCTTTCGTTTTCTCTTCCCGCTTCGCCCTCTTTGTTTTGCCCCTTTTTTGTCAACTTCAAGTGAGCATTTGCAAAAAGGAATGTTGCCTTGTCGTACCACGGCCATGTATTTTCTGGCCGAAACCCTCTTACCACAACTCATACAGGATGCGGTGGATAACGTCCCGTGACATTGTATGAGCTTGTCTGAAGCCACGCCAGCCGCGATTTCCAACCCGTCGATATTTTGGGTGTAATTGGTGAGAAGTTTTCCTCTGGCCTGAAGCAAGGCGATAAATGCATGGGTTGCACTGTACCTGGGAACTAGTGGAACTTCAGAGGAAACGCTGTCTTTTTCGGCTCCATTGGCTGGAACGAGACCTTGCATTTTAGGAAACACTTTTGCAGCCTGTTTGAAGAATTCACCCGGATCCATCTTGAAGTTGTCAATGTGGAAAAGCTCTTGGGGGTCGTCATATTTCGAATCAACCAGGAGATTGTAGACACCATTTGTCGAGCGGAAGTCCGGAACGCCTAGCGAGGTCGAGATTCCTGCCCCGCTCAAAATGATGATGTTCTTTGAGCGTCTGAAAAGCTGAACAGCATGGTCGAAGGTGTAGTACTCGTTTAGGCGAGGCCGGATCTGTGAGATGTTCTTCGCTGGCGATGACAGACGTCGAGGTGGTAGCGATGAGGCCCTCTCTGCGCTTAGTTCAAGTAGTCGCTGTAGTTTGTTAGGCGATGGCCTTGACGCGGAAACATTGGAATCCACGTCGGAATCTTGCTGTCGACCAGCAGGTGAATGTGGTGCCGAATATGACATGATGATACCCAAGCGGAGGCCTTGGGACTAGGATGCCTGGTGGGTTCGATGTAGTACCGGTAGTCGCGATGGTGTACAGTGTGCTTCAGGACACACGTTGAGACAGAGGAATGGATTCATCATATCAGAAATATAACGACTCGGCGGTTTGTACTCGGATCTCGTGTTTGCCGACCCTGGGCTCTGTGGTATGATGTGGAAGACGCAGAGCGAGGTCGAGTCATATCCAGGGATTGGGGGCTGTAAGTTTAAGGGTGATCAAAGCGACGCAATACACTCGATATGGGCTCTAGGGGAAAGCGTCCGTCTGGGTGTCTGTTGAAGCCAGGGGTTGTAACTTCGTTTGACTGCTGCCGTGTTGCTCCTGAAGTCCTGAGGCTGTGCAGGCTGTGCAGGTTGTGCATCCCTCGATTCGTGTGTCTGGCAAAAACGGGCTGAGCTGGGCTGACGAGTAAGTGCCCAATGACATCATTCGCCTCAAAGTCCCGTGACCGCGTTCCAGACGCGTGTTGGGCCGCGTCGACCAGGAGGATCCATGACCAAAGCAACTTCGTCCACCTCAACCATTGAATGTTATCGTCTTGGATCTGGATTTGATAATTGCTGCAACACCTCACCGCTTCCTTGCTCATCACCCCGGCCATGTGTTGTCAACCACATTCGCCTCAGAAGTATGCCGTTCTGTCCCCTCACCACCTCTTCTCAACCGCCAAAGAAAAACAAAGCGCATGCACTCAATAAAAGTCTGACTGCGGCACAACAAGACAAGGAAAACCAGACTTCGGCACAACACCACCGGCTCGACGGATGCAGTCAAGATGAGCACAACTTTGATGAAAGCAGCACTCCCGAACGAAACGTTCCCCAGACGCCTGCCGTCCGGATCCCGTTTGAAGACCTCATTGCGAACACTGAAGATGCTTTCAATTGTGCACCACCACTGGCCACACCAGGAGATCACGTATTATGGGATCCTCATAGCTCAAACATGTCAGGGCCCGGGGCAGGGACGCAAAGAAGCAGGAAACGTGCCCATAGTTCCTCCCCAGCGTCATCACAGCAACTTTCTGCACAGAAGGACACTTTGAACCTCGATACTTTGAACAAATCCCTTCGAACTCCAAACAATGACCCCACTCAAGATCTCTGGAACAGATACACCACTACGAATGCTCCCAAAAGTAACCAAGATGGGCAGGCAATGGCGAACTACGGTCACCTCATCCCTTCGTCGCCTCAAACACCCAGCACTACTAGCAAGGATGGCAGCCTTCGCCGAACACATAGCTGCGGAGTCGAATGGCCAACATCAAAAGCAAAGCGCCGGAGGATTGATGCCAACCTCAATCATGGCCGCACAAAACAGCTGTTTGCAGCGTCGCGTCAAGATATCCTCCGTCGCGATCTGTCCAACAATACTCGGGTTGGTCTACTCTTGGAAAAGATCCAAGAAAGCTTGACCAAGAAGGCTATTCCAGCAGAGAAGAGTCCTTCAAGTTCTTCGCCTTTGCCAGATTTGGTGAGACGTTCGGAGGCTTTAGTGTCGCCAACGCGACCCCGGAGTCAAGGATGGACACGGCAAGGCAAACAGATCCAAGAGGATCCTCCCCCTACCCTGGCATCCACTGCGAAATCCCAGACGGATGCTCAGATGGCGAAGTCCTTCACTTTGGAATTCGAAGACGATGGTCTCGATCTTGAGGCATTCGAAGATCTAGAGCAAGCACTCGAGCGCGCAGCAGAGACGGAAATTTGCATTGCAAGGGACGAGCCTAACTTTGGATCTTCGAATGCGTCGGACCACCGCCATGAAGCCAGCACAAATTCGAAGAGGTTGTCAGATGAATCTAATGTTAAGGAGGCTCCCGAGGAGTTTGACGACGATTTTGACGATGACGACGAAGATCTTATGAATGAAATGATCGGTCTTGCCGCTCAGTATGACTCGCAGGACAAGTCTGCAGCTGAGAAACAGCCGACCGCAGTAGCTTCTGCGCATGCTCCCAAGCGCCTAGAAACGCTCGATGAATTTGATGACGCTTTCGATGACGACGACGATGATTTATGGAAAGATATCGCTAATGCAACCTCGGACACTGTGGGAGAAGGCAGACCAGCTGGCTCGGTGGGTTCTGGACTAAAGCTAATCTAATGAGAATTTGCTGATAGAGTATATAGAACATTGTGGACAACAGAGCCATCAAACGTTACCTTGTCATCGACGTGTTTGATAGTGTTTACGAGTACAAGCCTGGACGTAAACGACCAGAAAAAGTGTGCAAACCTTTTGCCCTATACCCGATCCGTTTCTGACCTGTTGCAGATGCTCTCCGTCAAGGATGACAAGACCGGCATGCTCTACATAGTCTGCCTGCGAGATTCTTGGTATGATACTCGATGCACCAAAGGCTCATATGTCCACATCATTGGAAACTTCGATCGCAGAGGGCAGTGCATCGTCAACGACGCCGAAAACATGATAATCCTCCACCCGGATCATCTAATCTCTTCGACGGTCGTAGGTGATTCTTTCACGTGCATGCGAAGAGCTGTGCTGCAAGACAGAGTCAAAGCAACCGGGGCAGCTACCCAACCACAAGTCTATGGCCATATTCTGCACGAAGTCTTTGGACAGGCGCTCCGTATCAACAAGTGGGACATTGATACATTCAGAGCTATCATCGCCAAGATCCTGCCAACTTATCTTGAATCGCTCTACGAGATTAATGTCCAGGTGCAAGACGCCACTGAATATCTGCTGGGGAAAGCACCCGAGCTGATGGCCTGGGCGAGTGTCTTTGTGGGCGACACATTATCTGCTGATGCTGTAGCTCGTGACCGCCATGGCTTGCTCGTACCAACCACAATCAACAAACTGCTCGAACTAGAAGAACACATCTGGTCGCCTATGTACGGTCTCAAGGGCAACATCGATGCAACCGTACAAGTCCAAATGAAGCTACCAGAAGACTCTTCCCCGAGAACGTTGCTGGTCCCCTTTGAGCTGAAGACCGGCAAGAGAGATAACGTTGAACAGCACCGGGTCCAAACAGCTTTGTACACTTTACTGCTCTCCGACAGATACGACGTCAATGTCACCTGTGGCATCCTGTATTATTTGGAGTCTTCAAAAACATTCCGTGTGGAAGGCATCAGAAATGAGCTTCGGCACATGGTCATTGAGCGGAACGAACTTGCTTGTTACGTTCACGACAAGTTGGCGTTACCCCCAATGATCAAAAAGGAACATCTCTGTAAGAATTGCTATTCCAAACCTGCTTGCTTCATCTATCATAAGCTCTCAGAAGGTGGTGATGGTGCTACAAGTGGGCTTGGTGAGATATTCAATGAGGTGGTTGACCACCTTTCGCCCGACCACCAGGCATTTTTCAGAAAGTGGGACGACTTGCTCACACAGGAAGAACGTGACAGCATGAAATTTCGCAGAGAGTTATGGACGATGCTGAGCTCGGAGCGCGAGGCTGTTGGGCGGTGCTTTTCGGAAGTTGTGTTACAGCCAGGATCAGGTTTTGAAAAGCCTGGGAGCTCAAAGATCAACAAATTCGAGTACACGTTTGTCAAGCACAAACCTCGTCCTGGATTCTCGTTCTCGGAATCCCAGATCACCACAGGTGATCCCATTGTGATATCAGACGAAAGCGGTCACTTCAACTTTGCTGCAGGCTTCGTTACCAACGTACGCCCTACACGAGTTGTAGTAGCGGTAGATCGAAGACTTCAGCATTCGAGACGCACATTGGAAGGATTTGACCCAGTTAAGAACCAGGTCTTCTCTGGTGTTAGCGCACCCGAGATCGAGGATACGCCTCCGGACGACTTACCATTTCTCTATCGGATCGACAAGGACGAATTTGCAAACGGAATGGCAACGGCTCGCAACAACATCATCCGTATGATGGAGAAAGACCTTTGGATAGCTCGTGAACTCCGACATTTAATCATTGATAACAAGCCTCCCGAATTCAAAGTCACTTCTACAGCGTATACGCTGACCGGAACATCGTCTCAGTCGAGTTTGAATGTCGACCAACGTCGCGCGATTGAGAAGGTGATGAGTGCGAAAGACTATGCACTCATACTGGGAATGCCTGGAACAGGCAAGACAACCACCATCGCTCATATCATCCGTGCTTTGGTCGCACAGGGGAAATCGGTTGTTCTCGCTTCTTACACTCATACAGCTGTCGACAATATCTTGTTGAAAATCAAGGATGACAAGATTCCAATACTACGCATTGGTGCTGTCAATAAAGTGCATCCTGATATCCAGAAATTCGCACACATCTCCGGAGTACCCAAGCATACAATGGAAGACTTAAAGGATTCCTGGGAAAACACCAAAGTCGTCGCAACGACCTGCCTCGGAGTCAATCATGGCATCTTCAATGCTCGCACTTTCGACTATTGTATCGTTGACGAGGCTTCTCAGATTACGTTGCCGGTCTGTCTAGGCCCAATCAGAATGGCCCGTACATTCATCCTTGTTGGGGACCACTACCAGTTACCACCGTTGGTGCAGAACAAACAAGCTCTAGAAGGTGGCCTGGATGTCAGCCTCTTCAAGCTTTTGTCGGATGCGCAACCCGGGTCAGTCGTGAATTTAGAACACCAGTATCGAATGGCAGAAGACATCATGCTATTGTCGAAAGAGCTTGTGTACATCGGCCGGATCAAGTGTGGTAACGAGGCGGTTGCGAATCAAACTTTGCACATTCCTGGTTTGGAAGCAGGGCTCGCTCTGCACCATCATACTGCTTCGACCGCGGTCAGGTCTTCCCAGGATCTCTGTTTATCTGACGGTAGCTGTTGGCTTCGACGGGCGCTCTTACCTTCATCACGGTGCTTGTTTCTCAATACGGACACCGTCGTTTCACCCGAGTCAGGACAGGAGACCGTGTCCGGAGCACGTATCACGAACGCATGTGAATCCAAATTGACTGCTCAGTTGGTGGCCACACTTATTGACTCAGGTATCTCTCCTCGGGCTATAGGTGTCATTACCTTTTATCGATCCCAGCTTGCTTTGATCCGGTCAGACGTTAAAGCTGCTACTGGATCGGTAGCCGCAGGAGAAGTGGAAATGCATACTGCAGACAAATATCAGGGTCGGGACAAAGAAGTCATTATCCTCAGTTGCGTGAGAAGTAACAAGAACAACCATGTTGGGGATCTGCTGAAAGACTGGCGGAGAGTGAATGTGGCTGTTACTCGCGCTCGGAGTAAGCTGCTAATTCTCGGCAGCAGGCAGACACTGGGCAGCAGTGATGTTCCAATTCTTCAGGGCCTCGTCAGGATTATGTCCGAAAAAGGCTGGGTTTTGAATTTACCTGTGGGTGCCGCTCGGTCGCATTTATTTGAGACCGTGTCGGGTCCTACGCAAAGAAGCACCTTTGCATCCGGAGATAAAGTGCCTTCTCCACCAATGTCGTCTAGCACCACAAAGAAGAAGCCTCCTCTGGGAGCTGTGACGGCAAATGGCAGTCCTAAGAAGCACAACACTTTCAGGAAGCCGGCAAAAGTGGTTCGTGGAAGTACAGTTGTGGGCGAGATCGAAAAGGTTCTGGCCACGACGCCGGTCACGCAGGATATAATGAACGAGCTCGATGGTGGTGGCTTAGCGGGAAAGGAGAATCACAATCTGATTGTGGATTTGACAGATGACATCGACATGGATATGGATGCAGATTTTGACCCGACCGATTTTGGAGTATATTGATATAGAGAGATTAACGAGTGCCTGGGATCATGCCGAACAGACCACCGGCGGGGATGTTTATAAGAAGAAATTCAGGACACCAACCTATCACAGATTTCCTCGTCCACCTGCAAGCGGGCAACTAACTAGAAGGGTGGTCCTTATTGTAAAGAGAGGTTCCCAGGAGCTAAATTGACACACAGATCAGTCACAACTTGCTCACACGGTGGGCGTATCTTCTAGACTACCAATTGAAGTGTGGGCCGTAGTCACGGACACTCGCGAGACTCTGCTAAATATAGAGTTGCAACGGCTATAAATCAAAGGACAGGTTTGGCAAAGTTTACAAAGTCTAATAAAGTCCAGATTCGGCCTCGAGGCGTGTTGAAAGGGCAGTGCATAGAAAGCCTTTGCCGCCCATGATTTCATTAATTAAAACAAGAATGGAATAATGGTCATCTTCAGTTTCGACTTTGAGTCACTCGTCTTCCTTGAACAAGGGAGTGTGTAGCTTCGCTTCCGATACAAGTCTTGCGACGACATGGCGATGCTCACATCAACCTCGGCAATGTCGGTCCTGGCCTCCAACGTCTCGCTAGGAGCCAGTTATCAGCTTCAGGTCATTGGGTACGTTGGCTGTAAATTTTAAGCTCTTTTCTGATGGACTGCACTGACGATGGCAAAGGGGGAACACCATGATTCACGGGACCGCTCTGTGCGAGATGCCAGAAAGACACCTTGCCACATGCTCGACGCACGGCTTGGTCCCATGTCGTGCGGGATTCATCGAGCGTGCTGGGTCGCGGTATCTGGCACTACGAGACTCGACTGCCGAAGACGATGCGCGCTACTGTACACTACGAGGCCCTGTCGGCAAGGGCGAATATCAGATCGCAATCGAGTCGCAGCTGGAGAGGAGCTCAGCCCTGATCGGGGTGAGCGTCTTTTCGTCTGGTTGGATCGTCGTGGAAGACCATGGGCGGAACTTGTTAAGGTTTGACAAGGACCTAAATTCGAGTAGATGGATTGCGGTACCGGACGCGGACTCTGGTGCTTGGGTACCGTGGTGGTATGCCCCCAGTGCAGCGAACCTGGAAGATTTTGACAACTATGTCACCATTGATATCGAGCTGGTGGAGGTGTCTCAGTGAGTCCCACCACGACACTGTCAGTAAGACCGAGGTGTGGTATTGTTCAGAGGATGGTATGATTTCCAGGAAGAATATCTAGGATATGGTCTTTCGATATCAACCAGCGTAAAGTTAATCGAGGCCCAATGGACGCTCCTCCTCGTCGTCGTCATTACTATCGTTGTCGTCTGCCGCGGTGATCGGATAATTGGCCTCGATATATGCGTCGACAACGCCGGGAGACAAGACGTGTTTGGGAGGATTCTCTCTCCCGTCATAGAAGGTCTCCTTCGAGTCTTCCGGAACGCGGGGGTCTTGCCAGGTCGTGTACTGCTCGAGTGAAGCTAAATTGGCAAAGTAGGGCTCGCCGGCGGTCTTGTGCGATTTCCACCCCGGCGGCAACTGTCCGAAGGTGTTCGAAATGAGCTCAAAGCACAAGATTACCGCCGCATTCCTTTTATACGGTGTGTTCGACTTCAGCGTTGGAAGGTGGGAGGCTTTGACGGCGAGATTCCAGATCCGTTTTGACTTCAATGGAGTACAATATCGCAAAAGTAACCTGACTATCCAGTGATGTCCCTTTAATGCCGCGACGTACAGAACGCTCAGTCCCGCTCTGTATGGTTCGAGTGTCTTTAAAAGATATTTGCCAAGGGCGTATCTGGACCTGCTATGATAGCCGCAAAGATACTCCTGCGCCTTCTCTAGATCCAGATCCAGATCCAGGAATTTTAGCTCCGGGTCGACGCCGGCTTCAAGAAAGGTCTCGACAAGGTCATAGTTTTCGGCCTCAATGGCAATACGGAAACAGGCTTGTACATTCTTCGAGGAGCGATCCAAGCCTGCTTTGAAGAGTACTTGCGCAACTTCTGAATGGCCCGCCTCGACAGCAACCTGCAGCGGACTTTTGAAGCGGCCAGCTAGTTGGACTTTCACAGGTATAGAGTGCCAGACACCTCGGCGGATGGCGTCAAAGTCTTCCGGGGACCACTTGCTGTGTTGCGTCCCACATATCAGATCTTGGAGAATCGCAGGTTCATACCAACCGACGACTTCAGTGACATCCAAGTAAGGCTTCCTTTCATGATCAAAAACACGGGCCTTTTTGGTTCCTGCTCGTAGCTCCCACTTGTCTGTTAGTCGAGACGATAAACCCGGCCCGGGTGTAACAACTGCGTCAATTGAATCAACCAAGCTGAACACAGTTGCCTTACGCGAGGTTGACACCCCGTCCACAATATTGCCTGCCCCGAATTGTAGCGTCAGGTTGTTAATCACCCATTCCGGCGCACTCTCCTGACCAGAGGTATACAAAGTGTAAGATGGCTTGCCATTCACACTGTTTGGAGTTGGCTCAGATGCACCCTGTTGAATTGCTGGGAACGAAAACTGGAGCTGCGCTCCTCTCTCCCGGCTGACGTCGGTGTATACCCATCCGAATTCCTTCTTGGCACCCGCTCGCCTTACGACTTTTATGGTATCGGACCACTCTGTCCCAAATGACCTGTCTTGATCGACCCCAATCAGCTTCGCGCCGTAAAGAGTGTCTAGAGTCTCTGCATAACCCCGCTGAGCAACAAGTAGGGCATATACTAAAGGTATAGCAAACTCATCTTGGGCCGTGCCTAAGGTATAGCGGAGGATGTCCGTGTGGCCATTTAGTACGCTGGCGTAGATAGCGCGTGTCCGCAGGTCGTGTAACACTTCGTTGCTTCCACCTTGATTCAGCCTCTGAGCCTTTTCAGCTCGTGAGAAGATCAACTGGACGACTCCAAGATGACCGTTTGCTGCAGCCAGTGATACGAGAGTGCTCAGGCGCTGTGCGTCTGGGAACCGGGACGTTGCCTTCCAATGTACGTGCAAGAATGTCCATAGGCCAAGTGTCGCACATTTGTCTTCAAGCTGGTGCTGACTTCGTAGTAATAAAGATGGCGGGTGATTCCCGAACTCGTCGCCCGGTGACATTACTAGGGGATATGCAGCGAGATCGGTTTTGACTCGAAGATACTCGAACCACGCCTCACCTTCCTTTGAAGTCAAGAATTCCTCGACTGCAGTTTTGGTCTCGTCTTCGCAAGTGTCTAGCTCGCGGAAGTGTCGAACCCAGAACTCGCGAGCATAGCTGTCAAAGCCGGCATTTGAGGCTGCGTGCTCGTCGATGAAGCCATGAGCAGCGCCACCGAGAGGCGCCGTTCGAGTCATCCTCCTCTTGGAGCGCTTACAAAGGACCGAAAGAGAGGCCAGCGTAAGTGAGGTATGTCCGCGGGACTTGTCGAACTCGAAATCCGTGTTAGCCATGTCCATCAAATAGTCCTTCGCCGTCAGGTGCACGAAACGCACAACACCGTCGCGGACTTCTAGCAGCCAGTTGCATTGTTGCAATAAGTCGTCTGCCAATGGCCGTCGATGATATTTTAGACCTATTCTACTGTCAAGTCTTGACGGCGTAGGCAACGCATGGTCCAAGACAGTATCAAGCTCGTCTAAAGTGAGAGGTCTGTACGTTACACATAGAATCGACAGCATCAATCTGAGAGGCTCAAAACCACGAAGATCACCATCAGTTTGTACTGGCTTGTCTCTGCTGGCAAAGGATGATGGACCCAAAATCTGTTGCAAGATTCGAGAATACTGCGAATCGGGTCGACCTAATTCTGAGTCATCCAGAATACTCTGGTTGAGAGGTCGCTGCTTGAGCTTCCGAATGGCATGAGCGACCCACAGAAAGGAGTCTTCCGCTCTCTCAACAAGAAAACTGACTGTTGCAGCCCGCTCTCTTGCTTGCTGTTTCGATAATGCGGATTCTGGAAGGGCGGTCTGAACAGCTGAGGGGAACAAGGCATCCACTTTATATCGGATAAAAGTCTTCACTCCAGCTGAGATGTACTCTTTATGTTTCGTGTCTTCAAGATCGATTGCAAGTGCTTCGATCCTCACGGTTGTTGGCAAGACTGGTGGTGACCGGCTAGTGCAGATCCATTTCACCCTCGAGCAAGCAGGGTCTGTAGTCAGCTTCCGCAGGACGTCGTATATGGACGCTTGATCCTCAAACTCATCCACAGCATCAAGTAAAAAATAGCCATTTCCCGGAACCTTAGAAAGCAGTTTCCGGAGCATGCGCAATAGAGTTTCTTCGACAAATCGCGAGGTAAACATAGTTCGTCCATCATAGGCGTATTCATGCATGCTAAGACCTTTCATTGTGTGATGAATAGTCTGGTCCTGGAATTCGTGACGCAGGAGTTGCTTAATGCAGGATTTAAGGAATGAGGCTGTCGATCTTTGTTCCGGAACCTGGCTATCGCAGAAAAAGTATCCAACAAAGGAATGTGAATCAAGAGGCACAAGCGATCGCAGCCGCAACGTCAGGTAAACAAGGTCCATTGTTTTGCCTTTTCCAGGTTTGCCATAGACCCAGAGACATTGAAACCTCGAGCTTCTGCAAAATTCTTGGAAGGCCGAATCAATCCATCGACAAGATTCCTCGACAAGATCGCCTTTCACCCGAAGGATTGAGGCGCGGACGTCCTCTGGATGAGAAGTGCCAAGTTCATTTAGCAGATTCCGATAGTCTTCTGGACTTGAAAGTCAGGTAAGGAGCTCGACGAAGGACGTTTGTATGACCGATAAATTAATACCTTCGAGACCTGGTTTGCATGCACCCAAGTTAGTCCACCTGGCTCATGACATTTCATGGTCACATCCCACCCACCAGGACCTTCCGAACCCAACAAATGCACATTCGAATGATTGACATTGAGATTGAGATCTCCAAACACGCTGCGAGCATTGCCACTGGCAGAGGCGTTCCCATACTTGTGCCCCCGTACGTGTTGTTCTTCATCGTTTCGGGGCGGAGTCATAGAAGTGTTGAACATCGTTAATGGTTCATGTGTTGTATAATGATGGAGATATGATCATCAATGCCGAAAGATGCTAGAGAGGCCGTCGGGCTGGATGCGCAATGTTTATCTTGATCCGCAGGCTCGCACCGCCCACAAGGCTGATGTCGCAAGCTTGACGCCGCCCCTGACGCGAGCAGGACCGGTCTGGAGCAGTTGTGACCCCATTGGAGGAGCACTGGGTGATCCGAGTGATCTGAGAGACGGTCAGACTTGTGGGCCGGTTAGCCCTTCACAGCCACCCAATGGTTAAATTTGTTTGCCCAAATCCCACCTCGCGATCACGGCGCTACATGCTACTGTACGTTCCTTCAGAGTGTCGCGCACCCCGATACTAACTAGTTGACTAGGCCCCGCGAATCGGGCTTGCGGGAGGCTCGTTTGGAGACAGACCATTCCGTCTATAACTTGGTTTGAGGGAGCAAATGGACGCACCACAAATCTGCGCCTTTTCCTTATCCGCTGGGCACTAAACAGGCTACAACAAAGGGGAGAGTCGTCGCAGCAGCTCTGAAGCTGAAATAGGGATAAAAGAGCTCAAGACCTGTGCCCGCCTTCGGCAGAGTTCACATATTGTGCTTGTGTCTGCCCCTATTCTATGGATCCTGCTACAGCAATTTCCACCGCCGCTGCTGTAATCGACCTTGTGATCTTTGGGTACAAAGTCATTGCATGTGCTGTCGAGCTCAGAAGTTCCGCCCAAGGAGCCCTGGAAGAGAACATCGACCGAGAGACTATTGCCCGTGACATCCAGTATGTCCTTGGAAACTTGCACGGTTCAAACGAAGCGGACGGAGACCGGGAACTCGAAGACCTGAGACAAAGAGCGCTGAAAGTCGCCACAGAGCTCTCGATAGAACTCAATAAACTCAAGGTGACGCCTAATGGGTCGAAACAGGAAGCGCTTAAGAAGGCTCTTCGTAGTCTATGGAAGAGGAAAGATATCTTGAATTTGGAGGATCGATTGAGGGGCTTGAGCCAGGAGATCAACCTTCACCTCACTACTGACGCAAAGTAAGTGTTTTGCTGTACTGACACAGACTTATATGATAAGCCTGACGACGTCAATATAGTAAGCTGCTCAATGAGATGACCGAAGCTCAACGAAGCCAAGTGACGAAAATACTCGATGAAATCGAACAACAGTCTAAGGAGCTCCGTGCTCAGCTGATTGACCAGCAAGCAAAAAATCGAGAAGAGACTCACTTATTACGCCAGTCGGTCGACGCAGTCAAGGAAGAAACCGCCAGTATCCGCGAGAGTCTCGACAAAGTAGTCGACGGGTCTCAGGGAACCAAAATCATCCTCGAACAAATATTAGAGGCTGGCGCAGATCTACAAGATCGCTTCAAAAGGGTTGAAGAACTGCTTGCACAACCAGAGCCGAACCAGTCTGAGCTCACCACCGGAGCAGTTAATCAGGTCTTTGAAGCTCTTGCATGGTACTGCAACAGAAAGACAGCAGCGGACGTGGTAAGTATTCTCAGTCGAGTTAGAATCCCATGATCACGGGCAATGTTAACATTTGGAATCAGCTATTGCAGCAAAAGTCGGACGAGACTGCATCCGCGTTCCCCGTCACAGGCCATGTGTACACTGCCAGTGTTCAGGTACGTGGTAGAGGGAAGCTAGTGCAAGGCAATATTGGTCCTGCACAAAAGCACGACGCCAAGCATACGTTTGGAGGCAGCATGAATGTAACGGACGATGCGAAGGTCGTGAGTGGGAACATCTCCGAGCTGGGCTTTGCGGCAAGTTTCCTCTCATGAAGAGATTTGCTTCGTGATAAATTGGTGAAGAGAACGCATATGCTTCCCTGAACTCGTCGCTTTATGAACCCTTTTTACGCTTTCTGCTCTCGGGGAGCAATCCCCCTGAGGTTAGTGTTGTGCTTGGAATCCATCATCCCGGTCCTTCTGTCCGGCTCTCCATGTGCTTTGGACACCATTCTCCACATTTTAAAGGGTTATTTGGCGGCGCCGTTTGCGCTGGTCTCACCAACGACATTATCGAAGCAGACGATATTAAAACACTGAACTAAAGCCCACTCAAAGGCAGGTGAAGCATTCAGAGATGCAATTGCAAAACTTCCTCGATCACCTCTTGATCCTGTGTTCAATTCGATCCGACGGAACCAAACACACGGTGCGGACGTCGCTCTGGAGTCAGACTTGAGTGGAAGTCTTCACAATGTTCGTGTTTCTGTTGCAAACTCTTCCAAATTGTTCATCGGGATTGTCGTGAGTGTCCGAACCAAGGTTGGGAAACAGCCTAAGGATCTTGAGGAGAGAGCGCTGCCGCAAACCCTGCCAGTCTTCAGCGCGATCCGGAAAGGGCTCAGCCTTGCCGACCGAGGCTCACCAGGCTGGCCTAGAAGAGGCTCACCAGGCTGGCCTAGAAGAGGCCTCAGTTAAGATAGCAGAAATCTGGGTGCTACGTGTTTGGCTAGGCTATTAAATATCATCTCATACGGAGTACACTTTCATACTTCCGTCTCGGTTGCCAACTACAGCGGAAGGCTGGCACGTTGTCCGCACATCTCCGCCAGCCACGAGATAGCGAGAAATGGCCCAGGCCCCCCCAAGCCGGGATGGCGCTTTCTAGCGTCAACCCTTCGATATCTAGACTTCAGCTCTCTCGACGGCAAACTCCTCGAGAGGATATAGCCACATGCCGAGGATGTCTTTAATGGTGATACCAAGTCCCCAGACCGCCTGGAGACGGTGCTCCGCAGAGGTAGGTAGGTGCAGGAATTCCGGGACCCAGAGATCTCTGCTCGAACACGCGTTGTTTCGAGAAGCATCAAAATGATCATGGCATCGACGGAAGAGTCCAAATTCCAGTTCCAAGACAGACCTGTCGACCAGGGGCGGGAAATCAGAGCCCTCATCATCGGAGCCGGGGTGTCTGGAATTGGCACATATATTCGCTTGAGGCAGTATGTTGCCAACCTCAAAATCACAATCGTGGAGAAGAATCCTTCACTTGGTGGCACCTGGTACGTAGCATCCCTAGCGTCCTTGCTGTGGGACAAATAGCCCTTATCCTGTATGGGCTATCGACCTTGAAAAGACACCATCCTGACGAGGGGTCAAGGTACGAAAACCGCTATCCTGGAGTTGCGTGTGACATTCCGTCCGCGGTATACCAATACACATTCGAACCCAACACGCAGTGGTCCAAGTATTTCTCTCCAGGGGCCGAGATCCAGGAGTACGTGAAAGGGGTAGCGAAGAAGTACGGCGTGTCTGAGAAGGTCCAGTACAACACGAGAGTCACGGGAGCAACCTGGGACCAAGATGCCGGCGTATGGCATGTCGAGCTGGAAACATGCGGTGCCGACGGTGTCAAGTCCCGGCAAAACATCGAGACCGAAGTGGTGATCAGTGCGACGGGCTTGCTCAACAAGTGGAAGTGGCCGACCATCGCCGGCCTTCACGACTTCAAAGGCAAGCTGCTTCACTCGGCGGACTGGGACAGTTCATGGTAAGCCGTGTACATCGACGAAACTTGAGTGAGATCCCCTTGGTTTTTATTCTTCTGACACGCGACTGACAGGGACTGGACGGATCAGAAAGTCGCCTTGATCGGCTGCGGCTCGTCGGCGATCCAAATTCTTCCTAAACTGCAAGCAAAAGCAGCCGCCGTGTACAATTTTGCGCGCGGCGGAACATGGATCAGCCAGCCGTTCGGTGGAAGCTTCACGACCGACACCATTGCGAAGAGCGACGAGCCCGGGAACTATACCTACACGGCCGAGGAACTGCGGAGGTTCGCCAACGACAAGGAATACTACAAGGCGTTCCGCAAGTCGATGGAGCGGTTCATCAACATGGACTACCCGTGCTTGTTCCCCGGGTCGCCCGAGGAGGTGGCCGGCACCGAAGCCATCATGACCAACATGAAGACGAAGCTGGCCAGCAAGCCCGAAGTGTTCGCGGCGCTGAAGCCCAAGTTTGTCCCCGGGTGCAGGAGATTGACTCCTGGGCCGGGCTACCTCGAGGCGCTGACCCAGGATAATGTGGACTTTATAACCACGCCGATTGAGAAAGTGACCGAGAATGTACGTCCAGTTGTGTTTTGTCGTACCTGGTTTCGCGCATGTTCTTGTTTTTCTTTCCGGTACACACACTCTCTCACTCTTTCTCTCGCTCCCTCCTACACAAACACATCTTTACAAGCTGACACGCATCTAATCTCATTCCACAGGGCATCTTGACTTCGGACGGGAAAGAGTACCAAGTCGATGCGATCGCCTGTGCCACGGGATTCGACACGTCCTTCATGCCCCAGTTCCCCATCGTAGGACGCGAGGGCACCTCTATCAGCGACGCGTGGTCGCATCACGCATCGGCGTACATGTCCCATTCCGTGCCCGGGTTTCCCAACTACTTCTTCATAGGCGGGCCCAACTCCGCCACGGGCGGTGGGAGCTTGCTCATCATCTTCGAGAGCATCATCGGGTACGTCGTCAAGGCGGTCCAGAAGCTGTCGCGCGAACACCTGCGCAGCATCGAAGTCAAGCCCTCGGCCCTAGACAGCTGGAACAGCTTCCTCGACGCCTACTTCCCGCTCACCGTGCACGTCGACGACTGCACGAGCTGGTACAAGGTCAACGGCAAGATCACGGGTCTGTGGCCCGGGAGTAGTCTGCACGCTCGCGCCACCCTGGAGCACCCCAGGTGGGAGGACTACGAGTACGAGAGTCTCCGCGGACATGACTTGCTCGAGTGGCTGGGCAACGGGTGGACAGTGGCAGATAAGGAGAGGGGTGATCTCAGTTTCTATTTGGACCAGGTCGATTATCCACCCGTACCGGACCAGTGAGGTATCGGCGACATGGCATGAGGCCGACTACTTGGTGGAACGCGGTGTTAGATTAGATCTAGCTCATGGGCTCAATGTACTAGTGACAGTAGATAGAGGTGGATAGGTAGGTAGGTAGACAGCTACTAATATTGGTGTGGCTGTGCATTTGCGGTTAAAAGTAGTCTGGCAGCAAGGAGGCATGCACGCAAACCATGTATTCATGTATTATTACTTTGATGCGATTGAAGAAGTTCCAGACAGATGCTCCAACGATAATAGCTATGACAAGATTATATTTCACAAGGTAGATTTTTTATCTCCGGTAAGAGATTTAACATCTTGATTCACACACAAGCTCATTCGGCTATCATCCAAACATGTGCCATTTCTTCTGCTCCCAGATTCTCAGCGGCACGTAAATGACGGCGGTAGCTGCAAACGCGAGGATCCAGCTAATGTCCGTTCCGTATGGGCTGCTTCCAATGCCAGCGGCAATGGGTCCAACCCACCATGCCTGGGACATGCAGAGCAGAGAGAGCACGGTCCCGATGACCCAGGCGACCGACGCGGCGATACCGTACGGGAGCTTTGTCCGGTCATTCCAGGCATTCAGATCGTACTTGTACCCTTGTCTCCAGATCAAGTGCTCGACAATGATGATTGTCGAGAACGGCACAATCCAGTACGCACATATCAACAAGAAATTCTCCATGGCCTCCTCGAGATGGTCGCGGCCAGCCATGGCAGCCGCCAAGAATATCACGGACCCGATGAGGGACCAGACCAAGCGAGGCACAACCATGAGCTTCTGGGTGACCATCTGCACGCTCAGTCCGAGGGAATAGATGTTGATGGTGATGACGGCCACGCACGACAGGCCGAGGAGGACTTCGATGAGCTTGCCAAAGCCTCTTGCGCCCTTGCCGTACGCTCCAAAGGATGCGCCGATAAGCCCGCCAATGCCTCGGGCGTCATAAGCATCCGTGAAGTAGCTGTCACTGCTGACGCTGAGAGTGCCGACTGCAGCTCCGAGCAGTTCAACGAACAATTGGCTGGTGAAAAATCCGAGGAAGGCATAGGTGAATGATTTGCGATCACTTGTCGTTTCTCGCATGTAGACGCCATAATCTGCGGCGACGGGAAGCCACGCGACTTCGAAGCCGATGATGGCTGTACTGAAGGACAAGACGTTCGACGCTTCCAACGAGCCTGAGCCCATGGGGACGTTGATGAAGTGTTTGGCACCGAAGCCGGCCAAGATGATGAAGCAGATGAACATGACGATCCACGAATATCGGTCGTACAGATGGAGTATCTTGTACCCAAAGAGACCGAGTATGATGGCGCAGAGACCGATGATAAGAACGGCGACAGAAAGCGGTAGATCACCGTCACCAACGTCGTATAGGACGCTAGCTCCACTGATGGCGTTCACCATGGCCCAGCCAATCTGGTTGATGCAATTTAGGACCGCGAGAACCTTTGCAGGCCACCATCCAAAGCAATATCGAGGGATGATCATGGTTCTCAACCCCAGCTTCGGGCCGAAGCATGCAAGGAATGCTGGGACAGCTGCACTCAATAGGTTGAAGAAGAGGAGGCAGCAGAACGAGTCCCACCACCCAAGTCCAAAGAGCGTGGGACCGAGAAACCCGAGGGCGAGCGTGGCAGTATTACAGTTGGCCTAGACGCCGTTAGCAATGTTGCGACAACGGAGATGCCTGAGCACTTTGAGATAGGCCGTGCGTTTGGACTGCCCAGAGAGGTATGAAAAAGACCTACCGAAAAGAACACAGTGAAGAGGTCGCTCGGGTTTTGGTTCGTTCGCATCTCTTCTGGAATGCGCTCGATACCCAGCTCCTCGGCTCCAATGCTTCGAATCCATTCTCGCGACTTGAACCAGAACGACTTCTCATTCACTTCCCCTGCAGCGGCGTCGGTCGCAATGCCCGCGGCATCGACGGTGAGTTTGATCTCCTTTGACTCGTACTCGGAAGTCATGGCGACGAAACGTGTAACGGGTGACGCTCAAAGAATGAGAAGCACAGGCTCCGGATATGACTACCCACCATCTCCTCCTTACCGTCATATATATACGCCTCTTCGTTATCATAGCCCTTGATACCAAGCAAGACTGGGCGGAGGGTGCCAAGCACAGGAGTACTCCGCGCTCACTTGCTAGATCTGAGCCGTTCCTCGAGATAGGGGTGTCGCCGACGAATAGGCGCGGACTTGGTCCAGACCACAATGCTTCGCCCAGAGATAAGACGGCTCGGTCTCGAGGGCGAAATTGGCTTGTTTCGAGCCGTCCGCCGAATACCAAGAAATGCTAAAGTCGTAGAAGCGTTCCTCGGACCTCGTACCGCTAGGGTCCAGACACATTCATTGTGGCCTTTGCCAACTCAACACCTACAAAATGATGTTTGACCCCCTGTAGTCTAGAACATGTACGGCCAACTTGAAAGCTTGTTGTAGATATCGGCGAAGTCTGACGGGTCAAGACACAAACTCTAAGCGCCGATAATGAAGGTAAACTCGGTCTCGAATAGGAGATTTACCATAGGGGATCTTAGGAAGTCGAGGCCAAAACACAGAGTTTGCCCTTTGATGAGATAGCGAGGTCCTCCTTACTTCGGTTGTCCGGTGGACAAGCTTTGAAGGACAGCTGGTAAAGAACCCGGAGGTTTCCTCGCATCTGAGCAGGCATGAGAATGACTTACGGTGGCCGCAATCCTCCGTCCTGACAATGAAGGCCTCGTCCTGCGACTTGGTCCTCCGCCCCTGGTGCGGTCGACATGATGAAGTTGCGTGTTGCATCAAGGCATCCAACACATCCAGCAGAGAGGCTCTGCGACCGAATCGTCGGGACCAGACAGGCGGGGAGCTTCCAAGTGGATGCCCACTCCATCGATTGGCCACTTTGTCATTAGTCAGGAGTAGTCTGAAGTTTGATAAGACTCGAGTTGAAGCACTCGATTGCGGCGATCAGCGTCGGTGCCATATCGATCTGGTGTCTTCCAAGAATGCTCGATTTGTCCATAGCTGCGATAATGAAATATCTATGCAATACAGGCTCCGGAAAGGTGCATTCGGCGCACTCCTCATCTAGGGCATTTTGACCTCCCATATGCCTTCCAGCACGCGGGAGTCGAAGGGAACTCCAATCGGGAGTCGACGCAGCTTATGATATTCCCAGATGATATCTCTTTTCAAGACCTGGGGACAAGGAGGTGTCTCCAATTTACTCCAGACATGTAGCAGTCGGAGGATCATTTGGTTTGAGTCCAGCTTAGGCCCACCCCCAAGGCTTCTTCGATTCTCGCAACCGCCTTGGTGTTCTTCTCACCTAACCAGTGTATCTCAGCTCTATCCAGATCCTTTTCAATTTCCCAGCCCCTACCCCCTTCAATATAGATTGCAAGGCCTGTCAAAGTTCCCACGAACGGGCTTTGTGGTATGCTTGCTAGCGTCAAGACATACTCGGCCACCTCATGTGCCTCATTGACCGGTAGATCCCGTCCTCTCCAAAGATCGTACATGTGAGAAGCCATGTCTGTATTGATAAGGGATGGGCAGATTGTGTTGATCCTGATGCCGTATTCATGATCTAGCATCTTCCGTGTTGAACGCATGAGGCCAATCACGCCATGCTTACTTGGCTGATATATGAACAGACCAGCTTGTTCTTTGAAAGAGGCGATAGATCCAAGTAGGCAGATGGATTTGTCGTGCGCGCGAGTCTCGTTTCCTTGCCGGAGATATACCGTCGCGATGCGGGCGAAATAGCATAGACCGGTCAAATTCACATCCAATACCGTTGTCGAAGGAGGAATCTCCACGCTCTGGAGATCCAAGCCTGGTTCAAACCAATTCTGTCGCTCAGTAACCCCGGCAATCGAAAATGCATGGTCAACTCTACCATGTTTCTCATATGCTAGTTTAAACAGGGCAAGGTTGTCCTCGTATTTCCGAACATCGACATGCAAGCAGTACAAACTTGCGTGTGAAGGCTTCCCTCCCTTGAGCGTATCTACAAGGGATTGACCAGCTTTGTCGTCGATGTCTCCGAAGAAGGTGTGTGCACCATTTTCGTACAAATAGCGAACAACTGCCTCTCCAACGCCATGAGCACCTCCTAAATAAGCAGTGCAAGATTAGTTAGCGACTTCGAGAGCTCATCAACAGCGAGTGGCAAGTGACAGCGTCGTTCTCAGTCCAACTTACCTGTCAACACAACCACTTGACCCTCAAGATTCCTAAAAGAATCGGGGACTGGCTGGAACTTTGGCATTTCAGTCAAGGGCGTACTTCTAGGGAGGGAACAATGGTTCTCTGGATCACCACAACGGGGAGGAAAAGCTGGGGATGGTTAATACTGGGCCTTTTGCTAGCCAAGTCTATAGAAAGCCACGGAGTCTGCCGCAAGGCTGCTCTTCGGCGGTGATGACCGCAGTCTTGTATGGCTGTACGGGTCTCCGAGCACCGGTGTTTGGGCTTTGGACACTTGTAAACATGACCGGCAGATTAGGGGGGCGTGGCATGCGTCCATCCATAGTGCCACGATCGTTTTCGAAGGGGGGACAGAAAATCCACAATACGCACAGCTTTTTCTTACCAGAAGGGACGGAGGTAGAATTCACTAATTTCCGTGATTTGAGAGGGACTTACACAGTCATCTTCGTCCAACATTATCGAACGTCAGGGACGAGACTAATGAGGAGCTCAAACGATGTTGCTCGACTGTAATAAAGTGAATTGTAGAACTGCGAATCGAGGTACGGCAGAATAAAATGCGTCAGAGGTTTTAAAGCTCCACCATACTGGAGCTGTATCACGTGACAGCCAAGCGACAGCTTCAACTGGCCTATGAAGCCGACGTTGAATGCGTCTTCTTCGTATAGCGTTCACTGCTACAACACGAAAGACGGTGCTCAAAGGTTCACTTCTTCGCTGCTTTCCATAAGCTGCTCGCAAGGGAGCTCGTATCGTGGCCACAATGGCCACAAAACCCTTGAAAGATGTTGTCGCCGTTGGAAAGGTACCAACTCAGCTACACGAATTGCGCGAACCACTTCTAACAGGACTAGAAATATACCCAACAGAGCACAGGCATCTGGGAAACGATACGCAGATTCTTTGCAGTTGACCCGAATCGGAGCAATGGTGTTCCCGTCAAACACTTTCGAAACCCGCCGCCCGGAGGCCTCGATCCTACATCGTACGATGAAGCTGTGACAACGCCAGCTGCTGATATCGCAGACAACCCATATTGGAGAAGAGACGTCCGAAGAGCATATCCTAAATTGAGCACAGTCACACAGAGAGACGCCGTCGGTCTTTTAACGGTAGGAAGTGCCGCCAACCCAAGTCCCAAGTTATTGGCCGGAGAAGAGGGACAAAAGCAACTTGTTGCTGTCAAGCAGGAGGGCGAGAAAGGGCTTGCTGCGTATTTCGAATCGGAAAAGGGAGCAGCGGTCCTGGGAGAGAATGGATTACCACCGAACCCAGCCGCCTTTGGCAGGAAATCCGCCGTGAAATATGAGCTTGGTCCCCAAAGTTATGAAGAAAAGTATGATCTTCCGTTAGAAATTCGAGATATCAACCTTGCTAATTATGCCCACAGATATCCTTGCCGGACCTTTGTCTAATCGTCTCCGGAAACATTGACGTTTGTAAATAGCTTCACCAGAGTGTTAAAAAGCTGGGACAACATGGCACTATTGATTTACGCCTGCTTCTGATTGCCGTTGTTCTAGAAGTTCTTTTTCTCTTGCGGCTTCCTCTCCAATTGCCTTTTGACCCTTTCGTCGTTGTCGCTCCTCGAAGGCTTCTCTGCCCTTGAGAATGCGGCCGACAATCTCCTCTGCGTTGACATGAGCGTATGGATGAGCTTCAATTTGTCGAAGGATGCCCATTTTCTTTGCGTCTGTGTAAGGATCGAAACTCGAAGTCAGATACGACGTGGGGCCGTGGTAGACGGCGTCAACCTTTCCAAAGGGTATGCTCTCCAGATACGGTATTGAAGGAACGAATGGAGCGCCAAAGACAACTGCATGGATGTATTTGCATTGCAGCACACAAAGGCCACGCTCGAAGATGTTCATGATCGGGTAGTTGAACCCCTTCCAATGGTTGATAACGTCGTCATTGTGCACGCCTGCCACGACATATGCTTCACCCTTCTCTGCTTCATTGACACGCTTGAGGAACTCGATGTGGCCGGACGAAAATAGGTCAAAGCCGCCATCGACATAGACGATACGTTGACCAGGCTTTGGGCCGTTTCCAGAGACGATGTTCGAAAAGGTCCCAGCATCAATCGTCTCGTGTAAAGACTTGTCGTGACTAGCCTGAGCCCAATTCCAAACTTCACACCCCGGATTGAGGGCAGTCTCGTCGGTGGCATATTCTTTGATTTTCTGAAGCTTCTCAGCTCCATCATCGTTGCTCTTGAGCTCATCCATCAGTGACCTGATGAAATGCGTCTTGGTGCAAAGTAGCATTCTTCCAACAAGATCAGTTGTAGATATTCCCGCAGTCCTCTTGACCACCAGGAAGCGCCCTGCAGCCTTGACGAAGCGGTAGCAGTCTTCGCCACCAGCATCTGAAGTGATGTCGTCTCCGTGGACTACGTACCAACACCCATAGTGGGAGATCCATGGCAAGGATGTCACGTACGGTGCGTATGGAATCGACTTGGTAGCCCAGCGGCAAGCATCAACAGCAGCAACACTGGCAAGATCAGTCGACGAATTCAACGAGACAGCGGCGGACACACCGCTCATTCAAAGTCATAACCGTCGGGCCCTTGTTCACCAGGATTTCTTCGTCGGAATGAAGTCCAACATAAAGTTCTTTACCCAACTGTCGAGCCTGACGCAAAGCACCGGCATGGCCTGGAAATATCTGTCAGATGTTTTGACCTACCTGAACGATAGTCCGACCTACCATGGTGGGCAAAGTCGAAGCAACCGTCTACCCAGATGCGGTCTTTTCGAGGCTCTTGATCTTCTTGAGGGTCGACTGGCCACTCGCCAGGCTTGGGAACGTCCATCACAAGGAGTTCCGGATCAGCGGAAAGATTGACGAACGAATTCGGAAAGAAAACACCCTTGCGCAATTCACCGAGGCTGAAACACCAGGTGCTTGTACATCCGAAGAATCTTTGAGCAGCGGCACACTATGGTCCCCTGGGGCCTGGGACAGATGGCGTGGGATTACTGGCGCAAGCCTGTAAAGTGGCTTGCGGTGGAATTGCTGGGCTCCCCACACTTTACAGACCCCCTACGAGCACTCCATACAACAACACGCCTCACTAGCCCGGGCGATGAGCCCCTGCTCGTGCGCGTTCTCTAGCACTCCCTAGCATCTTCCTGCAGGTACCACCACCCTTCCGGCGCCCTTTCGCCATGGCTCTTGTGTAACAGCGTCCGGAGCACCACTCACACTTCGTCCTGGGACGGACCACACTCAGTCTAGGCTCGATTTTTCATTCGGCCAAACTGTGCGGGTGAGGCCTGTTAGTATGACAGAGCTTTCACCTCGCGATGGCTCTATCAGCTCAAGCGCTTCAGGAGGAGGAGCAACAGCGGGATTCCTCTCCAAATTGACCAGATCTCCCTCACGCAGGCACAAGCCCTTTGGATCTAATAGTTCCATCGATGCGACCCTGTCCCCTCCACACTCAGGAGCACCCCGACCAGGATATCAACGGACGACAACTGCGCCTGCGGCACCCGCAACCCTGAATTCCATCAGAGCAGATCCTGCTCTTGGGAGGAACAGTGATGTGAGCGGCCAGGCTTCGGGCGACAACATGGCGCTTCCCCTTTTTGTTCCACCCCTCACTAATGGCTCGATCGACGGACGATTGCCAATGCGAAGAATTGGCAGCAAAGATGCCACGAATGAATCGCCTGCAACAACCAAAGGGGACTTGGACGTCGCATCTGCTTTGGCAATCAACGGTCTGCTTCCAACGACCGTGGTTTCGGGGGTCACAAATACCAGCGCAGTCTATGCACACATACAAGAGTTGGCAAACAAGAGGATAGCCACGTTGGATTACTTGCGTAAGGCGCATGAAGGAAGATCATTCTGGTTCAATACAATCCAGTTCACCGAAGCGGACATCGCCAAATTACCATCGTATACTCCCAGTCGCCTGTCACGGCGAGCCGTGAACTACATGATACTGGGCATGTCTCTTCCCACCATTTTCGATCTCCATCCGCCACAAAATGGCTCTAGCGCAAATGCAGCCGTTGCGCAAGATTTCTTGAAGAGTCTGAACACTCTGTTGACCGAATTCGAGTCCTTTCAACAACTACACCCCCCAGATGGGAGCACGGCGAGTTCCTTGAGTCGAGCGAGAATTCCGCAGATGTTCAAGAGAGCCGCAACGACCTCAAGACCACGCAAATCAAGCGGCCCAGTGACTGACATCGGGCTGCCAATGCTGCCGCACTCGTCATCTCCGCCAAACATGCCAGAAGTTGGACATCACGGCCCACAGCCATCGATTGATGCTACAACAAGCAGTGCATCTTTCATTTCGACGGCTAGCACACTGGTGACACCGTCCCCGTCAGGGGCACTGTCCTCGGCCACTTTTCCTACCCTTTCGTCTTTTCCAGCGCCGGCGCCCTCTGATTCCCCTAATTCAACCCTCCTGCCAAACGAAGGTCCTTACACATATCTTCAGACACCGCCTTTACCATTTATCCCGGACTTCTTCACAGTCTTTGCGACGCTATGCGACGTCCTCATAGACACATACCAGAGGTTGCTTCAGATATTGACAGGGCCATCCGTCTGTACCCCCCTGCTTGGTGACCTCTTCACCAAAGTCGATGGGCGAATCCGCAAAGTCGTGGTGTCTTCAATTGTACGAGAGTTCGAGAACACCACACGAGAGAGTGCGAAGAGAGAAATGATGGGCCTGCAGAAGGTCGTCTTGGGAGGACTCATGGCATGAAACTGTAACGATATCTAATTTGTTCATAGAACGATGCTTGAATATTAAGGCGTTGGGAAACTTGTACTGAGTGCACGGGATTTGTGATGACTAGTGAAATGAGATATCTTGAGACTTCGCGACCTCTCTGTATGTGCACGCGAGGCCGGTGACGGCTCCTTTATTTTCCGACAAAGATGGTTATTCCCATCGTTCTGCTATTCTCTTTCGTTTTGTTGTCTGCTACCCCATCTCACTTTCCCACTGTCCTGTTTCACAATTATTTTGGAATTCTGAGCCCGTTCGCAGCCCAGATCTTGAGGCCATGAAAAGAACATCTCAAGGAGGCCAAAACAAGGGTGTTCTTGTCGCCGTGTACCAACACGAATCAGCTCAGAAACGTTGCGCAGATCCTCATGGGCAGACAAAACTCTACCTATGCAAGGTCATATATACCGATGCCCCGCTATAGGATCGCCTGATCTGTGGGCATGGCTGAAACTGCACGGCCCGTTCGCGAGGTCTAAAGTTAAGTGTGGGAATCCCTTAGTTCGTTGTTCCCCAGACGCACGAATCGCGCAAGGTGCGTGCCTGGCGAAGGAAACCAGTTCTTTGCTCTCCTTGCGCCGAGATATTTTCCCTCCGTCTGTGAATCCCTTTTATTATATCTTCTCAAGGTTCACTTACTTGACAATAGCACATAACGGACACCACTGAACGGCTTTGGGTTGGTGTTTCTGGACAGATCATTTGCAAGGGTCGACTGAATCGCTGACTTCTTCCAGAAATCGATTCTTCGCTCAATCGGGATCTGACAAGAGCCCGCAACCGCAACAAACTCTCTACCAGACGCGTTCGAATCGTCATTGTTAGTCTGGTAAAGGTTACCCGAGAACTCCTCCGAAAATGGCGGGCCTCCGTCGCACTCACGCCCTTTGCCTGGCCGCCGCAATCGTCCTCATCTACATCCTCTTCTTCTCCGGCCCCGATTCGACCGATTTTCGCAGAGTCACGGAGTCCTCCTTGTCGTCGCGCCGAGGCGTTCTTCGTGGTTCTCTGTCGGATGCGGCACTGACTGCGCAGACGAATGAGCAGTTGCAGATGATACTGGATAAACAGAAGGAAGCTCTTGTTGCAAGCTCTGGTCGCGTACCCAATGTCGCCAATACTCCTTCCAACTCCAAGGACGACGAAATGGCAAAAGATGCTGTTGCTCCAAAGTGGACTCCGACGACGGCTCCAACTTTACCAGAGGTGCCTTCTAAGCCCAAAGATAATGGAGAAGATAGGGCCAGAGCAGAGTTATCTGACATCCTCAAGAAGAGTCCTGGTATGTTGGATGTTCATCTAGGTCTGTCCGATAGAGGCTAACAGTATCACAGTCATCATCTTTTCTAAGTCGTACTGTCCATATTCGAAGCGCGCAAAAACGCTCCTCCTCGAAACTTACACCATCGAACCTACGCCCTACGTTGTCGAACTTGACCTCATGACGGAGCCGGTTGCTGTTTCATACACGCGCGAAGAAGATGACGACACACCTCCGCCCTCTGTTGGACGAAAGCTGCAGGATCTGCTTGCATCGCTGACTGGCCGTAGAACGGTCCCAAACATCATGATCAATACTCGAAGTCTGGGTGGCAGCGATGATATTGCGAGTATGCACGAAAAAGGCACATTGATCGACGAGATCAAGAAATTGGGTGGGAAGAGGATTGTCAGCGTCGTGAGAAACCACAAAGCTGAGGACTAAGACGACTTTTGTGCTGGATACTCAAGCCAGCCATGTGTTTGGGGGAAAGCGGCACTAAATTTCGAATTTCGAAGTGTACGATGTCCACCACGGAATCATTGTCAACACCCACTACGTGCTTGCAAACGATCAGCACCAAGGGCGAGAAATCTGGCTATTGCCAGCGCTGCGGGTGCTCGACGCCACCTCGGCCAGACACTGAACAATCGCAGCGTGACTCTCCCGAGCAGATGTGCTTTCAACCCGTCTGTGTTTCCCCAGAGCTCTACAACTTGTAAGATACCAGTCAAAGATTGTGCTGCCTTCTCCCACTCCTGTTGACTTTGGCTAAAGGTACGTGCCAGATTTGCCAGTACAAGAGCAGAACAGTGCAACTAACGGTATCCAGGAATCGCATGGATTCAAACCAGGTGAACCAATTCAAGGCAGAAACTTGGACTAGGGGCAATTGGGCATTTGGACTGTTCATGTCTCGGAAAGTTGGCACCCGATCGAGTCAGATGGGAAGACACAGACGTCCTCTTGGGATCAACACCCTTGCTTGGATTTATCACAGGGACTAGTTGGTAGTCACAAGGATTGGCCGGAATGTCATACCGGACAGCAAAGTGAACAGAACTTCTCAGGACTCTCGATGACTCTCACCTCACATGTCGTCCAAGGGCTCTTTGTTCTATATCCGAGATTGCAAAGGGTATCCGAAGATGCTTGTTGACGTGCAAGGGGACATAGCACAAGCCTCTACTCATGCTCGGTCGTAGTCCCGAAGCCATGGCCCATCCCAGGTGAATCTTGTCTCAGTCTCTTGTCCTTTTCGACACCCCTACTCAACTACGATGCAGGCGTCAAGTCGTCAGTAGTGGAATTTTATGTGGTCCGCGTCACATTATCCACCGGGTCGATGATGGTCAGCTGCTCCGTGCACGAAGCCATGCGTTCTACTCGTGGTTGGGAGGGGGTAGGAATAGTGACGCAGCATTAACTCGTATCCGTACCGAGAATCGTCGAGGTGTCTTTCTCCCAGGGGGCCCCGTGTCTCCTCGGCCCTTGTCGTCGTCTCTTGCAATCGGCACGTCTAGACCGTTGGAGCTACGTAAGAGCCAAAGAGACACAGGTTGCTTTGGAACCGGAGTTGTTTGGCTCTGCCCGAGGCGTTACGGGTACTCGCCGTTGGCCGAATTTATTAGTAAGGAAATGGACATGTCGTCCGTCAAGTCGAAGGGGGCCCATTCCATTCTTTTCCCCTTTGTCGGGTGGTCCTCGACACGTCGCCTCGAGGAAGGGGAATGATATACAGACAAGGGTGTGTGTGTGTGTGTGTGTGTGTGTACTCGTAACGTGCGAGGTGTCAAAAATGCCAACGAGGCAATAGTTCTGCTGCCGGTCGCGTGCTCCATCGCAGACGGACTTGGTACAGACTTGGCTGGGGATGTCAGAACCAAGTTCACAACCACGAGCACACTCACCCGTGCCGGTTAGAACCCCCAACATGGGTAGAATCGACAACCCTTGTTCGCAATGTCAACCACATGCCATGCCACACGCCTTTCAAACGTGTCAGTCGCATTGCATTGCATTGCATTCCATCCTGTAGCATTTTGACGTTTTGTTTAAATCGGTGACGCGAGCTCCACATGGAAAACGTGTTTTCTGTGAGACATGGCGTGGCAGCCACGCGACCCGGTTCGACGTCCCCTGGCGTCGTCCTTCAACTCGACATATCGTCTGCCAGGGTCTGAAAGTTGACAGGGGGCGGTACAGCCCGAGTACGAGTAATAACTTTGTTGGGACGATGAGGAAGAGGACGAGGCGCTGCAGTCGCTTCGGCCTTACTGCGCCCGCTGGGACTACGACTGCAAAATGCGAGTGCGAGTGCGAGTGCAAGTGCAAGTACTCGTACTCCTACTCGTACTGCCTACGATATATGATCGTGTCCACGAATGCCAAACAAAAACCTCGGATGGAAATTTCAAGCGATTCGATATCATCATCTCCTCTCCCCTTCCCACTCTCACTACTCGTACCTTTTCCCTCGCCTATGCAACGCTACTGTACGGGACGACGCGAGTACGGAGTCCTGTGCTCATCATCATCCTCGGATATTTGGTACGCCACCCTTTGGTCGTTCGCGGTTCTTCTTTCTCTCTTTTTTGCTGAGACTCCTCCTACTCCTCCTACTCCTCCCCTTCCTCCACCCCGCGGCCGTTTTCCTTCCCTTCTCTACCCGTCCCGTCGTTCCTCTCCCTCTCTCCACACACACACAACCCCCCCCATCTCGCGAGGACGTTAACCATAGACTAAGATGCAAGTGTGCTCTTGGACCATCCTGGTCGGCCCCCTCGCTTACAGCCTTGTGACGGCCCCCTTCGACCTAGAAACCTCCGACCTCGTCTAAACTTGCTGTACGCGAATCCACAGTCGTACCAGAACAGCGACAAGTCTTATTAGACTCTCTGACTTGTTATCGTAGCTGCGTACAATACAGCCGTTCCTCCCGGATCCGTAGTTTGTGCCAAGGGGGCGCGGAAGCCAATATCAGATGGGGTCCTTGTCCTTGTCCTTGTCATTGTATGTCCTCATCCTCGCCTGCGTACCGAACTGCAGTAGGATATGCGAGATCCCGCGCGCATTCTTTTCTTTCTTTGGCATCCTTGTACTACCAGGACTGGGACCAGGTATTTTCCACCCACCCCCATAACCCCATGATCCATGCAACCATTGAATCATGGATGAAAATTGAAATTCCCATGTCTCGTCGCCATCTTTTCCCATGGGTTTCTTTCCCGACTCCGATCTTTTAGACACTTTACGGCATTTTATCATGGACCCGCCCTGACTCTTTGATTCATCTTGTGCTCCATACAGTACATCCAAGGGTTCTTCGGAAGCTACTGTGCCCTGCTCTATCCTGAAGTCATCGAAAACACGGAGTAGACTAGTAGGTAGTTAACGAGTGATCCCGCAAGTCCGGGCATTGAGTACGCACCGTACGTACTCCATATCGTACGGAGACCTCACGCTCAGACTACGACTACTCTGTTGCCATCCTGGTTTCCTTGGTGTGCGAGTAGACGCGGAGCAGACTCGGAGCAGAGCAGAGTAGAGTTAGAGTTGAAGATGTGCTGATACCCGTATCGACTTGTAGCTGGTTCTGCAGATCCCTCCTACAGCACACACACACTGTACAGTAGACAGACGCAGGGTCCGGATTTTCAGACAAGGATGTCGACGCTCTCGCTCCTCCCGCTCCTCCCGTTTACTCCCGTTTACTCCAAACGGGAATCCGCTTGATTCATTCCTGGGTTCGTCCTCGTGTTTACCTTGTATCCTGTAGGAGCAGGTGCAACGTCGTCTTTGTTGGGCTCGGGTTGAAGAACGCGAGCCGTCCCTTTTGGAGACCTACTCGTAGCACACCATCCTCACCGCCGTCACACCCGGTCATCAACCCATCACCCACCCAAGCATCCAACTATCCTACAGTCGCTCCCTCTCCTACTCCGTTCAGTAAACCATCCTACCTTCTGTAAGTATGCCCCCTGGAGCCCCTGGAGGCCCCCTTTGCCACCCTTGCTCCTACCCCTGTCCCTGCCCCCGTTCCCCCCCCCCCCCCCCTTCTGATCCCCTCGAGAGTCGAGAGAATCGAGAGAATCGGATTTTCAAACTTGGTTACTCTCTTACCCGTACACCATATGGACTTTGGACGTGTTGGGACGTCTTGGTACGTCACACGAACGGACATGGCCTGGGTATTGTAGGTCCAGCAATCTGCACAGGGGTGACGAATTAGGTAGGTAGGTACCTGGGTTCGTACTGGTCAGAATCGGATCTTACCCACCTCAGGGTACTCAGGTAAGTAAAGGTTCAATACGCACATGCTGTACCCCCCTTTGACTTCCGTCCTTGCAGAAATCGAGCCTGACCTACAATACCTACTGTAGGCATCAATCCCTACATCCCTACATCCCTACCTCCCGACCTACTAATGCAAGGACGTTGGGACCCCAAAAGTCTAAAAAAAAAAAAACACAAAAACCAAAATCCGCCCCAAGAAACCCAAACACACCAAACGAGGCACCGAGGTGACGTGCCAAGGTGGTAAACCCAGTAAAGGAGTCACCACTACTGTACGGGGACATACCTTGTGGTGTATGTACCTGTTGCACTAGCAAACCCCCAATGGCAAAAGCAAGGTGCATGGCCGCGTGTGAAAACGAGGTGTTGCGCTGTAACAAGACAAATCAGTCCGAAGGCTCAGACTCCAGGACGGGACTAGGAGTTTTTGACTTTCAATAGGTACACTTAGGTACGTAGTCTCTCTGATTGAATCAAAAGAGACTAACGCAATTACGTTGTCTGTCTGAATATACAATCTCGCTAAGTGATAGAAAGCACAACGACAGATCCCTCTGCTCTAACGTCGTCACTTGGCACATCCATACCTAGGTAGGTAGTCAACGCGAAGAGAGAGAAAAAAAAAGGCAGTAATGCATGGTTCAGTGTCCATATACCATAGCGCTTCTGTCGAAAAAAAATATCATGGTATTGATTTCTCCAATCCAAGGCCTCCCCGTTCCACATAGAAGAAAAAAAGGATTCCAATCAAAAACGATAGGGGGTATTGTTGCATATTCCATCTCCACGCTCGCCAAACCATAGGCATGACGTCTAAAAGGACAAGGGGAAAACAACACAAAAGTACGAGAACTATGCTAAAGAAGCAGAAAAGCCACGCCTCATTAGTGCCCGGCCCCTGATAGCCGATGGGCAAGCGCTTTCACATCGTATAGGCCCTCAACGCCATGCCTGAAATTGTAGCAAAAACTTGATTCGTAGCACGTCCATTCGCCTGAGACTCAAGGTATCTCTTCGCCAGTTCTCGCTCCGAAGTAAGGTCACCGTTGCCATTCGTCTTTGATCCCAATAACATGATGCTGTAAATAATGTCTCGGTTTTCCATCCCATCCAGTAACCGTCGACACTGTTGCACCGCCGCACGAGAGATGCCTTCCCCATTCGGTCCTTGGCTTGTAGCCGCTGTCTCGACCAGTCTCCAAAACTCGTCGGACCGGTTCGCAACTTGTCTCTCCAGAGCGTTTCCTTTCGCTTCTGGCTCCGCTTCGTCCTGATGCACAAAGTCTGCGATCGATGTAGTCGGACTTGAAAATGCCTCGCCCGTCAATATTGACGTCATTGCCCGGCAGCGGCGAGCAAGTCTATCTGCTTCCTCTCCACCGTCATGTTCAGGCCGGATACACAATTCGAGTAGAGCCCAGGTGACACGGGCTTCTTGACTTGCGAGGGTGGGGTTTTCGCCCGATGCCTCAGGATGGTTACTAACCAACGTAAGGTAGGCCAGCATACGCCCAAGCTGACTTCGATCCGAGCTCAGTAAGGCGAACCCCTCTCGGGCGAACCACTTGGATGGGCCGGATTCTAGAAACTTGTCGAGACCCGGAGCAAATGCAAGATCATACACTTTGCGGATCGATTCAAGGTTGGGAACCGAATCCGGGGGGATGGGTGGAATGCTTGGAACCTTTGTACCTGCAATCGTACAAATACTTTCGATACTTCTCCTGGCAGAAGGGGGATGCACGACGTCCTCCATCATTGCACTAATGGTAGGTTAGACCTAGAAAGTCACCTCCAGTTGTCCATGACTTACGACGTCCTGGCTGGGGATGCGGGTATGAAGATATTCCAGCCTGGGAGTTGCTTTCCATATGATACGGCTGGTTCAGGTGGGGGAGAACCTGTTCAGGCGGTCGCGGATACTGATACTCGTTGTGGGTTTGGGGTGTACTCGGCACGATTGTCGAGTTCGGCCCACTGATGGATGGACTGATTGGGTGTGATGTGTATCTGTGTGGTTGGCTGTTCACCGGCGCGGTTGTCGACGGGTTGGTTGGGTGAGAGGTTGTTGGTGCGGGATGCAGAGAATGCGGGCCTTGTGATTGAAACACCGGGTCGTAACCTTGACAATGGCGCTTACTCTTCATGCAATTCCTGCACTCAGGCCGGCCTTCGTCGCACTGTTCAGCGTTGGTTAGCTTCACACGAGGAAAGAACTTCACTCCAAGAGAAAACTGAGAAAAATGGTGGAGAGTTGCAATCTTGCGGCGCGTGCGGGCAACCAACAGTAACAAGAGACAGACACAAAGGAGCTGGCCGCATGGTGCAGTGTGGGTGTTGCGAGAGATTTGCCGTCAAACAAAGTTCTGCACTGTTGTTTTGTGGTTGTGGTGGAAGTTTGTGTGACGGCGGCATTGGCAGCGCCGATCACAGGCTCTTGGGGAGGAACAGGCATGGTCTGTGGGTGACTCGGGGGCTGCAGTTCGGTGGCTGCAAGCCACCACGAGTCCCTAAGTGGAGATCCGCCTAAACCTGCCCGCCTGCTCTCCCTTGCATTTCACCTGCACGGAATTTTGGCGACCGCGAACCATTGAACTCGGCCGGTCGTTTTTGCAAGGAATCGTAGACAGAAAACATGATACATGCGCCGCCGCTGCGATAAGGGGTCCTGGGTGCCAACGGATAAAGTAAAAGTCAATCCAACTCACTTTAATGCGCCGCTTCCGGCATGTAAGGCATCCTGTTTTCGTCCGCCTCTTCACCTCCTTCGCCTTGTGTCGCGGAGGATTGACAATGAGACTCGGGTCGGCCGAGGAAGGCAGCGGCATGCGTCCTGGCATGGGCTGGTAGGCTGATGGAATTCCGTGATAAAGAGGCCTCGTGTCGATGTAGCCATGAGGTACAGGCGGAGGTGGAGGGGCTATTCCAGCTCGTGATCCGTAAGGAGGATATGGAAGCGGCGGTAGTACACGTGGCGGTGCAGGCGGCGGCGGTGGCAGCGGTTGTACCACTTCTGGCGACGACCGGTGATGGGCAATTTGTGTCTGGAATTCAATACTGCTGATGGGAGGAAGACTAATCGCCCCCGACGCCGGTTGAAGTGCCGCGGTGGTCATGTTTGAATAGTTCATCGGGTCCAACGCTTCTGCCTCCTGCTGCTGTCCAGCGGGTAGGCCCAGGCAAGCGGAATACGAGAGACCAGGCGCACAGACAAGTGTGCTGTTGATAGAGAGAAGAGCACCTGGACAGAAAGGTCTGCTCCGAGGTGGTGCTTTCTGGTCAAAATAGTAAAGTCGGTTCGGATTCCCTTGTCGTTCAGACTCAGACGTCAAAGAGGACGCTCATTTCTGCCAAAGGACATAGGTCAGCTTTGGTCTGGTCAGTCTCACCGCTTGCTCCAGCGGACGCGGACAGTCTATCACACTCACGGCCTGCGGAAGGTGGAAAGGACGATGCGGCGGAAATTCAGACAACCAGGCATGCGATGCTAAGGAGCGAACAACAGGCCAAGAAGAAACAGAACGCTTGAGAAAACCAGGATGGAAACCAGAGTCAAAGTCAAGCGAATATGTTAGGAAGCCAGGTGTTGGTGAATGCCTGCACCATAGCAACATGGACGTCGATGGAGGTGGGCATGGCATGACCGGAAGAACAGCCAGGGTGGTAGACACGAGACTGGAGTCTGCCCATTAAGGCCAGTTGAAACGTCTCGTAAGTGGTTCGTTTGGATACAGTCTTTGCTAGAGGTGTCGCGGACGCCCAAATGCCGAAGCGCAGTGAGCAGCAATCAGATGGATGGCGAAATTGGAACGAGCCTCGCTTGGGATCGCTTCGACTCGCTCAGCCGCCCTAGACACTGACAGCGACAAGCCTTTTTCGACCACCAGCATCCACCTGGAGCAGTGCTCGCAGTAGCTTCGACGGTGGATGAGACCAGCAGACTACTCGAAGCATTTGTCCTCCGTAATGGAGCTGTACCCAGCCGCCAACTGACCCTAGGCTCACGGTGCTGTGCGTTGATCAGAAGGTCGTGTTGGAGGAGCGCCCACGGCCCCTGGCTCCCTGTCAAAAGGCTTCTCGCTTAGGGCATCTCCCGGCGCCAAACGACCTTAGGCCCAAGTCTATGCAGCTTGGACGTGCCAGGATAATGCAAGTCCCCTGCCCGCTCCTAGCGCTGCCCGCCTGGGTCTGGTGCATGGATTGGTGCCTCGGGGCTGCTAGCTATACACAGTAACAACCGTACAACAAAGAGGCAAAGGGGACAATGGAGGGAGAAATTAAAATGGGCAGAAGGGTTTGGAGCCCGCCGCTATCAACCCACGGCACCGACGACGGCATCCACAATTCCAATCCCGCCCGAGAGTGCAGTGTAGAGGCTGGAGAGGGCACGACCCGGTAAATCCCAAGGCCCATCCATCCATATCCAGGCGAGAGAAGGAGGGAATGTGAGAAAAGACCAGAGTCACCGAGGCACAGGGCGATGCCCAGGGCGCGAACGCTCTGCGAACGCAGACGAATAAAATCAAACACCCACATCTGGTCCCGGTAAGACGCACACGCACACGCATCTCGTAACGTACCTTGTGGTGGGAGGGAGTCGACAGACTGATTCCTTACGATCACCCTCAAAAGTCACCACCAACACTAACTGTCGTGGTGGGCTGGTGAGTGGTAACTCCTCCGCTACCCCTCCGCCCTTTCTTCCCTCCTCAGACAGTCCCTTGCCCCTGGCCAATGCTCTCTCTCTTCTCTTCCAAAACAGCAATTCAATTCCTGTCACAATGCTCCTTTGACCGTTGCCAAGTCACTCTAGAACCCTGCTAGCTGACTTTCGAGAAATGGAGTCGGCCGAGTATCAGTCCAGTCGGCAAGTCCACGAGCAAGACTGGTTTCCGGAGAGCATCCACCACCTCGCTTTCGTCGATTATCGTCCAATCCACTTTGCGCAGGTCGACGTAGTATTCTTTCTGATGCCACCATGTCAGCGTTCAACCCGTCCGTCTCCCTTGCTGCTCAGGCTCCAGCACGCCGAAAAACCACCCTCTCCAGCTTTGCCCAATCTATCCTCACCTCGCCTCCCGAGCTTTCCCCTGCTAGCCTGGTCTTCCCTGGTCCGTCCACTGCCAGGCGCCCCAGAGTGCCTATCGGTGCCCGCCCTGGAACTTCCTAAATATTGGAGAGGTTGGGAAGAGAAGAAAATGTGGACAAATTGGGATGTGACGGACTCTGAAGCGTCCGTTTGATCACCGCCACCCTGGTCACGCTATGCAACTGAAACACTTGTGTTCTAAGGGAAAAAACGAGCCGGGCCCTGCCGAGTATCCAAACACACCAAGAAATTGCTGGCTAGACATCAAGGTCGACTCCCTACACCGTACACGCCGTAGTTCACCACCACCACCACCACCATCGCTTCAGACGAGGTCTGTAGAAATCTCCGACACGAGACCAATCCGACGCATAGGCTTTTTTCCTGCTTCGAAGCGAAACCAGCTTCTCTCGCTCCGAGTGGCATTGTTCCCATGCCTCTGAGATGGCACCGAGATGCCGCTCAGAAACACAAGGTGCACTGTCCTATCCGTCATGATCGCCCGGGCACCATGCAGGCAGGGAGCATTGGAGCGCAACTCATCTGCAATCAAACTAGATACCGAGTACCATTTGTCACTCTCCTCCCCCGTCGTGGTGCCTTGTCGTGTCACATGAGGTTCCTTGCTCGGAGAATGCAAGAAACTATTCGCTGAGACACTGATTGACAAAAGCTGGACCACCTCGACAGGGGTTCTTTACGCTAGGCAGTTGCCCCTCTGTTCAGTAGCTCGCCCGTGATTGTCCTCTCTGCCGTCTGCATTCAGACAAGAGTCTACAACAAGAATAAAAAAGCTTCAACCTACGACAGGCGAAGCATAGCGATAGGAGAAGCTGCTGGCGAGACGAGCGCTAATGCGCGGGTGATTGCCGTGTCAAGACCATCTGTTGGCTGAGCGTGACCAGCAATTCTCCGACCGAAACTTTGCTCCCTTGACATATCCATACAGGGAAAAGCACATGCACACCCGAGAGGCTGCCCTAATACAGCAGACCGAGACGTCTGTCGACTTGCACCGCTTGTGCTGTCTAATGGGCTGGGCGCATGAGCGCTGGGTTGGAGACTTGCCAGTAGCTGCATAATCGTGGGCTAACCGAGGCCAGGGAATATAGGCCTAGGCGACAATCGAGACGACTTGCCCCAACTTGACCCTGCTCCCATTGGCTGAATGCCTGGGAGTTCTCCCTAGTCGTACCACGATATGATATTGCGAAACGAAGCAAGAGACAACAACGTCCTGAAAGAGGTTCTTCCAGGGATGCCCTCTTTTCTTATTCCCCTGAGAGGAATCGCGTACACCGCGAGAAGTATGGCCTGAGGGACTTTGCGCTCGATGACCCAGCTTCTACGAACTGCCAAAAGTACGACCTCATTTTCAGAGGATTCACTGCTGACCGTTGGTACGAGCACACTCGCAGGCTTACTGCAGGTAGCACCTGGCTACTCCAGATGTGATACTCAAAAAGAGCATAACCACCAATGCATGGTTCAAGCTTACGAATTGGCCCAGCTCCACATGTGCTGATGCATGTAGCCAAACGCGAATTCAATAGCGATCACATCGCACCCGGCATTGTGCTGCCAATGCCATACAGCAGCACATTTCAACGGGCACCCTGCTCAACCCATCTCCTCAAACGAGAATGGACCTGTCAGTTGAGTGGCACTGCGTGGGCCGCTGTATGACGGTACCTGCACGTGGCCATCATCACGTACAACCACGGGCGCAGTGTGTCAATCACCAACGTCGGCAAGAACGTTCTATTGTCATCTTAATTTGACTTCAGACCAGGAGTATGCCGCCGCAAGATATTCGAAATGCTGCTTCACGTTTGACTCGCTTATCTGACCTGTTCGGTTCGCTTGTGCTGGTCGAGTTACAAGAACGTTGTCGCGAGGTTGAGGTGAGTTGTTTCAGGACGCTTTAGCTTTACGCTTCTTTTTGAAAACTGGGATCGGGGTTTCCTCTGGAATCTTGCTGATTGAGCGATCGATCAGCTCGTTGCTGTCCTCCTTCTTGAGTGGAGCGCCCTTAGATGTTCCGTCGGTCTCGTTCAGATCTTCTAGTTTGGTCGATGCATCCTTGCTGTCCAAATCCTGGCTAAATGCAGTCTTGTCTTCTCTGTTCAACTGATCCTCGGCTTTTAGCTGCTTCTCTTCCAATGTCGGCGAAACAGCCCGTTCCTTCTTGAGAGGTATCGTCCCTGACAGTAAATCATCAATGTCGGTTGTATCTCTCCCCGGATATCCTCGAGTGGTTGAACCCCAACCACGCCGGGCCACAGTTTCCCCAGCATCTTCCTCTTCTTCTTGGCCTTCAAACTTGCGCTTTTTTACCCCAGTACTTAGGGGTTTCTCTTCTGATTGTGACCCGGTGACCGACTGTTGGGACACTACTGTCCAGTCTCCGGCCATGGCCATTTCCGCCCGGAAATGCTCCGGTACTTGGATGCCCATTTCAGCCAGTTGAGCCCATTGTCTTTTCTGGTCAGCGGCTGTGAGTGCTGCCCCTTGTTTCCTCCCTAAAGCGGCTGATGAAGGTTTGGCGACGGTGCCACCAGATGCCGACAACGCTTGCTGTACGCTGCCACCACCAATTTTGGCTAACCTCTCGACTTCAGACTTCGCTCGCTCTTTCTCCCGCTCGCCCTTCTCATGACTGTTCTGAATATCTCTGAGAAACCGTTTCAAATTATTCTCGTGTCTCGCCGTCGCTTCATGTTGTCTGCGTTCAAACGGAGTATCTTTGACATAGACACTGCAGTGCTTGCACCAGTATTTGGGCTAAGACGGGAGTGGTTAGCCTTATTGCAGGCGTGAGGCTGCCATTAGAGAAGGGAACTGACCGTTGATTTCCAGTACTCTGCCATAGTATACGAGACAAAATCGCGCTGAGGGAGAAAATCGAAGGCGGCATACGGCTATGTCATCGTTAGATGAGCAATATTTGGAGTATGGAGGAGGTCGACGGGCGAATGGCGCAGGCGCAGTTGGCGGACGATTCGGCGAGCAACCGCTGGAACGGACCTGGATTATCTGATGTTCCGGGCAGCCATACAATCTGATAGGCTTATCGGCGTCTCGTTATGCTGACTGCACTGTTCAGATGCACCTGGACCAAGAAGCCGACCCGACGAGGACACCCAGGGCCAATCACAGTGCACCCCTTCCCGATCTTCTCCGGTCCACATCTGGCGAGAGAAAAAGAAAAGGGCCCCGATGCTGGCTTCCAACCTCAAAGAAACTTTTCCTCGCCACGCCTCTCTATCAAAACCCTCTCCTTCACCTCTAGACCTCCATCAATCCCACATTCCTTTGTGTCCCTAGCAGCTTCGACCAAGCTTGCAATCAATCACAGCCATCAGTTGCTGTTCGTGTATCATCATTAGAACGAATAGACACAGCGCGACGCCGATAGACACCTCCGAGGTCCAGCTCACACGACTCTGCACGAACCCTCCCTCTGCCACAGCCATGAAGATTTTTGCGTCCTCCTACACCTTCGACTACTCTTGGGAAGAGGTCAGCACCAATAACTGGCGGAAGTACTGCCCGTGGAACGATAAAGCCTCGCATGTATTGGCCGTGGATACCCTCTCTCGCCACGTTGATCCTGCCACTGGTATCCTGCGGACAGAGCGCCTCATCACCTGCAAACAGAGCGCCCCGCAATGGGTCCTGACAATACTGGGAGGTGACACAACGAGCCATGTCTACGAGGTTTCGTACGTGGATCCTGCTTCCAAGAAGGTCACCATGTGCAGCACAAACATGACCTGGTCGAATCTGTTAGAATGCCGAGAAACCGTCATTTACCAGCCTGCAGCCAATGATGCCAAGGCCAAGACAGAATTCAAACAAGAAGCGAAGATAGTGGCAATGTGTGGTGGGTGGCAAAAGATTCGCACCAAGATCGAGGAGGCCAGCGTGGAAAGATTCCGAGAGAATGCAGCCAGAGGACGTGAAGGCTTTGAGATGGTCCTCGAAATGTCCCGCAGGCTGTTCGCCGAAGAGCGGGAGAAGATGCAGCTGGGCAAGACCCTTGCGGTATAACCAGACTCACTTTCACGCAAAGGTCCAGGGTGGACCATCATCTCTTATCAGTATCTTACGACTCATGAACTCGATGCAGCGAATGCTTCCACTCCCATCAAAAGGGTGTTGTCTGACATCGAACCTCCAGGTGGAGAGCGTTGTGAATTAATGGAAAAGTTGGGCGATTGGGCTTTGTGAACTTTCAGCGCGGCGCTATGGAGCAGGGAAAAGACTCCGAAAGACCTTGGACTATCAAGGTCGTGTTCTGCAATTGCACTGTCTCAACTTCGAGCAGGATAGAGGCATGATAGACGGATGGCATTAGCATACACATTAGTCATAGATTATTAGACGAAGAGAATTTCGCCTCAGGATTTGAAGACAAGACGCCTTGCCTACCGATTCCTGACCGTTCCGATTCTGCAGTGACTAAGGGAGTTTTCTATTCCAGAAGGCATACCACCTTGACCGGCTACGTAGCTACAAATCCTGCGCCTCAGGGGAGAAGCCGCGGATGTCGAACACGCGATGAACATAATGTGTATGTGTTGAAGCTACTCCGAAGGGGAAGCATACGCTGTACAATTCATACGAAGTGCCCCGTTCTCAGGATCGACTGTGCTAACAAACGCCGGTTCAGAGTGCTCTCCATACCAACCTCCGCGGCGGGTTCGTTAAAATTCGGTACGAGAGGTGGATAGCACTACGTCTTCTAGTGCGGTCTGCTAATCTGCCGACAGGTGTAGTGAAAGCCCATCCATTGTAGCACCACGAGGCTCGTCAATGAAGCTATCGTCGTAGGAATGCTAAAGGACGGAGGATTTACTCAAACGAGCCTGCGCTGGTTCATTTCCGCAAATTTGGCGTGTCCACTGGTCTCCTTTTTGGGCTGTACAAACTAGGGACCCTTGCGAGGATGGGAGGAACAAGACAACCTAATTAGCTGGCACACTCCTGGCCACCAGCCGGTAGCCTGTAGGGACACAGAGACAATACTACTGTATGTGCAAGGCTATGGAACGGCTACAGCTACAAAGAAGAAACCAAGACACCAAACCCCCCGGCTTCACAGGGCTTAAGCGAGGGACTTTCTGGTGTTTTGTACAGCATCTTTCCTAGTTTTCCAAGCGAGCATGGATGGAGTAGGGATGCCCGAGATACCTGTATAGTGTACGAATCCTCCGTGTTCTACGGAATACGTGTACCAACAGTTCGAATGGATCAGCGCAACCGGCCCATCCCATCCCATCCCATTCTTCCAGAGCCGGTCGATCATGGGCTGTTGTTCCTGTCCAACAGAGCATGGAGAGGTCGGACAATGCTTTGTACACACTGAATCCTGCGTGAAACTCTGTTTAGTTCTCCCCAATCGCGTCGCTGTCGCATCTGCAAGCCCCCTTCATCTGATCTTATCTCGAAACGGCGGCAACGCTTCAGATTGTCGATGTTTACCAGGAATCTGCTAACCATGCACCGTCTCACCACCAGCACCACGTAAACTACAGTCGGCGCATAAGCAACAAGGTTCCTCGTACCGCTGTGGCGGCTCATGATCAGAGACATTGCTCTTACCAAATTTCCCCCTTCGTCCCTCTGATTGGCCCTGGGCGCTGCCAATCCCCTGCTGCCCGTCGCTCGCATTGTCCGCGAGACTGCGCATGCGCACCTTGCAGCGAAGATCCATTGTGTCGAGGCATGGACCTGAACAGACCGTTATCTGTCCAGAATCCTTATGGCAACGACTTTGAAGCCAATGCTACCATTCATTCTCGCATCCCCGAGCTCCCTAGCAACTCGAATTTGCCCAATGATCCCCTTCGCTCCCCTCAGTCCGTCCAAGTCATCTCATCGCTGATAGACTCCTTGGGTGCTCTTTCCCCTGCAAAAGAAGACGACGACGACGACGAACACGAACACGAACACGGAATAACACACCGGGGTCGGGAATATCACCATCGTCCTGTGTCGTCCCCGTCGCCCGATGCGGATGAATTGGATCGCAACTTGCATGATCCAATCGCAGACGACAGCAGTGATGGGGAAGTCGCAGCGGCGCCGGTAATTCGTTATGCCCGACGGCCTCCCTTGGTATCAAAGAGGTCAAGCAAGTCAAGACTATATTCCCTGAACATGGCCCAGCCTGGGCTAGCACCTCGAACCTCATCCCAGAGTCTAAGATCCCGTGCTGAGACGGAATCAGTTGGGGTGCCTAGTATCGAACGACGACATGGCTCTAGTGCCAGCTCAACCTTCTCCATCATCAGCGGCGTCTGTGCCCTGCGAAGAAAGACCACTTCTGAGTCTATACGCGACAAGGCTGCCACGAGGCCTATCCCTCCGAGACGGTTTTCGTCTGATAGGCGCCGGAAGACCGAGTCATTATACAGCATAGAACAAGAAATGGAGACCAAAATACCTACACGATCGTCCTCAATTGACGGGTACTCTCCTGGCGGAGTCCTGCAAGACTCGCCGAATGGCGAAAGTCCGCCTGTGAGCGCCTTGAATCGCTTCAGTCGTGGCGATCTAGGCAATCACTTGATCCCCTCGCGTCGTTCCTCCCTAAGACGGAGCATCACTGGCGTACCGGAACCTACACCAGAATCAGACAGATTATCTTCCCCTTCCCGGCACCTCAAGGAGCTTAACATTGATGCGGAACTGATCGATGGAGAAAACTCGACGGTGCGAAGAATCCGCGAACTACAAGAAGCGCGAGAAAAGCGTCAAAAAGAATGGCGCAACGAGGCCCGAAAGTCGGAACGAGCTGCGAAGAGGCATACAATAGCGGCTCCCAAAGTTTCGTCGCAACGGACGAGTCCGTATCAAAGTTCGAGGCTGTCTGTTGCCGAGGTGGTCGTCGAGTCTCCTGAGATAGAGAGCCCTCTCGATCTATCTGCCACTGTTAGTGCCTCGGATTTAGCCAACATGCCGGCTTTGATCCCTGCTGCTTCAACTGGAGAAGTGCTCGCGCCATACAAAGGACCCTCGCCTGCGGGCTCGAATCCAACCAGTGCCGCCCCGTCGCGGGTCAACAGTATGTACCGAAATCCAGCAGCTCATACGAAGCGCCATTCTGCCAATGGTAATCTAAAGCCAGATCCTCCGTTGGCTGAGCTGAGGGCCATATCGGATGAAGTGGATGCTTTTCTGAGAGCCCCCAGATTAACCCAGAAAATCAGACATCCGCGCACAGGGCGGACCATCGCTTTCTCAGAGGTCGGAGACCCCGATGGGTTTGTCGTATTGTGTTGTGTAGGCATGGGCCTGACACGATATCTGACGGCGTTCTACGATGAACTTGCACGGACACTAAGGTTGCGACTGATAACCCCAGATCGCCCAGGTGTGGGTGAGAGCTCGGCGGTGCCTGAAGCCTCGTGTACTCCCCTCAATTGGGTTGACGATGTGGCTGTGATATGCAGCTCTTTGGGAGTCACGAGATTCTCACTTCTTGCGCATTCAGCCGGTGCCATCTATGCTCTTGCAACTGCTCTAAAGATGCCACAGTATGTACGCGGTCGAATACATCTCTTGGGACCATGGATCCCGCCTTCTCAAATGCCCAAGGGAACTGCACTAGGACCAGATTCCCCGCCGATCGCAAATCTCCCATTTTCGCACAAACTTCTCAGCGTCCTACCTGCACAAATACTCAAGGTGGCAAACTCGAGATTCTTGACCGCGACGAGTGCATCCGTGGACACGAAGCCATTGAAGGCCAGAAAAAGCAAGGGTCTCGAGAGTATCGAGGCCACATGGGATGCATTTGACGACATGGAGAATCCCTTTACCAATCCCCTTCCAGACATGGAGCCAACGAGACCGCAGACGAGCACATCTGCTAGAGCCAGAAGTGCGTCGTACAACCAACCTAACATCGAATCCCAAGTCAGTGCGGTTGAGAATAGGACTTCACCACCCTCAGCTTCTCGACGTCAGACGCAGTATGCTACCAAGGTGACGAACCTGACTACTGGACCGATGTCCCCGCGCTTAACGCCAGAGGCTCGCCAGTCGCTTTATAACCAGTCACTGACGCATCGGATCTGGGCTCTGGCCACGCATAACGCAAACCCCGCCATTGATCTTGTGGTTTGCCTCGAGCGCCGGAAACCGATCGGCTTCAAGTACCCTGAGGTCACTCGGTCAGTGGTGATACATCATGGTGCCAAGGATTCAAGAGTACCGTTGGATAACGTGCGGTGGTTGCAGACTGTGATGAAGCGGTGCGAGCTCAGAGTGCTAGAGTCCGAGGGCCATGGACTGATGGCGTCGGCGTCGGGAATGGCCACGGTCCTAGGGGAGATTGCCAAAGAATGGGAAGAGTGGGAGAAGATCGCCAAGGGGAAAGAGAAAAAGAAAAAAGAAGAGGCTTCACCTGCATTCTCCAGGTTAAGGGTGTGAAGCCTGTGTGAGAGGTTGCTTGAAGAACATATCGGGGTTCCCCCCACTGCCTTCAGCTTCAGAACAATGAAGGCAGGGACACCAAGTCGTCTGAGTTTCCGAGATGATGGTTGTTGTTAGTCCTGATCCTGTCCATACAGGACAAGATGTTATGACTGCATGAGAACTGTAGATAATAGAAGTACAAATAATTCCAGGACCGTAATGAATCGAGGGCCTTCCCAACTTGATCGCCATTATATTCGCGGTCGAAATAAGTATCCAAATATATGGGAAGGTTGATGAGCACCAATTCAACACTTGGGTATATTTATATCTCAGACTTGGCTTGTTCGGAAATTCATTTGCCCACCAGGATAACTCATCGACCGTTCTCTCTTTCATATGCTTTTCTATTTTCTTCTCCTGCAGTAGACGACTCTCAGATTTAAGACTATGCTGGATCATCTATCTGGTTTCCGCACGATGGCTCATATGGCGGTCTTCATGGATATCCCGGCTGGGTTTTGGCCCGGTTTCCGTGCTCGGTATTGCTGTTAGACTCTGGGATCTTCGACCACTCTCCCTCGTATTCGCATCCGTTGATCTTCAGTCAGGGTTCAATATCACGGAGTTATAGAAAGCCGCGTAACTTACGTTGCAAAGACCGACCACTTGGAATTTTCTGAGGCTAAACGTTTGCGTCGACTGGGTTGCGTCCGCACAATGTGATTGAGCGGTTTCGGATCTTGCGGACATAAAGTCAATGCTTGACTTCTAATGCCGCATCCCACAGGTGCTAACGAGTGAAAGCAAGGAGTAAGTAGTACTCTACATGGAGCACAAAGTACGACTCGTCAACGTCAAAAGGGCCAATTGGGTCCACGACGAGACTCCATCGTCACAATGACTGGACGCATACCCACGTACCTGTCCACGATACTGCCTTATATACGGCGGTCCTCCCATCCAATATCTGACCTGGCGACATTCTTTCATTGTTTGACACGCTTCAAAAACCATGTCGTTCCCATATCCTACCATCACAGTTGAAGAGCACTGGCTCTCTCAGTCGGTCAGGGAATTTTATGCGGCGAAGAGCACACCAGACCCGTACGATGAGAATGGCCTCATTGGAAGGATCGTTCCGTCCCTCGTGGACTTCCGGGAGCAGAGGTTCAAGTCCATGAATGACCACGGCGTCACCGTACAAGTCGTCAGTCATGCGCCCAACACGCTTGCTTTGGACCCTGCGACGTGCACCAAGGTGAATGACCAGCTCGCGGCCTTGATCCATGAGAGACCCAGCCGCTTCGCCGGGTTCGCGACTCTCCCCATGGCGGAGCCGGAGGCTGCAGGCGAGGAACTGCGTCGTTGCGTGCAGGACCTGGGGTTCGTCGGTACGCTGGTGGACAGTAATTGCGAAGGACGATTCTATGACGACGACTTCTTCTGGCCAGTCTTCAAGGCAGCCGAAGAGCTAGATGTCCCGGTCTACCTCCACCCGAGCGCCAATGAGCACACCAAGCCCCTCCTGTACGATGGCAACTACCCTGCTTCCGTGGCCGAGACGTTGAGTCAGTACGGGTGGGGATGGCACAACGAGACGGCCATCCACTTCCTGCGCCTGTACGCTGCTGGGGTGTTTGACCGATTCCCCAGACTTCAACTCATGCTGGGCCATCTCGGGGAAATGGTGCCCTTTATGCTGGACCGTGTCGACCGTATCTCGTCCCTCGCGTGGCCGCAGCTGGGCGTTAAGCTGCAGAGGTCTCTCCGTCAGATCTGGGACGAGAATGTCTGGGTGACGACGTCGGGCATGTTCTACCTCCCGCAAATGGAGCTTGTGTTGAAGCAGTGCAAGCCCGAAAGGATCATCTACAGTGTTGATTACCCCTTCGGACATAATGATGCTGGACTGGAGTTCCTAAAGATGCTAAAGTCCAAGCAGGTGGTGACGGATGAAGTGTTGGAGGGCATTGCATACAAGAATGCGGAGAGACTACTCAGAATCAAAGCGACGGCGGGATGAGAATGAGGACTCTCGTCTGGGGGGAGGTATTTGAATTGTATAATAGCCGCCTGTAGCTATATCCGAGGATGGCTTCTCCTCTCAAGCTGTCGTTGTAGTTAGTGGTGTTGCGGCCATCTCGGGGTCTTGAGACTCTCAATTCATTGCTTTTTCGAGTCATCTCTGCTTGTAGAGCGTTCCTAGTGCCCTCTTCATTACGGCGCCACTCGTTAGCCTGTGATAGTCCCTCGACATGGAGACGAGGGCATCCCTTTGCCATGAGGCTGCGGCGGGAAAGGGGAAGAAAAGAGAGACCCCGGGCTAAAATGAACAATTAAGCCTCGTCCCGGTCGGCAACAGCCTCGCCCGGCCTGGTGGTGTGTGCTTTTGAACCCCGGCATCCCGGCGACTGAGGCTGAATTTCCTTTCGTCCCACCTTTTTAAATATCCTGGACACAACCTTTTTCAAGTCTTTCCCTACGACTTCCGCTGCGAAGATCCTCTGTTCACTGACGCACATCGTCTTCCCGCACACAGATTTTGGACGGAAGCGATCAATGAGCTCGCTCCGTCCCTCACGCGAGCAGCACTATTTTCCGCCCTGCGCCTCGCCCTGCCGTCCTCATGAGTAAGGTACCCGATGCCTGGGAGGACGAGTGGTCCAACGGAGCAGATGTAAGGTTTCTCGCACGCGGTGGTGGTCACGCGCACCTTGAAGATACACATGCTGACGGCCAGCAGCAGCCGACTCCCGCAGCCGAACCCGCAGCGTCGAAAAAGGCTTCTTCCAAAGTGAGCAAAGCCCAGCGCAGGGCCCAGCAGGCTGAATTCAATAGACAACTCTGGGCAGAAGCGTATGTACCGTCTGCCGCTGCGCAACCTCGGGGCTCCGTATGGCCTTAATGCTGACTTTCCTTGCGTGTACAGTGAAGGACCCAAAGAGACAAACTACTTCCTCGAGTCCCGAAATGTCCCCCCGCTGCGCTCCGAGTTCAAACCTCCTCCCATCCTGCTCTCCAGAAAAGGTCCCATCATCCAGTCATCCCGGCCGCCCACGTCCGGTCTCTCGGAATTGACCTTGAACGACAAAGCCGCCGAATCTTCCGAGGACGAAGATGAGGTGAAAGCCCGGGAGCTTTCCCTCGCTGAACGCCAGGCCCAGGCCGCGAAAGACCGGGAAGAAAAGCAACGCAAATACGAGGAGAGAAGGCTGGAATTGTTCGGTCCAAGTTCTGCCTCCAATGCGTCCCACGTCAATAACAAATCCGGCAATTCAACTCCGTCGAGCTTGACGCCTCCAGGATCGAGATCGGCCACCCCGAATCGAGGACGAGGGAAAGGCGGCAGCGGCCGACGCGGGGGTGTGAACATGAACACGAGAACTCAGTCTAGAGGTTCACAACAACAGCAACGTGACCTCTATGATCCTTCATACGTTCCGAGGCCTGACTCTGGGTACGTCCAGCGCCGCGAAAATGGTGCCACGCCTGGCGTGCGAACCCCGGAGATTCACCCCATCAGAGCACCTCGAGGACCCGATGGTTCTGGACGAGGTGGATTCGGCTTTGCCCAGCCTCACAGCGGCCGAGGAAATGATGCTTTTGTGCAGCAAAATGCATACGATACGACAAACGTTTGAGTTCCTCGCTCCGCTTCGGAAGCCGGGGAGCTCGCAACTACAAGGGGTTTCTGTGACGAGGTTTGTGACTTGTCCTCAGCGGAGATCGAGGATCTCGAAGGACGTCACTGTTCTGTTCCAATTTCCTTGTGCGCCCCTGCTTCATAACATAAGAGGCAGACTGGAGCCGCTCCAAGGGGCTCACCAATGCGAGGAATAGTCAGCGCCTGGGTTGCTCACACCATCCTCACATCGAAAAGTCGCCATTGTGCCTTTCCGTGCAGACTCCAGATCATGCCAATATCATTGAACGGCCTACAGGCATTTCGAGAATACTTTGGTTCCCGTTACGATCCCTCGCTTCAGCACCCCGATATGGGCAACCGAAGCTTCACGACCCCTGGACACAACGATCTCTGAGAAGACTTGTGCATGTTCCACGGTATGAGAGGCGTACGTCTTACGCGGTCCCCGACCACCAGCATACGCACATACATGTATGTATGTATGACGACTCCCAGGTCCGTCTTTCCGTCTTTGAGAGGCGCAGTGGCCTGCTGGGCTGAAATGTGGCTCGGCTACAAACAAGCCTGACTATCCTAGCTTGACGAAGGCCAGATACATGGCCAGACCTACCTATCCGGCCACCTGTCTACCTACCTACCTACCTTCCGACCCGACCCATCTACCTCAGCTCAAGTCTACCTACCTCAGGTTAAGGCGCCAAGACATCTCCTCGAGCGAACAGCAAGATTGAACACAATATTACAGACCTCTGAGAACTTTTTTCTCTCTCCTCAAAAGGATATAATGGGAAATGGCCGATCCAAAACCGAAGCGACGTGGAGTCGTTCAAACCGTGGCTTCTTTTTCGTAGTTCAGACATACAGACATACGAACGGACAGACTACGACGGTCAAGGAGAGTTCGAAGTGTTTGGTTTTTCTTCGAACCGAGTATCGAGTATCGGCTTTAGGTACTCACTCACTCGTACGCTCACTCGACCGGAGACGGAACAGGGGCGAGGGTGTGCGTCGCCCAGCAAATGTTGCAACTTCCTTCCCCCCCCCCCTCACCGACCCTGAGACCAGGACCGAGACGCAGCCGTTGTTCAACACTCATGGCGACACCGTGATTCACGCACTTCTCAGAAGCCGCGGTCCGTACCGCGACACGAGACGAAGGCACTGGTCGGTTCTGGACTCGTGGCTGTAGAGGATGCAATGAACGGACGTTCGGATATCGGCGTGCGTGCGTGCGTGGCGTGTCAACGGTACGAGATGACTCGTAACACATACATCATCGGAACCGTCCCGAGAAAAAAAGTATACCCTGTCACTGCTTGTTATCCCTTTTATACAGGGATATCTAGATACCACGCCTCAGGTATTTGATTGTAGTTTTGGTAGACAAAGACAAACGAGAAGAAAGAAAAAAAACCAACTAGACAAGGGCATAATCTCCTCCTTGAATCATCGCACTACTTACTTGCTGCTTTTCTTACTTTGGTGGTACCTTTCTCTTTTGATTACCCGGTTACTCGGTTGTTTGGTTGACAAACCTCCTCACCTCATATGGACTTTTCGGGATGCCAATTCATTGTGCGATGCATGCCTCAAAAGAGGGCTCCTCTCCTCGCAATTGCGCTCTGATGCTGTACGAGGACGTTCGGGACGGTGCGCCCGCAATCAATACAAACAACAACGCCCACGCAGCGCCACATGTGCAATGTGCACAAACCCGTCTCTCAAAACCACAAATCCCACACAAATACACTCTCAAATTAATCGTCCCCATGATTCACATTCATTGATTTGACACGGACAGTAATGATGGCATTGACAATTGACATTCAACACCCTCGGCTGTCGCATCGCCTCTGTCCCGAGTCATCATGCCGGGTCGAGACGGACATGCAAAATATGCAACACTCTATGCAATGCCTTGATCCACGGTCAATCCACGGTGCGGCTGTTGATTCTGTGAGTGCACCGCATGCTCCTCTCTCAATTTGCCCCATACATCGCCTCCTAGTCCGAACCCTTCCTGGTTAACGATACGCTTCGCAAAAGCAATTTCAGCCATATTCTTCCGAGAACCAGAGCCGTCTCGGTCATTTAATGAGTCCCATCCGTCCTCACCAACACCTCTGTACACGCCGTGGTATGAGTTCTCGTCGCTTATGGTCCGCTTCACACGCTCGTCCTGTTCGATGGCGTCGACCCACATGCGCCAACGCGTGCCAACCTCGGGGCGGGGGAAGTTGCGATAATAACTCAACACACGCGACAAGCGAATGATCCATGGAGCGAACATGACATCGACAAACCCGATCTCATTTCCCAGGAAGAAGGGTCCCGTTGCATGTGATGCGTTGACTAGTGCCGTGATGTTTCTCTGGAGCGTGGCTATGAGCATTTCATGCTGTGCTGCGGTAGCTGCCATGGCCGGCGCCTGGCGGTTCATATTCATGTCACCATCAACATCGGTATTAGCATCTTGGTTCTGCGGCGGTGGTGTGAGGAGGAGACTGTAGAAACTTGGGAGGATCTTGCGGTTGATGTGGTCTGTCCAAAGACGGACGTGTGCCCGGAGTTGTGCATTACCCAATGGCAGAAGACTGTGACCTATAGCCAAGTCTTCGAGATACTCCATAATGACACCGCTCTCCCAAACAGCCCAGTTGCCACGACGGATGCAAGGGATGTGTCCTTCAGGATTGGCTTCAAGAAGTTCCGGTGGACGGTATGGATCAATGTGAGCAGGGAGAACCTCCACCATTTGATACGGAATACCTTTGACCTCAAGAGCTATCCAGACTCGTTGTGCGAAGGGGCAAAAGCCGTTGGCGTAGAAAGTGATTTTGGATGTCGCTGGTCTCGAGTGATCACGAGCTGTGAAGAAGGCCATGCCGCTGGCGCGGAAAGTTGGGGAGCTCGTGTCACTGCTGGTCGAGGTTGGGATTGTGGCTGCCGGCGTAGGTATCTTCTACAACAAGAGTTAGTGACCGCTATCGCAAGGAGTCAATTGTGGTTCGACAAGAGAGACAGTAACGCCGCGCGGTGGTCAGAGGAAGGCCAAACTCACGTTAATTCGTTTCTTTTCTTTTTCCTCCTTCAACAGCCATCTTTGAACACTGTTCTTCTTGATCCTATCGCTCTCTTCAAGGGTGTGCTTGTGGTCAAGGTCGAGATTAGGGTCTAGTAGGGAAGAGTCATCTTCTTCGACGGCCTCGCCAAGGCCATCCCCTGTACTGTCGCGTTTGTCTTTGACCGCACCACCACCTGGATTACCTCTTACGCGCTGAATGGTGAACCACCGCTTGCCATCGGCACCAGGGTGACCTTTCGGCAAACGTCGAGGCAGCTCTAGCAAACCGAAGTTGGGGTCGGTTGGGTTGTTGGATGGACCATTTCCATTGACACCATCTTCGAGCACGATGGTCAACTCGCTGTTGTCTCCTGTTAGAGCTGGGTCGGTAGGAATGCCGTTAACACTATTGAGACCATTGAGGTCGTTGCCAGGTATGCCCAATTCTTGCGCTTGATCGGTACCGAAGTATTCCGTCACTTTGATTTTGACATCGCATAGATCTCGTTCACGGGCCTGGCGCTTGCGCTTCTTCTTGTTGGGATCCGTGCTCTTCGGGGTGCCGCTAGGTCTGCCCTTCAGACGACAATCCCAATAGTGGCTTACAAATGGTTTACGCTTGTACTTCTGAGTAGATCGGTGTGAATAGATGTTGTCCACGTGGGGAAAGTAGGTCAAGTATTCTTCTTCCGACAAGACAAGAGGTTCGGTGATGTTGAAGAGCCTCTCGCGCCAGGCTTCGAGGTCGGGAGGATTTGGGATCAGAGGGAATGTGTCACTGAAGGGGTTTGCAGCCACTGCAGGATCGAGGTCTTGATCCAGATTCGAAGTGGGTGTCTCTAGTTGCATTGGATCGTGATAATGTGCCGACCAAGGGTCCGAATGGACGAGGCCTTGTGGAGTACTGTAGACCGGAGCCTGTTTTCCGACTAGTCTTGCGCTGGAATGCGGTGTGCCGTTGGGAAAAGCCGACGAAGAGTTCTTCCAGACAAAGTCATTTTGCGAGGATGCTTGTCCAAAGACTTGATGATCCTGAAAATCGATTGCCTGTGGACCGTGACTGACGACATTGTCATCTGATGATGCCGTAGTCAGATCTTGAGATGATCGCGTGTGGCGCGTCTGGGGTGGAGAGAGTGTGTGTACTCGGTGTGAGGTCGATTGGTCGTGGCCATGATCGTGGTGTTCTTGTGTTTGTGATGCCGGATCCTCGTTCTGCACTTCCGCGTTCACATCGTAGGCCGAGATATTGGGGTCGATTGAGTCGGCAGGAGCATAGCCCGCAGCTGCGGCAGCTACCTCTTGAGCAGTTCGCGGGGCATTCGAGTCGTTGTAGGGGGGATATTGAAGAGGCTGCGCGGACACCGCAAAGTTTCGCAGAGCCTCTGCATCCATGGCTGGACAGAACCCTTGCCGAATTTCACTATCGCAGCGAGGTGCAGGACGCAATCGCGAGGTGGAACTTGGGAGGAAATTATTGAGAAGCAAAAGCGGCGACGAGCGAGGGAGCCTGAGAGTGAGATTGGGAAATTCGAGGGAATTTGTAAGAGGCAGGTAACGGAAAGCGTGACTGCACGTGATGAGATACACGAGACTGTTAGGTAATCATATACGGTGAAGTATTAACACAGCAGACCCGCCAAAGTCATTCACCGCAGTGCACTGGCTCCGCTAGACATGTGCCTACACGCACCCTCTCTCCCTCAGCCATTCAACCCATCTTCCGGTCCTTCTTCTTGTCATACGCACTTGAGTTCTTGAACGGGAATCCTGCCATGCGCTTGTCTGCTCCTGTCCGCTTCGAAACTCTGCCTGTCGAGGTCCCGAAAACCACACACCACAAGCCGAAGCTCGCCATTGCTGCGTACCCGATAGTCCCAAGTAGATAACCAGTCTGTCGGTAGTTGATCCATCGCCCATAGCAGTAGATCATGCTCAGCGCATGGAAGAACGTGGTGATACGCAGGATTGGCAAAGCATACGGTGCTTTGGGGTCGTTGTCCTCTAGACTGACCGGCTCTGTGATGCTCGATGACAATGGTACTGTGCCCGTGAAGAACAGGACAATCAATGCGATCAACAATAGAGCAAACCCCAGCGATCGGCTGAAGTAAACCTCAAGCTCTGCTCATGCATTCTATGTGTGAGCTGTCGTTCGTCTATGCCCGGTGAGCACTGCCGATGGATGTGCTTACCGGTCGTCTGATGTAAAGCACCGCTGGCTAACACTGTGATAACTAATTTGGGCATCGCAATCAATGGGACGGCTTGTATGCCCAACCAGCCAGCTGTTCCATAGGTATAGGCATAGAATACCTGTTCTCGTAGGGCAATGTATCAGTGCTCTGGATACAACATGACGCAAAGCGTACGCTCAAAGTGTACTCACGTCCATGATTGAAAATGAGGCTCTTCTTGTTTGATAGGACTTCTGTTATGACTAGTCAAAAGCGACGAAGATTTATTGAGGTTTCGTTGATATGGATTATCTCGGCAACATTTGTCTATGCTTCGTGAATCGCGACCAAAGGGGTGGCAGAGGGAGTGACGTCAGCCAAAGAAGCACACTCAAACTGGGGGCGGATTCCTCGAGACAATCACAAAACAGGGTGGTTGGAACATTTCAAAAGTCATACTGGCGGCTTGTTATCATTGCGTCAAAACGAAGACTTCCATGGCGCTTCTCCAATAGACCAAGACGACCCGTGTACGAGTCTGTAAATGGGTTCACAGCTCAAACAAAATACTATCGCTCGTTGGTACGCTTTACGGCTCGAACGAGCCTGCTTTTTTCTTAGCTGTCTACGAACTCCTGCTGTGATGCTTTTGTGGCCGGCTTTCTCTTGCAACATGCATATCATCATCGTGTCGTTGGCCGCAGAAACCGTCCATGCTTCAAAAGTGCCCATACTCTTGACGTATAGACCCTGTCTGTTCATCACGAGTTCTGGAAGGCGTTGAATGCTTTGTAGGTGTATCCAATAAATGGCAGACTCATCTCGGCATCTTGCTCGGGCAAGACCTGCTTGGCTTGAGCACGATGCATAGCTGTATTGTCCTCCTGCGGAATCTCATCGATGGGGAAGTAGCTGACATCAATATTGGAGGATAATCTCGGCTCGAATGGTGCTCGAATCTTTCTTAGCTGATCCCAGACAACACCCCGGAAGAATGGATGCTTCTTGATCTGCGAGGCCCCGTCGTGTGCTCCTCCTTCTTTCCCTAATCTGTCGTTGGCATCACAGAGAAAGCTACAATTGTCAGCAAATTATATGGAGGCGGCTTGATTCAGCATACCTTCGGATCATATCTTCAGCATCACGTCCCAACACAAGTTCGTCGGGAAAGTAAAGAGATTCACGCCAGTTGACAATCTTGCGGTAGGTGTCATGAGTGTCCTCGGCGCAGAACGGAGGCCAGCCAACAAGACATTCAAACATGATTGCCCCGACAGACCACCAATCGCAAAGGTAAGTGTAGCCTTGACCGAGGAAAATTTCTGGGGCAATGTAGTCAGGTGTGCCTACGGTGGAATAGGCCATATGTCGCCGAGATTTTCTCCAGGTATTGACCAAGCCACGATTGCTCACTGTCAAGTTGATCTGTTCATTGAGTGCCATCGAGTTCCGGTTGCCTGACTTGTCGTTTGCGTTAGACTTCAGAAGTGCTTGGTAATAGGAATTTTCGTGCTGCTTCCGACCGCCTGTTGAGAGGCCAAAATCAGTCAGCTTGATATGGCCACCTCGATCCAGCAGGATATTGTCAGGCTTGATATCACTATGTGGCTCATCAGTTTGGAACAAGAGTATATCGTGCTGTTCAACTTACCGATGAAGAAATCCCAGTTTGTGAACAGCCTCGATTGCCATGACAATCTCAGCCATATAGAACCTGGTGATATCTTCCGAAAAGATCTCGTACTTGATCAACATGGTCATTAAATCGCCACCAGGCAAAAATTCCATCAGCATGTACAAGAAGGCCGAGTCCTGGAAGGAAGCATGGAGCTTGACCAACCACGGGTTGTCCTTGGAATCAGCCAATATATCACGCTCGGCTCGAACGTGAGCTAGTTGGTCTTTCTTGAACATCTCAGATTTTATCAAAGACTTCAGAGCATAGATCTTGCCATCCGTCTTGCGCTGCACCAGTCTGACTTCTCCAAATGCACCTTTCCCAATAACCTTGATTGTTGTGAAGTTCTGGGGAGATTCTCTAGTCCGAATAAACCGCAAGAATCGAGCTTCTTTCTGTGCCAGCGTGTTGATCTCCTTCTGTTTCTCAATGTCAGAGACACTAGGATTCTTGAGAACAGCGTCCAACTCCTTGGCACGACTATTCCGGTCTCTTGCTCGTTCGATGTTTTCCTGGAAGAAGCTGTTCACCAACTGTTTTGCAGCTGTCCCCCTCTTGATGACGTTGTCAGAGTACTTGCGTGGGTTTGGCTGCTCTTCCTCCTCAGGCTTTGGGGCCGGTCTAGGCATGGGGGGTGCAAGGTGACTCTGGTATGGGTTCGGTGCCTGTCTGCCATCACCAGCGGTTCGCGGGCGTGCGTTCGCGGGCGATGGGGTTCGATTGACATTAGCGCTGCGTGGTGTTGCACCCAGATCTTGATTCGAAAATTGTTGGATCAGACCATTGGTTCCATCATTGTTGGTATTGGCCATGTACGGCCGGGCGTTGGCTTGGTAGGCGGGCTGGGGGGACTGTAAGCCACCCTGTGTCTGATATTGGTATTGCTGCTGATATTGTGCCTGCTGCGCTTGGGGGGAGAAGGCTTGGTTCATGAAATATCCATTGTTCGTTGCAGGGTTGGGAGACAACATCCCCCCAGGGTACTCCTGCTGCTGCCCACCATAGATCGGCTGTGGAAAGGTAGAAGGAGTGGTTGGATACATGCGGGCATTGGCTGCATCGAAATTGTGCTGGTTGTCAAACTGAAAGTTTAGACGCAGCCGGTTGTTGTTGTTAGGGTTATTGTTGTTGAGGTTGTTGTTGTTGTTATCGGCCTCCATGACGAAGATACGCTGGTCTTCTGAGACTTTCACTGTGACAAGCGTTGATCGGACCTCCAACGTGTATTGTCCAGAAACAGACAACGCAAGTTAGGAGAAAGCAGGCCGTCGTTCGCTGGTTCGCCTGTTGTTGCAGGGGTTCAAATCGAGAACAAGCGGTGTCTCGCCTTGTCGCCGGAAGGAGGTGAAGGCAAGAGCGGTGTGTTGTGGAACCCGCTCTCTACAAGCAAAGAGTATTCTGTGTCGCTACTTGCAGATGCAAAGAGGAGATATCGACAACAGCAGAGGAAGTGGCGTGGCTGTTCAAGAGAAAAAAGGGCGCAGGGTCGAGGAAAAGGGTGCGCAGGGGCAGTTGGCAGTTCAGAGAACAGGTCACATACGGGTCTGGTGAATCTAGCTTCCAAGGAGGCCACCACCCGCCACGGGCACTAAGCTGCTGCGTGGGAGCTTAAAGCAACTCCCTGAAACCAGGCCCAGGCACCCTATGGCGGCCATTGGTTCTCACACTACTACCTGAGTAACGCCCATGAATCGGTTAACAGGGATAAGCACGCTTCCATCACACCTCTACCGGCGAAGCAAAGAGGATCCCGGCAATACAGAGACATATCGGTCAATCCTGGCGTGTCTCGTACGGCCAAAATCACATGCAGTGACACTGACATCTTCCTCACAGTGTTACTCCTTAGCTTTGACCATCGACCGGCTAGTACTAGGAAGTGTGCTACTGAGGGAGCACAAACCGAAGACCGGATACTACATTGATGGCGCTGTACTAGGTGCGATGGTTTGCACCCTTCACCAGCAACGATACCTGTATTGTTAAGGCTTTGCACCATGTGCTTGGTCGCCGCTTGAACACCTCATTTTCGTAGGCTAGTGAGGCTAGTGAGGCCGGGTTAAGGTACAGTAGCTGTAAGGCTCGAGTTAGTTAGAGCGTTGTAGGCTTCACCATCCCCAAAGTCTGGCTCCCCGCAGTGCCGGTGAGTTACGCCGAACTGTCAGTTCTTGGAAGGTTAAGCGACCATCGCCTACATTTTTTCGGTGAGCTGCACCCAATCCGTGAGCATGTGAGCATGTGCCCATCTGCCCTTGAGATCCACGACAGAACAAGCACGGGCTGTAACGACCTGCCACAGCTTGCGGCACTCAAAGAACAATGAGTGAACCTCCAAAAGCAGACACCCTTCCCGGTGGTGCTCAATATGAAGCGCCAAAACCACCGCCGAAGCAGAATCCAGTCTTCCGCATGATGGGTAAGTCAATCAACATTCGTTCAGGTTCAAGTCAATGGGTGACTGACTTTGGGCAGGCATACCCAACTTCCGATTCAAGTTACCGTCACGGAACTGGATGATCTTCCTTACCATAACCGGCGGTTGGACGGCAGCAGTGCTCTATGACAAGCGGGAGAAGAAGAAGGCGCAGAAAAAGTGGTGCGATCTGGTAGCTCACATCGCTCAACAGCCGTTACCCGTCAATCAAATGCCTCGAAAATTGACCGTGTTCCTGTCTGCTCCGCCTGGAGACGGGATCAGCCCGTCCAGGCAGTATTTCAAGGAGTACGTCAAGCCGGTGTTGGTCGCTGCGGCCATGGACTATGATGTGATCGAAGGACGAAAGGAAGGCGATGTGCGATACGGAACGGCGGAGCAAATCAGAAGGCTACGGCGGAAGAAGGGCGAGAAAGGACCTGAGACGAAGGAAGAGCAAGACATGGACGCCGAGACAGCCATTGGTCTGATCCGAGAGAAAATGGGTGTCGTCTCCGAGCCCGTCACTCGTGGTGATCTAGTTCTTGGTCGACATACGTGGAAGGAGTACATAAGAGGTCTGCATGAAGGCTGGTTAGGTCCCGTCGAAGAACCCATTCCGCCACCACAGGCAGAGTTAGAGTCGGAGTCATCACCCATCCATGTTTCCACCGGAGCTCAAAGCAACGAGCCAGCCACACCAACCACAGCCTCGAACGCAGAGTCAGAGAAGAAAGCCGAGGAAGAAAAGGAAAAGGAAAAGGAGAAAGAAAAGAAGAAACCGTCACCGCCTTTCGCGTACATTTCGACCGTTCAGTACTCACAGGCATCCCCATCTCCACACATACCCGGGACCTTTGAACCGTCCCAGCCCATCCACCAACAGCACTTGCTAGGTTTTCTGAAGACGCCGCAGAGGATATACAATTTCCTCAACCGACGACATCTGGCGGACCAGATTGGTCGTGACACGGCAGCCATCGTACTGGCCAACTACCGACCGTACCAGCATGGTTCGTCGGTCTCGTCATCACTGAGCAGCGCTGAAGACCTCGATGCAATCCCGGTGGCTACAAGAGCGCCTGAACTTGACGCCGCCAGTACCAGCCCGAGTCAAGAATGGGAACAGCAGCAACTTCTTAAGTCGGAAGAAGTGTACTGGCACAAATCCATCCGCAAGCCGCGGAAAGAAGGGGACGAGTCGGAACAGATATGGTTGAGCGACATGGTCATTGACAGCCGGATCGGCGAGCGCATGCGGAGATTCGAGCTGTCCGCCGAGGAAGACGACAGAGCGAACCGAATTGCCAGCGGCGTCGAATCGACTCGAGCTGTTCCCGTGCAGGATCTTCGAAAGAAAAAGGTCAAGCTTGACGACATTTGACGGGCGGTGCTTTGACCTGGGGCTGTACCGCATAGGGCTCGTGCGTGTGGTGTGTGTGCCGCTGTTCCTTTCCCCCTTTTTCTTCAGAGATGAATGTTTCTTCTTCTTCGCCTGGTTGCCATCGGCTATGATGCAGGACTGTTTTCTTACAATACCCTACTCTGCACATACCAAAAGTAGCAAGCAAGTCACACACCCGACTGTACCAACACCATGAAAACTCAATGAGCTATTAATCTATCTGTTTCCACGTCTTTTTGTACGTTTGTGTATCGGAGGTTACGCCCGACAGTACGCGTCAGCGTAACTGAGGTTCAACTCTCACTCGCACGTCTCTTCTCCTCGACCCATCCGCGGCCGTCAGGTCGAGAAAGTCACCCCAGGCACGCATACCGTCTAGGATCTCCGTCTCGCGCTTCTTGAACCGCTGCCCTTGGCGGACGATGAAGGCCGAAGGAGACAATTGCGCCGCGTCGTTGTTGGACTCATTCATCACGTCGTCGTGGCCGGCGGACTCTTCCTCGCCACCGCCGCCGCCGCTCTGAACGTCATCCACGTCCCAATCACCCCAGGTATCCCAGTTCTTCCCTGCGATGCCGTCTTGGCGTGTTGTTCGCGAGATCGGCTCGACAGGGTCATACTCGTGAGACTCGTAGACTAGCCTGAACTGCAACGCCGGCATTCCGAATTGCTTCGCCAACAGTGCTTTAAGTCTATAAACGGAGATCGTCGTGGGCAGGAACCGCTGATACGCGGTCTTCTGCGGCACCCACTGCGATTTGGTCGCGCCGCTCTCTGATGTTATCGTAGACGATGAGGCGAATGGTAGTGGGATGTAAAAGTGCGCCTCGACGAGTCTAGATCCCAGCGTTCCAGGAGCGTAACTGTCCAGCTCCGACACTTGTCCCTTTGCCTTCGACGCGCCGTCTCTCCCCCGTCGCTCAGCCTGAATCCTCTCCTCCACGAATCGCGCAATGACATCTTCGCGATCGTACTTCGCGCACAGGCTGGTGTAGAGCGGATACGCCCTCCGCGCCTTCCTCGCGCGCTGTTCCACGTCTTCCGCGCTGCGCGCTGCGTGTCTCTCGTCGCCTGACGCCTCGAGAAGAGGAATGATTTCCTTCTCCGTGACCGACAGATAATAGATCTCGCCCTCCTCCCTGTCCCGGTCCGTAATGGTCGTATAGTTCAACGACTTCAGCCCAGGCACCCTGGCAAGCGTTAGATAATAGTTTGTCGAGTCCACCGTTCTTGAGTGCCGTCTCTGTTCCAGATCCTGTTCGTCACGTTCCTCTCCGTGCACCGCGCTCTCGTACAGAGGGTTTCTCGAGATCCGCAAGTTCGTCAAGTTGGGGAACAGTCCAGGCAGGCCGTCGACGAAATCGTAACCCGGTATGTCGTTTCGCGCCAGATTGAGTGTTTCGAGGGTTTCGAATCTGATCGAGTCTGACCCTCGTAGACCGTCCAGATTGAACTTTGATATTGAATTGCCCTGCAACGACAACGACGACATGTTGGGGAACAATGCGACCAGGTTCGGTAGCGAACTCAGGTCTTCGAACTTGTTGTTGTCCAGGACGACCGTCGTCACGCTCGGCGTTCTCCCTTCCGGGCCTTTTCCCTTGACGAAAAAGTGCAAGTTGTTCGATGAGAGGACCAGGGTCTTCAGGTTCGGGAATGCCGTGGACTCACCACCGCCGCCGCCGGATGACGGCGAGAGGATCTGGACAATCTGCTCGGGGGAGAGGAGACACTCGCCGAGATGCAACTCCTCGATGTTTCGAAACGGATTCTCCGCTCCATCGGAGGGGCTTACCTGAGCCTTGAAAGAGCGCAGTCGCAGTCCGCTCGCCTTGAGTATCTTCAGCTTTTTCAGCGGCGCGCAAATGTCGCCCACGTCCGCCCACGTCTCGATTGCGTTCCACCCGACGTCGAGCTCGACCAAGTTCGGACACGTGCTCGCGAGTTCCTCTTGCGCGGCTCTGATCTCGTCGCTCGACGCGCCGCGCCTCGCCACCCCCGAGACTACGAGTTCATCGACCAGCACAATCTTCAGGTCCGCCAGCACCGACAGCTGAGCTTGGATCCGGTCAAAGCCCACTTCCTCGACGACCTTCCCGGATATTGCAATCGCTTCCGCGGATCCCCTGGCGCCATTGGCCGACGGGGACGGCTGCTTGGGCGCATACTTGAACTTGATCGCCTCGAGGACCGTTCGTTCTGAGTCTGGGGTTCTCGATGGTCGGATGAATGATGCCGCCGTGGGAGATGGCGACAGACATTCAAACAGCCGTATGCCTTCCTGCTGCCCGTCGTGTTTCCCACGCGTAGGGTCGTCCCATTCAACACCGATCCATTCGCCCTTCAGTCCCGGGAGTGGCCCTTGGTACCGGACTGTGCAGAGAGCGCCGCCGTACGAGCGGCGCTGTCCGATGTAGACTTCTCTAGTTGCCATACAATCCACCAGTTCCTCGTGGATCTAATCTTAGAAGCTGAACCGCGGATCCTGAGGCTTCGACTACCACAACTGGATCAGATCAGGGGTAGAGTCTCCATGCCAGTGTTCGTCGTCGAGATGTTGGACTTCGTTGGGTGTAACCAAAGTTTTCCAGGGTGCCCGACCGACTGGGGAAGAAACATACAATTGGTCTGCTGGGGCATCTATTTGACAAGCACCCAGCTGTCTGTGTAGACGTTGTAGGCTGTCTGTCTAGATTCTACCAGGATAAGACGCCTATTCCCTTGGGTACAGTGCCTGGAAAGCATTGATGCCTCCCTATGCTCCGCCGTACTTCTTTCTGTCTCGACCATTCCTCCTCTCCTCCAAATGCCTTCTAGCAAGCCTCGTTTGCTGGGAGACCCTAAAGATTGGTTCTTTCGTTGCTGCTCGTGAACTCTATCTTGAACAGAAGAGCTTCTTGTCGAAGCAGAAAGTATGGGGGGTATCATGTATTGAGTCTAATCCTATGAACACCAGGTTGGTACTCTACCAAAGTGCTGCTAGTTACGTAGAGACACGGCCTTTCCCAAAGCAATGCAAAGCAACATCTCTGATGGCCTTCAACCCTCCCTCGAGGCAGAACCGAGTAAGTGGAATGGAACGCCATAACCGCCTTGCAAGAGATGCAACAGCCCAATTCGTACCGCGTTCAAGAGCATGTAGCCTCCGGGGGTATCCTCTTAATCCTTGCCCAATCCGTGATGTTTCGTAATCAACAACTCCGGTTGAATCTATGCGTTGGCGCCGCGTCCAAGACTCTGCTCTGTAGCCGATCCGATTCAATCGGCACGCCTGGGGTTCACTGTTGCAAAGTCAACTAGAACCCCCCTACATCCTTGACGTCTTCAAAGACGTCGCTATCGTCGTCGTCTAGGCCTGATTTGTCCATGTCAGAATCCTCAACCTTTGGAGCTACCACTCCGGTTGGGTTCTGCAATCTTGGATCTGAACTCTTGTATTCGTCCTTGAGTTCCCATTTGCCATTGAAGTCGCCTGCCTTCCACATGAAAGCAATTTCGTCCAGTGTTTGCCTCAGATATGTTTCTGGTTGGTTTACCTTCGCTTTGAGATCCCGCAGACCCCAGATACGATGTTGTTTGAACAAATCAAGGAGCTTATCAATAAGCACATGTTTGTCGACACGAGCAGCACGATTGTCCTTTTGTGCTTGTTTCCTCGCTTGCGCATTCTGTTGCTGTTAGCTGGATCCAACGGGGAGTAGGGGTTGGGAATTCCTACCCTCAAGGCGTTCGCTCTGTCGGTCATCGTCATAAGTGGTATGTGGTGTTTCGAAGGGTCTTTCTTTGGATCAAACACAGCGGTCTCTCGTTCAGGTGGCCTCAACATTTGCTCCGCTTTCTTGTTTTCGATTATGAAATATTCATCATTCTTGACCGGGATCGCCTCAAACTCTCTGGCTACATTCCCGGTGACAGCAGTCTGCTTGGGGATCGGTCGTCGTGCATATGGGATGAATCGACCTTTATTCTCCTTCTTTTTCAGCTCGCGCTTGTGTCTTTCATACAAGTACGACCTTCCCTGGCCCGGATTTCCCTCTTCGTCAATCTCGTCCCACGCAAAGGCGCGCGGTTTGTAGCCAGGCAGATCTTTCTCGGAGAAAACAAAAGCCTGGCCCGGTCGTCGAACTCGAAGTTTCTCGGGAGGCGGGATATTTAAGATGTATTCTTTAGGCTCATTTGCGAGCTGAGGCAGTGGCTTTAATAGCATGCTGACCTGCAGTTCTAGTCAGCCTGCCGTGCCATTGAAATCATCGGCGGCGCACATACTCTTGAGGGGTTTGTCTCGGGCCCTTCCACCCGTATCGTACCTATCTCAATCTCATCCTCATCCTGCATTTTCGAAAGTGCCTCCCATAGCGTCTTGGGTATATGACTTGTCCATAGCTGTTGCTGCGCCTGAGAGAAGTCCAAATCGCCTGTGTCCTCATCGTACATCTCCTCATCCTCGTCGACGTAAGGCGATGGGGTGTCCTCGGTGGGTTCTGGCTTTATGTTAATATCGGGAACGGATTCCAGCTTCACTCTGGGTATACCAGAGCCTTGGAGCGTAGCCATGCTGGGATTGCTGTGTGGTAACAAAGAGGCACGACGCTTCTGGTATGGAGATCTGTGCCCATTGTCTCAAAGTTATTGCAATGCGGAGAAGGGCCAACATGACGCATGGATGACGCTTCCGAATTTAGGTTTCACCGTAGTGATATACGTTGGAGCATCACATACAGAGTACATGTGGCTCAATGTAGTTCAAGCAAACTTTTATGCCAGCACGACCAGCTTGAAATGCCTGCCTGAACGCCTACTTCTATACTCTAAAGATGTCTGCATGGTAGTAGAGATGTCCTTCTCTCTGAAGCCATCAGGGGTGCATGGTCTTCTGGTCATGGTTCAATATTTACCAACCATTCGGCCCTCCCTCGGTATCGTATAACATGCCAGGTGAAGTACTACTCAATTCCCCGGACTCACAGTCAACTACGCCATGATTATTGGTTGTCTTCTGAACCCATCGCCGATATGAACAAGGGCGAGGTCTATCGCTCCTTTCTGCGCTGCCGTTGGATACTCAGACCTTTGCAGCATCTTCAATGGTATGACCAGCTGCATTGCAGCTACCACATTGACTTCTTGAAATCCTCTCCCTGGGTTTCGTCCAGAAACAGAGGAGTTAAAGCTTCCTAGAGGCGTTACATCTCCTAGAGCGTAGGCGGTCAGCCAGACAAGCTCGGATGCTGTAATCTGGATCATGTTTCGATACCCGGCAATCTTCAACTCGGCCTCCATGGCGTCCCTTTGTCGAGCGTTCAAAACATTCTGCAATTCAATTAGGCCTTCGTAAAGCTTGACCCGAGCAGATAGGAATCGTATCCAGTAAAGATAGACCCAAAAGCTGTAGAAATAGAATTGCGCATGAGAAGGATACAACGACCACATCGTGCCTGCGGTGCCAGACTGTACGTGCAAAATATCCCAGCCAGGTTCGTCTTTGCTCCAATCGACCATGCCTTCGTCAAGAGACTCTCCGTAGTTGAGCAATTCGTTCCCAGAGCTTGTCTTTGGGGGTCGGCTCGCAGTGTGCTGAGCGAGGACTCCTCTGATCTTCTCCAGAAGCCGTGCAACGCGATGAAAATACGCTGTGGCTCTATTGGCTGTTTGAGAAGGCACGAACTCTATGAAACAGAAAGATATGAGTTAGAATTCTGGGAATTGGCACGGGAATCTGAAACTTTAGTCGTCGGTTTCGCTTACCGTGTTCTTCTTTGAATACGTCAATGTCCAGCTCATCAAAATCCTTGTAGGTGATAGGGGTCAAGATCAACAACCGCATTTGCTTGAATATATTTAGTAGGTATGCTTCCGGTGGGCAGCGAATACCTACGATGGCAGCTTTGAAGATACGGAAAATCTTTTCTGAGCGACGATTCGTGAATTGTGACATCCCCCGAAGACGCAATAGACGCAATGCATCCCGAACGTGCGACAAATGCGATAGCCATTCTTCATCTGCGTTCTTGGAGTCAACTGACCTCCTCCCATGTGATAATAGAACACTGATATGCTTTAGGATTGTCAGTACGCTACACGTTCATTCAATAGGACCGACCGACCTCGTAGAGCCCAAGAAGCCAGACGGCGAGGACAGTCTCGTCCTGGATGGGGGCGACAGAATTGCGGATTGTGGCCTTGGTCACGCTTAAAGCGCGACCATATTCACGCCCGGTTTGAAGCCTAATGTCGCGCCCACTGTACCGATCCGCCAATGTCAGCCGTGACACAGCTGTTGCTGCTTGATAGATGCCTGAGTCTGGCTCCGACTTCTGAATCAAGTCTGGTAAGAAATCAAGCACGGGAAAGGAATAGAGTCTTCCTGCCTGGAAGCAGAACAGATTGAGGAAGAAGCACAACGACTGATGTTGGATATCGTAGCGTGGCGGATGCGAAATTGAATGCTGATCATACCCTGCTCTCTGGACCAAGAGTTTCGAAGAATGATCTTGTGCCTTGACCTGGCCTCCTAATGCCCAAGCGTCATATGTCTGTAATGAGTTTGAGCCAACTGATCTCTCTGGCTCGGGCAATGCTGTCTCTAGGGACGTGCGATTGGGTATGATCTGCAATTGGACTTGATACCGATAGCCCGGACATGGCTTATGTATCTGAGCGCATCGTCTACAGCCTGGTTTACCTTCATCACACTGAGTATGTCAGTATAAAGATGCATCACTGAGGGATGACTTGCCTTGATCTTTCGCTTGCGGCACAAGCTGCACCCACTGCTGGATTTGCCAAGGTTACCCATAGAACTCGATAAAATTCCAGATACAATTGAGCCGTGAGCTGTTAATGTCGAGCAGAATGAAGAATGCTGTATTGCGATGGAACCGAATTGGCATATAGCGCTACATGAATGCAAGGTTGTCGGCAATATTGCAAACAGATGAAGAAGAAGGCATATCGAGCGTTAACGAGTGGCGAGAAGAGCAGTCGGACTTCCCTCGAAGACTACTCATATCCCACAAAGCCACCAAGAGTATTTGCGTGTATCATGGTGTGAGGGGGTAATTAATAGGGAGGCGATACTCGGCTTGTGCGATGGTATGCAGTTGGACGGACTTATGAGAGAAACCAAAACGCAACTTAAGAGGGTGATCAAATCATCAGTGGTCAGAGGAAGCAAGGGAAGCTGACTGTGCGAGTACGACAACATGGCCCTGACCTCGCTTGATGACCTGGATGCAAGGTATGGAGCATAAAAGGCAGAAGCCGGAGGGTTGTAAGCCCGAGGTAAAGGAGGGGAGCCAACAACAAGCTTCCGCCTAAGCCATATATATACAACGGACAAATCATTGGCACCCCGGACATGTGGATGCTGACGAAGTCTGCGCTATGATGTACGAATTATGGGCATATGATAATGATTAAGGGGAGGGGTATTGCATTGACAGATATACAGTAGGTACTTGAACTGGATTCTTGGCTCGAAGAGATGTGTCTCCCCAGCTCGGTCAGCGTCCACTGGCTTCAAATCCCCAAGGTTAGACCATATGAGTCTCTTGGCCACTACAACAATGACCTTGATGACTGCTCTCTAAGTAGGGAACGGACAGCTCTTTAGGCGAATGGAACAATGTTCAAAGTTGAACATTGTCGAGTCAAGTTCCTGGTCACATACTTCGACTCGATCCCTGCTGCCCAGACTCTGGCGATGTCTCGAGTATTCGAAATGTTGACCAGTGGATTTGAGTTGAGCAGGACCAAGTCCGCGCGCAGACCCGGAGCAATTTTGCCTCTACCAGACAGTCTCTGAGTTAGCGCGGGAATCACGGTTGCAGCACGAAGCGCCTCGGTCGTAGTCAGTCCTGCCTCAACAAGATACTGCAACTCGCAGTGCAGAGCTAGGCCGTACGGCATGCTGATGTTAAATTGCGGCAGTGCGGCCGAATCCGTGCCTGCGAGCAAAGGAATGCCTGCTTGATGCAATGCCCTGACATTTTCGACCACCGTTGTGAAATTTGCTGTACCGTTTGCGCCCTGGCGAAGAATCTGCTGGAGTAGAGGTTGGTTTTTACCGACACGGAAGATAGCCATGGTGGGAGTGACAATCTGCTTATTGCTGACTATCTGCTGAATGAGAGATTTGGGCAAGGCCTTGTCACCAGAGATGTGTTGCAAGATTTCCGTCTTAGACTTCACTGCTTTCGTAAATGTCTCGAGGTACGTGGCATGCGTAACTGAGTAATATCCGAGTGTGCGTGCCGCCCTGGTCAGTTCGTTCATCTGGGCTTGTGTGAGGCCGTTTGCGCCTGGTTGGTCAACGATTTTCAACCAAGTCGCTGGTGATCCTGTGAAGAACTGGTCATCAACGTATTTGGTAACATTGTCGCCCGGGTGTATGGCGCTGTTTGTTGATCCGAGAAGGGGCGAGCCGGTACCGGCGATAGTGGCTGCAGCCGTTGCAGTGAGAAACTGAGCATGACCGGTAACCTCTGCAAGAGCGGAGCAGAGTGTGTAATTTCGACACACCATGTTCATCCCCGTAGTGACGCCATAGGACGACAGGATTTCAAGGGTATCCAACGTCTCGATGTGGAGATGGCTGTCGATGAGCCCTGGAATAAGAAATTTGCCGGTGCCGTCGACTTCCAAATCCGCCTTCTGGTGAGGCCTATAAGGTGCAACTTTGCCACTGTCGACAAAGATCGTCTGGGGTCCGGTCATCCTCTCCCCGTCGAAGACTCGCACATTCTTGATTGCGGTACTGACATGGGATGCAAGATGCTGCGAACTAAGATGCTCTAGGACCTTGTCGATTGATGGCTGCAAATCGCCGGTAGGTATTCCATGAAAAGGACAAGCAATTGACTTGCTTGTGCCTATCACTATTGCAGCCACAACAGAGGTGAAGAATTTCATGATGATGGGTGTGAGAAGAAAAGTGAGAAAGCATGAACCAAATAGCAGGGCGAGACTGAGACTTCCATTCCGGTTCAACGTCCCGGGGAAGAATTTATATATCGAGAGCAAGATGTTTGTCTTTCACAGCATCCAAGTTAATTTCATTCACTTACCCGCATTTTCACTGCATGCTGCATCTTCGCTTACTGTGATTCACTGTAGCAGGGATACAGAAGAGCATGGTCACAAGACATACCTGGTGCCAGATTAAAAGTACGGGGTAATTGGAAAGTCGGATGCGGAGCATCGTACACTAGTCCTCTTCGAGATTCGGCTCATTGCAATAACCAATGTATAGTTGAGATTGACGCCCTCGCTGTGCCACACTCTTCTCTTGCGAGAAGCAGTGCTGTAGTAGACCGAGCATGTGGGACACATGGGAAGGTTGTTCCCACTTCTCAAGGACGCATAAACGGCACAATGTGGCCAAGTGCCTCATCTTTTGTTCGTTCCCGTCAAGCGACACTCTCAATGTAGCTCGCGCCGAACACCCGCCATAGTGGCCTGTCATTCCAAGTCCCGCAATGGCTGCTGCCAGTGCAAAACGCGAAAAGTCAAGGTAGGTGTGTGAGTGGACTGGTCTCCGAACAAAGATATCCTGAATGCGCATCAGCTCACTCAGCCCAATGTGAAGGGCCGTTATATTGGCCCCGTGTGCTCGAATTTTCGACGAAGAGTGGAAGGATGCAGTTATAGCGTCGAGTTTGATAGAGTGATAGGGGGCGTCGCCGAGCCTTCCAATGAGGAACTCGAGCGAGTCCCGCCCGCTCGGGACGCTGTGTTCACCCGTTCTCAAGAAGTCCCAGATCTCGGGTCTGTGCTTGGGTGCAGATGGGGAGCACGTTGAGCCTCTGTTCCGACAACGTATATTCCCTCTGATTTTTGACTGGATGTGCATTGATAATGCTGCATGGCTTCCCCAAGCGTTGAGCAGTCAATAACATGACTGCAAGTTTGCACGAGATCTAGTGTTGACAATTTCCTCGATCCCGTTGTACCTCGTCGGTGAACATGGGCATACCTAGGTATGCACAGATACAAAGACCTGGCTTATCGATATGCCATTGGCGGCTCTCAAATGTTCAGATTCCGCTTACGGACATCATCCATAGAATCGATGGCAGGTAGTCGTTTTTGCAATGTTGTTTGCTGTGATTGCACCCGCTGTGTATCATTTATCACCCTGGGATTCGTGAAGAAGGGCCGTCTGTGATTGATAGGCTGCAACCAGCAGATTTCATACTGCTCTTTTGCCCCCGCATGAATTTGCCGGCAATGGCTCGTCCCTTTCATAAGCCAAAGTTTCGGGAGACGTTCCTAGGCGTCCTTGGAATACACTGTTGAGGAATCCAACGCCGAGTTGGCGCCTGTCAAGGAAGAAACAATGGAAAGCTTGATTCATTGTGAAGGGGCTTTGCTGCATTGCCAGAACACAATAGATTTTTCACTGAAATCGTGTCCCTGTACGAAGAGACTATTCTGGATCGCATGACTGCATTTGAGAGCTGTTCACAGCTCCAGAAGACTGGAGTGTCCAAGGAGTTGGCCATCAACGGCTTTTACCGACTGTCTCCGGGAAAGCTGTCCAGCCGCTGTGAGGGGTTTCCTTCATTGGTGTACAATGGTTAGATAGATTCAGGAACGATGTTATCTCACGAAGCGATACAAAGAATGGCATCGAAATACCCCGTAGGATCAAACGTCCGATATCTGGCTTGTCTTCTGGGGGCGATAAGCTGTAAGACGAAATTGGACATTCTAGTCCGCAAGGAGGCCAGAAGGAAGCGCTGCAAGCTTCTGGACTGTTGAGATCATACCAGAAGAATGCCTTAGACATATACCGTACAACCTGTGGTGACATACTTCTGTTTGTGGTGCTAGTGAGCTGCAGAAATAACAACAGGCAGGACAGGATGATGCCCGGCAGAAGCCTCCCAGCCGTAACCAGTGCCGCCCCTCGGATTACCTGCCTATCGGGGCCATCATCTATTGACTTGCGCATGCCGCAACCCTCCACTCCAGCCTCGACCAGGTTCAACGTACCGCATTATCTCTCCTTTAGACCCTGATCGTGCTGTTGCGCACGGAAACATGCGTTTGCAGTGTTAGTTGATTCATCAGCGTGAGGAGGCATGGCCTCGCGGTTGGTCTTGGTCATTGGTGACCTGTTTATTCCCGATAGAGCACCGGTGAGCCCATGCTGCGACTAAGACTTCCAAGACGCATGCTAACCAGAGAACCAGGAAATCCCAGCAAAGGTTGGTTTCATCATATATACGCTATGGGCCATGTCTGACGCTCTTTATCCTAGTTCCGCAAGCTTCTCACACCCGGCAAGATCGGGCAAGTTATATGCCTAGGCAACCTTAACGACAAGGAAACATATGACTTCCTAAGACAAATCGCACCAGATCTACACATCGTCAAGGGTGACTACGATACCGAAACCTCGAATTTAGCCCTTTCAAAAGTTGTACAGCATGGTAGCCTCCGAATAGGCTTTACTCATGGACATACCATTATTCCCCAAGGAGATGCGGATGCGCTGTTGATCGCCGCAAGACAGATGGACGTTGATATACTGCTCTGGGGAGGGACTCACAAATTCGAAGCCTATGAGCTAGAAGGGAAGTTCTTCGTCAACCCGGGCAGTGCCACAGGAGCTTTCAGCACAAGCTGGCAAGCAATTGACGAAGAAACGACGCCTAGCTTTTGCTTGATGGACGTATGTACTCAAGGACCAGCGTTCGTGATTGCGGTTTCGGCTGACTCGCAATAGATCCAAGGTGATGTCCTAGTATTGTACGTTTACCAGCTCAGAACGGATGAGCATGGAAACGAGAACGTCGCAGTGGAGAAGGTGTCTTTCCGAAAACCAGCGGCGACCGATGTATGAAGCACCGCCGCTCATCATCCACGCGGTAATCGACTCGTCTACCAGACAATCGAACAGGGAGATTTACATTGTCAGCGTTTGCTGAAGATTTCGAGTCGAGCATGAATCCATGCTGGACAGATTATGACAATCCACAATATTCGAAGCAAAAGCGATGAGTAATTGGGGACATCTTGACCATTAGAGAGATCATGAGATCTCAGAAAGGTCTGTTTATGAGATGTAGGCCTTGAAAGACGAGTGGAAGGACATGTAGTCTGACAGTCTCTGTCAACTCTGGAAGAAGAGGCCCTCAATCATATTTAATCATGGAAAAACGCTAAACTCTAATAACAGTCTCGATTCATCGTCGAGGGCAGCTTCTGCAGAGAGACGCTGGTGCAGTCACTGATCAAGGAGCCGGACATCATCAGCCTTGGAGCTTGATGGCGACCTCGACCGTCTTGATCCACCTCAAGCGCGCTTCTGGCACCTCGTCTGCCTCGTAAACCGGCCTCTTCCGCTTCTTCTTCGTCTTTTTCCTTCTGGCAGGCTTATTCTTCTTCTCTTGACTCTGCACGTCGATGACACCGGAGTCAGATTCCTTCGTCTGCCCAGAAGCAGAAGCACCACTAGACCTGGTGCGCTCTGCCGAGCTCGTTTCACCTGCTCCCATGATCTCCAACGTCGTCTCGCCGTACACGATGGTCGTTTCGTCCTTGGTAGGCTCTTCCCCTTCGTGATCGTCGTCTTCGTCGCTGTCATTGTCGTCTGCTGGAACCTCAACAATATCGTCCACGACGCTCGCACTCCCCGTCCGCACCTCGACATCGCACAGATATTCCTGCTCCTTGTTCTTGAACCAGTCGCCCACCTTGAGCGCCTGGCCCATGGCCCGCCCACTGGCCTTGACCAGCACCTCCTCCTTGTTCGTCACGATGACGTCGTTCGCGGTCTTGAGCCTGTGTCTTCGGTCCTTGGCCCCCATGGTCACGCCCGCGGCCTGCATCGCGCGCTTCTCGATGAGTGAGAGTATCTTCTTGACGCGCTTGATCGCCGACATGAGCGGTGTGCGCTGTGACACGTAGACGACCTTGGGCACGGAAGCGCCGGCGTGGATGTTGGTCACGGGCGCATGGTTCAGCGGCCGGCGTTGGACGGTGTAGTTCGGAGGAAGGCTGTGCAGGTTGTCGTTCTTCTTCTCGTGTCTGAGCGCCGCAAGAGCACTGGATACATCGAACGGTTTGGTAGAGGCCGCACTGCTCGTCGCAGGTACTGTGGAGACCCCCTTGACTGCGCTTGTGCCTATGCCATCGCCAGTGCTCGCGACGTCGGAAGACATGATGGTGGTTTGGCGATCGAGTCGCGAGAGTGTATGTGCGAGAGAGAGGGACTCCTGCTGGCCACGAGGAGGCCAAAACCTCACTCTTTTGCTTTCACGAGTCGGGTCTCTCGCGGCTGGAAATTGAAGCCACAGTATTTCATGTCAATGTCTTCCCCATTAAAAGGACACAGTCTGGTTTTGCTGATCGACTGGCTGGTGTTTGCTGGTTGACTGCGTCGAAACTATTTTATGGATTTCGGAATGCGGGGGGACTTGAAAACACATGCTCCGCCGTACGACTGAATGAACGGTGGAGTATCGACGATCTTAGATCCAAGACATTTAACAGGGTACTTAAATTGCTACATAGCGACCCTCCGACAAAATCGAGGTAAGATGCTTGAAATATTGGACACTTTCTGTAACGCGCAAATATGCGCTACGTTCTTCCAAACTCCACTTCCGACCAGGCCTCCTGGCCGTACTTCTTCCTCAGAGCAGAGATGAGTTCCGTCCCCCACAAAGGTTTAATCTGGACGCACTTCTGACGGGGTCTCTACTACCAGAATGGACGCTCGTGACTGAAAAACCACGACCTGCTTGGGCAGTCGGACCAGAATCTTGCCGGGGCGTAGCACCTGAGGACAAGCTCCGGCTTGCTGTCTTCGCCGATAGATTGTATACTTGAGGGTTGGAGTATCGCTGTCCCGATAAAACAGCCCTTTTCCCGGGTGCCTATCTCTGGGTTCAGATATCATGTCTGACTCTTGACTCTTGGTGCATGCCGCTGAGCTCATTTTTGAACGCCCCCTTGACTTCCAAGGTGAGTTCCCAAAGGGTGCAGGGAAGAAACAAAGCTGTCTTGAACGGGTCTGTCCCGACTTCCACTGTGAAAGAGCTCAGGTAGATCATCGTGGCCTGTACGGCCCATACCCAGTCACGACGGACCACTGTGATCAGCTGGAAGTCGTCCCCAGGGCATAAGATATGGTAGTCAATGTTGACGGGACGCTGACCCCACAAAGAAGATTTAAAGGTATCCCCGTGATGTGCGTACAGTCCGAAGCATGACTCAGCTTTATCCATTGGGATAACCAGAGACGGATGATGGCCAGTCATCCTCGAACTTATCTGTCACAAGCCAGTCATCAAAGTCATTGACGGACGTTGGCATTGTGATTGAGTCCAAGTCCTCAACAATACTGCTTGCCGAAGCCGCAGGAGCAAGGTATTGCAAGGAGTTAGACATTGACAATGGCACACTATTTTTCGGCTGTCCTGACTGATTTGAATATCTTTGAGGCGATGTTGGAAAGTTGGCAGACGTTTCTGACTGTGTGATGGGAATATTCCATTCGGCCAATAACGCCTGTATTTCTGCAGCATTTCGGTGGAGGTCAATATCATCGTAATCAACGGGCGCGTCTTGAGCAGTTGTTCGCCGAGGGAGTCTCTTCAGATCTTCCACCCCGATACCAAGGTCTTTCAACACGTCTGAGAGTATTGTAGAGTCTTTAGAAGCGTCCTTTTCGTAGATTGCTCTCAGCGCGTTCAACAAAGCATCCCGCTGCGATTCTACCAAGTGGACATATTCTGCGTTTGGCGGTTTCGTGGTTGGATCTCGTTTCGACTCTCTGTTTGTGGTGCAGATCACCCCGTCACGCTTGCACTTTTCACAAATCTTCCCTCCCGAACAACGAGCCTTCTTCAGTCGGCACCGATCGCACGCTTTTTGATTGCGCCTGGGGTAGTAGCCAGCTACTTCTTCGCTTTCAGGAGAGGTACGCTGTCGCTTAGGTGCTTCAGAAGGGGACGAGGATGTGCCTGGTGCTGAGCTAGGGTCACCTTTGGGATTTTTGCAGTCCGGTACAATGAAGAACATATCGGCGGCGGCCCTGGTATTGGTGCACGGGTTTGCGCATGCGGAATGTCTAGTCCGTCCGAAGACTCTCGGAGGAGTCCTAGGTCGGAACAGATGGTATTCTGGGTAGTGAAATGCGCCCTCCAGGGGTTCGAAACGAACTTATCGTCATATCCAGAATAAAGAATGTGGTATCATTTTTGGCCTGATGCGAGTTGATCGAGATCAATTCTAAGTAGCGGCCTTCCCTTATGGCCAAACTCCGCGCCCTTGCCGACCAAGCTCTTTAGTCATCCGACAGCGCCCACTTGATAAGACAAGCCTTCGCGCCCACTTGGGTATAAACAACTGGGTCGACGGGGTTGTGCTGTTTGTGACTACCTTGTTCCGCTGGGAACGTTTACGTCGGCTTTGTCAGGTCTGTGGTGATTCTAGACAGCGTTTTGTTCGCGACTATTCGCAGTATGGCTCCTGCTGAGGACACATCAGTATTGCCAGAACATCTGATCAAGCGTACAACGCGGATATCATCAGCGCCATCTTGCTGTATCTGAGCGCTGGAGAAGCTGTTTGCGAGGGAATAACTATGATTCCTGGTTCTTGGGAGAGCCGGGCAGCGGCGAAAAGAGCAAGTGTTCTGAGCGCTATACCATCGCCATGGCGGATACCCAATGGACAAGTTCCCACAGTCAAAGACTGTTCCAATGTTATGGAGATTCCCCGTCGGTATCTCTCACAGGAGGAACTCACGATAACTGAGACGCCACCGATGGACACACTTGTCCACATTCATGCTGGTATCTGGTCCGCTGAAGCAGTGGTCCGCGCCTATTGCCATCGAGCAGCCATTGCACATCAGCTTGTCAACTGTCTCACAGATGCTTTCTTCGATACCGCTATCAGTGCTGCAATGCAGCTCGATCAGTACTATCGCGAGACAGGGTCCTTGAAGGGGCCTCTTCACGGGCTCCCTGTAAGTTTCATGGATCGTTTTCGCATCACCGGAAGGGAAACAGCCGCAGGCTATGTTTCATGGCTCGGACCTACTGAGACAGCTGCGACGGAGTCCCTGATTGTTCGTCACATGCGATCGTTAGGCGCCATACCATTTTGCAAAACCAACACTCCCCAGAGCATGATGCTTGCGGAAACAACAAACAACATCCACGGTAGCACGCATAACCCGTACAACCGGATGTTGTCAAGTGGCGGAGCTGCAGGAGGTAGGCATTCCCGGAAGAGAAATCATATCAGTCTGTGGGCTTACTTTAGTAGGGGAAGGTGCTTTACTCGCACTGAAGGGATCGCCGATAGGATGGGGAACAGAATTTGCGGGCTCTACACGTATTCCAGCTGTTTTCAATGGCCTCTACAGTCTCAAAGTTTCTTCCGGTCGATTACCAATGTATGGCGTGGCTGCTGCCCGGACTAGTCTGCCTACACGAAACTCTACTATCGCTATGATCTCGTGGGATTTTGCCTTGCTTCAGCTATTGGCCAAGCTCACTTTGGGTCTCCCCAACCTTCAGGAAGATCCTGGCTATCTCGACATGCCTTGGAGACAATTCAAAGTCTCGGAGCTGGGTACAAGACGCCCGGTCTTTGCAGTCCTCGAATTTGACGAGAACATCCAGCCCCAGCCGCCCGTTCGCCGTGCGTTGAGAAATCTAATACATATTCTGAGGAGTACTGGATACCAGGTCATTGACTGGAAGCCTCCAATGCATGCGCCTGCCGTGGAGAGATATTTCAGAATAATTGGGGCCGATGGTGCGCAGGCGACACGAGAGCACATCAAGGCGAGTGGAGAACCCCCAGTGCCCCGACTCAAGGACTGGTATGACAATCGACCTCCTATACCACTGCCATTGCCGGAGTATCTGGCTCTTCTAGAGGCACAAGAAAAATACCAGGCCGGGTATCAAACATATTGGAAGTCGACCTCGAAACTCACTACCAGCAAAATCCCTGTGGATGGAGTTATCATGCCTGTTTGCGCTGATGCGGCTTGCTTTGAAAACTCCTTGACTTATTTTGGTCGGTGCTAGCTGATCTACATAAATGCGCTCCCGTATGCTAATCGTGATTTAGGCTATAGTGCCATTGTGAATGTTCTGGATTTTACAGCTGTAACATTCCCCGTTGGATTCGTTGATATGTCATTAGATCCGGGCAAAGATTCGTTCGCTTCACTCAGCCAAGAGGATGAGGCTGTGCATCAGTCTTGTAAGTTCCGCATCCGAGATCCAGGTACAAATGTTGTTGCTGAAGAACTTTTCGCAGATAATGCCAATGCATTCCATGGGTGCCCTGTAGGGCTACAATTGATGTGCAGGAGAACGGAAGAGGAAAAAGCTCTGAGGCTCGTGGAGATGATCCTCCAAGCTCAAACTCAGGCGTCAGTGTTCTTTGGGTGAAGAGGATAAATGCGTTACAATATTCTACCGGGGATTATGGACACCTTACGCGAAAGCCAGTTTATTCCGCTATGAACGAGGCACAACAACTCTAGGAAAGCTTTCGCAGCATACGCCAAAACCACGATTGCTTTGGGCTTGCATCCGCGTTCTGGTCGTCTTCAGAGAGAGCAACCCTGTGCCAGGCATTGGTCAGGTTGCCTCGAAAGTTCCATTGCGCGTCATATGATTCTGGTTGGGAGTTGTAGCTGTCATCGACTGCTTTGACAACAAACACGCGCCCAGCGGTAGCCTTTGGAATAACCCATTCCCACCTTTTCCAGGACCAACTTTTATGGCCCTGGGTTTCGTCTGAACGGAGCTCCGCCTGGCTCCAGGTCTTTCCATCGTCAGCACTTATGTCGACCCGGACGATTTCTCGACCTCCTCCGCTGAATGCATATCCTTCGACTCTGATCGCATCCTCTTCGATGCCATACTTAGTTAAATCCGCTCGACCCTTTCGACTATCTCTTGACAAGACACTCACTGCAGTGATTGCACCTTGAACGGGAGTTTCTTGGATGGCCGGAGCCGATGACCAATCAACGTCCATTGAGGCCTGATTTGGGCCGAAACATTTATAGTCTCTCTGCTGCCACTGAGATTGACTTTCCTCTTCAGAAAGAACAACTCTCTCAAGCCATTTCACACTTCTTGCTGCCGTATGGCCGGGAATGAGTGCTCTGAGTGGATATCCATGATCGCGTGGCAGCGGTTGGCCTCCCATCTCATAGGCAAGCATAACATCGCCGTGAGGATCCACTGCTTTTGATATGGGTATAGAGCCAGAGTACGCTTCAGCACCGACGAGGTGGACATGTCGGACATCGTCGTCGCCGATATCCCGGTCGAGAGAGTAGCCTGCGTCTGCGAGGACGTCCCTTAGGCGCACACCTGTCCATAATGAATTTGATATGGCCCCAACATCCCATGGTAGGCCACTGGCAGGTTTAGCATTCTCCGACATGTGTTTTCGACGATTGCCCGTGCACTGCAGTGTTGCTGTAATGCTGAAGGGCTTGAAATTCGACTTGAGCTCTGCAACACTGTACGCCTTTTCTGTACCATCGGGTAACTCAACGTGTAACACGTGCTTTCCCTCATCAATTTTCGGGACCCAGAAGTGGTTGCGGACGAAAAATAATCTATTGGGGGTGATGAATGACTCGGCGATCTCTTGGGACGGAGTTTCCGCATTACATGGCTTGTCTGTGTGTCGCAACAGACGCGGATCTCTTGCTGGATCCGACTGAAATGGATCTTCGATCTTGTCCTCCGGGACTTTGCCATCTACCAGGTCTCTGGGGTCAACCTCGCCAATGCAGTACTGTTCGAGGATATCGTAGACATCCTGCTTTTTATGGATGGAGAATATGTCCCAGTATCTGTCAATGGATCCGCCAACGGCTTGTAGAATGACGGGTCCCCCAGGATGAGCCTCGATCCACTCTGTGATATCGAACACTCGGCTCCCTTTCGTAACCCATTTCCTGTCCGAGTTTCTTCCGTGTCGCTCGACTTCGCCTAGGCGAATATACCGTTTCTGAAGGTGAGCAATGTTGGGACTGGCCTCGGCGTGCGCGTCCTTCCACTCAAACACGGAACCGGCTACGGTCGCACTAGCTAGCACGGCAGCGCCAACGTACTTCCATATTGATCTCCGGTGATGCTCTTGTGGTCTGCGACTGGTCGTGCTGACTGGCCGGAACGGGACAAGTGAGGTCACTTTCGCGCTACAGATTCTCCAACTGCATGTCGACGTCAGCGGCGATGAGTAAGCCTTCGATATACATGGCCCACATCGCCAGCTGAACGTTGACATGGTGGAGAGGGAGAGAGCCAACAACGAAGGTCAATAATGTACCTCGACCTTAAGGTCCACCATTTCTGGGAAAGAAGCTTGCGTGAAGTTGAGGTGGATTTCCCGGCAATGGCATTGTTTGGCTAGGTAATCATCCGCGAGAAGCGCACAGTCGCTTGCGATGACGGTTGGTACTTGGACTATCGTTAGGTCTTTCTGTGCTGTGCGGAAGTCAGTGTGTGCATTTCACGTCGGAGTTCTTGGTGATCGGATACACGAACAAGCGGGCAGTGACTCGCTTATGAGGCCCGTGGACGTTGCAATGCGCCTCTCAGGGGCGGAAGTTCGGAGTGCGGGGCATTTCGGCGACAGCCTTGTCGGCGACTCGGGGACCATCATCGAGAGAAGCTGACAGCGACGTGCGCAGGAAGAATTCTATTGGGAGCCAAAGGTAATACTGGTGTTTTAATAGTCTCAAGGGCCCCGGAGTCTGCATTTCTTGTGGAAGATTCAGCCATACATTGCGATCCGATCGGCGACAATCACCATCATCACCACTGATTTGTCCGTACAGCCTTGTCAAGGTGTGCTTCGACACCATTGGTCGGTCGAACTCCACCGCAGCCTCGTCTGGCCCGGCTGCAACCCCGGAAGAGCGGGCGAAGAACTTTGTGCTCGTAATTGATATTATTGACGCATCTGGATCTTTATTTGCCTCAGCAAGATATAATAAGCAACGAGTCAAGATGTGGCTGCGCCTTCTTTGTCCAGAAGATGTAAATCTGATAACGACGCCGACTCCTCTCATTCAGAACCGCACTTCATCTAGTCCCAAGATCGCAGGTATAATATTCCACCAAGTTGAGTGATTGGCCAGAACCTTTACCCGAGTATTGGACGCTTGGTCCACTTCCAAGGAACTACAAATATAGATCAGGGACATTGGAAGAAATCTCTCAGCAAGCGAAGAAGACATCCTCCTCCTCCTCCCCTTCATAATCGCAGTTCCATCATCACTCTCCTTGCGCGAGACGCTCTCTCCGTCAGCCATGGATCCCTCAGGGACCTACGCAAACTGCCAGATATCTCGCACGAGATCCTTCCACCACGAGTGCCAAGATGGCGTCGTCCAGACGGGGAAAGACCAACTCGAGTCCAGCTTCTCAGCAGTCAACAGCCACGGATGGAGACGGGTGGTACTGAACTTCACACCCTCGTGGTTCGCGGCGACCATGGGTACGGGGATCGCGTCCATCTTGCTCCACAACCTCCCTTACAACGGCGACTGGCTCTACTGGTTGTCCGTTGTCGTCTTCTGTCTCAACGTCGCCCTTTTCTGCACCTTCCTTTTCATCTCGGTCCTTCGCTACACGCTGTTCCCGGGCCTGTTCATGGCCATGATCAGACACCCCGTGCAGTCCCTCTTCGTGGGGACGTTCCCCATGGGTCTCGCCACGATCGTCAACATGATTGTATTCGTGTGCGTGCCCGCGTGGGGGGAGTGGGCGACGACACTGGCATGGACCCTGTGGTGGATCGACGTCGTCATCTCCGTCGCGTCGTGCATGTGGCTTCCGTTCGTCATCATGCACATCCACGAGAGCGAACTGTCCAAAATGACGGCGGTGTGGCTGTTGCCGATCGTGGCGACCATCGTGGCGGCTGCTTCGGGCGGCATCGTCGCGGAGGTCCTCCCGAACCCGCAGCACCAGGTCTGGACGATCGTCACGTCCTACGTCCTCTGGGGCACCGGGTTCCCCCTCGCCATGGTCGTGCTGGTCATGTACTTCCACCGCTTGACCATCCACCGGTTGCCACCCAGGGAGGTCATCGTGTCGGTCTTCCTGCCGCTCGGGCCGCTGGGCCAAGGCAGTTTCGGGCTGATGCAGCTTGGCAAGGTGTGCGCGGCCGTGTTTCCAAAGACGGAAAACCTCGGCGGCCCCGAGGGCGGCAGAGTCATTTACAGCGCCAGCATCGTCTGTGCCTTGGTCATCTGGGGCTACGGATGTGTGTGGCTGTTCTTCGCCCTGGCCAGCATCACGCGGAGCAAGTTCCCCTTCAACATGGGCTGGTGGGGGTTCACCTTCCCCATCGGCGTCTTCGCCGTCTCGACATGTACTCTCGCGAAGGAGATTCCGAGTCTCTTCTTCAAGGTCCTCGGCACAATCTTCTCGATCGCTGTGGTCTTGCTGTGGCTGGTGGTGGCGACGGTGACATGCAAAAGTGCTATCGCTGGCACCATCTTCTTTGCGCCGTGCGTACAACAGTACGAGCAGGAGATTGTGCGAGAGCGGAAGCGAAAAGGTAAAGAGAGCGGAAGGCCGTGGTACAAGATCAGAAGTGTGAACAAAGATCAGGAAAATGAAGAGAGTAAAGATGCAAAGGAAGAAGTATGAGATTGGTCGCTGAATTAGCGTTGCTGTATAGTACTGGAGATACGTGTCCCTAGACTCAAATTTCGTTGAACCTGAACGAAGCATTCACACCGTGCTCTTGTCCCGCTCTTCCTATTTGTCTGCTCTCTTCGCCCTGCCTCTCTTGAGCCTGATGCAGAAGCCTTTGAACCCTTGAGAACCTCACTCTGTCCACAATCTTCCCCAATGAACTCCGCTTCAATCAAAGAAGAAGCACGCCTGCCGTGAATGGCACTACCGTAGCGCTGTGGTACCAGGACAAAAGGGGGTCTGAAATAATCATACTAAGCCTCGGGGACCAAGATTCCGCTGTTGAATTACCACCGTGTATCGTCGTTAGCGAGGAGAGCTCTTGGGCTGAATATTCATTCCGCCTCGGTGGCAGTCAACTTCCGTCTGTGGGCCGTCACCCACATATCGGTCTGGAGGTGAATCCCGAAACATCTGGTCTTCCAGGGACTCAGGGGGTCCATAAGATTGAACTCGAAGCGGCGAAGTAATTCCAAGATCACCTTGTTCAGCTCGATCATGGCCACGGTCTTCCCCAGACATTGATACCTGCCATACCCAAAGATGAGCTCATTGTTTTGCTCCATGGCCTTGATCTTTTCAATAGATGGTTCGTCTCCGCCATCACTCTGGAGGATCCATCGTTCGGGCCGAAAAGCGTACTCGTCGGGACCAAACAGAGCCGGCGAGTGGTGGACTTGCTTTGCCGAGTAGCTAGATTTTGGGTGAATTGTAAGTTGGGAATCTAGGAGCAGGGTGAACTTACGCAATTGAGATGCCACCAGGAACGAAGTGACCGCTGATGGTGTCACCCCCCGGCGGAGTCTTTTGTCCTCAGCAACAGCAAAACTTCATTCTTCAGGTGCTTACCTTCTTCGCCAACATGCCTGCAATAGGCGGATACCACCGCAGCCCCTGCACCACCATCAACATCGCACTCACAACTCCTGGCACCAGAGAGCGCTTACCTCCTTAATGCACGCCTGCAGATATGGAAGATCCCTGGCTTGGGCATTGGAGACTATCAAGTCATCCGAGGGTATCTTCCCAGCTGCAACTGCCTCGTCGATTTCGGCCATCAACTTCTTGTACACCAGCGGACTAGAAATGATGCCGCGTAGGGTTGCTCGAAGTCCAGTAGCTGTTGTGTCCGACCCGGCGGCCCTATACACCCTGTCAGCATGTCGTTTCCACTGAGTTGGCAAACGGCAGAATCAAACAATTGCATGACACTCTCCGACTCCGCTTCTTGTTGGGTGAGTCCGTGTCGAATGAAACTACCAAGCATGTCACTGTATTCGCCCTTGGCCTTGCCATCGGGCCCAAAGCGCCTGGCAACCTGTTCTTGAGTAATGGCCACCACCTTGCCCAGACCAAGCTTGCTTTTGGCAGAGGGTGCGAAGAGGCCAAGGAAGCCGATGTTGGTAAGGAACTCGATGACCCGAGGGAGACAGCAAGTGCAGAAGATGGAGGGAAAAATAGTCTCGAGTTCATGGATGTACCCCAGGTTGTCATTGTCGTCCCGGAGATCATGGAACTTGTTGTCGAATGACAGTTTACTCATGACGTCGCTGGTGAAGAACTGAATCTTTCGTGCCAGGTCCATAGGAATCATCGTTCCCGGGCTGCTGATATACTTGGCGTTGACGAGATTGACCAAGTCTTGTACGCAATCGTCAATGTCCCGCTCTAGAGTGAGGTTTTCTTTTCCGGAATATCCAAATCCCATTCTCCGCCTTAGGTCCTCGTGTTTGGCCTCATTTCGATTCGAGAGGACGTTATCTTGTCCGGGGCTCAAGCGCATGGCGATGTACCAATCGGACCGCGTATACGGTGACCGCACCGCCGACATGCGACGCAAGACATCTGGATCTGCCGTCAACAAAGTGTTTGGGGCTATTCGCACCAACGGCCCATATTGCTGGTGGAGGTGTCCGAATCTGTTGTAGATCTCGCCGTCGAGGTGGGTTCGGAATAGGGGAATGACAGACAATCCCCAGAGACGCGGGCCAGGAATATGGCTGAGACGGGCGTACGATCGTCCGTAGAAGATGGCGACCAGCACCAGGCTGATCAAACCCCAATCGAGCAGCACAGACCCGGTGACCGCCATGCTGATGGATGTCGTAGTGACAGGACAGGCTATGGAGAGGAGTTTGTTTTGCGAGAAAGGCGGGATCCGTGGCTTCAGAAGGAGAACAGTTCGTGGGACAAGCCCTGCGTTAACTGCACATGCGGTGACAACCAAGCATCAGCCAGCGAATGGGCCCGAGTGATAAGGTATCCAACAAAAGATACCGGAAGATACTTCCCACGGGCCGGAGCGGGACAGAGGGTTGCGCCATGCGAAAGTACAGAGTCCCCGGGGACCTGGGTCCTTTCAAGTCTAGCGGCAGCCCATAAGCTGAGCCTAACTTAGTGAGCCGGGGTCCACGACGCCCGTCACGCCACGCCGTTGCTTGTCCCTCTCTGGCGAAAAGGGCTCGATGAAGATCGCCATCGGAATCCGTTGTTGATGTTGCCTTTTGAGCGTGGACTGATATCGACGCGGATAACCAACCTTCTCGCGAGAGCACGAGCAAGTGACGCCATGAGCTCCCCAGGGCAGATTTCAGACCATGCCAATTTCGAAATCGAGGCGGATGAACTGAACGAAGCAGATTCGACACTGGGGGACGATATTTCTCAAGCTACCGAATCTATCCGGTCCAGCCTGCACCAGGGGGTCGTGGAAAATGGGCGACAATACCACAAATACAAAGATGGCTCGTACATTCTTCCCGAGGACGACATGGAACAAGAGAGACTAGACCTACAGCATGAGATGTTCCTCAAATCCTTCGGCCGCAAACTGTATCTGGCCCCCATAGACTGCGAGCTCCACGAGGTTTTGGACCTTGGGACGGGCACTGGAATGTGGGCAATTCAATTTGCGGACGAGCATCCCCGGTCGAGCGTCCTCGGCATCGACCTGAGTCCCATGCAGCCAACGTCGGTCCCGCCGAACTGCAAGTTCGAAGTGGACGACTTCGACACTCCGTGGGCGTTTCAAAAGCAATTTGACTTCATCCACGGTCGAATGCTGCTCACTGCCAGCGCCGATTTTCCCGCGTTGTTCCGTCGGGCGTACGATTCGCTGAAGCCAGGGGGGTGGTTCGAAATGCAAGATCTCTACATGCCGCTCCTATCGGACGACGGGACTTTAGAGGGCACTGCGTTTGGAGAATGGAATGAGAAATACATGGAAGCTTGTGCGGTCCTCAAAAGGGATCCCTCGTGGACAGCGAAGTACAAGGAATGGATCACGGGAGCAGGCTTCACGAACGTGAAAGAACAAATCTTCAAGTGGCCCATTAACCCGTGGCCGAAAGACAAGTATCTGAAGGAGATGGGCCTTTGGAACATGGTCAACATGCTCGACGGGTTGGATGGATTCACCGTTAGACTGTGGACGGTGGCCCTAGGAATGGCAGTTGAGGATATCCAAGCCTTCCTCGTCTCGGTGCGGAAGGACATCAGAGACACCAAGATTCATTCCTACTGGCCCATGTAAGTGTCTTTGGATCTTGCTCTGGAAGTGCCTGCTAACCTTGTGTCCCCCAGACATGTCGTCTACGGCCAGAAGCCCAAGTAACGAGTTCGATGTCGCTTGGACAGTCCGCCGGTCCGCTCGGATTGGTTCCGAAGATTCCTTCCAAAGGTGATTCAGGTAAGTTGTCGAGCTTAAGACGGCCGGGCTACATCACCTCGACCAATCTCAGTGGAGACGGAGGAATCCTGCCTTGGATCTCCAACACGGAAACTGCCGGTCGAGTGGCGACACTGGTCGAGAGCATACGAGCGCCATGCTCCAAATGTTGACGACGAAACATCTTGCTAGCTACTGGCGGCACCATCTTGAAGGGGATACTTTGTAATCGGCGCTGTGATGTGATGCAGTACAGACGAGATGGGATCATGGGCAACGGAATGCGATGACACATGCTCTCCCTTGGGAACCATGTCGTCGGGAACGAACACCAGAGATGGTATCATCAGCTGTGGAATGGCATGGAACCTACAAACACGTCGACTGGTATTCCCAACGGGGGCTGAGATAGCTCTTATACGAGGTTTCGGGAGACACGATGAGACAGTCGCACGGACCCTTGAGGTAGGTCAAGCCATGGCGAAGAGGCTCCGGCCAACCCTCACATTCCCCCATACCTTTACTGTTAACTGTCCACGGGCCACGACATCACTCCCCCGCATTTATACGAGAACGAGTCCGAGGATATGGCATCCTCCGGTCTCACGGGGTCCGTGTTCCTTTGCCTTTCCTCCACTTCAACTAGTCACTTGATTGCTATCAGCTGAAACCATTTCAAGGAATTTCACATTGTGCTTTCTTTTCTCTTCCCTTCTAGCTCATCTTCCAGAACACTGGATGGTGCTGAGAACGACACACTTGTAACTGATTCTCACCCTGGTGCTTCAGTCGACGCCATCCCAAGTTACGACAAGGTGTACTCTTCATACCTCTTGCTGGTCTGCTACGGCTAACCAGCCTCAAAGCTGCTACGCCCACCTCTCACACCCCGACCAGTGAGACGAAGGAGCGTGTATCAAGCAAGTGAACAAAAGAAACGGGCTAAGGGGAAGGGAAATCGAAAGGGAACGAAACGAAACAATGGCAAGCCTTCTCGCCTGTGTCATAGACGTTCTCTTTCCCGTCCCGTTTTTCGCCGTCAGCATCTTCTGTACGTCTGGATACCCTACCGACCCCGTGTTAAACTTCTCTCTCTCTATCTCTCATCCTTGGACCCTCGGCGCGTTTTGTTTTCTCCTCTGGCCAGCGGATGCAATAGATTGCCTTCTCATTCCTTCCTGTGCTTTCTTACTTACTTACTTACTTCTCTCTCCATCTCAGACTTTGCAGTCGCATTTGTCAAAAATCCTTTGCTGCCCTTGACAAACTTTGCGTCGTTCAAAGAAAAGGCGTTTGCGGGACTATGGCTCACGCTCGGCGGCATCTCCGCCGACCAAACCCCGGCCGAGCTCGACGGTCTCCTGGCGAGTAGCAAAGGTTTGATCCTCGACGTGGGGCCGGGCTCGGGCGACCAGCTCCGCCGCTTCAGCAACCCGCAGAACATCACTGCCATATACGGCGTGGAGCCGGGCGTCACGATGCACGACAAGCTCCGCGAGTCGGCGAGGAAAGCCGGGCTGGGCGACGACAAGTACCGCATCATTGGGGGCACGGCGGACCTGGAATCTATCGTTCCCGCGCTGGTCAAAGACGGCCTCGTCAAGACGGGGGAGACGGGGGGGCCCGCGGCGGCGGAGGAGGACGACCTGGCCATCTTCGACGAGATCGTCTGCGTGCGCGTGCTGTGCGGTGTCCCTGACCAAGAGGCCAGCGTCGCGGACCTGTACGCCCTGCTCAAGCCCGGCGGGCGCTTCGTGCTGTGCGAGCACGTGCTGAATGGTCACTCGTGGGCCGCGGACCAGGCGCAAAAGTTCTGGATGGCGGTCGGCTGGCAGGCGTTGATGGGGGGCTGTGACCTGCGCCGAGACACGGTGCAGACGTTTCTCAACGTGGCAAAGGAAAAGGACGGCGGGTTCGCAAAGGTCGAAATGAACCAAGTCGACGCGCACAGCATGCTGACGCACGTCGTGGGAGTCTTGACCAAGAAGCAGAAGAAGAAGAGATAGGGTATCTATCCATCAACCTTGGGTAGTACGTATGTAGTGAGGTTCAGTGAGGTAAGGGGGTTTCGTAATCTTGTCATTGGAAAAAAAAAGAAATCCGAAGAACCTGCTCCGTTGTACGTCAAGGCATCCATCGGAACAATTCAAAGGTCATCAAGTCACCGTCTGAGTGGCGGACGTCCATAGTCCTTCACATAAAATCGTGTATGCGTTTACAAACTCCAACATCGAGAGAAGTTTAGTCATAAGTCATTCGAAGATCCATTTGCATGCTGTCTGGTCTCGACGAGGAACCATCATCATCAGCATCGTCAGCATCAGTTGTCCTCTGTATTCGATTCAGTTCCACTATCGTCATCACTCTCGTCTTCTGAACTCGAATTCTCAGACTCGGATCCAGTAATGGGGGCGGCTTGTCCTTCTATGGGCTTCATCTCCTCCTTGACCGCCTGCCCGATCACAGGTTCTTTGTCAGGTTCGAAAGTGATTACCTCCCGTGTTGTTGGAGATTCCACGGTTTCCGACACGTCCTGTGGATCATTTGCGGTTGCGGCTGCTGCTTCGACTGTGTCTTCCGGAGCAGGCACAGTGGCCCGATCAACACACACCGTGTCCGACTCGTCAATGAGAGCCTGCGACTTCTGAAAAACGACACCTGGGAACACAGTGGTGAAAGCCGGTCGTCTCGACCTATCAATGGCGCACACGCGAGGAAAGACAACCGCCATGACGGGATTAGTACTGAAAGCGCTCGAATTTACAGTCTCCAGGACGACAGTGTTGTTGTCCATCAACTGCAATGTCAACCACTCACGACCGGCACGGCCGGGTTCTGTGCTGACTTCGAAATGGCTTTCGTAGCGCTGCAAAGGCTCCCAGGCCTTGACAACGTCACACAGAATGTCGGACAGTCTGGCTTTGACTTTCTCGCACAGTGCTTCCGAGAGCAAGCTCTGGATAGGTTTAACAGCCCCATCCACGGCGCTCTCAACACGAAAGGCCTTGACCTTTTCAACTTCATCCTTGAAGTCGTCGCTGCCGGTCATGGATAGGAAGAGATCCCGCAGTTGACTCTTCTTCCTAGTGTCGGTCATCTTGTGGAGAATGAATCGGAGTTCGTCGTCATCCTCGAAAAGATAGTTCGGAGTGAAAATGTACTCTTCCAGGGATTTAGCGAGGAGAGCCATGACGAGCATTGTTCGGGATCGTTTGTTGGACGATTCAGCAGAGAAGGCGTTGAAGCCAGGCATCTTGTCCTCCAGCTCGGACCAGTTGACAATGCTCCAGTCTGATAATGACTATCCCAAGGACCAAGTCAGCAAAACGGGATACAGATTGACCGAGGGTAACGGTTCGAACAAACATCTTTCACATCGTCCTCCTCGATTACACTGTGGACCGCGTTGAAGCACGTCTCCCATATATTCTTGATCTTCTGGAAACTAGGACGAGGTAAGCATGCGTCAACTCTGACGGCATCCATCTGAATGCACTCACGTCACATCCGGATTGTCTTCTGTAAGTTCCTGGTTTTGAACCGCACGGCCATCCCGAGAGCTTGTAGAGTGTTCCGCTGCCGACTCTATCGCTTTGAGTGCTTCTCTAATTCTCTTGAGCTCGGCTCTGAGCGTGGAAATCTCTCGATCTCTCTGAGCCACTTCATCACGGTGGATGTTGAGGAATGTCTTGGCCGCTTGTTTGAAGCTTTTTTCATCACCTGTGAGCAGTGGATGCGCTTCTAGTACTCCCGCGGTACCCTCCGGCTCTATCGCAGTCTGCGTGGGATCATCTGGCTCGGTAGCTACCGGTTCTGCACTTGTCTCTTTCTCGTTCTCGTTGTCGTCTGTAGGGTCGTTGTTCCCATCTGTGTTCGGGGTCTCTTCTAGTGGTAGAACTTGGGCCTGCTCGTTAGCATGAACCTCGGTCTGAACAGGTGCATCAACATTCTCGGTCTCAGACATCGGGAATACACCTCGCTAACAGGACAAAGTGCAGATCTGGCTCGCCTCTTGGGCTGTTTGAAGAAGGATGTCCGCTCTCCTCAAGTCCTGAGGAGAGGAGACAGGTGCTAGATATGGGAAAACCTAGTGCGCTGGTTCTCTGACCAAAGTAATCATTATCCACATCTTTTGACCAGTTTCGTCCCTAGGTCCTGCGTTCGCTCATGTTAGAGTGAACTTAGGCATCTCTGAGCAAATAGATGTAACGACATCCCTGTGCCAAATCATTCAGCAGCGGACAAATGATAGCCAGGCCTGCTCACAACTCCTCAATGAGCGCATGATCAGACCGGACCAGTCAAAGTCCAACGGACACTGTCGCTCATCGACATGATCGCGGAAATCTGCATCAGGTCGGCTGAGAACCTGCTCGGTAGCTCTCCAATTCGAACAGATATCAATCGGCACAGCTATCCAAATAACACAGACTGCGCAACAATGCCGGTGGTCTTCTCGTTAGTTTTCCTCACAAGTTCATTTGCTTCTTCTGCGACGTCGACTGAACTCCCGCTCCGTGTCCGTCTCTCATTGGTTACGCCCTTCAGGGGTACCCGGACCGCCTCACTATCAAGAATCCAGCAAACACGTCTGCACTGCAAGTTAGGCACAAAAACACCAATAAAGTCTCGTGATTGATGCGGATGTACGGATCAAGGGCTTCTCTGCTGTTAAGCGACCATGTCCTTGAACAGGTGTTCACTGAGTGCATCGACAAAAAAGCAAGCTGCGGCAGTGGGGTGGGTCGCAAGAGAATGTCATGGTGTGATGCATAGCAAACATTGAACAATTTACGGAACAGATTGCACGAGCACAATCTTGCCACCCTTCTCTCCGAGACAAAGTCGTGGATAAAGTATGCCAACACTCATACAACACGTCGTCACGAGTCGGCTCGTGTTGCGTAGGTCCTCCAAAAACTGCCTTCAGTTGTGCGCTGTTGGTATGGAGGCATCGTATAGTACTGCTTCTCAAAGGCCGTATGCTCGACGCTGGTCAAAGGACGGTAAAATGCTGCAGAACTCATGGTGAAGTGATTATGACCTGAAGGACTTTGTCGACTGGGAGCCGGCGCACCAATCCAACGTGTTAGGGTGTGACGGCCGACTAAAAGCCGTAAGGCTACACTTTCCAAGCGCCTTTTCTCTGCTCGGGATTTCCAACAGAAGATTTGTCTTGTTCGACTTTGGCTTCCCGTTTTCCGGCCGAACTTGCTTCCCATTCCTCTCTGATGCATCTCCTCATATCTTCTACAAGCACAGCAGCGTCGTCGTAATCCAGGTCATCTCGCATACCACGTCCAAAAAGGATCCTCGTGCGGTTGAACCCGGTTGGCTGAGCATTTGGTGGGTACTGAGTTTCCGACTTCGATTTTGACTCTTTGGGTGTCACATAATTCAATGGCGGTCGTGGCACAATGTGAAAGTGCACATGTGGGACAACTTGCGCCGCTCCCGGCCCTGCGAGAAATATGAGAACATGCCACGATGCACCGGTGTTCTGGTATCCCATCAAGATTGACCAGAAGCTCCAAAACTATTCTGACTTACCATTATTTTGCACAACATTGTAATCTACCTTCTGATGGGGAATATCTGGCATCACAGCTTTCATGACGGATCTGCTGAGAAGTGGTAGAACCCGCCCTATCTGGAGATTTTTTAGCATGCCATGTTCGATAACGCCAGCACAAAACATTCTTGGTCAACCCTAAGTCGGGTGGCTGATCTTGAAATGCCAAACATACCTCTGCGCCCTCATCCGGGCTCAAATCTCCGACTTTAACACGGTGCTTTCGCGGTGCAACAAGCACATGGCCTCGGGTCAGAGGCATGATGTCCAAGAAAGCAATGACATGTTCGGAGGAGTACAGCACATAGGACGGCGGGTCGAGTTGCTCGGGCTCGAGTGCTGGGTTGCGCTCGGCCGACGTAGGTGGGATCGCTTTGTAAGTGTGCGCTATCACACAGAACGGACAGCGCGGAGAGTAGTCGTGATCGGCATGAGGTGTAGAATGAAGTGACGTTTCTGGGATGAGATGGGGAGATTCATCAGCCATCTCGGAGTATCAGAAGTTGTCCAGCCCGTGAGCACCCGCAGTGGTCTATATCTATATAAGGCAAAGTTGTCTAACGAAAAGAAGAAAAAGAAGCATCCCCATCCGCAGAAAGCTGGTGCCGTGATGGAAGAATCGAACGGAAGGCGAATACCATTGACCAAATACCTGCTGGTGGCCAGTGGAACTTGCTGCTTTTGCACCGAGGAGAAACGGCGAGGCTGAACGAGGCTGAGTCTGTCTTGCCTGGCGGCTGTGCCATCAATCTTCCTTTTGGCCTCTCAGCATGTTCCAAGACCAAAGACTTTGCTTTGTCCTTCGAATTAGGGAGAATTTTTGGTACTGGATCTTGACCAAAGTCCCTTTAAAGCTAGAAAATTCCCGGTGGTGTGGTCCGACAAATATGGATTGGGCCTATCGGCCAAAAAATCTCAGAACTCACTTTCTAACAAACTCGATGATGAAAACTGGGACTAAGGTAATGATTCCAATTAATACGTACATGTCCTGCGTCCCGCTGTCCCCGCATACCTCAATGATCGGACTGGATTATTGCACTGAACTCTGACAGCCTGAGGAAGTAGAAGCGATAGATATAATCTCCAAGGCGAAAGTATACTCGTTAATGACAAGCGTTGAAAGCTGATCTGTGCATTCCAGCGATGGGTACAATCCCCAACACCAGCTTTCTGAATAAATCTCTGTTGACCTCGGATGGCCCGGCCGATACCAGAACCTCAACTTTGCGTGTTGAAAAAGCCAGCCCGCGAACCTATGCCGTTGGCGATGTGTCCTCAGATGGAGGGCTTGCGGTCTACGACTCCTTCAGCACTCTCCCTTCTCACCACGAGCTTCGAGGGGGATCTCCTGCATACAGATGGACGTTACAGAGGGCATCGTTGGTGAGGGGCGAAAGTTGTTCGAGGAGGGAGGATGTGAGGCTTAGTTGATATCGATACGCCGGAACAAAAGGTGTCGGGGCTGCTATGGGTTACCGACCTACCCAGCTTCATGGTTTGGCTGATCAAAGGCCGCGACTATCGGTATTGGCGAAGGGCAATGTCTCAAGAGATCACCAATGGGAGAAAAGAAATCTTGAACAACCAGTAATCGATGTCGAGACGTGATCGGTTTTAACTAGGTCTCCGGCTCTTTCTGAGCACAGAATGGTTCATTGATCACTCAAGAACGACAAGCCTGATTGTTATTCAAGGCCAAGTCTTGAAGGTGAGCAAAGCCTGCTTCAATCCGGGCTTTTGAGCAGTAATCCGGTCCGGGCACCGCCGCGTAAAGCACAAAGTCGGAAAAAGCTAAAAATGAAGAGGGCGAGGAAATATCAAGGGCTTTGGCAAGGCTCAGGGATCCTCAAGAATCAAGATGCAACAAGAGGCGAAGGGTGAGCGAGTGGTTAGGGAGTATGCCTTGTAAAGGTACCTTGGGACAGTTCATCATGTGCACTCCCTAAATCTCCTCGTGGAGCACCATTGTACGGATACAAGGTAGTGAATCAAATAGGCATCACCTCAGCCACCAGCGAGCTTGGTGTTCCACACAAAAAGATGGGAGCTTGAGTTGTATCCACCTAGTGTCTGCAATACTCCGTACCAGGCCACCCACTCACGGTTTCACGCTAGACTGAATATTGCATCTCGCCCAGCATCTGGGTTGGGGGACAAAACGCTACAGGGCTGTGTTATTGCTGTGCCACGCCGGTAAAGACATCATGAGAGCCCTTAATATCTACAGAGACATACTCTGCGTTTCATACCTTTCACAAATATCTCATGCTGGAGGACGTCAATTCGATACCTCAAACAACATATACGGTTCCAAACGAAAAGATCCGCTGTCATGATGCCGTTTGCAGCCTTCCGGTGGCTTGATCGACGAAAGCAGAGCCTCTCCAGCGAGACGACCGAAGAAGGCTGCCGAGTTCTTGCTGAAAGAGGTGTTCCGCGATCGAACGAGCATAGTGAAAGTGAAGAAGACTCAGAAGGCAGACTGGCTTCGAGCAAGGGTGATGCGCTGCCTCTGGAAGTGATCGAGCCAGGCACTTGGACTCTCAGGGTGTGCATCCTGGGTCTTGCAACCATGTGGCTCACAGGCCTCGCCACAATCATATACGGCTCTATCGTTGAGGCGTCCTCGAAGGGGACCTTCCAGCACTGGGGACCTTCTTTTATCCACAAGAGAGCAATTGGACCGCTCACCCAATTGGCGATTGCGTTCTGGATCACATTGCTCACTGACATCGCAGGACTTGTCCACTCGACAAGCCTTCGATTTTCACTCCTCGCACGTCGCAAATTGACATTCAACTCCAATCTACGCCTCTTTACAAGTTGCCCTGACTCACCTGTTCATTCATGGCCGATCAACATCATCTGGGCATGGTCTCTCATCTCGTCATATGCATGTGGTTCAATGGTGATCGTTGAGTCAGTATATGATTATTCAAATTCAGGAGAAGTCGGCTTCCATACGTACGATATTGTGTCTGGATATGCTCTCATATTCCTGGGGTTCGGCTTGCTGGGGCAAGCCTTGATTGCAAGTTGGGCTCTGATGGTCTGCAAGTTTCCGTCGTGGTCAACCAATCCTATCAAGACTGCGAAAATCTGCCGAGATCTGGGGTGGTTGAGGCCGCTGACGCAACGGACAATGTTAAGTGTCCACGATGCGCAGAGCCTCGAGCCACACGATTCTCCGTCGCTCCCAAAAGTACGGCAAGGGTCGTTGTTGAGGGCGCATTCTAATGTTCGTCCAGCGCTTATCTTCGTGTGGGTAGTCACAGCACTATCCTTTCTGTGGTTTATCGCAGTAACGCTCGCCTATCAACTCGGAGGCTCCTCCATAGGTCCATCATGGGGTACCTTTAGTCGGTCGTACACAAATGACTGGAGTCTGATACCAGATTGGCACGATGTAACGGCTTTCATCGCAATTTCCACTTCGCTTGGCCAAAGCTCTTACACATTCGGGCCCTGGTTCCTGTGTAAATACCTGTTAACCTGTGTCTTCTTGGGTGGTATCACGATGGATCTGCACGTCGTCGAATTACTTGTACAGTGCTCGCGCGACGAAAGTCTTTGGAGACAGACCGCATCAGCTCGCGGTCTGGATCGGAACAGAGATGGAGCCCTGGAGATTGCTTTTCGCAGTTGGGAAACGATAGCCTTGTTCGTCTTCAAGACTGCTGTGAACTGGGTCTTCAGCATGGCCTTTGGGCCCTATTGGGAAGGAATTGAGATGCGCATACCACAGATCTGTTACACGGCCATCTCGTTGTTTTGGCTGTCGCTGCTGGCCACCTACCTGGCGTTATGGAAGCCCAAAGGCCCACAACCAGCAACATTTGGGCATCTACCAACTCTGGTCGATCTCATTGACGTATGGCCAGGTCGAGGATCAAATGAGAGGAGCGAAAACGCAGTCGATGGAGGAGCGAAGGCCGACCATTTACCGCTGTTTTGGGGCGACAAAGGTACAAGGGATAATGGATTCCGCCGTGCAGGGACGGACCATGCGCCTCTTCAGCCCATAGTTATGACAGCATTGTATCTGTGAGAATGTCTCAATCTTGAATACGCCTCCTTCGTGTCTCTTGATTGACATTCGCTGTACAGTAGGGACGGTACAATGGCATGCCAGCTAAAGCAGCCAGAGACCTGCACATAAGTGGTAGACATGCGGACAGATCCCGCTCTCGCCTGGACCATTCCCCCGCAAAGTAGATATTCTGCACATTCTCTCAACCAACAGCGACCGAAATTCCTCTACTGGATATACACGTTCACACTTCGTCTTCGCGAAGCCACCGAAAAGACATATCCCAGCTTCGTATTCTCCCGCCACACGTAGGAGCAAAATGGGCCTCGAAGAACAGAAGGAGGAGCGAGAAGTCCTCGACTCCATCTTCCCAGATGAAATTACAGGTTCACCAGCCCAGAGCGCTACACGTCGATGCACTTCCTAACATTTTCCCTGCCAGACCTTTCAGATACATCCTACCGAATATCTATCACACTCGATGTTCCAGACGACCATTCCGAGGCTCCTGAGCAACCTGTATTGTTGCTCAACGTTACGTACCCCGACGCGTATCCTGATGTTGGACCGCATCTCGATATCACGGCTCCTCCGAATGCCGCCAAACACCCTCAGCTAGACATCCAGGCGGATAAATCTCAATTACTAGATGCACTACAGCCTACCATCGAAGACAGCATGGGAATGGCCATGGTGTTTACACTGGTCACCACGCTCAAAGAAGCTGCAGAGACGTTGATCTCAGACAGAATCAGGCAATTTGAAGCTGCCAAGGAGGTCGAGGCGCGGGAGAAAGAAGAGGAAGAAAACCGGAAGTTCCACGGTGCATTGGTGACCAGAGAGCGCTTCCTCGAGTGGAGAGAGAAGTTCCGGAGAGAGATGGAGGAGAAGGAGCGAAGACAGAAGGAAGAGGAGGAGGCAGAAGATAAAAAGAAACGAGGGGCCAAGGCTGAGGAGAAGAAATTGACTGGCAGACAGCTATGGGAGAGAGGGCTTGTCGGTAAAGGAGACGAAGACGACATCGAAGGTGACGATGCTGTGGCTGCTATTGAGAAACTCAAGGTCGAGGCTTGAAGTATGGTCTCGTCTCAGCCTTCGTAAGTACGAGTACTCGGTCGACAAAGGGGCACTCGAGCATTACGACAGTGCAGGATGGTACTTGGCAGATTCTAGGTGCCATTACGGCCTACGAAAGCCTCAAAATACCTCTTGCGGAACGGATTAAGCTCGTCGGCAGTCCGAGCCATACCTTCCATCCCGCGACGAAGTCCTTCAACATCGACTTCGGTATCCAGGGCCCCAGGGAGTCTCTCGTACACTAGCAGCCGTCGACTCCATTTGTTGAACCGCTGAATGCATTCATGCTTCAATTCAAGGTGTGGATGTGTTGGTATGAGAGTCGATTCCTCCTCACCTGACTCGTTCTCATTCGCACTGGGCATCCAGAACGCCAGCCTACCACCGTCCACTAGCGTCCTTGTCGCGAAGTCCAGGATATCGTCTAACATCCGGGTGAAGGAGTAAGGTTTCTTTGGCGCTATGTATCCTGGTCTTGTATGAGCAAGGACCCCGTCTATCATGTGTGGAGTTGGTGAGCTCGATGTCTCACGCCCGTCGCTATCAACTCCGCTCGCCGAGACCGCAGTGGCCTTTCTGGTTCCCAGAACTTTCAGTCCTTCTCGAACACCATAAGGTGGATCACAGATGATCCCGTCCAGCCACCGAGGGCCAAAGCGTTGCTGTGACTTCGTTGGACTACGGACAGGGGTATTGGTCAGGTCGGAAGTGATACAATCGCCGAAGAGGTGTGAAATTCCATATTTTCTAAAGTTCGCTCCCACGCCCTTTTCGAGTCCGAGGCCCTTTCCGCGAAAACTGCGACCATCGATATCTGATCCCAACGTCATGGCCCCCAGTTCGGCCGCAGCGACCATGAACCCACCCGTGCCGACAAAGGGGTCGAGAAAGATCTTCCCAGGAGCAGCCAGGGCCATGTTCGCCGTCAGCAGAGCCAGCTCGGCATCCATCGACGTTGTGGAAATATAGGGTCGCTTTTTGAGGTCGTGCTTTTCTCTCAGCCAGCGCCTCGACTCGCCAATTTTGCGGCCTAGGAAGATCTGTCTGAGACTCGAGTTCGACAAGGCCTCTGCTACCGTCGTCCCAACGGCCGTTGAAGAGGCAGCCGATTCTTCTCGGGCACGTTTACGGATGAACTCGGGCAACAGCCAGTCCTCCATGAGCGCAAATTCGGCCTCGGGATTCTTCATGCGGATCTTGCCCTTGAATCCGAGATAGCTGAACGAATCGATCATGTCTTTCTGCTTCGTGGCGTCGTGCGTCAGACCGTAGGTGTCTATTGAGAACCTGAACGTGACATTCTGGAACCGTGGCCACAGGGGCTGACTTCGCTGTTTGACGTCGGCGTGGACCTCTTCGTAGTCCCGCCCCTGGCCCCAGATCTCGTAGATGCTCTTAGCCAGGATGGATCTCGATATGAAGTTGCGCACTACATCGTCATGAGCCTCGTGACGAGAGTTGGTAGAAGTTGTCGAGGTGGTGGGCGAGTCGCGGAAAGCGAACCGGACGACGCAGAATGGCGAGTCGTCGGAATATGATACAATTTCGCATCGCACGCCCGCCAGGCGCGAGAGAGCCTCGATTTCCGGTTGTCGAAAGCCCTCGTGGGTCTGGGCGAAGCGTATGAGGTAGTGGTGGTGATCATAATCCATTTAGACTGGTGCGCGTGGAGGCGTAGGTAGGTAGTTAGGGAGGCAGTGAAAGTGGAAGAAGAGGGCAAATATAAGATAAGGGATCATCGACCCAATCTTTGGGACCTTGTGTAGTAGGTATTCTAGGTAGCCATGGATACTTGGAACACCCCAGGTCGGTGCGAGGAGTGAGTTTTAAATGCCGTGTATGGGTAAATTCATACGCTCCGTCCGACGTGGGGAACAGACGGGTGGTCGACGATCAGATGTGTGTGCGTGTGTGTATGTGTGTGTTGAGAATTCAATCAAGTGCTCTTCTACCGCTGTACTTTTGCTGTCAGGCACCACTTGTGCGCCCTCGTACTTGTAGGTATAGTCGCCACGAATGAGACGTACGAGCAGTCACCACCTATCGTGGTCGTGAAGGAAAAAACCATCATGGGTTCTTCTCTTTTTGATTAGTCGCTCGCCGCTTTGCCCACTCTCGGCTCACCTGCCGCTCCCTGGGGCGGTCCTGAGTATATGGTTCTTCCCTTCTCAACTTCGCTTCATTTATGATAGTAACTTTTGTTAACTTTAGACAACGGAGTCTATATTTGCACATCTCGACGACTTTTCCGGGCGCCAACGGTGCCGAGAAGGTTGCTGACAAGGAGAGTTTTCTCTGGGATATCTGCTCAGAGAGTGCTTAGGATGCCTAAGTGATGCTCAGCTTAAGAGCTCAGTTGAAGCCCAGGTCAATGCCGGCTTCGCTCAATCTCCACGACCAAACTGCAAATGAAACCTTACCTTTTCGTTGTCAAGTAATAGAGGTCAAGTAACAGAGGTACCTCGAGCAATAAATCCATAACCCGTACCTGGCCCGGGGTCCTTGAACGGGTTTAGCGTAGCCTCGCTTTCTCAACCCACACCCTGCAAACTAAAATAATCGTAGTCGATCCACAGACGTACACTGACGGGTCCCTGCACAACCTCTTGTCTCGACATTTGAGAACGTCTAAACGTGTCGACTGAACGTAGCATCTCATGAGATGAGAGAGCAACCCAGACATATGGACTGATTTCGTCACGTTGTTAGAGGAGAGAACGCTGAGTCATATGGATGTGATGAGGATGTGAATGTGTTACGAAAGGGAAACGTCGAGCCCACAGACCCTGCCCTGCATCGTGATACTGGAGCGACCGTCCTTCCATATGTGACCAATGGACGGTGAATGGGCATCCGTCCATATCTTTACGAGGGGTCATGACGGGACGTCAATCAATTTACGCACCGTACGTGTGTACGAGGCGTTGCGCCGCCATGGATGAACGTCTCCCCTAAGATGTGGTTGGACATGTCCTGACTCCCAGACGAACATCCCTGAGAACAAGCTCAATGTGTCGCAGTGTTACACAGCGAGACAATGCACAACACCCTAACGACTCACGCTTTGCTCTTTGTTTTGTCAGAGAACGCCGGTCAGAAACGATTACAGGTACCTAGGTAAGTGCAACAGCGAGACTCACCTATCTGAGATCTCAAAACCAGACTTGGCGGCTACCTCAACTCGAGGTGCACGTCCAGAGATACGGCGATTACTACACGATTGTTCCACGGGTGACTGCTTTGTCCAATATCGAAGGTTCACCATTGCCATCGTCGTCACCGCGATATAATGGACGCGCTTTCTGTGGCTATCGTCTACGATGAAAAGAGACACTGAAACGTGAAAGGTCAAGCAATTAGAACTTCTCTATTCGGCACCACCTTTTGTCTTGTTGGCTCGTGCCCTTTCCAACGCCCCCAACGCCAACGGCCAAAAGTGTGAAACACCCCTTATTCAATGGGGATAAACATGCTCCAAGTCGATCAGTGTCTCCTTGGAGACGAAACATCTGCCATCGCACCTGTTTTTGGCCCAGTCCTTGCCCCAGACACGGCAAAAGTCCTCCGGGTGCGAGATTGTGTTGTTGGTTGCGCCGCGCAGGGAGAGGACGCGAACGCTTCGCAAGGTTCTGTACTCTGCGTTTGCAGCGTACAGGCCGGCGCGGAAGAGGGGGTGGGTGGCGGGAGAGTCTTGGAGGCGGAGGTGGTCGACCTGGAGAAACCGATCCTGCACGTCCCAGAAGGCGGTGTGTTTGATGACGTACTCCCTCAACTGAGGCAGGAGATCGGTCGCGTACATCTTGTCGATGAAGCCGGTGCTCGGGGCGACAGCGGGAGCATAGCCGTCGAACATGTCGTGGAGCTCGTACAGCGCGACGGCGCACAGCTTGTCGACGGCGAGGCGGTGGGCCATGTAGAAGACGTCGAGCCAGAGTTCGTCGGCCTCGACACTGAAGTCGCGCATGTATGAGTCAAGGGACAAGGGACGCTCGTACAGCCACTCGAGGAGGATTTCGAACAGGCGAGTCTCTTCTTCGGGGAGGTTCATCTTGTTTTCTTGTCCTTCTCTGAAAGTGCCGAGGAATGCGCAGGTGAAGAAGCGGGAGCAGGCACATATGAGCGCTTTGTGGCAGTAGGTAGGTCTCGTTTGCTTCCCAACGAAGATCTGGACAAATTCTTTTCCGGCGTCGACTTGAGGAGGCTCAAGGTAAGATGGGGCGTCGGACCACATGGTGAAGAGTCAAGGGAACAAGGACGAGGAGTCGTATGAGAAGAACACTCTGAACTAGGAGCAGCCGCGCACAGGGACAGAGACAGAGACAAGAGGAGCAGCAGCGCGCATATTGCAGTGTGCACATCGGGAGAATGGATCAAGGAACGAGATCTTGAGGAAGAGAAGGAAACACCCACGCAAGCAGCGACACGTATCGCCACGGGTAATGAGAACGAAGGAGGTAACAAAAGGGCACGCAAGATCTTCAAAATGATACTTCACCTCTATACGTTGTCCAGTTGGCAAATAAGGCCAATGCCATAACGCTCGGCAGGCCAGGACACCATGCCAATAAGAAAGAGCAAGTAGTACATTGCTTCACTTCAAGGCAAAGCTCGGCGACGACAACAGTGTGGCACACTTGTCGACAACAAGGAGAGACAGGTAAAAATTTCGCGGATGCGTTGACAAAGCTCCCCTTTGTATGTTGAAGAAGGCGGAGACGCAGAGCTTCGATTGTCCACGCCATTGAGACAAGAGAATGAACAGTCAATCTGTACATGAAATAGCGAGAGCGAACGTGCAATGCAGATGGATTTATTCATGTTTTTGCCCTGTGTGAGTTATAACGTCTTATGTAAATTGGTTTCTCGACCATACCTGAGGTATTTATGATATCAGTAAGCAGGTAAGACGGAAAAGGAGCTTACAACTGTACAGGAGACCACGAAGAGAAAGATCAAACATCTTGCAATGCATCTTTCATGGCCTGCTCGAACGTCTTTGGCGGCAACTCCAACAACTTGTTGGCAAACTCCGGTCTGTCCTGCCAATCGCTACCAGGTAGAACAGCACCCATCGTCAGCTTCCCCAGAGCACTGTTGTCGCCGCTCCGGATTTGTTGCTTGGTCTCCTCCAACCACTCGTCGTAGGGAATCTCCTCGACCTGCCACTTGCCGGTCTTGGCTTCGATGGCGTCCAGGATCTCCTTCTGGCTGGTGGTGAAGTCCTGAACCAGCAGCAGCTTGTTCTTGGTCTGTTCGTCCTTCTCCAGGGCCCTGACCACGGCCAGGGCGCACGTGTCCAGCGTCGTAGCCACCCACTTGGTCTCACCGCCGCCGATGATGACGGCCCTCTTCTCCGGCCAGAAGAACTGGAAGAAGCCGGAGCGGACGCCCATCTCGAAAAACACATTGCAGATGATGCACGTCCATTCCAGGCCCTCCTTCTCCTTGGCCATGGCGTAGTCTCTGACGTCGTGCTTGATCTTGAACATGGGTCTCAGATCCGTGAGCCACGTGGGAAGGTCGTCGAGCCCATATTCGGTCGGGAAGTAGCGTTTGACGCCGGCGGCAAGACAGGCGTCGATGAACTTGTACTGCTCGTGCATGCCGGTCATGGAGATCGCCGAGACCACGGCGTCAACGTCTTTGAAGGCTTCGACGAGCTGCGCGGGTGGATAGTCATCTGCAACCTTGCGAACGGCAACCTTGGACGGAAATTGAGCAGTCGACGACTCCCGCGTCAACACCGTGACTTCGAAGTTCGATGGAGACGACAGAAGGTACTTCAGGATCAGACTTCCCAGGTTACCGGAAGCGCCTATGAGGAGGACGCGCGTGAGAGTCATGGTTGAGGTTGGTTGAGAGACGTGGAGAGTGTGAGTAGATGTATCGAAGCAGGAGATGTTTGGTTAATTCTAGCTTTATGGAAAGGAACAAGGTATTAAATTATGAAGAGTTCTCTGACATCTGGCGGTTTGGAGAAGCAGGTCAAGTGGGTGGGAGGAGCATGAGCAGATGTCACTACCCACCCCCTGTCTGGACGAGGCTGATTGTGTGGGGTTCGGTGCTTTAACCCCAACGAGATTGTACCATTACCGTATATTGTATTTGAGGAACTGCCGACTCAACCCCACACACCCTCTCTCGTTGCGGATGTCGATGAGGGAGAATACAACTAATTCACTCTGCAATCGCGGAGACCCCAGATTCGCTCACTGGGGCTGTCAAAGCATCGAACTGATAGATCTACGAAACGATATGAGTTGTTGTGCAACACTCAGTTCTAGGCGATGTCGGGGGCTAAATGGGATGTATTGACGAGTCTGACCTCCAGGACTAGGAGGTCGCTGTTCTATCTATTTATATGGCAAAGGAGTGAAAATTCTCTCGTTCTGGTGGAGAGGCTTTTCTCCCGGGCATCGGCGGCGACCGATGAGTTCCTCGTCGGGGGCCGGCGTCCTTGTGTCGAGGAGGTCCGGTTCCTCCATCCTGAGAACTATGATATAGCGAAAAAGTGACTAAAGTGAGTGAATTTATGGTGTTACAAGGTTTGCAAAAGGAGCGTTCTAGACGACGGAGTTCCGCGAAGGCGTTCAGCGCAAGTATAAAGGTTATAATAACCCCGTCATAACTCAGCCTTATTCAACACACCCTCTCAGGAAATGATGTCATTATTATTGATGTGAAAACATGAAGATAGTATTTCCTGGATGTTAGTGAGGTTGAGTTGCTTAATAAAAGTCTCGTGTTTTTGTCTTGATAAGGCCTTTATGAGGCTATCAGTAATTATATCGTTCATTGATATTCAATCAAGATTGATTTATTCTTGTTGAATCTTTTATCTAAGCTAATATCAATAAATATTAATATAATAAAGTCTTATAGATAGCTTTTTATTCTTAATTAGCAGTTAAATAGTCTGTAAATTAGTTAGTTAGTTAGTTAAGCTCTTGTTTATTGTCTATTTTAGCTCCTAAAAGGACTACGTAGATATAAACTTCGACTTCTAGCTGCAAAAACCTCTGCATGTCCTCAGAGGAAAAGCTGACTTGTTGCTGTGCCGTTACACTTCTCCTGCGGATTATGTGCGCCACACATGCGCCTTAGCTTTGCTCTTATCGCCATCTTGGCACCGCACATTCTCTTTCGGAGAGCTGTTGCTCTGTCTATGGTAGCTGCATAATCGTTTGCCTATTTGTCAAGCCCTTATAGCTTAGGGTGTGGAAGTTCTTCGCGATAAGGGCGGTATACTATAGTTCTCTCAGTTAACTCACCGGCGTTGCTACTGTGTTTTCTGTGCTGTTCCTTTGTAGATCGCTTTCCTTGAATGGCTTTATCTCGCTAAGCTGTCTTTGATAGTGCTGCGACACTGTAGAGACTCTCTTGTGTTCCTGTTGCTGCTTATTTGGTATTCCTATTTTTATGTAGCTTCTCTTGAGGTATTCTTTCTGTGCTAAATTATCTTCTAAGAGTGTAGTTGCCGCCTAGTTTTGTTGGTTCTCCTTGCGAGGGTATATGAAAACGCTACTGCGCTGGTCAGGGGGTGTTTAGGTATATTGTAGGTGTCTCACAGAGTAAATAATAGGTAAACACAGGGGAACCAGTCTTGGTTTCTTGTCGGTTTACTCTTTTTGTTTCAGCAGAGAGACCACTACCTTGCCTTCTTATACTCAAGTGTTCCAGCTATTTTATCTCTATGTCACGTCTATGATGAACCTATGACCCTCGATTATTCAGAGGGAGAGGGCGCCACTTAAAGGCTTGTTGTGTAGTGTTGGTCAACAATTAGTGTGCGGAAGGTCGCGAATCTTTCAGCAGGGACCTCATACTCTTTCTTCCACTCCGTGACTCATCTACACGTTGCACTCTCACCACCTGCTGCGTCTCTATGTTGGCTCTTCTGTTCACTTAAAAGGTTCTTAGGCGCTCTCACGTGGAGGTATAGAGTCTGACTTTAGCGCCCTATTAAAACAATATAAATAAGTTTTATAAAAGATATTATATTAATAGTGATTATTTTAATTAACTTAATTAAATACTTATTAACATTATAAGTTAGTATCTTATTAGAATAAGAAGAATATTAAGAAGTATAGTTTAGTGTATTTAGTTAATATATATAAATATTAAATCTTAAGTTTAGAATCTATTTATTATATAAGCTCTTATTAATTAACCTTAAGTATAAAGACTCTAAGTAAATTATTATCACGATAAATATTGTCTTCTTTTCTTATTTCTTTATAAAGAAGAAGAAGAACTTAGATATTAAGTTAGTGACTCTTTTTATAGTTTGCTTAAATCGCTTTATATAAATAAAGTTCTTTTTTATTTTCTTATAAATAACTTATCTTATAGAATTAGGTTTCTAATCTTAAGACTTTATTAACTTAATAATATAAAAATATTAAGTATATTATTAAGAAATATTATAAATTTTATATATTAAAGATTAGTTATTAGTCTTTTAGTCTTTAAAGAATATAAATAAATTATATAAGTAAATAAAGCCTCTTTTAAAGTCTTTATCTAGATTATTAAGTTATTAAAAGAACTTAATTAACTTATAAAAGTTAGAGATAAACTTCTCACTAAGTAACTTTATATTCTCTATTATAGTAAAGATTTTATTAAGTGATTTTACTGCTTATAAAAATTTATAAATTAGAGAATATTCTATAATAATTAGTATATCTAGATAGCTTATATTATTATAAGTCTTAAGTTATTTATCTAGCTAATTATTAATATATTAATAAGTCTTTAAGGTCTTGATCATTTTTTTTTATTTAGTTAATATATCTAGTTCTTTAGATCTATTTATAAAAGTAAATCTTTATTAAAGTTATTAAAGTATTATATAAAGAGAGTATTCTTTTTTTAGATATATTATAAGATTAATTAAGATTATTTCTGTTATCTAAATATCTAGGGCATTAATAGCCTTAAGTTTATCTTTATATTATTTATATTACTATTTTTATTATCGCTCTATAAAGCGAAGATTTATTTACTATTATTCTAAAGTTTAACTATCTTAATATAAGTTTTATAAGTTCAGAATAAATGGATACTTTGAAGTAAAAAGATTACTAATATCGAGATCAATATATTTCTATATCCCTCAATATTTAATATATAGTTTAATGAAAGTGAACTAATTATTCTAATCTAAGGACTTAAAAAGAGTGACTATAATTGATTTTATTGATTAAGGCTCGAGATTTAGTTTCGATATATTAAGTATTGTGATAAAGAAAGTATAGCAAGATATACTTTTTACTATATAAATACTTAAGGCGTGAAATACGCGTAAAGATCTAATGTATTTAGATATATTTAGTTAAACAGCCTTATAATGATAAGGCTTTACTAGAGTATTAACTAATAAATATCTTAAACGAAATCGAGAACTAGACTTATAATTATTATATAATACTTAGTTCTAGGCGATATTAAGAGCTAAATAGAATATATTAATAAGTCTAATCTTCAGGACTAGAAGATTACTATTCTATTTATTTATATAGTAAAGAAATGAAAATTCTTTTGTTCTGATAAAGAGACTTTTCTTCTAGATATTAGCGATAATTAATGAGTTTCTCGTTGAGAGCTGATATCCTTATATCAAGAAGTTTTAGTTCCTTTATTCTAAGAACTATAATATAGCGAAAAAGTGACTAAAGTAAGTGAATTTATGGTGTTATAAGGTTTATAAAAGAAGTGTTCTAGGCGATAGAGTTTCGCGAAGGCGTTTAGCGTAAGTATAAAGATTATAATAACCCTATTATAACTTAGCCTTATTTAATATACCTTCTTAGAAAATAATACTATTATTATTAATGTGAAAACATTAGAATAGTATTTCTTAGATATTAGTAAGATTAAGTTACTTAATAAAAGCTTTATATTTTTACCTTAATAAGGCCTTTATAAGGTCATTAGTAATTATATTATTTGTTAATATTTAATTAAGGTTAATATATCCTTGTTAAATCTCTTATCTAAGTCAATACTAATAAATATTAATATAATAAAGTCTTATAAATAGCTTTTCGTTCTTAATTAGTAATTAAATAGTCTACAAATTATTAGAGAGAAGTGATAAAGTCTTCTTTAAGTCTAAATTAATATTAATAAACATTCTTCTCCACTAGATTATTTCGCTTATCGCATTAAATAGAGTAAGGAGTTCTGCCTTAATAAAAAATATTATAATTATCTTTTACTTTCTTAATCTCTAGTTAATAAGCCCTTTAAATAGTGTTAAGATATATTTATTAGAGCTTCTTCTAGTTTTAAGGTTATTGATAAAGAAGATATTTAATATATAGAGAAAATATTAATTAAATTAATTATTATATATAAGAGAGAAGTATTTTATATAGTAAAGATATATAATTACTCTATTTATGGCCTTAATGTGTGCACTTAATAGGTTAACTAGAAATTATACTAGTTTAAAGTGAGTAAAGACGATATCTAATCTAGTTATATAAAAGATAAATAAGATAAATTTAATATATTATTAATATATATAAATCTCTTACAATAAGGCTTATCTTTTATAAGATTATAACTCACTAGTTAATAGTGAAGTATTAAGTAAATAATTAAGTTATTTAATATAGAACTTAGCTATAATTTTATTAATATATAAGTTAAGTAATAAGTAAATAGTTCTATTATTATAATCTTATAAGATATAAATTCTAAGGAATTAATTCGCGTTTTTCATAACCTTAAACTTAAAATGTTTCTATAACTTAATTATAAATTAATAAAATAAAGTCTTCTTACTTTTATAATAGAGAATTATAATATTATCTATATAAAAGAACACTAA